ACTAGTGCATTGTAGATAAATTGAAGTACGCAAACATACCTCATAGGATGGTTCATGGTGACAACCAATCATAAGTCAGGAGGAAAGATTTCTATTTCTTTATTGTTTATTTTCTTTTTTTGAAGATCAGAAAGCAAAGGAATTCATCGTTTTGTGTTTTAGATTAGATTGTTTTTTCTGAGAAATCATTGCCCAAATTATGCCACGCGGACGTAAGTTTGCGAACGCTGAATTGATTCCTTGTGAATATGGAGAAATTTGTAGGTTTCGATCAAGCTTCATCACACGTTCAATGGATGGTCATTCGTAACAGCTCATCCTTTTTACAAAAACGAAAATTGGGCACATTGACAACTGTTCGTTAGCCTTTGTTTTCTTCTAAATTCTTGAGTGTCTTTGTTTTCTTCTAGGAACCAAACAACTTGAAAAATCGTAATAACTTCCGTTTCAATGGTCTCATTCATCCAAAAGTAGTTGGTGTTGAAGCTGTTAAAGATGGCAAAGGTGTTGTTTTTTCAACTGGAAGCACCAAAAGTAAGACATGATCTCTTCATTAACGAAACAACCTCGTGTTTTTTCTCTTTTTCCCAGGCGTACAAAAACCAGCCAAGCGTTTACGTAAAGTTAAACTCGCCAAGGATTCACGTCGTACATTGACAAGCATCCGACGAACCATTCGTAAACAACGCTATCGTAAAGACCTCAAGATGGTTCGTACAGTCTTTGTCTTTGATATAGTGAAATAACAATGCTTTATTGTTTAGGCTGCTCTTCGTCGTGCATCAGCATTACTTCGTGGTCAACGATCAGCTTTAACAACTGCTACACCAGCCGCCACAACAGGCAAAAAGAGCTCTGGTAAAAGTGCAGCAGCCACCAGTGCAACAACAAGCGCATAGATAAAACCAATCTAACATTGATGAAACACAAAACAAAATTTGTTTGTTTTGCTTCATTTTGATGTTTATTAACAACAAAATATTTCATGAAAGAACAGAATAAAACGTAAACAAAAGAAGACGAAATTAATTTCTTTCGTTTATCTTCCACTTACACATGACGAAGACTAAAGCGTGGTTATAAGGAATGAATAGATGAAAGTTTGTCTGATAAAAACTAGACTTTTTATTAACATAAGTATCATTGATCATCCGCTATGCTTAAAGCACTTTTCAATCAATCACATATGTTGCTATTATACAAAAAAAAGAATACATGAATCATTATATCAATCAAATCAAGACGAACACCGAAGTCTAATATGCATTTCTTTTCTCATGCGATTGGTGATGCATGAGTTTGTTGAGCAGTACTTTGAATGTTTTCATCTTCTTGAATAGTATTCGTTATCAAAGGTGTTGTTAAATCATTATCTGTTTCATCGAACAGAACCGCAAAGAATGCTAGAGTACCAAAGAATAAAAAGAGCACTACGATGAGTGTTTGCCATTGAATTTGTAATGATCCTGCATAGAAAAATGCTACAGCAGCCATTAATGACTAGGAGAATGGAAAAAAATGGTTGCAGAAAGTGTCGTCAACGAACATGCTAACTTACCTGGACAAGTTTGAATATTGCAAAAGCTGAAGCCGTGGTTTGTTTATATCGTGTTGCTAGAACATTCATTAACTAAAGACATTTCAGATAAGATCAATTTGAACTTTTTCTTTTATTAAAGAAGAAAACTTACTTGGGTATTTAAACTACTATCACCTAAACCAACGATGAATGATCCGATAAATGTGATAACTTGACTTGTTGTTGAGCTAGAGACAACCAAATTTTGTCAATGACACACATATCGATTTTAGTTTTACGTTTACTTGAAATCAAAATACGGTTTTGTTGTCGTCTCATTCGAAGCTGAGTCGACTGGAAAGTTGACAAATACTGAATAATAGTAAACCATTTGTAGAATACAACCAACAAGTATCATCAATGCTCGCTGTGATGCAGTTTTTGGTTTAGTAATGAAGCCGAACAAGCCACCACCTACAGACGAAAAACGACGCCTTCGTAATGTGCAGCATTTTTAGACAATTTACCTAGGATTTCTCCACAACCAATAAGGATACCATGTAAGCCAATCAATCGTTTACGTGTATCTAAATCAAAGGGTGGGGCGTTCGCGATCAGCATGATCGGCATCTTTACCTCCATATTTAACGTAATGTCCAATACATGTGGCGAAAACTCCTTGGAAAAGTGTGTTGGACAAACCTGCACAAATAGATTTACATTGATTTGTTAAAGTAGTACAGACGTATCATTTACCTGAATACGCAAAGGGAATGAGCAATAAAAGCATATTTCGCGTTCGCAACAATGCTCCAGCTACTTTTAATGTGTGTATCACATCAGCTAATGTACTTTTTTTCTCTTCAACAATACGACTTAGAGTGTGACGATGCTTTTCCACATAGGAACGCCAAATGACGAACATGAATATGAGCAAACCAACAGCGGACACAATGGAGAAAACGACGAATAATGGTATTCGTGTAGCGCGATCAATGATTTGAGCTTTCAAAGCTATAAATACGTATATATTTCCGGCCAACAGACTATGAAAACAAAACAACAAATCGCTGTACTTTTCGATACAGAAAATTTCGAAATACCTGACTTGAAAGAGTGCCCAAAAGATTCCGGAATTTCGACTTATGGTTAAATCATCGGAATTATTTGCTAAATAAACTCCTTGAGCTGTCCATAATACAGCTGCACCAATACCAATTAAAATTGATACAACATAATACGACCATGTCATCGGATAAATAAATGATAGGACATAGAGACTAAATACGATAATAAACAATGCATTTTTATCTAATATACCAATTGCTTACAAGTATGTCGATCCGCCAAGAAACATCGAAACGGATGGGCCCAATATAGAAACGATAGCAGGTGCAAATACATTCGTTAACGCGAAAAATGAGTATAAGATAGCCATACTAAAAGTTGGAACTGTATAAATCAGAAATCCGATTCATTGTCTGTGCTCTCACCTAATGTAACCACTTCCATGAAAACTTGTGCCATTTAGTGTTTCATTTTTGACTCCTTCCAGTACACTTTGCTTTAGAAGAAAAAAAAAACAATATTCATCATTGATATAAATCTTTCGAGGAAAATGTTCATACCGATATCATGCCAGTGGCTTGAAACGCTGTGAATAGAATCATGAAAGCTAAGCCGAGTAGAATCACATTGATGAACCTGTTATCCATGATTGCGTTGGATAATATCTATTTACGATGCTATGAATGAACAAAGCGAAAGAAAAGAACGAGGTAATGATTTTGTATTCGAAGGAGTGTGGAGAAAAGAGGTTACTTAATATGACCTTCTATACCTTATACGAAGATAAGATTGTAAAGAAAGAAGATGAATAAGAGTAGAGTAGAAATTCTTCTTAAGTAAAGAAATGTTTCATCTTGCTAGGGGAGAGGTATGTTCAACAGCTTCAAGTGGACAAGTGATAATTAAATTCATCAAACTAGTACCTAATCGTTTAATGGAGTTTGTGATAATACTAGATTGTGTTCGCTTCGAACTTGTTTTACAAATAAATAATTATATATTCTGGTTAACAATATGCACGAGAACGAGAATCACTCGCATCAGCGAACGATCAAAAATTCATTGATCAGTTAAGAACCAATCAGAAACCGTTCTATTAGTTTGGGCTTTTAGCAATGTCTATGATCTAAAATATGATATTTCACAATGAATGAATTCATGAAGGTCTGATTACTCTTATTGAAAACCGTTTTGTCGTCAATTTCAATAGTTTTGAAGATGAGCCTTCAACTCTATCTACTGTACAATACCGGATTTAAGTCGTATGCTCATTACCAATCGTATAATTACGTGGAGGTACAGTCATCTAAAAAGATAGCGTGCACATACCCTTTTAGCTCGGTCTTCACAGAATTTCGAAAAAATGAGTATATGCTTTGTATTTCATTTTTGGGTAATTCTTGCTATACCTGTCTAAATCATGTTTTAAAACTAAGATTATAAATGAACCAAATTTCATGTTTCGAGCATCACTATAATTTGAAGTGTATCAACACTCTGCAATTAGAAGATCCAAAGAAGTTATTTAGTCGAAGCAACATCTATGTCGATACTAAACTAGAGTGTTAAACCAGTTAATTGATGTACTAAACTCACTGTATAGCGTCCTCTGCTTAGAATTCTTCACAATTGGCTAGACAATAGTTTACCGACAACACGCGCATATATTTTTCTCTTCACACTGTTCGTTTCGCTTGTTATAGTCGGTCTTAATATCATCATTCTGATCAAGAATATGTCATCAGGTGAGGAGATTAATCACAACGATAAATTTCTATCTTGAATTGAATAGAAACGTCAATGTGGATGAAATTTCTTCATGAGTCAGATATATCAACGGACGAAAATACTCTTGTGCAATATTGTACAACACTATCAAGTCGATTTACGACAATCGATGAAATTTTAACTGTCAGTGAAAATGATCTAATCAATCTTGGTATAACAAATCAATACGATCGAATTTGTTTAATCAAACAAGCACATCTATTTGACGATAAAGTAAATATTGAACTCTTATCATCTATCAAACACTTTTTTTATTTATCTAGGAAAATCTACCATTAACCAGACACTCAGCAGGTATAGCACTTTCAAATGATCAAAAAATCATTTGAATCACTAATAAATTTTAGCTTCCAATTATATTCATGAACATTGGCTTGCAAATAATCAATCAACACCCGTCAATCCACAATCGAAATGTAGTTTATCTCCAGCATTACTTTCTCGAATCTCATTCAATGATCGTAAGTAGACAAACTTTTTCACAGTTCATTCATTTCAATGGATATTTGTTTTGAGATGCTTCATGTGATGATGTAACGCTGATCCATTCAAGTCACTCCTGTGAACATTTGCAAACGCCAAAACGAGTTGATCACAATGACAAAATTCAAACATTACTTGAATCATGTCAAAAACGTACACCACCGACATCCACACGTGGTCTACGAGCGATGAAATCTCTTTCGAGTAACTTCAATTTTCGATGTTTGTCAACAGAATTCGTTTTCTATTCGTTTAGATACAATAGCATTACAAAAGAAAATTCTCGCTGGTAATGATCGACTGAAACGATTGACCTTATCACGGTCAATGATTAAACGACAGACAGCATTGATCACGAAAAAAGTATCGAACTTAACCAGTAAATTTAGTAATCCATTTGCGAAGAAAACCAATAAAAATGATTTGAAAACATCAGACAAGCCAATTCAAATTGCACAACAATCCAAAGCTGGTAGTAGCGAGAATTTATTATCTCATATCGATGCAATCGAATCGAAATATGCACGTGAGAGAGTTCATGATCATGATAGACGAAATGATTATATTGATTTATTCTAGTTTCATCTGCTCAAACGATACCAACGAGAAAATTTAAACTCGGCGCACCGACGACCTTTCTCACCCGGTCACTTGCGAATCATGCTCAGAAAGAATGAATTCTTTTTTCTTGTATTTCCTAGTCATTTTTCAATCTTTTTTTTATTAATAATTCGTGATCTTTCTCATTTTTCTTTCTTGAATAAGTCAGATTATTTTCTAGATTAACATATTCGAACAGCATTGGTCATGGCGGGTAAGTTATTCAATTGGCTCCTTCGAGTTGATGGAATTTATATACTTAGAATCAAATAAGCAACCGAGAGACAAAGCAGATTCGACAGACGATGATGATGATGAAAAAGGTCAAGCGGCTCTAGTTCAACAATGTATATATCGAACTTAGCTCTAATAAGTCAAAAGGAAACTCTTTTGTATAATTTAGTACTGAATAAATTTTCGGGCCTATTCGGGTCGTTGAAATTGGACGAACCTGCCGAAGATCCTGTTCTGAAGTCGTTTAACTTGGAAGCCGCAGCAGAATACATGAGTAAATGTTCCAACGTGGTTGTCATGGCGGGCGCGGGAATATCCACAAGTGCTGGTATACCCGATTTTCGTTCACCTGGAACAGGTCTTTATTCTCAATTGGAAAAATACAATCTTCCATTTCCCGAAGCGGTGTTTCACTTAGACTTTTTCCGAGTAAGAAGATTAACAGAAAGATACAATTTGTAATCGTACATGTTGTAGACTAATCCCAAACCATTCTTTTTGCTTGCAAAAGAACTCTATCCACAGAAGTTCACAGTAAGTTGTATGGTAAACGCGGTTACTGGTCATTGTTTACGAATATTTTAGCCAACACCAACACACTACTTCATTCGATTATTAGAAGAAAAGAAAAAGTTGCTGAGAGTTTTCACACAGGTACGTGCCCACATTGAGTTTTTGTTGTACACCACGTGTTTACGTGTAGAATATTGACTCATTGGAACGAGTAGCTGGTATATCAACCGACAAAATCGTCGAAGCACACGGTACATTCTTTACATCGCATTGTTTGGACTGTCGTGAAGAATACGACCTTGAATTCATCAAAGGTGAGTGGCCATGGGACGAATTATTCGAGTTTCTCTTTACGATCTTTTTTCATTTATTTCAGAAATCATCTTCAAAGATGAAATTCCTCATTGTAAGAAATGCGATGGAATTGTCAAGCCGGGTATGACTTACCTTCGCCACGGTCGTCATGAACTGTTTTCCTAATTTAGATATCGTGTTTTTTGGTGAAAAACTTCCTGCTCGGTTTAATGATTGTGTACACAGTGTAAGTTCTGCTTCAGACGAATGTTGAGAGTGAGAGTTGTTACTATTCTATTAGGATTTTTCGAAAGCTGATTTCTTGATTATCATCGGTACATCATTGAAAGTCGCACCATTTAATCGTCTTCTAACATTGTATGTAATCAATTGCACTGTTCGCAGGTGTATCTCATCTCGATGACTTTCATTTAGTGTGGATAAGAATTGTCCTCGTCTTTTGATCAATATGGAACCAGCTGGAAACTCCAATCAGGATATGGTAAAACCGAAATAATTTGCACTTTCTTGTTCTTACTTTGGGACTCTTTCAGGGATTTGGAGCGCTATTGTATGGAAAAAAAGCAAATCGTCGTGATGTATTTCATCAAAGTACATGTGATGAAGGTGTTAGCGAACTAGCGAAATCACTTGGTTGGGAGGTAAAATTTCTTGTTGCGATGAATATGTTCGAAATTGGTTGTTTTCTTTAGGATGAATTTAGTAAACTACTCAAATCGGAAGGTGTATCAGTTGAGAAAGTGAAAGAGAACTTATCGACAATTCCTAACGAAACCGAAGAAAATGCTGATCGACTAGCCGCACAGATGGCTAAAGCATCGTTGGAGGATGAGAAAAAGAAAGACTAAAATTGTGTGTGTGTTGTTTTGTCAATTTTTCTATTTATTTTATTTATACATGAACATTAACTGAAAGCAATCCAGATGATAAAATGTAGCAATAATTGTTATTTTAAATAGCGATTTCGCCTCTCGAGATAATGCTTATCATAGCACGTGTATGTTCTCTTTCTAATCACATAGTTGTGTTTGCTTTAGCAGGTCATGTCGCTTCACATTACAATCGTCGGTGGTGGAATTATCGGTTTGACTACAGCATGTACTATTCTAAAAGACTATTCATCCTATCCACAGCTACAACTAGTAATCATCAGTGAACGTTTCTCACCGGACACAACAGCCGATATATCGGCAGGCTATTGGGAACCCTATGGCCTTGAGACGATCGATGAACGAACTCTCCGTTGGGCTGGTTATACGTATGATATATTCATGAGCGAATTCTTCTCGACAAAAGCAGCTCGTGCGGGCATTATGAAAGTACCTGCATATACTCTATACGGTTACAATGGTCAAAATAAAGGCAAAAATACGTCGAAGCCGAAATTTTCGACATTAGTTCGACATTTTCGAATGTTAGATGAATGTGAAATGAGTATGTTTGATCATCTCAAACCAACATCTGGCTTTGTCATGTCCACGATTGCTGTTGAAGTTCGATGCTATCTTCATGAAGTACGTCGTTTTCTTGGACAAGATCCACGAGTGAAATTTATTCATAAAAGAGTTTCGAGCTTTCAAGAATTAACCCATCAAACTGACTTGATTGTTAATTGTACAGGTTTAGGTGCGCGACAGCTGGTCAATGACCATACTGTTCGACCGGCACGCGGACAAGTAAAGTCCAACGATCCCTCTGCTAAAATTTCACTTCTCATTTGTCTTAGATCATTCGTGTTCAAGCACCATGGATAAAAGCCGTTTATAACTTTGATACCGATGAAGGTGAAGGATATATCATTCCGCAGATGAACTGTGTTGTGCTAGGTGGTACATTTCAGTTAAATGATTGGAATACAGCAACAGTTAAAAGTGATACAAAGAAAATTCTTCGAATGTGTTCGAAATGCTTGCCAGCGTTGGAACAAATTCATCATGGGAAAGTTCAAGTCGGACTTCGACCCTATCGGGATGATGGCGTCCGACTCGAACATGAAAAAACAAGCGATGGAATGGATATTGTTCATTGCTACGGTCATTCTGGTTCGGGCGTAACACTTTCATGGGGTTGTGCGAGAGATGTTGTGGAAATCATCAAAACACTGCTACCGATTGTCGAAACCGAACAATCGAAAAGTGAGACTGGAATGCCATTACATGAACAACTGTGGCGTTTAGTTGAATACAAAAACACTAATTATCTGCGATCGAAAGTTTAAACATGTTTCATCATTTCTCGAATAAAAATCAATGTTTCATTCTTTCTGATAACAAGTTATATGAGAATTTGCTTGAGAGAAACTCGATCCGCACACACTCGATGAATCGTTATTCAGTAGTTGTCGCTAGATGACAGTCTATTTTTCATACTCGTTTATATGCGGTCGACAGTGAGTAGTCAATCCTGAATCTCGCTCGCTGCTGCATCACGTCACTTTATTATCGAGACGGTGACACGTAGTTGATTTCCTTACTTTGGATCTGCAAATACCTCAAACATGGTTTCCGATAATATTTCCGTATGTTTCACATTAAGTAGTGTCATTTCGTCGAACTCTTCTCGTATAGGTTCCATCTCTCTATGTGATCAAGGGTATTATTATCTTAGACAATGACGGAAATCGTCTTTTGGCAAAAGTAAGTATTTGTTGTATTGAATTTCAATGGATTGAAGGTGTTCTTGGTTTTAGTATTATAATCAATCGTATGCAACGATAAAAGAACAGAAAGAATTCGAGAAATCTTTGTTCAATAAAACACACAAAGGTTCAGGCGATGTCATTCTTTTGGATAATTGGACGATTGTCTACCGAAACAATGTTGATTTACTCTTCTACGTTGTTGGCAGTACAGATGAAAATGAAGTAAACGAAACCAACGGCTGTCTTGTTTTTCTTTCTCAGACAAATCCGTTTTTAGTTAATGTTAAACTCCGTGTTGACATGTTTATTCGACTCATTGAGCACGATGTTGCGAAAAAATGTGGAAAAACGATATCTTTACGAAAATTTGGATTTAGTTATGCTGACACTCGACGAAATTTGTGATGATGGGTAAAACTAAATGAATCAAAACAAAACTTGACTTTACCCTTTCGTTCTATGTTTAGAATTGTCTTAGAATCGGATCCAATGTTAATTGCACAACGTGTTCAATTACGTCAAGATGACGTTCCATTAGGCGAACAGACTGTCACTCAAGTAAGTCAAAAACCTACTGAAATCAGTTGACCGAGAGATACGATCAATATCTTGTATGTATCAGGTCTTCAATCAGCGAATCACTAAGCTCTTTACCGATAAGCGATAACTAGGTTAGTATGAGAATGCATTCGGGATTTTGTCAGCATTATAGTTCGCTTAGAAATCTAACAATGATATCATTCGAACTTTTCATTCGTTTGAGATAGATGTAAAGGTAGTTTGATGGAGGATGTTGATCTTGCTTTTGCTTTAGGTACTTAACCATGCAAAAGAACAAATTAAGTGGTCGTTATTGAAATAAATAATGCGAAGAGAAATCAATCAATCGAAACATTTCATTGGACATGTTAGTCTTTGTGCGCATCATTATCACTATTTTATTCGTTGTTATCCTCGGAAAATAAAACTAAATCTCATGTTTTACTTCTTATTCTAGTAGAAATGCATATCTCATCTAAACATTCCTCAAAAATGACTGCTATTCAAGCATATTACTACAATATCATGTAGCATCGAAGTAATCCATATCCAACAGGCACGTCGGACAAGACGTGATAATAATATAAAGAGATTTCTATTAGAAAACTAACCCTGGACGAATATTCAGAATAGCTAAATCAGTTTAACAGTCTGATCCGCGTTTCGATCAATTTATTCACTTCGTAAATTCGCTCAGGGAAACGTCTCTGGATGAAAATAAATATCCAAGATTGGTTCGAATGATTCGTCGAAAAACTTCGAATAAAAGCGAGCTAGTTTCCAAGAAGTCACAAAGTCTCAATTGTTTTCTTGACGCAAAAGGATTTATCACGAAACAAATCATCCGACTAAACGGATTCATCTATTATGCACTCTTCTTGAAGACAGGATTATTCCACATATCTTTTTCTATGCATTAATCTTCCAATTCAATGTAATTATCTTGAGTTCGAAAATAGAACACCAATCCTATCTATCAATTACTCAATGGATTCAGAATAATCCAGCGGTTCAACGTATTGCGTAAAGAAGAATATACTATTAACAATTGTTTGTTCTCAACAAAAAACTGAAAGTGAGCTTCTTATAACTATTCGAAGTAATTCAGTCCGTGAACTCGTCTAAAATTAATTATTTATTAAGCAGGGATTTTCGAGTTCATGGATAATTGATCTAATTGGGCAGATGCCAAGCATTTTTGAACTCTGAAGAAGGTATACGTGAGAGAAGAGCTCCCTACTAACTTAATACATCACAGAGAGAAACATCTAGTAAACGGATTTCTTTAGAAAAAACAATTGCGTTTTTCATATATTTGTTATTAATTAAAGAATTTCTCTCTCTCTTCATTGGTTACTATATGGTGAATATTCGCTATACATTCTTATTAACGGGGGAATCTTTAATAAGACGAGAAAGTAGTTTATCTAAACTCATCACGATAGCGGCAAAGGTATAAAATTAATTAGATATCTACCAATGGTTTAAAACGTTTCTTCTTTTCTGTTTTAAAAAGATTATTTCATATAATAGAAGCACACATCTGCCACAACTTCTTTTGCATACTCTATTTCATTTAACAAAGAAATGACGACTGTCGAACAGACGGTTACGATGTCGACGACTACGGATCCGTTAGATTCTCTTGATACGTCAATAATTCATATTCGTTCGAGTTTTGTGATTCTGATTTGGTTTGAGATTGTTACTGCATGTCTTCTGTAAGTGATTGTCATTGATTTGTAATCAGAAAGTTTATTCATTAATTGACTTTGATTTGTAAAGTTACGGTCTAGGATTTCTTGGCAATATTCTTTCATTGATTATTTTCTATTCATTGGGTGAATTTCGTCGGATTTCCACGGGTTATTTCTTTCTCCTGACAACAATTTCGAATAGTTTTCATCTATGGACATTAAGCACGGAATTCCTCGGTATTTTCAATGTTTACATTTACCCTGATGCATTTTTACAATGCCGATTGAACTTCTTTGTACAGAATGTCAGTCGAGCGATTAGTACGTATTTAGCGATCGGCATTGCATTGGACCGTTTGATTCGTTCCGAGTTACCGATACGTTCAAGGGTCATTTGTACGCGTCGAAACGCAGCTATCTATGCACTTGTTAGTCTGATCACTTTCGCATGCATATGGTCCCTGTGGCTTTGTCCGGAAATTACTCAAGACCCGATTACTGGTCAGTGTATCTACAATAAATCGCCGGTATTGTATTTTTATTTAACACAAGTTCAAAGTCCGGTACGATTCATTCTTGTGTGCATTATTCCAGTAATTGTGATGATCGCAGCCAATATACGTATGCTATACAATATGCGTCAATCACATCGACGAGTTGCTGACCATGTAGAAACCGTTACTGCTGTAGCGGCACAACCAGCATTATTGACACAGAAACGAACTTTTCGACGAATGACTGCCTTAGATCGAATGCTATTCTACATGATGGTAGCCAATGTTGGTACATTTATTGTCACACAAATACCATTTCATGTATACACATTAGTCCGCGTATACTATCCAGTCTTGGATCAATTCACGCATTCGTTGGTGCGAGCAATGCTTTTAATCTGGTCAAGTCTTTATTTTGGCCTCGGATTTTATTTGTATTGTTTTGCATCTCCACTCTTTCGAGAGAAATTTGTTATGTTCAGCAAAAAAGTATTTCAATGCTTTCAACGTCGGTGAATGTAAAATAAGCTTCATGTTCTTTCAATTTATTTATATCTACGTGTCTATCGTGCAAGAACAACGATGCAAAACTTTTGAATCGCTGAAACTTGTGAGCACTGATTGACTTACCGAACTTTACGTACGGCAACTCTATGAAGAATGCCTTAGATTCTACGTGCAGAACACAATGACATTGACATATTAGATCTCTAAATAATCATTAAAGAATAATCATGATTTCTCACTAGATCTATTCATACACGACCGGATGTGCGGAAGTTTGACGAAACTTCTCTGTTTCCCCTGATATTTTACAACACGAACGCAAGCAGTCAGCAACCTGAGATTAGCTACGGTCTTTCAAACAGTATGATAAGGTCAAGCAATCATTTCCAGCTGAGTAAGATGTAATCAGGCCACGGCAAACGGATCTAGACATGCAATGTCACATTGAATCATTATAATTGCTTATCTTGCTTGAATATTTTCGCATTGTTCTACTAATTGAGCAAGCTATAGAAATATTTCAAACAGCTTCAAGTCGGAACAACTATTTGTTTAATTTGATATGAAAGGCAATTTAGCAAAGCTAAACTGGCCAATACTTTCTTGAAAACAATATTTCAATTGTTAAAAACAATTATTTTGTGAAATATTCTACATTGACACCAATACATAACCAGCAAACAAAACATTAATCGAACTACAAGCTCATTTTCATTTAGTTAGTATCAAGATTCATAAATATATCGGTCTATAAATTGAATTCATTGATTGCCTCACACGATACTGATATTTGATCATAGGTTTTGTGTACGTTGATTAATACCCATATGAATGGTGGATGCGAGTTTTCTGACGTCGAACATTAATTTCTTAAGTACTATTTTAAAAACCTGTCTTTTCGTTATTTGCTAGTTTTAAGATAAGGTTCAAAAGACTTGTCTGTAGTGAATTGTTTGATTCGATGACGTAAACCTTACTAGAGCATCAAGTCCTCAAAATATAATTGGTTGTGAGACGTTCGTTTTGATTAGTGACATTAGTACTTATTTTCGGAAGTCTTTACATAATAGACTTCGTTTTGTCACATGCTAATTGCTGATAATACTTCTCTTATGACGCATGGTGAAAGCAAAATACTGATAATCTTAAAGAAATGTTTGTTTTTCAAAAACATGTCATGATATTGATTAAGTACGTAAGAGGTAGTGACTCGATATACTCGTGTCTTAATATAACCACTCTTGATTATTTTATTTATCAGGAAACGAACAGAGTTCAATAAAGTTATTAAGATTTTCTATTACGTTTTCAAATAATTCTCTATAATAGTACGAGCTTGAATCTTCTGATAGCCATTCGCTAATATGGCGAATGTAACAAACATTAGTAACTCATCAAACTCAACAATTTCGATCTTTGCGAACAGTTCTTCGTTAAATACAGCTGTTTGGATAGCAACAGCAGGTGCCTGCTTCTCGTAAGTAACTCTCTTGCTTGTTTTAGTCATATCTAGGTTCCTATCATCTGTATAGGTATGGTTTGGGTTTTATCGGTAATTTTCTTTCGTTGATTGTCTTCTATTCTCAAGAAGAATTTCGAAAAATCTCCACTGGTCTTTTATTTATTCTCATAACCATTGCTAATTTATTTCACTTGTGGACATTGCTGACAGAATTTCTGACGACATATGGTATCTCTATGTTTCAACAGATCTTCTTCCAATGCCGATTAACATATTTCATCCAGAATGTTAGTCGAGCAATGAGTACGTACTTCATGGTTGCAGTAGCCATTGATCGATTAATTCGAACAGAATTTCCTGCGCGATCGAAGACATTATGTACAAGACGAAATGTTATTTTGTTTACAGTAATCTTTTTCATCATTTTCTCGTTATTTTGGTCATTTTATCTCTACCCAATGCCTTCAGTAACTAGTAAAAAGGGTTCATGTACTTTTACATATACACCGACGTTTAATTATTTCTTGAGCACACTTTATATTCCTATTCGAGTAGTTCTAGTTTGTTTTATTCCACTTATTATCATGCTACTAGCCAATATTCGTATGATTTTCAATATCCGCCAATCACAACGACGTGTAACAAATCAAATAACAGGTGGCTCATCTCGGATCAACCGACCTGTCCCATCTGTCTCGAGTTCCGTTGGGAGGCCATCTCGACGAATGACCGCTTTAGATCGAATGCTTTTCTATATGATGGTTGCCAATGTGTTGACATTTCTTATTTCGCAAGTTCCACTTCATACTTTCATGTGGATAAGAAATAGTCTTACTGGATACGATGACTTCACTCTATCATTTATTCGAACAGTGCTTCTGATTTGGTCAAGTTTGTATTTTGGTGTGGCATTCTATTTCTATTGTTTGGCATCACCGTTGTTTCGTGAGAAATTCATGAAAATTATTTGCTTTAACATAAACTCCCGATCAACGACAATTCTACCCATGATTAGCAAATAAAGGGAACGAACTTTGATGTTGTTTCATAGATCCGTATTCAATTTAGTGAAAGAATTGGTCTTTTTTTTATTTGTGAATAATCAAAATAGATTTGTTTTCTTCCTTAGCAAAGAGAATAACTAATCATATATAAAAGGAAACAAATCTGTCTGAAAACTGAAAGTAATGACTTGTCATTCTTCGGTAACAAGAGTTTTCATGCTCGAGAAGACTCTACTTTTTAGTCTTGTTATTCTATACTAAGAATCACATGTTACGGCGAAGTTTTACTCATTCAATTCATCAGATTTTCATGTCACTGTAAGTCATATTCAAATTTCGCCACAGACAAGTTAGAATTTAATCTTCATTATTAAAAGGTCTCATTTTCATCTACTCTAAAATATTATTTCCGATGTGTATACATACACCATGTCCGTTGATGTTCTATTCACAAGTTATCATAACGATTGTGATATAGCTTGCATTTACAATTCAAAGATATGTGAAATAAATAGTTTTTTCTCATCACTCGTTAAATTGATATAGAAATACTTTCTAGAAATCACAACAACACTAGGAGTCTGAATATCGACAGGTATATGTTGCTCTATCCCTACATATTAATAAAAGTATTTCTATGCCCAGGCGAACCATCACCCGGCCTAGTAGCAAAACTAGGTATGGGCTCAGGTATATCCGTTATTGACATTCTGCTAATGGCTGAAATTATTTTTCTGAATTGTCGATACGGTTCGACCAATACATGACGTTGGGAACAGTATAGAATTGCTAATGATTAGCAAATAAAATTTCACCTTTTCGTATGATATACTTATGTCTATAAGAACCTCTTTAAAAACGTTTTATCGAGTAATATCAACATTTATTTTTTTATTATAATCTCTTCAAGGTAACACAAGAAATCTTCTTTTTTTCTATATATGAATATTGATCGTTTTTCTAAGCAACAAAGATTGGTGGAACGTCATTGTATTTACGACATTGAACAGTTCGTTGTCCGAAGAAACATCCTCCAGCTATGCCTCTCATGTTATTATTTTTACAATATTCAATCGTACATTCATCACACGATTGTCTATGAATAATTGAATAATGTAAACTTTGAATTCGAATCAAAACTGTCACTTACGGGTAAAGTTTAAACAGCAGTTTATTTCGACAAAAACAATCACACTGGTTAGCCCGGATGAAATTAATACCGAGAATGAAAATGATGAACGAACGAAAGAGAATATACATAGAATAGGATTTTGACAATTACACTAATGAAAGACGCCAAAAAACAAAAACCGGTTGCTAAGTATTCAGAAATAAAAGACAAACTAACAATTGGCATTTCTTTAGTTCACTCGAATAAGTAAATACGTTTAAAAATAACCACACGACGTGTTTCCACAAGTGACGTTCTCCTCCGGCTCAAATGTATATTTAAATAAACTTCAAAGGCGTCCGTATGTAAATTAAAACTCATATATATGAATAATTCACGCTCGCTGTTAATCTAGTTGTTTCATAAATGTCTCCAATGAGATGAAAGAACATGCCTTGAAAGAATAAATATCTCGTTATATTTATTTTCTTTTCATTAGAAAAACCATTCTTATTTACAAGAAGAAAATAGAAATAAGATTACTATTGCTTTTCATAACAAAGAATCAGATCTTCATCTGTTCCGAATGCTCGGCGTGCTTGATCGAAATTTTCTCTCGTTGTTGTGCAAAACCCATCTGTTTTACCGGGATCAGCATAACGAATGAATTCATTCGTTTCATCTTCGATGAAACCAATCAAAAGTACATAATGACCTTGATAAGATGAAGATATCATTGGCAGAAGTTTATCAACAAATCGAGTCCAAGTCGTGCTCTGACATGTGCAACATTGCAATTGATTTGCATCGATTAAAACTAGACAAGGTGTGCGGTATTTCACTAGATGTTCTTTCAATGCTGACCATGGAAGACAACCGAGTTTAACATTTGCTGCTTCGTCTTTAAACAGCTGATCCACACGCCTGCGATCTTTGTCAATTAGTTTTTCATAATAAGGAATATTATCATAAGATTGTGAGCAACCAATTGTGATTGTGTGTAAAATTGCAGAAATATTCGATTGATGAAGTAGATGAAGTAGATCGATTGTCCACGTACTGTGATTACACTCATAATTGTCTAGTAAAGTCTTGAACTTTGATCGATCATAATGATAATAGTCGATGATCATCTGTAAACATACCACTCCGCAGTCCCAGTTGGAGTTTTGTTTGAAGTGTGTCACAGGTAAAACAAGATTCATTATCTTGAAGAGAGAAAATCATTATGAGTGCACCGTTGAAGATCAAGTGTATTCTTTCACTTTTCACTACCAAACATCCGTAATGCTGTGAGCGTCGTCGCTAGGTGCTTCCATCATATGTCAATATTCAGACACGTACTGTGCACTGGCATACAAGGAGAAAAAAAAACAAAGAGAAAAGAGAAGAGAAAAAAGAAAACTGAGAACAGGAGATGTGTATGTGATGAGAAATAAATCAAAATTTTTAAGTAACAAGCAACGATAGTAGAAGAAGAGAGAAAACGAAGAAAAAAAAAACGAAGAAATTTGATTCAACTTAACAACATCTCAGCATCATTCAAGCCAACGGCACAATTGAATCAGACAAATTAGTAAAAAACTCATATCTCAATGGCTGACCGTCGTTCTACAGTTCAAACTGAACCACGGGGTGTGAATACTATCAAAACAATTCCACCAACAAATAATCCGGACACTCATACGTCAGCGATAGCAGCAACAGCTGCAGCGACTGCTCTACCTGAACATCGTCAATCGGTCTTTCGACGGTTATCAATGTCGATGGGAAGTCGCAAATCATCGATGCTTCCTGCATCCAATCATCCTCGCCCGAACACGTATCGACTGGAGCCAGATAATGAATATCGCTTTCGTCCGTATCGAATTCAACCAAAGGTTTTGGAAATTCTAAGCGATCGTATGAAGGATAAAACATATTCGAAAGAGACTGGAAGCGACTTAGTCAAAGAAATCACAAGAAGTGTACATCAACTAATGAAGAATTTTCAAATTCCACGTTACAAAATCGTTGTTCAAACGGTGATTACACAAAAATTCGAGCAACTCTTACGTGTTGCATCAAGATCTTTATGGAATCCGAAAACTGATAACATGATTTCGGTCAATTATGAAACAAAAGATATGGTAGCTGTTGTAACTGTCTACGGTGTTTATTTTGAGTGAATGAAATATAAAAAACGAAGTGACAGTAGACGTAAAAAATTTTTCCTATGGTTTATTCATTTAGCTATTCAGAAAATAATCATCGATGAGGTCGCTCATAGTTTTATACCATGAAATAAAAACCATCGGCTTTAATTGTTACTATTTCTCTCCGTTTTTTTTCTGTTTTAAGAATGCTATATCTCAGGAAGACATAGAGATAAGATCGACTGCTTTTGTCATCCGAGATGCTATCAATAAATGTATGTTTGAGACAAACTGCAACACTCCGTCGCTGATGACAAGCACGAATTCGTGATAGATAGAAAACATTCCGTATGTAATTGACAAGTCCAAAGTATTTCTTTCAATCATCCGATTATCAAACCAATTATCTGCGAAGGGAAATAAATACTGCTTTTCCTGTATGGAAGAAGTATACAGTTCTTCGTTGAATGCAAATATAGAACCATGTTACGATTCTCGAGACTAATCTATTTTATCTTTCTTTTATGCATCACGTTGATGTGTGTTAACAGTAATGGGTAAGTGAACTTGAATTGGATTTGATCTCATTTCAACAAATTCCCATTGTTTTTTTGCCTTGTGTAGTATCGGCAACTGTGAATGTCATAATTCATATAAATGGACCCGAGATTGTTGTGGACCTACCGGTGGTTACTTCTTTTATCGTAAATGTTACAATACATTTGGATTGTCATTCATTCAATGTTGTCGATATGCTGAATTGCATGGACGATGTGTCGCTTAGCTACTTTACATGTTTCGCGTGTGTTTTCGAAATAAATGGAATTCAAAAATTCGTTCGTATTCGAAAGAACGATGTCAACATACTGTAATCACTCTCGTCATGTTCAATAGAAGACAGAGAGAGAGAGATTTATCTCGTCATGATTTTCTTACTAATCGAGGTATTGCATGTCTAGTACATACTACGCTGAGCAATGAATATCCTAGATGTTTTACTGTAACAAAAAATGATATTTATATAGTCTACTTATGCAATCAAGACTGATGCAGCTCATCCCTTTTCCTTTCATTGGTCTTATGTTATGCACAATGGCTATTTCTGACTAATTCGAATTTGAGTATTTTTGTTTGTGAAGAGTGTTGAATGATCTACTAGATAAAACTTTTTCTATGTGTAGTCGTCGTTGCAATGACAGTCGAGGTTTTCTGCAAGGTGAATTTCTCCGATGCTGCGAATCCTTCAGCCAAAGAGGTGTTTGCTGCACCTAATGTGAACAGAGAGTAAATTTCTTTTTTAATCTTACAATTTTTGTCTCGAATATTTTGTTATATACTAAATTTGATTATGAAAATTCAAAATAGAATTTATGTATTATTGAGAGTGTCTGACGTTTTGTTAGAATAGGCATCATTCAAAGGAATATGAACTGTGCGCTTTGCATGTATTTGGTTCTGAATCGTATTGAAAAAATATATCAATCGCCTGTTACAATGATACAACTATAAGGACAAGGTGAAAACAAATCAGTACAGAGAAAACAATCATTTTCTCAGTTTCGAATAAGATTTCACAGTTGTTGTCGTGTTATTCATCTGTACGACTGATGAGCTTGCAAAACTTGCACGTCTCATCTTAACAAGGCCTTGTGTTGTTCCACTAATCAATACTTTCGAAGATAGATCTTTTCTTGTACTCATTGATTGTAATGGTGAATCTGAAATAGACGATTGTTTGGTACGCTCAATCGTCACTGGTGTTGTAACTGAACGTGATAGTTTCGGTGGTGGCATTCGTTCGTTCACTTGATCAAAAACTTTAGCGGTTGAAAAACGTTCCTCGGTGGAGATAGTAGCGTCACGAAGAATACTTGCAGCAACATCGGTTTCTGTTTTCACTTCTGGATTATTAAGTAACTCGGTTGGATTCAGCAATGGAGTTAAACCACGTAATGCGAGAATATTTTCACTCATTTCACGTAAGGTTTTATAAGTTTTAGCAATTTTAGCTAATGCACGTATTTTGATTCGTAGTTGTTCTTTTCGTAACTCACGATTATTACGTTGAATTAACGAATTAATTTGTTCATCAGGCTCAGCTAATTCTTCATCTGTACATATATTTAATATACATAACAAAGCACCTGTTACTTTTTCACCCACAAATGGTAATGACCAAGAGAAAACATCCATGAAATTCGGCAACCAGTAAGGATGTGGAGAACTATTGAATTGTCGAATATTTAAAACGTTGTTTTCATACTTCATAATCGCGGCTTTATTGTGATAAGCATCCAAATAGTTTGGTGCCGAGAAGATGGTTATCAAGGATGGAAAGCCAGTTTCTGCTGATTTTCGATACATGCGATAGCCGACGTCTTGAGCTTCATGGGCACGAATAATCGAAAGGATTTCATTTCGTACTAAGAATTCGTTAACTGCTGCGTAAGTATAAAAATACGAACAGCCACGTGTTGTATTATGCAAATAGAGGTGTTCATTGGGCGATGGAAGAGCTGGTTGAGTCATGAGACTCGGTGGTAGATCATCAAGCGGAAGACTCGAACGACGTTGTGGTATAGGACTTGTATTATCTTTATCGCTATCATAATCTTGAACAGGATCAGACCATAACAGATCACACAAAGCACCATACGGCGGAGGTTCTTGAAATCGATCCAGCTGAAGAGAAGAAAAGCATAAATTTGTCTTCAGTTATGTTCTATTCGACTTACTTGTCGTATATCATCTAATGTGGAAATTTCAGGTGAGATTCCTCCATGGACACATAAGAATTGCTTGTTCATTAATGCTGCTATTGGTAAACAATCAAACGCAAGCATACAAGCATCATAAATATCTTCTGTGTATTTGACAAGACATTCTTGTTTGAAACTAAACTCAACTGAAATCGTCGTAAAATTAAATGAATTTATCAACTTACGTAAAATATTCTGTTAAATGTCGACATTCATGATTTCCTCGAAGAAGGAAAAACGTATCTGGATAATGTATTTTCAATGCCCATAAATATAGAACACTAAACAAACAACAATATCTTCATTATTAACGAAACTAAACAAAATGCTTACCATTCTATTCCAAAATATCCCCGATCGACATAGTCACCAAGAAACAGGTACGATGTCGTCGCTGGTGACCCGCCAACATCAAACAATCTATGCACATACGGATAAACATACAAGAATAGGAAACTTTTCAAGCTATTTACTTGAATAAATCATATAACTGTCCATGAATATCACCACAAATTGTCAATGGTGCCGTAACAGTAAGCATAGTATCTTCATCACGTAGAATTGCAGCACCTAAACAAGGATAGTTATTGTTATTTAACATGTCACGATGCTATTGCTGATAAGGGTAAGTAAATACAATTGTAAACTAATAAGTTAATCGATTAGTAAACTCATTAATCTAGTTTTTCTTCGCGTTTCCTTTTGTCGAGCATTGAGAAAAGCCAGACATAGAGGAATGATTTTTATTACGATTTGTTTATATCCCGACAAGAATATATTGACGAATGTTTGACAATTAGAAAGAGAGCAAAAGATAGTTTTACTATACCAGTTTCAATAATTCGAAGTGCCGCTTGTTCGGTGAGACGACCTTCGAGTAAAAGATGTTCCTTGAGTATATCTAAATCTGGCTTGTCGTCGGGATCGGTTGAATTATGGTAAATGTCATCAATGGCAAGACGATGTATCGGTGGTATACGAACTGTTTGACAATTTCGTTCTTTTGTACTATAATTGGAAGTTTTTGTTGCCGTGGCTGCTGTTGATGCTGATGAGGAGGATGGTGACGACGAGGCGTCCGAAATCGTATCACTACTTGTCATTTAGAAAATGTAACTTTCATTATTCTGAAACAAAATCATTTTGCATTTAGAAACTATAAATGGATGCATCAGTAATGTTCTTTTAGTACTCAACAGTCTTATACATTCATTTCTCACCTGAATGAATAACAATCTACAAGTTGATGTAAGAGTAATGTGACACAACGCAGGATATGTTTTATATGTGTAAGCGTTCTTTCTTTGTCATTAGATATATATGCGTACATACACTTTGATGATGCGAAAAGGAAAAGAAGAAAGAAAACACAAAAATGATTACTGACGATATTTTCTTACGATGATTTGACTTGGAGAACAAATGTGCTCTAACTATTTTCTCTAGATATGTATACGTATGTGTATATTTCTGTTTGTTTGAAGTTGTTTGACATCTTTAACGCAGAAGGATATCATGAAAACGCAGTTACTCTCGATGATGATGAGACTAATGTGACACGTATTATTGTCATCGAGAGATATGCACGTTTTGTCTGTTGTTGGTTTTTCCTCGCCTGTTGCTCCTTTCATTTGTCATAGATAAGAAAAATCGATCAATAGATGTATGTGAATTTACATTTCTCGCTTGTCTCAAACCGAATCGACGAGATAAGTCTCGACATGTACATACGTATATTAGAGTTCTAAACTGATTGACATTTATGTGCATGATGATAGACCAACAACAGCAACAACAACAACAACAACAACAACAGCGATAAAAATAACAACCGATATCAAGTAGTTTTTCATCTGTGAAGATGTCAAGCAAAATCGATTGACGGAAAAGGAGCGGAACGAGCTCCATTCTTCGTGTCGGATCAAACTATCCCGGAAGGGAAAGAACTGTTTCGTGCTAATTGATATATAATTAGATAACTTAGACAACATGAGGAGTTTTCCAAAGCATATTTCTATTCATTCGACCAACTGACGTTCGTACGTACCTCGACCTAACTTGCACGAATGTCACAAACAATTTTTATTTTAGGACGTAGGTGAAGAAACAAATGTCGCTTTTCAATTATCTGAATTGATTTTTGACAGTTAGTAATCCGAGAATAGAAATAATATTTGTTCTCATATCACAAAATGATTCTTTCAGATTTTGTCCGAAGATTGCTATTCAGATAGACTTGAATTTGTATCTTGACATCATAAAGTTATTGATTTCTCGTTTCGGAATGGCCAATTTAAGTGAGAGAAAGACAATTTTTTAATGAAGAATGCAGAACAAACATCAAAAATCATATGTCACTCAAATGTTTTGACCTTTATTCGATCTAATATTGATAATAAGAAAATATTTCGCAGGATAAATAATCTGATGTTTTACCTCGAGTGAGATTTTTGTTATTCCAATCAGCATCATCCTGGGAGATCTACTTAGAAACAGTGTGATTTGTCGGATAAGATATACTATAATTCACAGCATTGGCTTTATTTCAAGAAGCAATTTCATAGATAAAAACAACTGTCAGACAGTCTGCCGATCTAGTTTCAAAATAATAACAGATCATTGAAAGAGTCTTTTTATCTTTTGAGAAAAGTATAATTAATAAATAGGAACAGCAATGTACAAGATTTCAGAACATATGATTGTATCCGAGGACTTGTCATCTCTCACATCTGAGTTACATATGCGTAATTTTCTTCTCGTAAATTAACTACACAATTAATCTCACTAAAAGAAAATGTCATCGACAACGTGCCGATTGATAATTCATGAAACTTTGAAAGAGAATCGATGAATACCTGCTGACCTCCTCTTACGACTACTAGCGACATGTTTCTAGGCATATAGTGGCTGTTGTCCTGTGAAATAACATGACCGATGACTGCGAGTCGAATTGTTTAAATATTTTCTTCTTGTCTTGTAAACTTTCACTTCTGACATTATTCATCACTTGAACTCACGAAAATCCGATGGACAATTTCTTGATTTATGAAGAAATTTACAAACGTGATGCATGTATTGTTTACCGCGGTCGAATCAAACGTTCGATTGATTTTGTCATGATTTATTGCGTTGAAAAACACAAACGGCACGAACTCAGCAATCTTGTATGTATGATTAAACACATATCTCCAAGAATGGATTCGAAAATGTCTTCTAGGTTCGATTGATGTATGAACTTGATCATCCGAATATAATGAAATTTCGAGAATGGTATGAAACAACAAATCATCTTTGGCTCGTCATGGATCTATGTGATGGTATGAATGAAAAGTGAAAGTTTCATCCGATTTTTAATCTGATGTTTTGCACAAAAAAGGTGGATCACTGAAATCTATTGTTCAAGCCGATGGTGCTTTACCAGAAACATCCATACGTACGATTGGTGCAAATATTTGTCAAGGTTTATACCATCTTCATCAACAAGATATCCTCTTTTGTGATTTGAATCCTGATAAAGTATGACAAAACGAATGTTTGATTTGAAAGTAGACACATTTTCTGTAATCTGATTGCGTAGATTGTTTCTGACGGTTCGAATATGTTTAAATTGGCAAATATGACTCTCTCACGAATGAAAGGAGAGAATTTGCAAATGATTTTCGATGAAACTTATGATAATTATCTTGACGATGTTTACCGAGGAAAGGAACGACCAAAAGCTCAAGCTGGTAATATCTGCAAACTGAAAATCGAGCGTAGACGCAGAAAAATTCATTATATTCTAGACGCTGCCTTCTATACTGCACCGGAAGTTCTTCGTGGTGGAGAATATTCGATCAGTTCTGATCTATGGTCACTTGGTTGTGTCTTCTACGAAATGTGTGCAGGTATGATCGTTCTCTTGCTTTAGAAACTTTGAAGAGCATGAAAGTTGTAGGACGACAATTATACGACGAGAAAAATTCCACTAAATTAACACAAAAGATTCTCAATGATCGAATTGTTTTACCTACAACGAAGGGCTCAGCAAAATTATCCATTGAGTTTACCAGTTTATTGCAAGGTTTGCTGGTCAAAGAACCAGCGAAAAGGTAAAAGAAATAAACACATCATTTTACAGTATTGGATAGATATGATTTAGATTGGATTGGCCTGCAGTATTGACTCATCCGTTTTGGGCCGGTCAATTGAGTCATCTGGTTCGACCGCAAACAGGTGTAACTAAGAAAAGTGTTAACCGAACTGAAAATCATGGTATTAACTTTCTTTAATGAACTTTTTCGTCATTCATCTCGTCATTTAGATCGCGCGTCGGTTAATTCTCGGGTAGCAACTACTGATCGACCCGAATGCAATGTATCATTTAGTTTAAGGTAAGACGATTCAATGATTACACGAAAACAACGTAAATCAATGCTGAAATTTTTTCAGTTGTACGAAAACATCTGTTCAAATAGCGCAACCGAACAAAACCGATGAAACTACGAGTAGCAAATCGCGTCTCAACGATCATTCTTCGATAAGTACACATGAACAATCGACCGCATCTGGTAGCGAAAGCGTCGAACGTGTTCGAAAAATGCTTTTCTCCAAAGCTGAATTACAACCGACACCTATTGTCGAAAATCAGAAGATCCAAAAGACATTAGCATTTAAATATGAAAGCAAACTGCTCCCGTTTCAATTAGGCAAATGTAAGCTATCTCTATTTAAAGATTAGTTCTCTTCATCTTCTTCTTCTCCTCCACCTCCCTTGTTGAAGCAAAGTACCTTGACAGGAAGAAAGATTTACACTTCACATCTGACGTTAATCCTAAATATTAATAGTCATATATCTCATTTCCTTCCACGCTGTGAACTATGACATCATAGAATGTCGATTTCTATTCCTGTGTATATTTAGATGAGAATTTGAGTCGACTTTCGTCTGTTGATATGCAAGAGCACGCCAATATGATTAAAAAGGAACTGTCAATGACATCAGCCGGGTCTCCAACAAATCAAAATGGCATGCGTGTGAAATCCAATTTATTAAATTATATTGGTTCTACTTGCCTGGAACAGGCCAACTCGAATGTGTTTGCCGATGTTCTTATCAGCAAAGATGTATACAAAGATCTCTTGAATCTAATTACAAATGGTGGTTCAATGGAAATGTAAGTATAGTTTTCTATAGAGAATATTTTTATTCGAATTAAAGAGAAGAAATTCGCCTAATTAAATAATATTTTTCTGAACAATTAATCCTTATTTTCTCTGTCTCTATTGAATATTTGTTCCACAATGCTTTTATGATCAGCATCATCGTCATCGTCGTCATTAACGACGTCTCGGTCGTTGTTATCATCACCGCTACCACTGTCAATACTAATGTTGTCGTTCTCTTTGTCTTCGTTCTTGTTATCTAACTGAAAATCTTCGGACCGTTCATCTTCATTTTCTTTCTCTTCTTCAATGATTTCAGCAGTTTTCGGTACAGGTGACTTAGGCATTTTAGGCGATAGTGGTCGAACGTTTTCTAATCGAATAGAAGATCCCAATAATTGCCGTTGTGAATAATCTTGTGACGATTGTGGAATCGTCGTAAACATTGGTGTTGCCGCGTAGATCGGATCCGTTTGACTACGCGACATATTACAAAGAAATTTGTAACGTTCATAAGCTGGATTCATTGACGAACGGCGTTGTGGTGTTTGTCGAGGAGGAGGTAATGGTGATGCTCGTAAAGAGCAATTCGTTGAAGGAGCGGTAGCCAATTTATCCAAATCATAGAGTTCTAAGCGTTCCATTGAACGTCGACGAATTAGACGAGTCATGTTTTTCTTTCTAGAAAAAGGAAGAATACAACATATTCGATAATTAATTGTTGTTATTATTTATTTAGAAAAATGAAAGCAACTCGCGTCCTTGGAATTCTTTTCAATAAAGCGTCTGACAACGTACCACTTTCATCGTCACTTACGGATGTACGTATATGGAGAAAATTTTATTCTATAAACGCGTTTTACATCTATATATATATATATATATATATCGGACTATCATCATCATCATTTTTTTTCTCCTTCGATCGGCATCTCACGTCTGAATGCATGATTTGTCACGTGGAGTAAGACGATAAAGAAGGAGTGCCTGAAAGAGCAGAGAAAAAAAAAGAAGAAGAGGAGAGAAAAGGTCTATAGACGCCCTTGCGGAAACCAGCGAAGGCGGAAGAACAGAGAACAGAGAATATGCAAATACAATGTTGTGTCATTTACGTTACCGTAAAGACATTCTTACTGATAATCTAATTAAGAAAATAAGATCGTTAATTTCTTTATCTTCTTCTTGATGGTATATGTTTTTCTCTGTTAGGCTCTTGTGGCACTTACTGAAGCACTTCGCGCCAATAGTAAAGAGACAAAATTCAAATTATACTTGTCACAAGCGATCGGAGAGATCATAGTTTTCATCGCTGGACGAGTATGTTACCTCTTTCCTATTAATTATTATATTAATAAGGATATAAATGTACGTAGGCGTCAGACAATTCACTCGTGCCTGGTTTTACTTATCAAGCCATCGGTCGATGTCTTAAGGATGGTGTAAGTGAAATTAGTACAGGTTGTCTCTATGGGATCAGAATAAATAAATGTCTTTTCTTCAGGATGACACTGCCCTCAATCATGCAGCATGTAAAACAATTGAAAACCTTTTACTCGTGGCTGATAAACAAGCAGATAAATTAGCTACACCTGACATCGCTCTCGCTCTCTGGAACATTTCCAGTACAGTTGGTAATAATGAATATTTACGTGCTTGCGCACTGACTGTAAATATCATTCAAGTCCTTAATGCTTCTGTTTACCCCTTGCTTCTTCTTTGTATTTGTCTAGGCTCTCTGCCATATGGGTTTATCTTATCCAGATGTTGTTCAATCTGTCATTGATAAAGTGACAATTAAGGGCGATATATTCCAATCAACATCCTCGAAAGTTCTACAATGCAATATCGCACTTTTAGCTATATTAGCGAAACGAACGAAGAATCGTTCGATGTTAATACAAGTAAGCATAAACGATCTGTTTTATGCATTTCAATCAATACTCTTTAGACAAACTTTATAAAAGTTAATCGTTCTTTCCCTAATATTAACTACACACTCGCCCGTTTTCAGCTCTATCTCAGTTTCGAAGAATTCAGACGATGCTTTCTACTGATTCTCTTGTATTCTAGGATATAGTACCGAAAATGCATGTGCTCTATGAAAATACAAATGTTCTCATTCGTGCCAAAGCATACACGTTAACATATGTTATTCTATCAACGTATAGCGAAAGTCTTTTTACGTTAAGTGATACTAAGTAAGTATAACAAACCGAGTGTACTGATAAGCATGTATATTTGAATTCATCTAGGCTATTCCAAGCTATCGAACGTGATGTACGTCGAATGTCAGCTGATCCGGATGAGAATGACTTGCTGCATGAAGCATTAAATCGTTTAACTACGCTTCTTTCGAGTCTTCTAACTCGAACGTTAGGTAATTGATCTCTTCGACATTGAACATTTTTTGAAAATTGGATTTTAGATGAACTTCTATCATCAACTGAACAGACGCGAAAAGCTTCACCAGCAAAAGATGCATTCAAAAAATGGTTACCATCATTTCGACTGATCTCTAATATCATCGGAAATCCAGTAAGTTAAACTAATGAAATCCAATTAGCGTTTTTCTCTATCTACGATTTTTAGTGCATTCGTTCTCGAATTGTCACGTTGATGTCCATTAAGAAAATGTTCAAACTTTTTTCGAATATAAAACTCATTGCAGAATTACATAGCGAACAGACTAAAGGTAGAAATTGTTTCTAAAACTTTTTCAACAAACTAATTTGAGAGTTGCCATTTCAGGTCCATCATCGTTAACGGAAATTATTTCTTATACATCTCAAACGTTAGATGCATTCGTTCGAGCTCGCGATCTTCTGTCTCTGTTTAGCGAAATACTTCTCACTGACCTTCTTCCACTATGTTCTCAATTGCTCGTCTCAACAAATAACGTCGAGGAGTTTTCGCTTCTTGCTCTTTGTATTCTCAATGAATTGTTAACCGAACTGAAACTAGCTGATTGCGTTCTACCTGCACATATCCAACGAGATATTAAACAAGAACTACAACAAACATTCCTACCAATCATTTGCGATCGACATATACTCCGTGAGGAAGCTATTGCATTGCTTAGTTTACGTTTCATTCAAACAATCTGGATAACAATTGAACATACACCAGCATCGCTATCGATCCTATCTCAATCAAAACTTATTCCGAATCTGTTTACATTGATTGTACAGAATAAAGATAAGCCCACCGGCCCATTCGTTCAAGGTGTGGTTTCGTGTTTAACAACATTAGCAGATAAACGTGAAATGATTCAAACGATGATTGAACAAGGTTTAGTATCGATTCAATTACAATTAATACAAGATCAATTAACATTTTCAACAACGGATCGAACCATGTTGAACGTTCTCTTGGAATTGTTAACTTTACTTGACCGGGACTTGACTTATGTTTTAGATATTGTAAAACGCGCATTACAAGTAAAGATGATTCGAAATCAAATTCATCGTTAATTTTGTCTTTTGAAAATACGTTTAGATTAAGAAAACTGGTGCAGGTGATTCTGATTTACCATCATTTGCCGAGAAATTGTTACAAGCACACAAACCATTAGTGTCACTCGTTGGCTCAATGATTAACCTGGTACAGGATTTCGATGCGTTTGTTTTGTTTTTCATCACAATTATGCATTTTCATCCGTTTAGCTATCGCACGAAGAGCCTTCAATTGCAAACATCGCTTTGCATAATCTTTCGTTGTTAACTCAGTTGATTGGCAGTGAAGGCAAAGCGGTTTTGACGAAGAATCATTGCCATATATTGAGGTAAACAAATTGATGTGTTCACATAGCGAAGACTTGATTTGTCTCTGTCTTCGAATTAGTTCAATACTTCGAACAACAGATACCACGAAGCAAAAGTTACTTCTTCGTGCGTTGAAACGTTTGATTAATGGGGATAAACGAAGTCTAGAAATCGCACGGTCAAATATAAATAACGAACTCATCCAAACGCTACAACAACTGAAAAAGTCTGCAGCGTAAGTTGATGTTGTTCATCGTTTCAACGATTAATCTCTCGTTGAATATTTTAGAACGGAAGCCGATGCTGGTCTTATTTCACATATTGATGATCTATTACATTTACTCATGTAAAAAAAACCTAGTCCGTGTTTTTGTGTTGTTTATAAATAAATTTCATGTTTGCATAGCAAAGGTTTTCTCTCGAACATTGACTGTAAGACGCATCATTGGACATTCAACTGACCTGATCAGACACAGAGTGCTTCTGGAGACGATTATGTTTGACGCGATAAACATCAATCGATTATGATTCGAATGAATAGACTACTATGTCCATCTATCCGAATGAACAAAACATTTCTGTTAGATAGAAATGTCATCCAATCTGCTACTAGTTGAGTACGTGAGTCAGTCAGCGAGTATTTCAGTGACGTACTTGTGGTTGTCAAAGGATAAAGTGCAGAATGCCTCATGTAAAACTATCAGATGAGAATCAAAATTTAGAGCTTTATTACGAAGTACATGGATCTGGTGATACTAAAATTTTGTTTATTATGGGTTTACTGACTGAAGGAGCTGCTTGGGTTTTACAAGTAAAACAGTTCCTGAAATTCTATTCGCTTATACAGCAGAACTTGTATTTAGACTGACTTTTTCCGCAATCAACCTGACTATCAAGTAAGCTTTCAGATAAAATCACACTTCCATTACGTGTTAATTCTTTTTAGTGCGTTAGTTACGATAATCGCGGCTGTGGACGTTCTTCTTCACCTGTTACTCTCAAATATACCACAACTCAGATGGCTAAAGATGCACTCGCCTTGATGGACCATCTGAAATGGACGCAATGTCATGTGGTTGGTGTTTCCATGGGGGGAATGATCGCTCTTGAATTTGCATTATTAGCACCAGAGAGAATTCTTTCCTTAACTTTATTGGCAACGCATGCCGGTGGCATTGCGGGGCGTGCACCATTTGTTGGCATTAAGCATATTCTTCGGTCATTGGTATTACGTGAAGAGCATCTACATATTGAAAACGCATTAGAGATGCTCTATGGACCGAAAACTTTAGCAAATCCAGAAAAACGAAAAGTTCGATCGATGAAAATCCTTCAAGAATTCCTTGTAGAAAATCACCTTTTCTCCTTAGATTTTCCATGATTATCATAGTGAACGATTTAAAAGCCGCATTCGACCTAAACTCATTGGAATTCTGGGACATCTATTTGCTGTTCAAAGACATTATGTTGGCTATGCAGATCTGCTAAAGATTCGCTATTCACCATTCAACTGTTTGATTATGGTTGGAACCGAAGATCGGCTCGTGCGAGAAGCTAACTCTTACTTAATTCGACAAGTTAGTGATGAACTTGTTATAATCTCATTTTGTTTTGCTTTTCTATATTAATTGTAGACTCTTGGCTGTCGTCTAGTAAAACTTGAACATGCTGGACACGCATTACCAGCTGAATGTACAAAAGAAATCAATGAAGAATTATTTGGTAAGAATGAATAAGTTGGAAAAGGTTTCGAATTCGAATTTTCATTGCATAGATTTGTACGAATCCATTCGACAAGGTTATTCATCAAAATCCAAACGCCCATCACCGGAAGAATACCAAACAGAAATCAAAGCACTCGAACAATGCTGTCAACACCGAACACACTGCTTAGTCTATGATATCACTGGTTTTATAAAAGTAAGTCGACTTTGTCTTTGATTACTTTCGAAACATCGTGCATTTGTTTGGATTCTAGGGCATGTTTTTCGGGTTAATGCTCTACATTCTTTTCAGTATGATCGGTTTGACCAAAGGACAATTAGGTGGATATCACTTGACCTGCGAAAGTGTGATACTGCTCGGATGTTTGAAGTAAACTTGACTTCTATTGCTTCTATGATTCGATTCCTAAGATGTTTTTGCTCTAGTGGACTTCGTCGTTCGATCAAATGTATTTATCACGCGTTCAATGCTCGACGATATGTTCAAGAACATCGAATCATACTTGATCAAGCTGCGCATCATGGTGGTATTGGTGTTGGCTTACCTGACGAATCAAAAAATGGCATACCACATGGTTGTGGCTTTGAATTGCCTATTCATTCAATAATGTTTATGATTGGTCTCATTGGTTTGCTTTACACAACGCATTTTTACGAACAAAATACGATTTAGTTTATTCACTTGATTTTTATACAATTCGAGATAATTCCGCAAATAATTTCAGTTATTTTTTATGTGATAATAAAAAGACAACGATCAGATGCTCTCATTAGAACCGTCGTTTTTTTATTCAACGTGTCAAGTCAAAGAAAACTCTGCTCGAGTTATGCCGATATAAAAATAGAATATAATTGACTTTATTTGGATTTTGGAACGAACGCATTCGATCTTATTAATTCTAAATAGAATCATGAGAATACTTACCTCAGCTATTACGAGTATTATTAACTATTGTTTATACTCGTATACTACATAAGTACTCTATTCAAGTTGAATACACCTTTTTCTTTAAAGAATAAGTTTTGAACTATAGCCTTGCGTTTATTCAATATTGATATATTCGCTTCAAATCGAATTAGATTATTCTCTATTTGTCTGTGCAGGAAGATAATAAATTCTTTTGTTGTTTTAAGTAAATACTTTGACAATTGTAGTCAACAAATAAATCTTCAATCCCACCTATTTTCGACGGTTAACAATAGAAATTTCCCCGGTGATTAGTTAATGTTTTTTTCTTCTTCTCTCTCTCTCTCTCTCCCTTTCCATTCCAGAATGAATTCAAGAATGACTGTCAAAATGTCGACATTTTTTGTTCTTCTGTATGTTTTCAAGGAATGCATTTTATCTCCATGAATATCTTATTTTGCTTTGTTCTGTTCTTTTTTCTCTTTACTCTCATGTTAGAAACCTCTAAAGAAAACGATATAGAATTTGCCATGATACGAACGTGAGTTAGACAATTTCAAACGGAGAAAAGAACTGAAACACAAGGCAACATTCGAAGGTAAAATCTAGAAAGAAAACGACAAAGCAAGTGAGACTACCTCACTTTTTTTTGCATTTTTTCCTTCCTTTTTTCCTCTCTCTCCATCACCATCTATTACGGTAAGGATGTTTAAACTAGGTGAACATATCGACAGTCTTTTTTGACATTGGGATACATTTTTTTTCGTCGATAAATGATGCAACTTGTCAATACGAATGACAAATTACTTGTCTCATTAGAAATGTATACCTATCAAACTTCCTTCTCAATTAACGCATACAGTGCAAAAGAAAATAATGAATACCAATCGATGAGACCTTAGCCGCTGAATAAGATATCTAATGATCACTGATCAGAATAGAATAGGTTAATCAAGTCGATGAGATATTCATTGAGACAACAATGATTTTAAGGACATATTTTTATCAAACGAAAAAAAAAACTGATACGAATGGAGAGTGTTAAAGACTAATTTGCACGGAAAGAAAAGCTTGATCATGTTAAAATCATATTTCTGTATGATTTTTGTCTACAATCTATGCATGATATTTATTATGCTATACCTTTGCATATATGTAATATTCACGTTTTTTGTTTATTTATACTTTAGTCGTGTTTTTCTTGAAAAGAAAAAAAAACTTAAATTAAATAACAAGCCAATGACACAATCAACAACCGATCTTTATACGTCTAATATGACCAATGATGAGATTGAATTGTTAAAGCGACTTGAAGACGAGAATCGGTAATAAAATCTTCTCATTGATTGATTCGTTTCTTTTTATTTACATCTACTCAAATATCCACTGAATTCTATCGGTTTTTTTTTCTCTTTCGAAAGACGCATCGAATATGATCTGAAATCACCGGCAAGTGCAATTCATAATCCGATTGTCAACAAACGTTCGCCTGAATTACATCATAAACAAGGCCGAGCTGATTCAATATCCAGCGATGTGAGCAATTTAACAATTGATAGTGACGGTAGACACGAAAAACTGTTTCTTATTTGCTTTCGATGAAAATATTGCTTTAAGGTAATTTTGAAAACGAATGGATCGTATGGAAGAAGATTGTCAACAATTGGTCGATGTATCGAAAGAAAAATCTGACCTGGATTCGAGTAAATAAGCTCTTTTTCTGTTCGTATTACAGACAAAAAGCACCGTTGGATTTTGAAGGATGTTATTCGATTTGGCGTACCGATTCATTTTCGTTCGTTACTTTGGCAATCGATCACCAATGTTGAAACATCAGATGTCAAAGATAAATACGCCGAGTTTATGAAAATGACATCACCATGTGAAAAAGTTATTCGAAGAGATATATCACGTACCTATCCTCAATATGACTTTTTCAAAGAAAAACATGGTCTAGGTCAAGAAAGTTTATTCAATGTGATTAAGGTTAGACGAGCGAGGCTTCGTCATGCATGAATAAGATACTCATTGACGACTTTCTAGGCTTACTCGTTGTACGATCGGGAAGTCGGTTATTGTCAAGGAATTGCTTTCATCGTTGGACTTCTACTTATGCACGTTAGTTGAAATGAAAAACATGTTTTAATTCTCAATTCTTTGTCTTTCGAAAAAAAAATCGCATATGTAGATGCCAGAAGAAGAAGCCTTTGCAGTTCTCGTTTCTATTATGCAAGATTATAAAATGCGTGATATGTATAAACCGGACATGTTCTATTTGGGTCTTTGTGTTTATCAACTTGAATGTTTAATTCAAGTACGTGTGGACTTCAAGTTGATCTGTTTTGGAAATTTGTCATTCATTTAGGAAAATCTTCCTGATCTTTATCGGCATTTTCGCTCAGAGAACATCCATACGTCCATGTTTGCCTCAAGCTGGTTCATCACTTTATTTAGTAATCAATTGCCATTGAATCTCGTCTGTCGGACGATGGACCTTTTTCTAAGTGAAGTACGACGGTTATTTAACGAATGTCTCAATTAGTTTGTTTTGTGTATATATGTACATAGGGTATGGAAGTGATCTTTCGTATTGGTTTCGCTCTACTTGAAATTCATCAAACTGAATTAATGCTTTTATCGATGGAAGATATACTTAAGGTAACCTTTTGAACATAGTTTTGAAAGAGAATGAAAGAAACTTATATATGCATACGTGCATGTCATAATCAATCGAACAGCGATCGTCATTTGTATATGTATAGTCTATCTTTTCATCGCTGCTCTTCTCTCTCTCTCTCTCTTCTTCTTTTCCTTCTTGCGTGAGGATGTAATAGATGATAGCAGGCTTTCGCGTCAGCTGTTTGTCATATCATTGTATGTATTCATTTCTTTTTTTTACACCTTTTCGCATGTAATGGCATTTTCTTTTTGCGAAAAGAAAAATTGAATTTGAAAAAAGTAGAACAAGTACCATCGAATCGTTCCGTGTTATATTATATCCATACGCATATACATACATATGCATATAATGTATTATATGTATACTCAATCAAGTCAGTTGTGTAAGTACGTATATGTTTCGATTCATTGATGTATAGAATATAAAAAAAAATGAGAGAGGAGGAAAAAACGAGAGAAGAGAAAGAAAATAAAATGACACCACCGCTGCTGCAACCATTGTGTGTTGTATGTGTGCACATATTTTGTTCTGTCCAAACGAGGTGGAGACATTTGCAACATAGCAAAAAAAAGACGAGTAAAGAAATAAGCATCCGTATCGATCTTTGCATCTCATCAACACAGACTGATTTATACGCATGGATCGTCGTTTACACGCTGTTCAAGATCGTCTAGCCGAACAGTGTGCGCAAACGTTCAAAACTGTTCAAGGTTCAGTTTCTGCTGTTACATCAGTAAGTTTTCTAACTAATTCTCGGACACGACCGGATGAAATGAGACCGCACCAATCATCTACACACATATTTACCTTTGAACTAAGTATCGAAAAAAGACATTTTATTTGCATAATAGTAACACACTCGCTTGATCCGTTAAGTAAGCAAGTCATTTAATAGTACATATACGTTCAGACTTACTATTTCGCATCGATGATTGTGTATAATATCGTTTCGCCTAACCTTGATGTCTACAAATAAGTCGCACGATTCATTCGATTAAATCCAATTCCACTGCTTACTCAATGAAATATTTGTTGATTTTATGTTTTAGTATTTTCAAAAAGACGTGCCTCTCAAGCATGAAACAGATCATGAATCATTACTTCAACGTGCATTTGCGCTACAATATAATGGGAAAAAAATGAAAAAGTATGTTTTGAAAAAGCAAACGAATCGATGTATGTTTCATTATGATTGAATCATTTTCGTTATTTTATAGATTAGAAAAAGAGTATACGGTTATTCGAAAAGAGGAACAAGAAGAACAAGTCGAAATACGTGTATGTATTTTATATCGATTACGATGTTTACCGCATATTGATATATTTCGTTTGATGATAGAAACTACGAAATGAAAATCGATTATTGAAACAACGAGTCGAAAATTTGGAGAAAGTAAAGAAGATCGTCTTGCAATGCTTGTGTCACTTGATTGTTTGATTTATTTTCAAAAGGAAAGTGAGACTCTTGCCAATCGATTGATAGAAGGTCAAGTACTGAATGCTCAGTATGCCGAAGAGTCGTATCAATTGAAACGAGAAAACAATAGTTTAAAAAAGCAACTCGAAGACTTGGATTGTATGTTTAAAAATACTCAAATAGATACCGATCAAACAGAAAACATCCATACATCCGATTTTATTGTTACATCGAACCATAACGAAGTAGAAGTCTTACGTGAAACAGTCAATCGATTAAGTACAGTAAGTAGACAACACGTGTTGGAATAACATACTCTGTTTTTGTTGTTATTCCAAAGGAAAATCGTCGCCTACAATCGACGCCGAATTCCGAGATCGCCGCACTACACGAGGAACTCACTCTAGTTAAAATGCGTGACGCTGAAGCACAAGTGAATTTAAATGAACTTCGTCAACGTATTGCCGATTTGAATCGTGAATGGCAACTACATGATAGTTTATGTAAAACAGCTCGTGAAACAGACAATAGTCCACGCGATGATACATATGATCTAATCGCACATGAATTAATCTCATTGAAAATGCGTGAAGCTCAAACTGATTGCGACAATAAATTGCTTTCGCAGAAGATTATGGATATCGAAACTCAAAAACAAGTTTTACATAACCAAATCAAACGACAGGATGAAGAATCTCAACGAATTCGATTGGAATTAGATGAATGTCGAATACGTGAGAATGAATTGCGTATCCAACTAGTGGAATTGAAGAATCAAATGAATGATGGACTACTAAGAGTAAAGCGATTGATTGAAATACGTTTAATCTTTCATGTTCTTGTTTAGCAAAAAGAAGATTCAATGATGTTGCGTATTCGCGAAGCAGAAAGTACTCAAACAATCGGTGATTTACGACAAAAGATTGCAGAACTCGAGGTTCAAGTAAGCAGGTTAAAGAATATCATCTACCCAAATATTTCTGTTTGCCAATTTAGAATCAAGAATTAATAACGCGTGGTCAAATTATGGATGATACCAACTTCCAAGATAAATTTGCTGAACTTCAAGATGAGGTTAGCGATTGTTAAATCAAACGATCTCTCGAAAAAAGACAACTTTACTTTGTTTACAGTCCCGAATAGACTCTTTAAAACGTAGTCATTCCTTACCTATAGGCTATTAAACTTGAAGTAAATATTCTAACCAGCAAAAAAAAACCTTTACGACCAAAAATGCTATATCGCTCATTAATTCAACTGATTGAATGCTCGCTTTCCAAGGCTAAACATATCTATTCATTTAGGTAATGGATCTTCGCTTAATTCAAAGTCTACAACGTCGACAATCATTATCTACTGATCCATTAACCCGATTAGACTATGAAGAAAGTGAAGACGAAAGTTTTCCATCATCTCCATTGACGCTATCCAATCCTGGTAGCCACTGTTTAAGTTCCTCATTGAATATCCATTCAAATTCATTCACTGAACCTAATCATCTTCGACAATCGACGTCATCCTCCGCGATCGATCACGGCAAAGCACCAAACCCAACTTCATCGACTGAACTTTCATCTTCACATCCGTCATCATCATTATCTACCGATTGAATAAAAAGTCGAATGAAATGGTGCTTTTTCCTTCCCTTCCGTGTTGTAAATAATCTTTCCTGTTCGTTATTTGCAATATGTATTTTAGTTTTGAAACAAAATGCCGGTTTCACGAGAATAAAAAAGCACATCACACGACACATTCCTTAGAAGTTACGTCCGGTTGGAGAAACATGTCGAACAATAAGCATTGCCGTCATATTCCACATATCGTTGGTTTCTTAACGACATCGAACAATGAGCACAGACGAAACATTCATTATGAAATGGATGATTTTGATACAGTACGCCTTCGCTTGCAATAGCCTATTAAATAAATGAAATCTTCTCGTTATTAACGTTGAATTTTTAACAGACAGCTTTCAAATAGATTTTTAGTTATTCTAGTTCGTCTTTTCTCTCTCAAATTTCTTTAATTAATATGCTGAAAAAGATAAATTCTATACTTTGTGACATTTGATACAATAAACCGCAACAAGATTCAAGTGACATGGAAGACAAAGATAATATTGATCTCGCCGTCGAAAATCGAGGTTAACCAGCGGTTTTTCACATTCATGACAGACAAAACACGATTGATGATAAAGATTTTGCTCAAATTCTGTACATTTATCACCTAGAAGATGAATATCGACGAATTTCAATTAAAAAAAAAACTTAATTTAATATCAACCGGGTTGTAATGGTTGATTACACCGATAACATCGTTGTGCAAACTCGGTAATAAAACAAGACCGACAATACAATTTGTTATTTCGATAAGCAAATTTATTTTTTATCAACGACTTTTTACATGTAGAACAATAAAAACACGAACGATGCCATGTTTTGTTTTGAAAAACATACCCCTAGAAGAGCGAATCAAGGTTAACGGCAATCATTTCTATTCTTTCTTGCCTGCATTTCAATACTAATGATTTCATGGCATTGAAAGCAGTGATTAGCATATTTCTCTTCGAAACATGTTAAACAAACAGCAAATCCATCTTTGATGACATATCGATGATCGGTTAAATTCTTTTCACAAAACCAACATAAAAACGAATTGGATTCATTTTTAGTCATTAAAACAAATGAACTTTCTGCGCGAAAAGATAAACAACTTTAGTTGCATGCTCTCTCTGCCATCGGTTATTATGAAATTGTTGTTGAACTCGACGAACATGACGATGAGAGAAAATCATCTCGGGTATTGTCTTTTGAGGACTTCGAAGAAAAGATTCACAGCATCTCCAAAGATGGGAAAGCACTATTTGGCACATATTTCCGGGATTCTAGTTATATCGACATACTCGCTGTGCTTATGTTCGCTTTCAACGACCAGATCAGGCTAAAGGAGTATTGAGAAACAGCTTGACACACCGGATAATTACAAATTTCATGGATGTAGTCATTCATGTCTCTCATAATAGGCCGTGCGAAATTCAATTGACAACGTTCCATTCGTTGAACTCATACGTTTCTTCATATTCAACGAGTTAACCATTGTAGACAGTACGAAGGAAAACATTATGTCAAATATTGCCCCAGAACTCGTATTGACAAGCCGATGGTTAAATATTATTGCTGGTATAGCATTATTTGCGTTCGGTCTTGTTGGTAATTGTTTTAATATATACATATTTACTCGACCAAGATTTCGTCGTGCTCCGTCGGTTCAATATTTATTAGCTGGTTCAATTGCAAATCTAATTCAACTTGGGCAAACTTTATTACCTCGAATACTGGGAGATGGATTTGGAATTCCAATTATTCAATCGAGTACAATCCATTGTCAAATTCGCTTGACGCTAGCAGCTGTCGCAACCTTATGTTCAATTTCTTATCCATGTTGGGCATCATTCGATCATGCGGTTAGCACATCGCAGTATGCTTCTACACGCCATTATTACACATCAAAACGATTTGTTTATTGTGCAATCTTCGGCACGGTCTTCTTCTGGTTTATTGTCTACGTTCCTAGCACTCTTCATATTCGAGCGACAAAAGAAGTATGCGCAGGATCCAATTATATCATTACTTGTATTTACTCGTATGGAATCTCTCCAGCTGCATACAGCATCTTACCAATAGCGCTCATTTGTTATCTCAATTATCGGATCGTTCGTAACCTTCAACAGATGAAAAGAGTAAATTCAATTGGAGTCAGGAATACACGTTTAGTTCGACAAGTTCGTCGAATGCTGATTCCTCAACTGATTGTACTGATCATATCAGGAATACCATTCAGTATCCAAACAATATATTCCGTAGGGACCATGGCAATGTCAAAAGATTCCGTTCGTCAAGCAGCAGAAGGTGTCATTCTCAATCTAGTCCGATTGTTGTTCTATTTGAACTACGTATGTTCATTCTATGTTTATATTGTCAAATCAAGTGAAATTCGACACGAATGCGGGAAAATGTTCGGAAAACGTTATCCAATTCTACCACAAGGAACAGTTATCAACGGCAATGAGAGATAGACGATTTTATAAGTTTTATTTTCTGCTTTACAAGATTGAACATAGAATAAATCTGCAAAGTTATGATAAAAGAAAACCTTGTAATGTATACGATATTCGTTAGTATCATAACGAAACCTGACGATCGCACCTTACTTCGTAATGAAAGAATAACTGCAATCTTTCTTCTGATGTAAGAGAACTCTGATTGAATTGTATTTAGATAAGAGTGTAGTGTAAATTCGATCACAACGAAGAAAAAAAAATAGGTGCATTTATTAATTTATATTAAACATGAATGTGAATGGAGAGATTCACGACAGACGAACAGAGTACAAACTGAATTTCATCGCTTTAAATGACTTGATTTATTGATTTTTCTGATTTATTCTGCAGTTTAGACAACATTCAAAAGATGGTTTGTCTTTTAATAATGCTTTTTACTTTTACGATTATAATCAGTAGCGTGAAATCCAAGATCTTCCCAATGAATTCGTTTGGCGCGTTGTGGTTGTTCGACTTGGCTCGGATCGTTCGGTATTAATACTTTTAAAGCGTCTGACACCATACTGGCTAATCGATCTCCACCTTGTTGTACTGGCGAATCAGCTAAAGCGTAAATTTAGATATCAAACACAAAGCAGATATCGTTTTTTTTTCTCTTACATAAATAGCTAGCAGCAGCTGAGCGTGGCAGAAAGAGTTCATTGTTGTTGCCTAATTCTGTTTGAGATGATTGATCAGCATAAAGCATAGGCAAGAAGAATAACGAGATTATAACGAAGGTGTTCATATTCAGTGAGGTATCTGTTGGATATCAATCTAAAAATGCATGAACAACGCGATTTGAGGGAAATAAATGAATGTATAGATAGAAATTGCGATTGAAGAAAGTATTTATAGTACCTAGTAGGTCTATTGTTGGCAGAACTTTTTTCTCAATTAAAATTTCGATGTTATATCCGGATTTATTGTTTTTCCGCATGACAGAAAATGAATCTTTTGATACTTCAATCAAATGCATGACATACTTAATCGATATGTGAGCAATAAAATAGTCAGCAGTCTTTTGTATTTTATCTCATTATTGAAATGAATTATAGTTGTTCGTTTAAGTGATGCTTAATAATTACGCGTCGATCATGACAAAATGCATAAGAAATAAGAATATCTTTTTCCTTTTCCGTACAGATGCATGAAAGAATATTTCCTATTTTAGATAAAATCGTAGTTTTCGTCTTTTCCTGGCATGCGTGTCGCCTAGTGACATCTATCTTCGAAAGCGATTAGATTTTCATTAATTGACAAGTAGAAAAGCCAATTACAGCCCAAATTCTTTTTTCTCCATAAAAAAATGTCAATGTCATTTGATTGGTGACAGACTTGTCAAAAAGAAAACTTCTCTATTGATCATTTACACAACGGATACATCGATCGAAATAAATCGAATCTATCACTTCGTTCAAGGTCATCGCCGTTTATCATGACAGATTACATACGAACATCTGCTCGAGAATTTTCAAATGTAAAGATAAACACTCTGTTCCGATTTTCACATTTCCTGCTCTCGTTTCAGCTTCAAGTTGGTTCACTCAACGATGGTGATAGTTTCGATACCGATCGTTTAAGTGGCTCAATGCAGTATGATGATGAAGACGAAGAGCAACAAGACGTTCATATAAACGATGATTTCGTTGAGCAGACCAGAGGACAGTCAACATCGAGAAACGATGACAGGAGGTCACGAAAAAAAGAAGTAAACACGAGCCGATGATGTTTTTGGTTTGATAGGGAGTGTTGTGCTTCTTTTCTTTTTCAGGAAGAAAATGAAAAACGTTTGCAACGCCAACGGGAAAAAGATGAAAAGAAAGTACGCAAACAAGAAGAGAAAGAACGTAAAAAAAGTCAAAGCCGAACACGATCCACCACTGAACGCAATTCGAATCCAAATAGATTTCAAACAAAAATCATTTTTCTCGACGGTTCGGAAGAATTTGTCGACATTGGAGTAAGTCAAACAAAAGCAAAGCCATGCATTATCGTGGCATTTTCTAGAAAGACGATATGGGTAAAGTCTTATTTACAAAAGCCTGTGAATTGATGCACTTGGAGGAGAAAGATTATTTTGGATTAACGTTTCTAAACAATGAAAAATGTCGAGTATGTGCACTGCCGTTTTCGCAGATCCTTCTAATAATGATCATGAAAATCTTTAGGCTTGGCTGGATAATGATAAACGCGTACGAAGTCAATTGAAAGGTCAGATAAGCAATCTTTATCATTCAGTCAGTCGAAATATCATCTTCCGTTTCAGGTGTGGAACCAATATTTTATTTAAAAGTGAAATTTTATCCACCGGAACCCGCGTTACTTCAAGAGGATCTAACCCGGTACGTGCATATATCGATCGGGGCGTTGAACTTTTCGCCGCCTGCTGAGTTCTCAATACGCCTACTCTTTTTCAAAAAGATGAAGAAGAATGCAAAGATTCTCATTAATAAATACGTGCTAGGCTCAGTAATTCTATGTTGTATATGAAACAAAAGAATCGACGCATTCTATTCTATTAGATAATCGAACCATTAGTTTTGCTCTTTTTACTATCAAAAACCAATCAGAATCGATGTAATATGTTTGTCGTGAAAACGATTAGATCGACGAAGAATAAATTATTTTATAGATCAAGTACACTCGAGATTAATCAAGTAGATGTTAACATAGATTCTGATAGGAAAAGCGAAAAGATAAACATTTCAAAGCGTGAAACAAATACTAATGAATTCCAAATAATTAAATATGAAAGAATTGAACAATTTGACTCTCTTTTCATAGATATCAATTATGTCTTCAAATACGGCAAGATATTCTTTCTGGAAGGTATGTTACCTACAGTCAAAAGCTCGCTTGTCAAAAAAAGCTTTTACATTGAATAGATTACCATGTTCATTCGTCACGTATGCTCTATTGGGTTCATATACTGCACAGGCAGAATTGGGCGATTTTAATGAATATGATCATGGTACAACTGTAGATTACTTGAGAGATCTGCCATTTGCACCTGTACCAGATGAAGAATTATTACGCCGTATACACGATCAGCATAAACGACATACGTATGTTGAATTTTGTTGACAACTGTTGAACATTAGTTTGAACTTTTGACTATTCATAGTGGACAACCACCAAGTGCAGCTGATTTACATTTTCTTGAAAATGCTAAGAAATTAGCAATGTATGGTGTTGATATCCATCCAGCACAGGTACGAGAGAAGAATTAGCTTGACACGCACGAAAAGTTTCTTTTTTGATGAACAGGATTCGGAAAATGTTGATATCAATATTGGTGTCTCTGCAAATGGTTTATTGATCTATCGTGATAAATTACGTATCAACCGTTTCGCTTGGCCAAAAATTCTGAAAATCTCTTATAAGCGACGATATTTTTTTATCAAACTTCGTCCAGGCGACGTTCGTATCCGTTCTCTAAAACCAATCATCAAATCTTAGTCCATACATGTCTTTTCTAGTTCGATCGATATGAGAGTACGATTGGTTTCAAATTACCTTCGTATCGTGCAGCTAAATCTCTATGGAAAATCGCTGTTGAACATCACGCTTTCTTTCGGTACAGGAAATTCTGCTGTCAAAACCGAACACTATCTGGTCTTTTTAGTCTTCGTCGACCAGAAGAACTACGCAAACGACCTATTCTTCCACGACTCAATTCAACCTTTCGTTATACAGGAACATATACGTACCATCAAGCTCGACAATTATTGCTCGATCGACCAAATCCAGATTTCGAACGGTCATTAAGTAAACGGATGACGAAGAGTCTCGATGTTTGTAAGTAAACTATGTTCTTTGGCTATTTTTGCATTTGACAACAACAAAAAATTTCGTTTAGTAAACAATTCTAATAGCACAGGTGATGATTTGTTTTACTTTCGAGTACTTTCTTCTTCTTGCTTATTCAACTCACTGACTGTTCACCATTGTTGATAGAAACAATTAGCAATCAAACTAATTTGTCACTCGATACTGTTTTCTCTTTAGCCGACGGCGAAGTTACACGTCCAAGTCGACCTATTGTTCAACGACCAATGCCACGACCGCAGAGTGTCGAACCATTCTTTGCGACTCATCAAGTGCAAATACCAGCTGTATGTGACTTTTTTCTTTCTATTCAGTTACTTTTTTTTATCTCTACGTTTTCTATATCAACAGATCTAGTTGTTCAGGTAATAGGCATGATGAAGGACAGAAAAAAAGCATCACCAAACACATTGAATTTCAGTTATTTTTTAATGATAAACATGCATGGATTGGCTGTTTGAAAAAAATTAACGCATGAAAGATAGATGATTGAATTCGAATTTTGTTTAGAACAACGAAGAAGAAGTACCACGGCGACCCATTCTGAAAGATCCTGAATATGCACATGTGAAAAAGAGACCAGATCGCGAGCCAATTCAACGACCGCCGGTAAAATTCTTTGTTCTATTCCTTCCCATTTGTCAATCATTCGAGACTTTTAAGATCATACCACCAAGAGCTCCACAGTTCTCGAAATTGCCCGTAGGTCACTGATTAGATCGCTATTAACCGCTGAGAGATCGTACTAATTAACTACATGGCAGAGACTGATTCTACGGGAGAACTTTCTAAAAATATTCCTTATCAGTTATTTAATTCTGTGATTTATTTGAATAATATTTAGGAAACGAAACCAAATCGACCACCACCTCTACCAGCTTATGTTAATGTTCCGGTAAATATTTACAGATGATTTTTGTACACTCATTGATTGATATTTCTTTTTCTAGCCTGAGCCACCAGCTCGTCCGCCTGCACCACGCGAACCATCACCAACGATGGATCCCGATGAAGTAAATTATATAGAATTGATCTTCTTCTTGAATGCTTATTTTGTTCTTATTATCTAGGCACTTCTTGCAGCTATTCGTCTAGCAACTGATCTGGATCCGAACAAGCAAGCCGACCAAGTAGTTATGAACAACAGTTAAATCACAATTTCAATCTTTTCTTTTCAAAATACGTAATTGATATCTTCTTATCGTTTTTCTCTATCTTTTTTCATGAATATGCAAGAACCAGAGCTTTTCTTTTCTTCGTACTATCAAATCTTGTGCACATAATCTAACTGTCATTTATATTCATATATTTAGATGTCAATAGTGCCTATGTGTATTTTTACAGTGCTTTTTTTAATCAAATTCGTACTCTGTGTCTTCTATGCTAGTTTTTCACCTGTTCTCTAAACGCTTACCTATTCTTTTTCTTTTTCATGTGATTGATTTTTTCATGAATATGTAGATAAAAATATATCATTTTGTTTTGATAATCACAAACATTTCGTTGAATACTACGGAAAAAAAACATCGCGAGATTGAACGGAGAAGTTAGTATTCGAATGTGCCATTCTCTTACTCATAAGAGAAGAAGAACACATATGAAGAAATTACAATTTGGATGACACACGTCGAATACTTTCTTCGATTTGCAGCACATCGTGATGGGTCGGCGGTAAAGCATGTCGATAGATGACTGCTGCTTTCTGAAGATAGGATAGTGCTTGTATATACGCTTCTCGATTCTCATACACATAACCCATATTTTCCAATGTCGACGCTATAGATGGATGTTGTGGTGGAAGAGATTTGGTTTTGATTTTTAACGATAGATTGTAATGTTCAATAGCTAGATCGTGATGGCCAAGACGTTCGTAAACTGCTCCAATATTGTTATGCGAACCGGCTAGATCGTGATTGTTTGCAGTGGGATGTTTGGCACGGATGGCTAATGCTCGTTGAAATGATTCGAGTGCTTCACCGTATTTCTTTTCGCGTTTGTAGACAACGCCCATATTATTGTAACATCCAGCAACATTGGGATGATTCTTTCCAAACGCTCGTTTCCATATATTCAATGCTTTATTGAATGCATCTAACGCTTTCTGATGATCACCTTTTTGCTGATAAACAATACCGATGCAATTGTAACTTTGTGCAATACTTGGATCGTTAGCTTTCATGATCTTCAATTTGATTTCTAGAGATTTATTCAACCATTCTAGACTGTTGTCGTAATCGCCTTTCATTTCTCCAATTCGACCAAGATGGTGATATGTTCGACTAATAATATCTTGATCATACGTTGAATCTTGTAACAACCGTTGATAACACTTTTCGGCGTCATCAACTTTGCCCATTCGTCGTAATGCATTACCAAACGAAAGAAGATTGATTTCCGTATCTGCATATTGATGTTTAATAGGGTCAAATATCGGTTTGAGATGATGATCATCATCGCTACATAAGATTAAATGTATAATCGAAATATGGCTTTTATTTCGATTGATACTATTTACACGAAAGATACTTCCCAAAGAAAACAGGATTTCTTCTTCATGTGCTGTAGTCCTATGCACAGCAATGTCCCCAAATGGTTTAATTTTTGCAAGACGTGGATCGGCATCGATTTTGAAAAGAATCTTTTTCGTGGTTTCATCATCTAGTTCATAATCATTGAAGTATTCTAATGCATTATCACGGCTTATAAATGCGGAAAAGAACCGATTAATTGAAATGTATTTTCCTATAGATCCTTCGAAGACGTCTAATTCATCGGCGGATATTAAATATGTTCGATAAACACGTTTGACTGATGACAATTGATATAGTTGTAGTTGGCGAATAAGATCATGAATGAAGAATTGGAGGATGTAGAGTAAATCGACATTAATTGTATTCAAAGATTTGTTTAATAATTGATAGAGAAATGAATCGAGACTGTACCACCATAGCGCATTCGATGGAAGGTAGTTGTGCTCGAATTCGTTCAAAATTTTCAACTGTTCGGCGTTGTCTCGATACTCAATTCTACATAAATCGATGAGTTCTTTTTTATTTTCCAGGATTTGTTCATTGGTTAGTTTGGTATTCAATAAAAATTGGATTATCAATTGTAAATGAAGGAAATGCGCGTTGGTATTCGACGGAGAATTATCCGTCCATTGGTTAGTATCGAAAATATTGATCTTCAGTGGTTCTTGTAACTTTTTTCGTTTGATATGATCGAGTTTCAATCGTGCTATAACTTCATTTACATCATTCTGAACGCATCTTATCTAAATGAGATGAAATGTCAAGAAATAAAGGTTTTCATAACAGAAAAATCTTCGCACTTTCTTGTATTGCTCAACCCATCCCAACGTTGTTTCGCTGTCGGATGAAATAATATAAATAGACGTAATACGTCGAAGATCATGTACACGTGAAGTGATTGGCAGAGCAAGTTTATCATCAGTTAATATAACAAGTCGATCATCTTTTGATAATGATCGAATGTATTGTTCACAATCATCGATATCATCGAATAGTTTTAAATAGTTTATTATCGAACGAAGTTGTTGTTGAATATCAGCATTTTCATGTTGATCATCGATTGGTGAATACAACCAAAGCAAGGCAAAGATTTCGAGATTTTCATCCATGGGGGATAAAAATGATGGCCGACCTGACGACTCACTGGACTCCATATTGTTTCAGCCAGCTAGATGGCGAGTTTATGCTCCTTTAGTTCTTAAGTTTATGCTTTATTTACCCCTATCATCAACGATTTGAAAAGTGCGTCTCTGTATGTGCACAAACCGGAACGATAATACAAATGAAAAAAGTGAAAAATGAGGATGATAAACAGTTTTTTTCCTTCCTGTGACAGAACGAAAAACTAATAGTAACTAGTTGACTACCTCAGGGGTGGATAATGACGTGATACGATAGGTGTGCGTATCGTCACAGATATCCATTTTTAAAATAGCTATCCGTTTGCTTAGGCAATGGGTGTATTATTGACAAGTCACATAATTATTCAGTCGAGCCAAATTGAGTATTGTTTTCTTTGATAGGAAAACAAAGATTGTTTATATAAGACAATAATCCCATCTTCAAGTCGAAATTCATTTCAATAAAAATACTCGATATTATTATTATTGAACAGTTACCAACTAGTTGAAGTATATACAGTTCTTTTCAACTATAGGGCACAATCGAATGCCTAAGGTTGTAAATGCAGATGTGTGCACCCGTTGCGTCGTTTACTTTGATCTTGTTTATTTTTGCCCATTCTTTTATTGAGATTGTACATTCGTCTATGATAAACAAAAGGCGTCTATATCTGTATGTGCATGTGTATATTCAACACATCTTTAACCATTTGTCATTTAGCTAGTGGTAGTCATTCAGAAAGTAGATTATGATTACGAAGATGATTATTTTTTTCTCTTTATTTTTCTTTTCATTTGCAGAAACATAGCAAAACACGCACAGATACAAATATTTGGAATGTATATATATATAATATAGTTGTTCGCTTGCAATTCCTACGAAGTTTTTGTATGAAAAAGATCTAAATCTTTCTTATTGTCATTTGTTAATGATGCGGTAGTTGATGCTGATGCGATTGTTTTGTCGAAAGTTTTGTTCATTTCAGTCAAGTAATTTTGTAAGGCGGACATGGCGCCAATGATAGCTGGTGTGCCGAAACCATGTGTAACTAACGAAAAATGTGTTAAATGCTTCTGTATAGAAACATCCAGAACAGGTGCTAAACGACTATTCGTTCCTAATGGCGAACGATCTTGAGAAATTAAGTCGGTGAACTCTTTTATTAATTGTCTAGAAAGAAACAAAGTTTGATTAAAAAAGTCCGAGGAATAAAACGAAAACTTTAGTTACTTGGCTGCGAGAATATTTTGTTTTCGTTTTGTGATACCAGCTGGTTCTTGTAGATGATGAGTAGCATGATATTGCCGATTGTTGTATTCAGCACATTGGCGCGCAGGAAACTCTTGATCACATACATAATGAAAATCGCGTGCTAAATGAGCAGCTTCACCTTCTACAAGTGATGTTAGTAATGTCACTGTTGCTGCTTTTCGTCTTCCAGCTGGAAGATTAACACCTATCTTCTCGAGTTTTTCACGTAAGATTCGACCGCCGTTCTTCGATTTTGCTCTGAAACAAATTCATCAACGTCACCAACAGAAAAGTAAATGAGAAAAACAATACCGTCGTAGTATTCCTCCAAGTAGCGACGCATTCAGACACTCCGGTGGCGAAAGACGTCTTTGAACTTCAGCGACACACACTTTATACTTAGAATTCGAGCTAAGTAGCGATAATCGGCCTGGAACACTGCAGAATACATCTGTTGGTGCTATAGGACCGTTGCCATTGCCTAGATTTAATTGAATACCTTCTTTCGAATCAATACGACGGGGATCTACAGATAAAAAAGTATGAACTTAATATTACTTTTTCCTCCTCGTATGCTTTAATAATTACCGCGTTGAAATGACGCACGGTAATGCTCTGACAGTCCCGAAGGACTATTGTCGTCAAGACCCGGAACCTGAAAAGAATTCAATTAGAGGATATGAAAATAAATTAGCTCAACGAACTCGGAACGCTGCTGCATTGCTAGGATCAGTACCTAATAAACCATTCCTATAGAGTTGTAAAGATTCTGGATCGAGTACCATGGCATGTCTTGTATAATATGAAGCAGCATATTCTGCATATGCGCCGTAAGGATTACTTAATGGTGCTGCTGTTTCATCGATAGCCGACGAGCGCATAAGAGAATTATAAGATTGTGCCGTTTGATTACCGGTAAATGGTGGTGATGATGATGAGGATACATAATCAAGATTATGTGCATGATTCGATTGAATTTGTTCAAAAGGGTGTTGATGATGGGAAACCGTTGGGAACGGGGGAGGAAAATATGGGGGCTGAAAATCAACAGTATTCGAAGTCGATGATATAGGAATCGACGATGTTGATACTTGAATATTTGCTCGATTTGCATTTGTCGAAGCACTTCCATAGTTATTTGATCGATCCTAGAATAAGTTTTATAGGTAGGAAACAAATCCAATGACATCCACCGGCGAAAATATTCTCTACTCAAAGATGACTTCGACATATTTGAAAATCAATATTATTTATTCATATACATACATCTACGATATCTGTATGTAATGGATAAAAATATTATTTTTCTCTTATCTTTTGTCTATGTATGCAGGACACTACCCGGTTCGATAGCAAGCCAATTTACCTGCCAGGAATTTTCGGCAAGATGATGATGATGATGAAGGTGATGAAATGACATGAGACGACCGCTTGCGGATGTGTTCGTACAATGTGTAATGCTGTGCAAACGCCGCTCGGCTCAAATCGGAGGCAGACAAGAAAAAGAGAAAGAGAGAGAGAGAGAGAGAGGAGAAAAGAAGTAATGTTGGAAGGAAAAATGGCTAATGGGGGTGCGATGAATGTATGGATAATGTTGTATGCCGTACCAGTTCCAATGTTTCTATTCGTCGTTATTGCTTCTACTGCCTTCAAGTAAAAAAAGCTGAGTATGATGGAAAGAAGAGAAAAAGAAAGCCAGAGAGAAGCAGCAAAAAAGAAAGAGAAACATGGAGAAAATCGACTTTTTCTTTCACGTTTTCTGCTACTACCGTTATATAAATAATAGTCAAGGCAAGATTATTCTTCTTTCGCGTACATTGTTTCATTGCACGACGATGACTATCGAGTTTTTTTTTCTTATTCTCTTTTTTTTCATTCATTCGGATTGGTTACAAAGCAAGAAAAGAAAACTATACTCAAATGCGGATTGGTCATGTCAATGGATGGATGAAAAAAGAAATAAGCATATATTAGGGCACAAAATACGAGTCAATCTTATTAATCCTTGTAGAAAGATTTCTTTCCAGAAAAAAAAGGGAAATGTGCAATAAACAAAAGAAAGTCCGTGCTTTTATTCTTAATTAGCAGATCGCGTTACTATTTCTTACAGAAAAAGAAAATAAACCAGATTGAATGATCGACAAATTAATCTTCAAGGAAAATAAAATTTGTCTAATTTTTTGAAACAATATAAAGCTCGAGGTAAAATACAGTTCCATTACGGAGAGATGCTAACCGGAGTCTACTGGTCATATCATTGATGGCGCTTGAGGGCAACGCCCGATATTATCATTACCACCACTACCATCATCATCATCATCTGCAGTCTTCACTGCTTAAATGGGTTATATCAACAAAACGCCCGAGCTGTATTCGTGCATTCGATTCGAAGTACTTGAACTAATAGAATGTTGATACAAGTGTTTAGCTTACCTGATCCGCCGGCGACAATGTCGGCAAATAGCTAACTTCTTTAAAACGTTAAAAATAAATTGAAACGCATTCGTTCGTTTCTTTTACTCATTTTCCACTTGACTTACCAATGACGAAAAGAAGAAGAAGAGAGAGAGAATATGTTCAAACATTTAGTGAGTAAGTAGGCGTAAAGAATTCAACATATTTTCTCATTTAGATCTTTCGATGTATGAGAACAAAATCAAACGTTGTTCTTTTCTTGTCATACAATAAGGTCAATGTAGTTATATTTCTATCTCATCATCGTCATCGTGATTACAATGACTTCTAGCTATAATTTCATTAACGGAACAGCATGTCCGCCTCTTTTTCTTTTGACGAGATATCATCATCCAAGAATCAAAGATTTAATGTAACCCCGAGGCTTCAAGAATGCAATAGGCTTCCTCGCTGCCTTTGACCGGCTGGAATAGTTCACACGGAAGCATATATTTGTATAAGTGAATGGCCAAGTATTCTGCACAATCAATCGAAATGCTGATCTTTAACAAAAGATTAAGCCGGTGATCAATATCAAGATAGAAAAGTCAACAAAGTTCACATCTGATAATGAATCTCATGTTAAGCGCCGATTTTCATATGATAATTAATGTGGATAAATACGTAGTGAAAATATGCATCATATACGAATTTTTGAGTGAGTCGTTTTTCTTACTGAAGCATCGATTGAAAGAGATAGATTTTCTCTTTCGAAGAAATGTTCGTGGGTCACGGGACGCACAACACAGAAAAGAAAGTTTATTCATTACCGTTATTCGACCAGTTACAGTTGAATTGGTAACCAGTCTTTTGGATTTTCTCTTCAAAATTCAATTCGTTTTCATATAGGTAGGCACTTTCATATTAGTGTTATTCAGCTTGTGGGGTGGATGCAGTACAAGAAACAGCCTTGTTCAAGGAGCATTCTGCAGTGGTTTGACATTGATGGTACTCCTAGCAAGTTTTGGTTAGTTCGTCTCTTTGTAGAAGAGAAATAGATGAAAATTTACTTTCTAGGTCATATTAGGTAAAGTTTCATAAAACGACTGCATGTGTTTTCGTGGTAAAGATCGTGCTTCACCTTTTTAGTGGTTCACATCTCAATCCATGTGTTACGCTAGGCGTATTTATTGCTGGAGAAGTTCGATATTATCTCGCTTTAGCGTATGTCGTAGTGCAAGTTATTGCAGGTAGATTTTTGTTTCAATAAAGTTTGTTTTTACTTAGTTAGCCATAGGTATCGGAGCAGCTGGATTAGTATGTTTATTAGTTTCATCACAAACGTATTCAGCATGTAGTGGTGGTACTACTTTATTGAACGAAGCCGAGAATATCGAATGGTGGCAGGTACGCCTATTGTAGTAACAAGGCGGAGAGGCATTGTCCAGTTGAAATCGTTTTCATCGATAGGGCTTAATCATGGAGTTTTTCATTACTTTTTCGTTGGTGACTGTCATTCTACTAGTGGCACTCGATACAAAATCTAAAACAGGTTTAGCATCGATGATAATTGGATTTACTTTAGCTGCTAATATTCTTGCTGCGTATGTAATAGACTATCTGGTTCGTCATAAAAAGCCATGCTTTTCCATAGAGGATCGTATACTGGTGCGAGTATGAATCCAGCTCGATCATTAGGTCCAGCTATCATAGCTAATAAGTGGACGAACCATTGGATCTATTGGGTTGGCCCTTTATTAGGTAGTGGTATGGCTGGACTTATGTATCGGTAAGATTTAATGACGTTCTATTGTAAAAGATCAGTTTTAATAACCATTCGTTTGATTAGCTTTATATGGGCACATGAGGATCGGCGATGGCCAAAGTCCGAACCAAAAAAAGTGAATGAAGCTTCTGTTGTACCATTTACAGTCTAGACTTCCGTAGAAAAAAACGTACGCCGGAGATAAGACAGTATTGAAGTTTTACCTATGAGATATCGTTTCTCGTAGTATTTCTTTATCAAAAAATAAATAAAAAACATTTCAACAACCATAAACGCTCGTTTAAATAATAAAAAAATACAAAATTTCCATTGGGTACTCTTATTTTGTTTGAATAATAATTGTCGAAAAGCCTTGCAAATTGACTTGTCCATTAGTTACAATTTGACTTTCGCTATTTGTAGAAAAAGTGATTTGACGATAATTGTCAGGGATCATCACTCGTTGTGTTCGGTGACCAAGATTATGTGCAATAAAGACAGACTTCGTATTATATTCTCGTTCATAAATACATAAGCAACGTATACGTGTGGAGACAGGTTTCAACGAACCGAAAAGTAACACATCGGATTGGCAGCGAATGTGAATCAGTTTTTTATAATGATTCACGAGTGAATTTGGATCACTTAATTGTTGGTCGAGTGGAGTACAACCATTGCTAACTTTTGTATACAATGGTTCTAGCCATGTTGTTTGTCCTTGAGTTTGAGTAGTAGACCAAAGGAAAGGTTCTCGGCGATATTTATCATGTGGTTTCATTCCTAACATACCAATTTCTTCCCCATAGTAAACAAAAGGTAGACCGGGTAATGTCAAAAGCAATGCTGCTGCTAATTTTGCTTTGGATACGTTATTACTCAACACTGACATGAGACGATTTTGATCATGATTCGATAGAAAAATCGCGTCGATCACTGACCGACTACTTTCTCTCGTATAAATGTTAGCTATTCGCTGATAAGCATTTAATAACGATGAACCGTTGCCTTCGTTTAATACACATGAGATTAATAGATCAGCTAATTCAAAATTAAATACAGAATCAAGTGAGCGAAGGTATGGTGCAATACGACTCGACAAATCCCAGACTTCACCGAGTAAATATACTGACGGATTGATCTGAGACAAAGCTTGACGAAATTTAGTCCACCACGATATATTCGACTTGAGATGAGGTGGTTTGTAGAAATACTTCGCTGCATCAAGACGAAATCCGTCGACACCAAGCTCAAGCCAGGTTTGACCGATACGACATATTTCATCTTGAACACGTTCGCAATCATAATTTAAATCCGGCATACGAGGATCGAATACGGCATAATATGTATTCGTATATAGTCTGTTCGATTGTGTAGAATTTGCTGAAGAGTCTTCATGTGTCAGTGACAATTTAGATGTAATTCGATCGTCTAAAACAATTGAATAATTCTGCACATTTTGATCAATATAAATGAAGCTAAATTGCTTTGTGTTTTACCTTGATCGAGATCAACAGGTGTTTTTGAACGCTTTTCGAATTCTTCCCAATCGAAATGTTCACTTTCGGGACCAACCTTATGCCACAATCCCGCTGCATTAACATCCGGCGTATCGAAAGCACGTAAACCTAACCTTTTCACACGTTCACTATCAGTCCATATATAATAATCTCGATAAGCATTCGTTGGATCCGATTGAGCTTGTCGAAACCATGGATGATCATAACTCGTATGATTAGCGACCAGATCGAGTATGACAAGTATATCGCGTTGATGACATTCGTTAACTAAATGACGAAAATCATCTAATGTTCCATAATCAGGATGAATATTGAGATAATCTTCGACATCATATTTGTGATAGGTTTTAGCAGGGTGAATAGGCATCAGCCATATTAATGTGATGCCTAGATCTGAAAGATAGTCTAGTTTTTGACGAAGTCCATTCAGATCTCCAATGCCGTCACCATTCGAATCGAAAAATGATTGCACAAAGATTTCATATCCAACGCCATGGAGACATCGTTGTACTTGTTCAGGTGTTAACGACATACAAGACTTGTCAGATGTTTTTGAACATGTGAAATTCCGTCGTTTGCGACAAAAATCGATGAATAACGTATTTATTACTACTCCTGATGAATTTAGCAACAGATCGTAATGGACCAGTTCTTGACTACTTCGAAAAGAGGTCGCTCAAGAACAGTACGAACAGGGTGCAATCAATCCTTGGGTGATATTTTTGGAATTTCTCTGGAACTCGGTTACGATAAATAAACTAACTATTCTATTCAAACGAGTTCGGTTCAGTACCTGAAATCACAGTTTTTCGTATGCTCAAGATTTCCATTTCAAAAATATCTACGTCCGATCTCGAAGATCAAGAGGAAGACATGAAACGCAGGACCTCATTGCTGACGAACATTCGAATAGGCATAATCCATCTCATCAAATATATTGATTCTAGTTGTATTTCAATCACAATGGTCATTTACCAAAAAAAAACAACATTGGTGTCCGACTATAATGTTTTCAATGTATAGTACTTCTCTAAATGAAATCTCTATGCCTATCTGTAAACAATTACTTTGCTTTCCAGAAGCCGACTACTATCCGAAATCTTTTGTACAAATGTACTTTCCCAGAAACACAATATCTCTTGAAAAATGTTCACTCTTTAACCTCAATGGCATTTATTCTGCACTTATTCAAACAAGGTTCATCGTTTATTCATTTAAATATTTATTTCCATTTTAAATGAACAACATTTACTTTCTTGTTTACAATCGCAATCTTTGCTCCTAACCGAAAGATTTCATCATTATTTAACAGTCGACATTGGCAGCAAACTGATCTTTGTAGTTTCCTCTTGGGTAATAATTGGCAACGAACAGTACTCCACCGTTAGTAACGTTGCATATACCTAAACCAAATTGTCGACTATTTTTCCAGACAACTTGAGTGAAATGTAAAGCTGTTTCAGGATTTGCTACACTATATTTCGATTTTTCGTTAAACCACGCAAATACTGGTGTAGCACCTGAAAAAAATTCGAAAACAAATACATTCATCTTGTCATTTTTCTCTACTCAACAAACCATTATCTTGATTGAAATCAAACGGACTTTTCTTGTAACTAGTTTCGCCGTATTCGATTGTTCCACTATGATTAAATTGACCCGTGCTAGCTGATTGATCGCACCATGCTTGTGCTCGTTGTTCGAGTGTAGCATTGTACTGTAATGGTTCTGCTTTACATTGTGCACGAAATAGATTATGTTGAGCTAGAGCTTCCTGTCGATATCGTTCTAATGGAAGACCTACAGTGGCAATCAAAACTGAAATTTTCGAAAAATTCTATCGATCAATTGATACTTTGAATCGGTTTGCATAAAATCACAATTAACAAATAGATAAAAACTACAGAAATATAGTTGAATGTTTGCATGTTCTATTATCGATCGAATCAGAACAGAATGGCAAATGCTTGTCTTGTATTTCACTATTGATATAAATACGCAGTCGAAATCGATCTGATATTCATTAAAATCCGAAAAAAAGGTCGGTACTGGTTAAGAATTAGATCATATTTGGATTTGATATTTTCGAACAAAATGACTTACAGATGTGCTCTGCATGTTATCGTGAATTTGATTATATAGATACGAAAATAGTTCTTTTTTTTATTAAATGAAATGGTGCATATGAAAATGTTTAAGTAGTTTCAGTAATAACAAAGTGTCACCTTTGTCAGATGTCTTATGCATGATGAATACCAGTGAGCAGCATCAAATGTTTCACTTGATCAATCAATAATCACTAGACCAATTCGATATTCACCTATTTTCTTTTACTAACCCGACTAGAAACGATACGTTCGATTCGAAAAGAAAATCAATCATTGCATAAGTATGTGTAAGCTAGTTGCTCTTAACATTTCATCATCGAAAGCTCGTTCAAGCATATCTAATCGAATCGGAAGATTATTTTAACATTCTCAATCGATATTCGAGGATCAGGTGTCACATTTTCTCTCGTCTAATCTTTCTTATTTATGTAGCAAATGTCAATAGAAACCTAACTAATGATCTTGTTCGACAAAGTCGAATGAAAAAAGAAACGGGCGGAGTTCAAACTTGCTCTAAGTCTGACTAAGTCACTTGAATAACAGATTAAAGAATAAACATATGAACAGTTCCCTCTTCATTATATTGAAATTGTTGTTTATACATTTGTTTTATTGACATAAGAGACCAATGAATATAAACGAAAATGAGATGTATCAATGTAATCTCCCTTGAGGCTCCAAAAAAAAGTAGAAGAAGAAGAAGAAGAAGAAATAATAATAATCAATCATCTTCATTCATGATTACTAACAGTCGTCATTGCTCTATTCCTACTCTTCAAACCAATTACAACAGCCTGAAGCTGTGTGTCCAAATGCAATTTGATTACAGCCATACATACATATCGTCACGTTCTCTGGCTCGCATCATCATCTTCATTTTATTCCTTTTTCTCCCTCTCTTCTTTTTTACAAGATCATCGACCATTGAATAGACCCGTAATTGGTGAGACGTTGAGCTCACTAATATGGACAGACAAACAACACATACACGCGTGTGTGTGTGTGTGTGTGTGCGTCCGGGCTTTATGATTATTCTATTATTCTTGTTCTTCATTGAAGAAGAAGAAAAAGAAGCTAAAAAAACTAGAGAACTGTAATTTCTTTGTCGATGCTAAATAAGTCGCTTCCGTTGCTGCCCGTCTTCGATGCTTACTTCCGTTCAACTCGTCGTCTTCATCATCTTATTCTTTTAGATTTTTTTATTCATAAACGAATTGTAATTTCTTCTCTCATCAAAAAAAGAATTCTGATCTGTACAACTTAAATGAAAAGAATAACATCGAAGAGCAAAAAGTAGAAATTCCATAACAATTGTTATTCTAATTGATCGAGAGCAAGATCTTTTAATCAGATTGAAATCCTATCAAGAAAAGAAAAAGGCGAAACGTTTTTCCTTGAACGATGTTATTGAAATCAATTGCAAATCAATGTATACATTCGATTATTCCACTTCGAATTTTTATTTTTCTTGTTGTATTAAGAAGAGAAGTACGATAAATGTAAACTTTTCTTCGAACACGTCCTCTCAATTGTTCTTGCTCTCTTTTTCTTTTGATTATATAAAGACCAATAGATGCATATTGTAATCGTTTTGTTGTTGGGTGCTGCTATTTTTTTCTCGCTTCCGAACGAGCAACAGAATAGAATAGGATGAAAGAGAAAGAAAAGAAAAAAGCGGAAGAGAAACGCCATGAATGGCCAATGACGATTTTTAATTTTCTTATTCTTTTTTCTTCTTGTTCGTTTGTATTCTTCAATTTGGATTGGAAGAAAAGAGAGAAAAGAACGAGTTGGGAGCCGTTGTTATTATTCTTATTGTTATTATTATTATTACTTGCTCATTCTCTCTTCCACTTGGTTGTCTCTATTTGAATAACACTTTCTTGAGCATTGACAAGAAGAGAGCTCGTCTCTCTCTCTCTTCTCCTTCTATTAGTGTGCACAGCACATAGTTCAAGTCATTATGTTTCGCTTTGTATATACATAGAGAGACCGTGGAAAAAAGAGAAAAAAAAACTAGTTTTTTTTTCTTCGCTTGTCGAATAATATAATAGGCTTTTATCAAGGCTTCTATTGTATATAAGATAAGAAAAACGCGTCTTCATTCAATATATGTTTCAGTATGATGTGTAAGTGTGAAAATCGATTCGAATGAAAACAAAAAGAAAACAAACTGAAACACCTTGATTCATCTCTGGTCTTTTTTCTTGTCTTTTAGCTAATCTATTTCATCCACATCCGATTATGAATATGGTAAACAAATCTTCGAATTCCAATCTACCATTGAATGAGCACATTAAACGGCCGATGAACGCATTTATGGTCTGGTCTCGTGGTCAACGACGGAAAATGGCTCAAGAAAATCCTAAAATGCACAATAGTGAGATCAGTCGTCGCTTAGGCATCGATTGGAAACTATTGAATGATGAACAAAAACGGCCATTCATTGATGAAGCAAAACGTTTACGTTCATTACATATGAAAGAGCATCCGGATTACAAATATCGTCCGCGACGCAAACCGAAATCTTTGATTAAGAAAGATCCATACCCATTCACATTTCCATCATTATCTACAACGAAAGATTGCCATGATTTAGCGAATTCAACAAGCATTCAACAACAGTTAAACGAATCTTTAGCACTTAATTTAGAAAAATGTCGATCGATTTTGTCACCGCAAACGAGCGCAAACTCAGCAGCGGCACTTTATCCATATCCACCTGGTAAACTAACAGATTTCTCACCGGCAACATTTGCTTATAATCCACTTGCTTACGCTGCGGCTCTCTCTAGCCATTATCCGTATAGTACCATGCTATCTGCTAGTCTAGCTGCAGCAGCTGTGGCTACATCTCCATCGTCAAGTGTGTCGTCGAATAACTCACTAAATGAACATCATTTTGGTCTTCACCGACCACAAGCACTTCTACCGACGAAGTTATCTTCAGACACGAATAATAATTTTGAACCACGTTTTTAAGTAATCATACTTGTCTTTTTCTATATTATATTATATATATATATATATAAACACATAAATATCTTCAAATTAAAGAACAATTCTTCTTCACATTGTCTCGGAATAGTTTGGGAGTAAAATAATGAAGCCGATAATAGAGGCTTGTTCATTTTATTCTTCACGGCACAGCAGGAGAGTTGCTATATCTTGTGAACGCACACACGATTTGCCTTTGAAAAGTTCATTTCTCTTTCTCTTCATCTCTCTGTTCTTATACTCCAGATGACCCGTTTTCTCAGCCATTGAGACACATGCTGTATGTCAATAGTTGAGACGATTGCGATAGATTAGAAACGATAATTTCAAGCAACACACATAAAGATACACATTCGATTTCTTTTTTGTCTCTTTAGTTGACTAGTGAAATGTATTTGATTTTCCCTTCTTCTTTCTTCTCCTTAGCGCAATCAATTGTTCAAAAGAATAGACTCAATATCTTGATCATTTCCGATCGGAATCGAAGTTTATTATATTTGTCATCATTTTCCAAGAAAGAATATGAAAACTAGTCTACATATCTCAATCAACATGTCTTTCGGCAAGACAACTTCTATTTTAAGCTTAAATGAGCAGAACAGAAAGGTAAGAAGTTGATGTCATTTGTTCATTTTTTCCCTTCTTCTTAATAATGACGTTACCATTGACTTCTAACGGAAAGAGAACAGGCGTATACGCATCCATCATTTCTTCATTTTAGTATCCATTATAAACAAGCAGGCAAATTCCGGAATATTGTGACAACATATGATTAACAAGAAACATCTTAGACTACTTTACACTCTTGTCTGGTTCAACTGTAAAAAAAAAGAAGAGAGATGAAATTCTATTCAATAGAAAACAACAATCATCAATTGTGTGCTCACCGAGTGTGTCTCTTATATTCAATAAGCCTTTTCTTTAGCTCTAATTGGTCTCATTTATGAATGCAAGTAAAAATGTGTATCGTTAAATAAGAGAGACAGAGAGAAGAAAAAACTGAGCAAAGAAATAGTTGTACATAAGCTTAATAGAAGACAAATTGAATTCAATTAGAAATTGCTGTGACATACTTACTCTATCTTAGTGTAGTGAACCCTCTGGCTAACCGACATCTATGCATCTCTCCCTCAAGATCAACAAACGAATCTGCCGCTCGATTACACACACTTGAACACTTGTCTATCATTCGTCGTCTTCTATATTTATATGCGACATATCCATTGCAATGATCAATTTAATACACTCGAAAAGAACAATAATAACAAATGTTCAACTAAATCACAAGAGACAGCAAACGAGAAGAAAAGGAACGGAAAAGACGATAGTTGTTTTTTCGAATTTATGTAAACAATCGAGCGGAATTCTTCGAGTAAACAGATTATCAATTCCCATAGAAGAAAAAAAATCCGCTCAACTAAATGCTATACATCCTCATTGAATAATACATAGTTTATTATGTTAATTTTTTCTTGTCACAATACAAAAATACGTATTCAAAAGAAAAATTATATATATATATAGCAGTAAAAGAGATTCGTTCATCGAAAATGCCATAGTTTACGTCATATGTTAGGTAACTTTGACAAGAACTGTGCCTGGCGCTTCGCCATGGTTTCGTTTCTTGGCATCGTCAACAACGTGACTGATGTTCTGTACGACTTTATTCAAATTACGTTCTCGCGTTCTTGGAGTTGTTTGTCTTCCCGAAACGAGATGTTCAGGTAACTCGACAACTATATTGTTTTTATTGGGCTTCGCTTCATAACTATTTGTTACTGTCGTAGGATAGACAATATTAGCAGGGCGTTGTCCTGACACGGCGTAGACCTGACCGGTTGGTTGAGCGTATTGTGCAGAATTGGGCGGTGGCATCAGTGCATACGCTTGACCACCGATACGTGGACGTTTGCCAAAGTAGGAAAAGAATCCGTCTTGTTGACCGAGGCAACATAACATAAAGAGCAAAAAAATGACTGTACCAACTGCTAGTAGAGTACCAATGACAATACCAGCTATTTTCAGACCAGCATTGGACGAAGGATCTAAATGTACCAACAATGAGATGAACACGCGTATTAATGATTTCATTTCGTCTTACATAAACCGAGATAGACTCCGCAAACGATGACACAGAAAACGGCAATGAAAAGAACGATCAGAGCGATAGTTATGATTAAACAGGTGTGTCTTTTCATATAGGTCAGAATTCTGTTCCAGACGGATGCGTTACCGTAACTGTCTGATGAACTATAACTCTACAATCGAGAAAAACAAACACATTTTTACTTCTTTACCCCTGTAGTTAAAGGCACAACGGTGTACACGTACGTAATTTCGTGAACCTATTGTATTTTAATAAGGAAAGAATCGATTATAAGAGGAAAAGTGAAATGAGCATCTTACTTGAGCTCTCTTCGCAACATCCACAGCAGCCTACATCATCATCAACATCTATAGCATTGAATCGTGAAAATGACATAAGATTTCTCGAAAAGATCTATTTTAACCTTGATATCGTTGGACTTTGGGAGCCGATTGTGTATAATATGTTTGTATTGGACTTGGTGAACGAGATCTTGGTCTTGTGTGAATGACCTGTTGGTAACGCTCAGGACTTAACACTTGAGTCGAGTTCTGAACTCCATTAGGACGTCGAACAAGAACAACACGTCGCGATGATCCCGGTACGTTTGCTTCCGATGAAACTATATCCGCTGAACGAATGACTGTTGGTTGACCGTACTCAGGCTCGTAGACCGGAGCATAAGCTGGATCACGTTCTTTCGGCGCAGAGCGATACACAACACGTCTACTATCGTTCATTTTTGTTGTTGCAGCCGAAGATAATAAATAACAATTTCAAATGCAGACTAATAGAAACGAAAAACATGCACACAAAACGTTCTCTTTTGTTTGTTGTCATTCACTTCAACGCCGTCAAGCAGACGCTACAATCATAGCATTTTTTTCTCAAATAGCAGCCATTAAACTCTGTGCTGGCACACGAAAAGGACACATTTTTGGAGGTAGACAGAGAATACAATTTGCTTTGCTTCATTTTACTCTAACGCTGGGCGTGTTTTTCTTCTTCTTATGCTTTTTTCAAAAATAACACAAACGTTTTTTAACGCTCAAGTTATAGAATGCTCGCCATAAAGAGTAGCACTTCAGTATGTGTTACTTACTCAGATACAGTTGTTGTGGCAAATCTTTATCGACATACCTAACATCTTGCCAGATAATAAGACAGACGGTTGTTCTGATTTTACGAAAAGGAAATCAATGGCGGCTGTTAAAAATCTTATTCGATTTCATAAATACTGCAACTATGAACAAAATCAATAGTGGGAAGCACAACTGAGTTTATATTTCGTGTTTACATTAGGAAGTAACAAAAACAAGCCATCACATTGGATGCTTTTTGGTAAAAGGAACGTTTCTTAACATGTTTTTACGGTGAAACAATAGGTAGAGCAAAAGATTCCCCAAAGTTTAAGAAGTGGGTCGTAGTAAGATTACAGATTGATTATTATTTGAGTCAAAAAGTAGATGAAGTTCAGTAGTTCGCTAGCTCGACATTGACCAAAAGATGAGCGTTCAATCCTAGTCTGAGTATGAGGCTGAAGCGGAACAAATCGACACATCAATTTATTTATAAAAGTTCAAAATAACACGAAATTCTGACAGTTTGTTTTCTCCATATAAACATTCATCATTGAGTTGTTGTCGTTGTTGCTTCTTCCTCTTCGGTTGGTACAATGGGTCGTCGAATAAAATAGATCGATTTATTCTAAAATAAAATCATACATGTGCGCTGTCAAGGGAGAGATGAATTACTCACTCCAGTACTGGTAGAAATAGGAATGGTCACTGTATCTTCTCTTCTTCCATCCATCGATCGATTTGAACGTTGACTATGTTGACTCGGGTTTTTGCTACGTACAACAATAACTCGTCGAGTAGCCGGTACGTCTGCGCGTGGTGTATCAACATTGACCAGTCGTTCTGGCGATGAGGGTGGATATTCTTCTCTTGTCGAGATTTGCGGTTCCATTCTTATTGGTATATGCTGTTCTTCTCTCACTGGTAATCGTGATTCAAAGCTTATTGGAATACGTTGCTCCCTTCTCACTGGTAAACGTGATTCTACGCTTATTGGTACTCGTCGTTCTTCTCTAACCAGAACTCGTGTTCGTTCTCTTGATGGTAATTGCAATTCATCCGTTAACGGTGATGGTGGTGGCGAAGGTGACCATGAATCTGTTTGGGGCGCTTTTGCAGTGACATGAGATCGTGATTGATTTAGGGGACTGACATAAGCAACAAGTTTTTTATTCGTTGATCGATGGACGAAACGTTTGGTGTCAACGAAATGACTCGAGGCCATTTATCTTATTAATTTTGAAACCCTCACGTTAACAGGAGTATATACTTGCTTTTTCGAATGTTGTTACTTACCTATTCCTCACTAAACGTGTGTTTTTCTTATTGCTTTTTATAGAGAACATTAAAAAACTTGTTAAAAAGCTACTCTTCTTGCTTTTTCAAATATCGAAAAGCAAACAAGTCGGTAGTCGTACAAAGCATTTTATTCATATTTATGTGATGAAGAACCGAAGCAAATTTATATTAACAAGAAACCCGAAATAAATCGTATTTCGTAAAACTTTTCTGTCTGATTTGTAACGAACATAAAGAAAACAAAAGAAAATGCACTATGCACTAGCAGTGGGTTTTTGAGAACATTTATTGTGCAGAAGAAAACAAAATAGAAATTTGCTAGTTTATTCATGAAATCGATGCAAAAAGCTGTTGTCGTAAGTTTATTCTTTTCACGGATTATTCTTGTATCGCAGATGGTTGTGTTTGTCGCTGAAAAAGAAAGTAGTCGAAAACTAAAATCATTGCATCCTAAGGCGCACATATTGTCAAGCATACATTACAGTATGTCTGGCAGTGTTTTTCGAAAGAAGTTTCAATCTTATTGCTGTTAGAATGACGAAAAATTTCTTTATTTCGTTTCTCTAATGACTCATAGTTTGCCCGAAGGTGTGGATCATTCGACTGGTGATTCTAAAAGAAACAATGAAAGTCGAATAGATGAGTGTATTGTGCATACCTTTGTCTGATATGATTTGAATTGAGGATCACCATATAGACTATGTGTGGAAATTACTTTTTGTTTATTTCTTAGACGCTTATTCGTATTTTGCATACACAATAAGAAGTGATATGAAAACAGTGACGCGCATTTCTGTTTTTCCTTAGCATGAAATCATGTCATAGATTTCTGTGTCTATGTTACAAGTATAGATTTCATGAAAACATATCTTCCCATCTATTGATTTAATGTAATTACTGTTGCTCATGATGTTAAAATAGTTTACAGTTAGTCTTGTACATCGCAGTTCAAAACATACAGTGTGACATTTTTCTTGTAGTAAAAATAGAAATCGAACACATTCAATTAAGATACAAACTCTCCTTGTTTTTTATTCCATTGAGAATGATAAATTTGCGAACCGCACAAACAACAAAACAAAGAAATTAAATCGCGCAGCGCATACAATTTTAATCTCCTCATCTTTCTATTCTCTACTAAATTTCGTTAGCTTCTCACATTTCAAAAAAGTAAAATAAACTAAATTATTGGTCACACCTTACCTAAATCCTTTGGGATTGTTTGAACATCATGACTGCTGCATCATTCATCTCCATTGCAATACCGTCGAAGTCAAGTAGTGAACTGATCACTTTATAATAGAACTGATATGTAATAAAATATTGCGTTGATTCTTACAGAAAAAATCAGCAGTTTATATACATTTTTCCTTGTTCTACGTCAATGTTTTCGTTTCAAGACAATACCTTAAAGACACATCTGATTGCAGCTACTCCAATTGACAATAATTGAAAACATCCCTCACGTATGTTGAAGAAATACTTAAATCTTAAAATCAAACATGTGCCTCCGATTTGCACACAGAAATAGAAGGTTCTTTGTCTAAGTATTCTATCCAAGTCTAGTAAACGCCGGTGAAGTTAATCCGTGTAACGTGAGCAAGATTTTCAAGTATTGGGACAATTTCCATCAATAATCTCATATCCAAAGTTTCCCACAACATTCAATCAAAATATGCAACATGTATTAGCCGTTTTCACATTGTTTATACTGACTCGAACACCACTCATCACTACAAAAGTAATTGTCAAGAGTCTATGTAAGTCTCTATCTGGTCGAACACGCTTTTCCTATGAATTCTGTTATTTGCAGGAAACTCAACATTTGAAGATATGAAAAATTTTTGCAAATTACTACGACGATATGGCAACCTGGAAACTGCCTGTAAATAACATTGATTCGTTAAATTTGAACATGCGTGCAATACGTAAGTGAGTATTTTCCATCGAATAAATTCTGCTCTTTTTTCTGTCATACTATCTGTGTAGGTCTTCTTGTCGTTCGTGGTGAAATTCTGTACGATAAAAATAGTTCACATCACGATGGATCAAATCGACAACTTCGACTAGTTCTTATAGAAAACAAACGCATGAATACGATCATCGATCAAGTGACTATCACATGTCTATCGAAAACGTATTCATGTCCATTTGAATACTGGATTGATTCGATACATGCGCAACCTTATGTGATCTATCGACTTGAAGCAATGTCCGTCGATCGTGAACTAGCCGGTAAAACATTAAGTCAATTCAAATCCAAGACGAATAATCCCATAAATTTCAAAGCTATTCTAACATTTGCCACCATCATACGTGATTATCGAGTCTCTTAAAGATTTGGAATAAATCATAACGAAAAGTATTTCTCATATAAATAAATATATACGAGAAATTTCTTTGTTATCTTATCGAAAGAATCATAATCTCACGTAGTCGGCTTCGTTTTGGAATCTTAATAACCCTTTGAGTTAGGTGCAATATCATGAGAATGTAAAACAAGTTCTTTTTTTCGTTATGCAAAATGCAAATGATAAACAATAACGAGATGTCTAGGTATCATGATGCAATCGGTTTCTTTTTCTTTATTTTTTCACACAAACATTATCACGAAAGAATGTTAGGTTGCAATATAATCACGCGGGTGGATTATTGCCGACGAATCATATTTGATGACATGAAAACGGATTTTAATAACGATAATGTTCGGGTTTGAATGGACCAGCTACATTCAAATCTAAATAGCCAGCTTGTGTTTCGGACATTTTGCTCAAACGAACACCCAAATGTTCAAGATGAGCAGCAGCGACTTCTTCATCGAGCTACAAAAGATCAAAGCTTGAAAAACAATTGAGAATATTTCTTCAATTTACCTTCTTGGGCAAAATATAGACACCAACTGGATATTGGGCCTTTTTGGTGAATAATTCAATTTGAGCAAGGACTTGATTGGTAAATGAATTACTCATAACAAAACTTGGATGACCATGAGCACAACCTAGTTATTCAAGTTTTCATTGTAGAGTTCCTTTTTTGAGAAGAAAACCTTACCAAGATTAACAAGTCGACCTTCGGCAAGTAAAATAATTGAACGTCCGTTGGATAACTTATATCGATCAACCTAGAAAAGATTCGCGGTTGAATTGCGTGTGGAGGAGAAAAGAGGAGTTCGGAAATTTACTTGTGGTTTGATAACTTCTTTTGAAACGGCATTTTTGTTGATCCATGCAACATCGATTTCAATATCGAAATGGCCAATGTTACAAATGATTGCATTATCTGGCATTTCAAGAATGTGTTGACCCAAGATGATATCTCGACATCCTGTAGCCGTGACAAATATACGACCAACTTTGCATGCTTCTTCCATTGTTGTTACTTCGTAACCTACATAGAACGCAGAAAGATCCCTGTTACAACAAAATCAGTCGTAAAGTATAGATTCTACCTTCCATGGCTGCTTGTAAAGCATTGATTGGATCAATTTCAGTGACAATAACACGAGCGCCAAAGTTTCGTAAAGCTCGTGCACTTCCTTTACCAACATCACCATAACCAGCAACAACGGCAACTTTTCCAGCAATCATAATATCTGTTGCACGCTTGATACCATCGATCAATGATTCACGGCAACCGTATAAGTTATCGAATTTTGATTTGGTAACTGAATCATTGACATTGATGGCGGGTACTTTAAGTTTACCTTGTTTAAGCATTTTGTAGAGTGCATGAACACCTGTGGTTGTTTCTTCACTAATACCCAAAATACCTGACGTATATTCGGGATATTTATCATGAACAATGCCAGTTAAATCACCACCATCATCTAAGATCATATTTAATGGTTTGTTGTCAGCACCAAAAAATAATGTCTAGTCGGCAGAAAAAAACGAGATGATTTCAAAGTCGAATTATATTTCTTACTTGTTCAATACACCAGATGTATTCTTCGTCAGTTTCACCTTTCCATGCATAAACAGGTATACCAGCTTTGGCAATAGCAGCAGCAGCATGATCTTGGGTTGAAAAGATATTACAACTACTCCATTGTACCTACAATCCAATGAGTACATAGAGCAAAGTCAACCAAATGATAAGACATACTTCAGCTCCTAAAGCAACTAGTGTTTCAATTAAGACAGCGGTTTGAACGGTCATATGGAGGCAACCAGCAATACGTGCACCTTTCAATGGTTGAGATGGACCATAAGTACGACGTAATTGCATTAAACCTGGCATTTCATATTCAGCTAAGGTTATTTCTTTGCGACCCCATTCAGCTAAGTTTATATCAGCTACTTTGTACGCTTGTTTTTGTTGTGGAGCAGACATAATGATTTGATTTTATGCTGGATTAATAGAAGAAGATGCAATCTAAAATAGTGCACACTAGGTATAAATAAAAAAGAAGAAAAAACACGAAGTTACAATTATCAAACAAGAAAAAAAGTAACCTGCCGAGCGTCATATCGAACGATAGATGCGCATGTATATATATTGCCTTGATTATTAAGGCCATCAGGAACGTTAAATTTTACGTTTCAATCCTCCACTGTTAGAAAAAATTACTTCATCGAGGAGTGTCGCTTGTGTATGATATATGATTTATCATGTGCAGAAAACCTGACGTGCCCATGTTATTATTAGTCGATTACACAACGCAGTAAAGTAAAAGAACGAAGTATTTCGCCGTGATTACTAACCAATGCAAAGTAGAAGTAAAGAAACAAAGAGCTAATTCATTCATTTCTATTTCCAATGATTGAAGTGTTAAGCTGAAGCAAAGCAAGCAGATTCAAGTTAGACAGACGACATAGATATTTATTTGTCATCAGTTGATAGACGATCATTTCTACCCCAGATATATCTAGAAATAACTATAAGTATAATTTGAATATACGATCAAAATTCATTTATACCGGTAAAATCCACCAGCGATGGTTCCACCAATCAATGGACCTATCCAGTAGATATAATGATGTGACCAAACATTAGCGAAGATAGCTGGCCCTAGACTACGAGCTGGATTGAGTGAACCCCCGGTTAGCATATTCCTACGAGTCACATCATTTAACATAAATTTAAGTTAACAAATTGAATGTCGACACTTACGATGCAAGAATGCATGCACATAACGCAATACCGTTATATATGGGAGCAAAACTACTTTTTGACTTTTGATTTACTGACACCAGAAGAATCACCGTAACAAAAACAAAGGTTAGCAGTAATTCAAGCGATAAACCTACAGAAATGAAGTTCTGGACATAAGCGTATGTAGGTTTTCTTTTCGTACCTTCCCACCAATCGATACGATCTAAGATATATCCGTTCGATCCTTTTGGCGTTTTCACTGTTACTAAGAAGGTTGCTCCACCATAACACCGATGATATACTGTTGTATGTGAAAGAAGCTATGGATAGAAAGTAATTTGAACTTTCCCATGGAGAAACTGCAAGAACAAAATACTCACTCGAAATATTCCCGCTGCCATAGCACCGCCGATCAATTGCATAAGAATATAGAGTGAACCTTTTTTCAAATCGACTGCACCGGCAATGAACATGCCAAAAGTCACAGCAGGATTGAAATGGCCGCCACTACAATGTGTATATATCATCGAAATGATCAGAACTTAAACTAACATATGATTTCAACCTGATATGTCCGAGACTAGCAATGAAGATTATCAACGAAAAGCCAAACGAGAAGGCCGTTGTTAACGAATGGTACTTATTATCGTCATTACATGCACCAAGTAATCCGATTAGAATAAAAAATGTCGTTCCTATCTAAGTGTGTGAAACATTCGTATCATCTCGATATCTTTCATTTTCACTCACTAATTCTGCAATGATTGGTTGAACAATATTTGAGAATATATTCGTTTTACTTTCCTGATTGCTCATTGTTTGTTTTACACTATTCGTTTTCTTTAAGGATACTGCTCCTTCTTCTAGCTTGCAGCAAGCAGATGTTGATGTATTGAGTGCCATTTATTGATCACTTCATACATAGAAAAAAGGGCTCTTCTCTCAATTTTCAAGCAAATCTTATATATATATTTCTTGTCGATCCGATTTCTTGATAATGATTTTTCTTTATTATTATACGAGCAAAATATCGATTAACATTATATGAGAGAATATGCACAATACTCAAAAAAACAGAAAAATATCAGCCGATATCAGCTTGACAGGATATGTTCGATTCGAGAGAACTATGAACATTTTACCTTGACATCGCCGACATATGCATTTCCTGCCATGACTCTATTTTTGTAATAGATGAATTAGTGGACAAAGTTGAAATGCAACGCAGAAATGAGATATATATGATGTCAATTAGGATATTGTTTTCTTATGTCTGTAATTTATTATCCGCTAGTATGTGTTTCGAGAAGGATATCCTACCTTTTCAAACACATGTTTTTGATATCGATGCGAAATAAGAGTACGAACTGAAAAAGAACATATTTTTCTTCGGTTTATAGCATTTAGTTCTGTTTTGATTTGATGTGACAAGAAAATAGCAAAGTACTAACGAGAAATCAAGTATTAGTTCAACTTTCAATTCATATCTCTTCGCAATGAATCGAAGTTGGCTCCATTCTTCTTTCATACTTCTGTTGTTGATTGCAGTACCTTCCGCTCGTACAGACGATGGTATGTCAAAGATTCGTGTGTGATTTCACGTTTTTCTGATGATTCTTGCTACGTTTTAGGACAGAATGCTTTGAATCTCCTCAATACTGGAGGTAAGAAATATTATTAACAAGAAAACAGTTAAGGGTTACTCAACTACTAAGGAATATAATTGTTTAACTGATCAGCTTCTTCAATAGATGTAACAACGATAGAGTTGTAAAGTAATGTTCTATCTGAGTCATGTCGATCTTGACCATTCAAATATTTCGTTGTCTATTCTACGAATTGAAGTTGTATTGAATTATAATTGCTCTGTCATTGTCTTTTCGAATACGAACTTGTTCTATAAGTTAAAGTAATCACTGGGATGAGAATTTGCACTTCACTTCGAACTGCTGCTTATTCTTCGATCAGGATATCTTTGGAGTATATTCGTATTGAATAATAACCTTCGAAAAGATGCGTCTGTATTTCAAAACTTCTTAATTTGTGAATAACTCGCGAAAGCACAAGCATGTCAATAACAGATTTTTTCCTATGAATTATAGGTCGTAATGGAACAACAGAAAATGTGACTATACATACTACTAGTACGACGACAATAACAACAACAACAACAACAGGGAACCCCACTACACTTTCAACTAAGAGTACGAACAATGATATCAATCATACAACCACCACAGCGACTATTAATATGACAACACGTAAGTTTTATTTCGATTCATTAAAGGTGACACTGACCGGTGAGAAAGTCATGTTTGCTCATACCAGAGTAATAGATCATTTGTCTAGAAACATTGATAAACGTTTTTGTCTTCGTTTTAGCTATCAGTGTTCTCGAGCTGACTGCCATCAGCATCAAAGAGCTTTTCGACAATGCAACTAATCCTGCCAGATTGGTTGATCGACTAGATAATGTAACTATTGATGATGCGATCGATGATGCTGAAGAACTTCTCGACCAGTTAACACTTTTGGACAATGTTTCTGCTAGTGAGATACAAGATTTAACTCAACTGTTTAATCTTGCAAAAGGCCTTCAAATGTTAAAACCATACTTTACTGATTTATCCATGGAAAATATGTTGCTACCCATCAAAAACCTTTCAAATCTTCGAAGAATCAAATCAAATATTAGAACATTAGGAATTACCAATCCTAATTTCAAACATCTATTAAACTCTATTCTTACTAATTTGACCGATGCTGTAAAAGGTTAAGTATTTTTCTCAGATACTTCGAAATTTCTTCATCTGGCATCTTGACCAACTAATGAGAGTACGTTTTATTTAGGCTCAACGAATAATTCAACACAATCAAATGATGCTTCAAGTTTGGAACAGATTCAAAAGATTCTAAACGCCAAACGACACGTCTGGACCAGTAAAGACGGCATTTCTTATACAATTGATGTTCACGAAGAGAATGCTATTGGGAAAGGCAAATACCTGTTCGATGAAGTACCATTTGATGATTATTCTTCTGTTACATGCATTTATTATAACACTAACAATGAAGAATTTCGAAGTGCCAGATCAAAAACAAAACCAGCTTTTTGTGATGTCTTAGATACCGATCTAGCAGATATAGATAAACTAGAAATGCGTGTGTATGGGATGTCTTCACCACCTAATATTACTAGCATTACGTTCGATGGTGTTTATGTGCCACAGAAGCATATATTACGTGGTATAACACCCTTCTTCTTACCGGACAGTTCAAGGGATAGATATGATGATCGTAGACTACCGCCACGTATGATGAAAATTTGTTGTTATCATTCTCACTATTTGTCGATTAATTTCGTTTTTTAAGGTAAATGGCCAGAGCCATTGTATCGACCATCACATATCATACCAGGATATTACCCTCGATCACCGCCTGCTGCTCAAGCATATTATGTTCAACCACCTGTACAAACTGTTCGCTACGTTCAACAGCCAGCCGTTGGTAAAGTTACCTTATGCTGAGTGACGATCGTGTCCCATTTTGTCACTTAGAAAGTATCCGTGCCAGCCTACTTCCCACAGCAACATGTAACCAACCACGATCACTATCAGTGAATGGTAATTCTCCATATGTCATTGCACAAGACAATATATGGCAAATAAATGTCAATCAAATATATGGCACATCAATACCTGTCAATTCAGTGCAGGTCAATACTCAGGGAGATGTGGCCAATGGAAATGTTCTTTTAGCACTGCTTGATAGTAATCAACAAGGCATTTCATACAGTGCTCTAATGAGTAACGGAATTCCTGTAACGTTTCAGAATCTGCCATCAACACGTGTTGCCTACCTTCAACTTGAGTTTCCTATCGGGACTCGAACAGATTTATATTCAGTAAATCTAATAATCTGTGCACAATCAAACGCTTTGCCGGTATCAAGTAAGCTATCGTTATGATTTTGATTTTGTTCCTAAGCGCGATTCTAGGTAGCCGGATACAAAATTTGTTTATTCCATCACTCTCTCCGTATACGACGAACGACGACAACAATAACGATCAAGTGCTACTGAATAGCATAATGCCTCAACGTGAATATCAACCAGTGCCATGTGAGAAACTAACAGATGAAATTATGTTGTCATACAGTCTTTGCCTGACATTGTCTCAGTTAAATTGAAACGAGATTGTTGAATTACTACAAAAGTGTCCACTCATTTCTTCTTCTACTTCGTCAACAGTGTGCACGTAATTGACTTCTTATGTTTCATTTTAGCGGTTGGCTACTCTGCTCTTAAAAATCCATCAGGCTTACCTTCACAACAAAGTACATCTGATCAGAATTTACTATCCAAATATCTAGGATCAGCCAACCAATATCAACCAGTTTATCAACAGTTAGATCCTTCATCGTTTCAGCAAAGTCCACCAGACGGCAATGCACAAAGTAATCAACAGATGCCATTTTATTCGTCATTACCAGGACAATCGTACCAAAATCCACGGAGTTCCCAACGAATGTTACTTTCAGTGGGTGAACAACAACCCCTTGAACAATTAGATGACCAATCAGCATCATCGTTCGATGATGAACAGGAGAATCAGGCTTCAGAATCCACTGTACTAACACAACCAAAGCAACAATTCAATCAAGTTTATCAGCAAGCAGCGCCCTGGATCTATGGACCAGGACAAACAGATAAAGACGGATCGAATAATCAACCATCGGATGCGTCATCGTACGGTCTACAACAAAACGGACAGATACAATCACAACCATATACACAAAACTATCAACCAGATCCATCCTCCTACTATTCACAAGATACATCAGGACAATCTGGTCAATTGGGATCACTGGATATTCCCTATGGTAAATAAATACGAGCATCTTTTCGTTTCAAATAATTACATTTCAGTAAAATTCCGGGATATCCCTCGTACAGATTATTGAACTGATATATGCTGAGAAAATAGCACTTTCGATATCTTTTATCCTTTGTAGGAACTTATGCGGCTCCAAATGGTCGTGCACCGTTACCTGTTCCTGGAGCAAACAATCGGAAACCAAATAACGTTCTTGTTTATGGTAAACGACCTCCCTTTGATCAGTATAATGATGACCAATCAGGACCACATCCACCGAATCAAGGTAGCAAAGAAATTATCACCCGACTATTCATTATATACAGTTGCATACTCTTTGTTTAGGTTCTCGTGTACCTCCCATTAAGCTACGTTATACAGATGAACAAGCTCCGTGTGTACTCTATTATATACGTTCAGGATCACGTCGAATTATTTCGAATTCAACAGATGATGAGAGTATCACTTGGATTGTACAGGTGCCACCAAAATATGGTTATGGTTCCATACCGACTCTAGTCAGCGCACAGAATATCGATTTTGATCAACTAGCTGTTAACTATCTGAACCCAGATCAGAGTCCTGCACAGTTAGCCAATGGTAGTGCTTTAGAATTCATTTCAGCACCCGATGCAAACGATATTAGCACATTTCCTGACGATACTTTTGTTCACATGCTGGAAGTCGTTGTTGATGGAGTTACATCGCCAGCATCGCAATCTTCACTCGAAATTCGCCTGCTTGTTTGTTTCAAACCATTATCTTCATCACAGGTATATTCGAACCGCATCCTTCCGAGGAAGAGTTAGAACTAGTCCATTAAAATGACGATTATATTTCTAGTTTGATCAATCACAGCTAACGGGTAACCAAAATCAGCAACCACCTCCGCAATTTCAAAGACCGCCTCCACCATTTCAACAATCACCTTTAAAGCCGCCTCCACCGTGGCAATCACAATATGACCAATCGAAGTTTCAATCTCAACAACCATGGCAATCTAATGTGAGTATCCAAAATATTTGGCGAAAAATATGGTTTGTTGGTTACTGATTCTTTTGAATCTAGTCACGTACTCCACAATCGCCGAACAAACCGACATTGCAATCAACGAATACTGCTTCAGCTTCAAGTAGAAATCCTAGTGCAACACAAAGTTATTGCAACTGCAATTGTCAATGTCCTGCTAATGCTGTCGAGCCAGTAATTCAAGGCGCCAATGTTGTTTATCAATATTTACCGGCAGTGGTGCAACAACCGCAGCAACAGAGAGGTCGCCGCCAACGACGACAAGCAGATGCTGCCAGTTCTGAATTCATTATGCGAGAAAACTAAACGGTTTCATCTGTTTCTTTCTTCGTTCATAGTATCTTTCAAATATATTACACGGGACGAATATCGCCTAATAAAAAGTCACGAAAAAGAATCTTCTTATTCTTTCTTCACGCTAACGATAACTCAATACTATTTCAAGTTTAGTACAAAAGTGTATACACAGTCAACATAAAAGAACTGTTTTTGAAAAGAGTTGTACACTGATACCATCCACTTGAATCAGTCATATCGGAGAAAATGTATAGCTGATGCTGGAAAAGCAAGAGTTATGCCTTGTCCAAGTGTACGTATTGTTGATGACAAGTATTTTGAGCACTTCTTCATGCGTCCAAGAATAATAATCATATGTCCAATAAATATCACCTGGTTGGATTTTATCTGAAAAATATACGACACATATGTGTCAGTTGATACTAAAGATGAAAACTATATTTAAGAGATAATTGACTTCGGTCTTTGAATACTTGTCCTAGTTATAAGTTAACTTCGGAACTTGTTCTCGGAAAATATCTCAATGGAAATAGAACTAAAGACTGACAGTGAGGCAAAGAGATACGATCTCGATTATTCGAAAGGGTTTCATCGTTTGAATTCATTGCTAACAATGTAATAACACTATTTCTATGTGTATAATTTTCTGGTTTCACATGGATGATTTTGAGGACATTGACGAGGCTTTTAAGCGTAACAGTACTCACATTGTTGTATTCATTCGAATGAAAAGTTCTCCACACTATCTCGATCATCATTCAATGCATAGTACTTCTGATCTGATTGATATTCCACGTAAAATCAAGTAAGATCCGAAAAGAAAAGAGCAATATTGATCTACATACATCATTCAAGATCGCACACTGGTACAGCGTTCGCAATCAACTGCACACTCTGTCTATTTGCTTCTATAATCATCGGGGTGATTATTATTGCTCTTATTCCGATTTATTTACCATCTAGTGATGACATTTCCATTGATCTTAACAATAAGTAACTTCTTGCTTTTCTTAACTGTATTTCTGTACGTTTGATTTCATATTCTTCACGTCGTACATTGAATGTGTACACTTATTGTTATATCACAAGCATGACTCCGGCGAAATCATTGGCAGTCATCAAGAATTCTGACTGGTCTTATGCGGGACAAATGGCAAGTGTTTTTCCCCAATATATTGCTTATCGGATTTGATGTGTATCTGTAGGTTCAAAATTTGATTCATTCGAAAGTCAATTCCGTTCAATTCACAAATGTAATAGACGTACGAATAATTAATTCGATCACTGAACCAAACGCGGAAAGTTTTTCATCACGATGTGCTGCGGAAGGTTGCTTACAAATCTTAGGACAAATACTCTTCCCTCTTGCTTGTTGGCCAGCATGTCGATCGCATAAGTTAGAGAAACTCCAAAATCTCAATTTCCTTCAAACACCGATGAGCATAAATCTGACTTCGACATTGAATGAGAATCATATGATTGAATTCGATACATTTAATATCGGTAAGACAGATGATTCTATCTTATGACAACGATTCAATTAATTTTTCATTGATTTAGTTGTTTTGAAAAGTAAGTAAAACAAGGATTAATGTATATTCATAGCGGAAGAAACGAAATATTCTAGATCAAAGTATCGGCGAGCAAATCGAAATGTTCTTTTTATACAATTTTTTGGAAAATCAGAACCGAACGTTTCGATTGAACAATGTTCCACTTGATGCATCAAGTTTAACGAATATAACTCATTTAGTACGTTTGAATAATTCGTTTTATGAAGTTAGTTTCTCAGAAATATAGATGTTTTCTTCATAGGTATCTGATGCTATCTCTCAATCTCACGCAGATATTCTTGACTTTACTGTTATTCAAGCAGATATAGTCGAAGCATCCGCAACATTGAACGTCACTGTTCTGATTTCATTAAAACCTCAATGTCTCAGCGATTGCCAACGATTACAAATAAATAAGCTAACAATTCTGCCTGAAACCACCATTTGTGCGTCAATCACTCTGACCTACGATGGAAATACTTATGATTATAATGCTTCTCTAACTGGTAAATTCTATTCGATGATTATCAAGTTTCTACCTAGCTCATCACAATCTAGGTGTTTACCTTGGAGCATCTGGAGCGTTATCAACGAGAACTACGCAAAGCACAACAAAAGGAAAGAAAAATTTGAAGCGAGATTTGACTTTCGTCAAGAAGATCTATTCATTTATAAATAAGAAAGCATCAATATTTGAAATCAGTTACCAGTTGAATGCATCGAAATTCATAGTAGACAAATATTTCGAAGGTGGTACCATTGTCAACAGTTCCACGCTGAACGGATTATCAATCATGGTAAATACGAGAACTGTTCGTATCTATAATTGTGCCATTCTTGCTTTCAGATGCAAACAACACTATCCAATGATTCAAACATTAATGTGACGGTTTTCAATGCTAGCATCACTGATAATAATGGAAATACATCACTAACGTTCGAATATTACTTCTTTTTTACATAAAACTTCTAAAAAAAACACTCTTATTATTTAGCGCGCATACATACATTTATACTCTACGTTTGATCGTTTATTACCTCTACCCAGTGACATGTTATACATGTGCACAAAGCAGTAACGATGCCGTCCGAAAAACACCTGTATTCGTAAAGACAATACGCGTTCGCAATGGTACATTAATTAGTATATCTCATCCACATAGTATTCTTACGATTTGTAAGTAGATTAACATATCACACTCAATAAACATTTTCGATGTTCAAAGCACCAGCTAACAATACAACTACCATTCCATCTCCTCCTCATCATACTACGGAACATACAAGTACAAAACATCATCCAATCACACACTGAAATCTTTCAATACATCAGACATTTCCTTTTGCATTCTCGAATAGAAATAAAGTCATTTTTTACATTCTTTATACTTTACAACTATTTCATAAAAGTATCAAACTAGAAAATTATCTCGTGGTAAGTCACTTCCAGACTCGAATGTGCCCCATTTTTGTTTTGGTATGTCTTTGAACACTTGTTCCAGACGTTGTTGGCCGGTTTCATCATTACTATATTTGCGAATAAAAATTTTTCCAATTCGACTTGAATATTTCGCATAAATACCAGCATAGATGTCTGGATCTTTTTGAAATATATCACCGATCAACACAAATGTACGATTAACTGTGTTGTTGATGAACATTTCAATCGTGTCCGTTTTACTTTTGATGTAGTCGCTCGACATGAAAAATGAGATGAAATTCTTGTCAAGCCATGTAAAATGACGCATATGGTATGAACCAGTGGGGAAGTTTTCGCGATCGAGAAATTCACGTAAAAACGGATAAAGTTGATCAGGAGATGCAGTCAAATAGGCAAATGTAGCAGTGTACTGTTTTTGCCAATATTGATAGATATCCGACATACCTGATACAGCTTTAAATTCACCACTAAATGTATTGATTAAAGTCTCCGTGTTTGATGTAACACCGGTGATTTTGATTGTATCGTCAATATCACTAATGAATGTTACACCATTATCGTCGCATACGTAAACTTCGCCTAGAAGGAAACCTCGATACTCTAAATACTATTTTGTGTGTTTCGAAAGCTTACCAGTTGCTCGAATATTTCGATTTGGAACCGAAGCTTGATAGAACAATTTGGCGGTATTTCCTTCGGCTTGGATGAATTGCTTCAATTCAGCATCGGTTAGTTGAAAGGTATTTTTAATTCGACCTTCGTCGTCGGTTTTCGTACACATCGATCGATTTAAACCATCGACGCATAGATCTTTGTTTTTTTCTCCTTCAGCAGTAAATAGTTTGATACGGTTGTTATCCAAATCCTTCTTGACGACTAATTCCAAAGATTTTTCCAAGATCTTTGCTTGAACATTATTTTCTTCATAGTACCAGCCCTTATTATAAAGAAGCCAATCCGTTGAAGGCACTTTCGAATGATCTCGAAACGCAGCAGTAGGAATCAGGATAATATTTTCTTTATTACGAAGAATAAATGCACTTGTTGTTGAAAGTAAACATAAACTCAAGTAGAGAAAAGTGCTAATCATGATTAATTGTGACTGAATGTATTTCTCCTTCGTTCGCAGTCACCTTTATATAGTAGTCTATAATATATTCGCAAAAACTACTCATTCGTCTTGTAATTACGACGTGAGTAATCATAAGTGATATGGGCTCACTATATGACGTCGTCACCTTGTTAGAAATCAGATGAATCACACGAAGTTTTCTGTAGTACATCAATGAGAAACCTTGCGTGGGTAGTTGCACATCAATACCAAAATGAGTATTATCACTTTTCACGTGACGTGTATAGTGGAAAATTGTACTAATAGAAAATATTAGTCATAAGGTTTTTATTGAAGTAGATTTTTAAAGATATCAAAAAACGATTTCCATGTTTCGATTCCTTTATTTGTCGCATCTTCACTATTACGAAGATTAGCTTTCAAATCTTCCATCAATGCATCGTTTATTTCGTTTAAGAACGTTGCACATGTACTCGTATTATTCGTCAATTTTTCTCGATTGTCTATTTGGTTGATATAAGCGAGTGTGCCAGCAAACATTCGGGTTGTTTCGTCAGTTTTTTGTAATACTTCAGTCATTTTGTCAAGACTGGTCTCAGCGCGATCGGGATGTTCAGCACAATAAGAACATATCCTCTCCGTGATTAGACCGAGCGGATTAGTAAACACCGATGATTGCCATGGCGGCCATTTGACATCCTTCGGAGAGAATGAAGCAACAATACCAACGAAGGCACATAACTATAGAGATTCTGATGAGAATATGATGGTAGTTTAGATGGAACTTACGAGAAGAAAACAATTTGGGACATGCATCATGAATATGAATGAATGCAGTTTTAAGATTTGAATTTATATGGCTTTCATAAATCGTATGAATTAGCATTCTTTTTCCAGATGAATGACTGACAATTGTAAAAAGTTTGAAAGATTCAAGTGTGCTTTCACGCTAGATGCAAATGTGGCACTCGAATTGAGTAAAATCAAAAGTCGTCTCTTGTTTACTACGACAATTTCGAGAAAACATAAATGTGTTTCCAATTTAGTGCTGTGCTGATCGATATTCGATGAGCAAATGTCGATTTTGAGAAAAATGAATCAATGTCCTCGTTTCCTACCTATTCATCTATATCTATCTATATCAAAACCAGATGTTGTTCTCGTTTTGACTTTGTATTGAGTGCAAGTCTGGTATCTCAGATACATCTGGTGTTATTCACTCCCATTGAAATCAATCTCGAAGATGAAAAGATTGATTGATCTTGTACATTTCATTATCTTACTGATTAGTTTTTATGTCAATCGATATGATTGTTCAAGAGATGACATTTCAAACGCATTTACCTATGGAACAGCTTTACCAGTAAGAAAAAGATTCGTATAAAGTCATTTATGAAAACTTGTCGATGTCTCTAGCCGTTTGGCTCAGTCGAAAAGAGTAAGATTGTGCGTCGATCAGTGACGAAAACTAAATGTAAGTTTGACTAATTATGAAAGAAATTCGTTTCGAACCAATGTCGCTGGTTTAGGCGGAAAAGATCTGACCTGTCTAAATGGTGGCAAATGCAAAGACAATCACTGTCAATGTCCAGACAATTTTATGGGACATGATTGCAGTATAGGTATAAGAAATTATTTTGCACACATTTGATCATTAGTGGACGTATTTTTTGTAGCACGATGTGACCGACATTGGTGTTCGCAAACAGGAGGAAAGTGTACCAATAAAAAAGTTTGTCAATGCTCAAGAAAATTTGGTGGACCTGATTGCAGCGGTGGTATGTAAATGTACACAAAAGATTTTGTTTTATGAAGGATGTTCTTCTTCGAAACATCAGTCAGATGCGGTAACAGTACCACAAATAGTTTACTTTGTTTCAACGGCGGCAGTTGCAGTAATACTACGGAAACCTGCCAATGTCGTTCAGGTTATCAAGATGATGGTACAGGGTGTTTAAAACGTGAGTTATTATAGTTATTACATGTTAGAAAGATACATGATTTGAGTTCTATAGAGCAATGTGCAAACGGAGGTTCATGTTATACAAATAATGGTGTTTGCACAGATAGTGGATGTAAATGTCGATCGAACGCAACGACTGGATCAGATTGTTCACAAAGTAATTCTTTTAGTGAGGCGAAGAAGATATATGTAAAGATGGATTTATCTAGGTGTATGTGGAAAATCTGGTTTTGTTTGTTACAATGGAGGATTTTGTACGGATAACAAGCATTGTCAATGTTTGAATGGGTGGACTGGTGTAAATTGCAATGGGCGTAAGAGAGATGATAACGATTTTATTAAGTCTAAGAACTCATTTATGTTTGTTTGCCTCTTTGAGGAAAATGTCCCGGATTTAAGGATTTGGTCTGTTATTCTGCCTTCTGCCCAGCGATTGGTAGTGCACCAGTATGTCAATGCCCAGGACATTTAAAAGGACGAGATTGCTCTGGAAGTAAAATCATGATCTTATTTATTAGGGAATAATAAAGACATTCACTTTCATTTTGTCTTTTTTCCTAGTAACATGTGGAGATAAAGGACTAGCCTGTTATAATGGTGGCACATGTCATGCAATGACGTCAACATGTTTATGTCTGGCTGGATTCGGTGGGCCCGATTGTCGTGCAGGTATATGAATATCTAGCTAAGCGTAAATTTATCGATTCATACTAGTTCAATGTGCCGGACATCCAAGTTTGTTTTGTTATAACGGCGGATGTCCACCAGCTAGTCATGGTCCTGATACCAAATGTATTTGCTCAGATCAATATACTGGTTCTGATTGTTCACAATTCATGTGCAGTCATAGTGCGGTCACATGTTATAATGGTGGTCAGTGCATCGACGGACGAACATGTACTTGTCCACCAGGATACGGAGGAACAGATTGTCGTGGAAGTAAGTAACTTTCTCAATGAAGAAAATCAGTTTATATAGATTTGATTTTAGTTCCATGTGGCACGGGATTTTGCTATCATGATAGTAAATGTCTAATCGATCAGAAAACAGGAGAATCACAATGCCATTGCTCTGGTAATTATACGCTTTTGGATTGCTCAGCTGAACAATGTCCAGAAAACGGTCCACTGTGTTACAACGATGCAATTTGTGAAAGAGATGATGACGGCAAATACATCTGTCAATGTGTAGGACAATGGGGAGGAGCTGATTGTTCAGCAAGTGAGTCGTATTTTCGGAACAGTAGTAGTAAAACTATCCGATCGACTTTTTCTAAATATAGCTTCATGTCATCACGCTCTATGTTACAATGGAGGCTATTGTGATGATAAAAATGATATTTGCGTATGTATCAATGGCTGGCACGGAATCGATTGTCGAGCAAGTAAGATGATAGCGTATTGATATTTACATTACAGAAGTTCTTCGTTAGGAGCATGTGAACCCAACGGTCTTGTCTGTCACAATGGTGGACTATGTATCATATCAGCTAATGCTAACTTTATCTGTCAATGTGAACATCCATGGACAGGACCAACGTGTGAAGAACGTCAGTTAAATTGAACTATACGAAAAGACAAATATTTTATTTATGATTTCTGTTTACAAAATAGAGATTTGCGGCGTCAGTGGTCTCATATGTCGAAACAGTGGTACTTGTTCCTTGACTCACACAGATTCACATACAATACCATCCTGTACATGCCCATTTGGCTTTGCCGGCGATGACTGCTCAGCTGTGGTATGTGGATCCGAAGGCAATGCTTGTTTTAACAATGCTTACTGCAATGAGACCACAGGAACTTGCGTTTGTCCTCCACCACTTACCAGCGATGATTGTCGTGGCAGTAAGCAGCTTTTGCCAATAGTAAGCAGTTTTCCTACATATCAATATTGTAGACATTTGTGGTGCTGGCACAGCAAATAGCATCGTATGTCAAAACGATGGTGTCTGCGTTCTCACCCGTGAAGGTGAATGGACATGTAATTGTACACGTGGATGGACAGGCCCATATTGTATGTTACATTTATGTGGTGATGATTTATCGTCAAGTTTAATGTGCACACACGAAGGAACATGCGTACATTCAGCAACAACAGGCGCTTATTCATGTTCATGCCAATCACAATGGGCAGGTATTGATTGTTCTGGTATGCGATGCTTAGAGCCCGATATAATTTGCTACAATCAAGTTGATTACAATCCGGAAATATGTACACCGAAAGGATGCGATTGCCTTAACGATGGATACGGAGCAGACTGTAGAGGTGTTCGATGTGGCCTTGAACCAGGCCGATGTTACAATGGAGCCGTATGTGTCGATCCGCAACATAGTCTTTGTTCTGCATGTCCACTTGGTGTAAGCGGCAGTGACTGTTCAATAAGTATTAGGTTGACTTTCTTTCGAATTAGTCCTACTTTTACCAATTTAGTGGTTTGCCCCAGTGTTAAAAGTGGCTTCTGCTACAATGGTGGTGTTTGTGTTAATGGAACGACTTGCTTATGTGGTCATCGAAGTGAATGGTCAGGTGCTGATTGTTCAGAAAGTAAACTTTTCCAAATTATTTGTTGTTTTGCTTCGTTCGCCATATTCTTATTTTATAGAGCAATGCTCTGGAAATTATAAATGCCTAAATGGAGGTTCATGTGGTAAACATGCTTCAATGCACAAATGCATCTGTCCATCGGCATATGAAGGCGAATTGTGTGAAAAAGTAGTCGAATATTAACTAGTCGTCCCAACAACCGCTAAACAACAAATGGAACAATTCGAAACAGAAAAACGCTAATACTTTCGTGATTTCGTATCGAATTTTGAGAACGAAAAATTGTTATAAAATATTTTCAAATTAACCGTATACACAATCCTTTTCCTAACGCACCAGCACAGATCCAATCGATATATCGTCAACATGCTCTATCAATTGACGAGAGAGTTTCTATTGTTTTCGTTTATTTAGAAGCCTTATCTTAATCTTTTCAGAAAAATAATAAATACATATTTATCAAAGAAGAGTAATCAGAATGCTTTTCTTTTCATGAGTCAAGACTAAGAAAGATAAAAAATGTCAAGTTATCAATTTATCTTATTTGAAAAATAGACCAAAGACGACAATTAGCAAGATTAATGGGCTGAAGCGCAGACGATCAATTCCTAAAAGTAATACACATGAGTATCGAATCAAGGTTTTTCAAAGAATAGTTTACCATTGACACAACGTCGTATCGGTCGACCATATATATCCGTAGTTTCCTCTTCACGTTGTTCATCATTGCAGGCACAGCGTTGTCCTTTGCATATCATCGTAGGACCACACTGTTTATCTTCTGTGCATTCCGAACCGACTGCTTGATCTGGACAATATGGAAAGGCTTCGAAGACATAAGCAAGAGAACATTCGTTTTTACTTACAACATTTGTTTTCGAAGTCGTAAAATGATGGTTTACATAAACATTTATTCTCCTCTGAACTACAGATGGAATTTGTGTCAATACCTGCACAAATACTTTCACGATCGACACATCGATCATTGTTTAATTCATATCGAACTGAAAGTAACCAGGAAAAGTTTTTTTTTTCTGTCAACTGAAAAAGCAAATCTTCTCATACCACATTGATTTTGTTCCGATCGGTAACCATCCTTACATCTAACACGACTACACGCTTTATCACATTGAAGTGAATCATTGTCTGACACACTCGAACTAAGCATGCCAAGAAGTGTTCGATTACAGAATTGATGCAGCTCAAGTTTATGAGAATTTTCAACTTGAAGAATATAAAAATAATTAATATCTTCCGACTCACACAAACTACTTACCACACACAGAACCTCTTTGATGATAACCTTCTCTGCATACACATTGATATCCACGACATTCGAAATTTAGTATTGAGGAACATTGAGGAACACATTCATGTTTGACTAATCACGTAAAACAATTTAAATACGAAAATCAAGATGAAACTTGTGCTTACCACATGCTTGTGTAGCTATGTCTAATATATATCCTTCTCGACACTGGCATACTTTGTATTCGTCAGATGAATTTGTATAGTCGCATATGGCATTTGGTTTATCGCTGCAATCGGCATTGGCGTTACAAGCATACGAGCCAAGTTCATGAAAACCTGGGAAGATATTTTTGGAGAAAGGTTCTAAAGAGAAAAGTTTCTTTCGTCTGATTGAAAACTGTTGTCTTTCGTTAACCTACCACATTTATTATCCGAATTAATGAAACTGAATTGGCGATTGCAATAACAATTCTCGTTCTGACAAAATGCAAATTCACCATATTGTTCAACACAATTTTCATTCGTGTAGCTCTGACAACTGGTCGAGGCCGATGGAATGCTCGTTCCTTTTAAAGGAATGCCAACTAATTGAAAGAAAAACAGACGAAAATATGATTTTTCTTGTATTCTCCATCTACTTACTGCATGTTCTATTGTCGCTCGACTTGTGATAATTCGGTTTACAGATACAGGCCCAAGGACTCGAGGCCTATTCAAGAAAGATTTATATACTAGCGAAGAGTAAATGATATTCTTACGGAATCAGACGTTTCCGCATTGGCTGGACAAGTTCGATCGCCCTTGATATCATCAGTCATTTCATCAATCAGAAAATCTAAAGTAGTGAAAACCAATGCGTAAAGAGAGGAAACGACAGAGCGCAATTTCTGCATTGTTCTTACGGCAATAGGTGTTGCTCAATACTGCATATGCTTCAGGTTTACAGATGCAATATTGTCCTTTAGTTGATAGAGTAGCACCACTACCAAAGAAATGACGACAACCAGCTTCGTTTAGGCCAGGTGTGCTCTCTGCACTAGAGTCATCATCAGAGTATACTTGCGTCGCGATTTGCACTTAAATAAGAGTAAGAGAAGTTTTGGTTTTTGATATCCGACATGTATAATGTTGACAATGAACTCACCACATCGATTTCCCTCCGGTTTGTACCCATTATCGCACAGGCACTCTTGCCCTGCTCCAGTGTTACTATGCGGAGGACAATACTGAGAATCGCTTGGATTAGTCAGAGTAATGTTGAGATTAAACCCTAGATAGATGATTGAAACACATGATGGAATTGAATTTTCTTGATATACTCACAGCACCCCGTGCCATGATCGTTAAGAGACGATCCATTTCGACATTCGCAATGTTCGTTATCGTACGGTTTTACTGGTCCATTGAACCAAGTTCTACAATCTGTTTCTGTCAGACTATTGACTGAGGTTGACGCTGATCCCTGATAATCAAGTAATTTTGCTTTTTCTGAAATAGAGAATGTTCAACTAGGATTTTGCTTTTTCGTATTAGTTAAACTTCGTTCGTACCACAACGAACACCATCTTTTGGATAATAGCCATCTGTACATCTACATTGATCTCCATCAAGAATGGCATTTTCTGGACAGTTTTCGATGGGTGCCGTAAGTCGATGATTAAGTGGCGCATCTATACGTATAACAAAAATGTTGTAGATGCTTTTCTCAGATAAAGTATCGATCGCTTACAGCAATTCGTTCTAGCTGCATTCGGAAAACTTTCGTCTCCAGAGCAACGACATTCGCCAGCTGTATATAAATATACTTTTCTACCAAATACTTGCGTGCATACTTCATCATACGGACGATTGGGATTGGTTGAAAATGATTCAGAAGATAGCTTCAGTTCTAAATAAAGTTCTATTCTTATGACAAAATGAGCTCAGTTTTAAATTCTACGCACCACATCCGCGATTGTCCGCGACCACTGCATATCCGCTATGGCATTCACATGTACCAGTGCTGTTATTTCGTGATGCATGTTGCGGGCACAAATCATCAACTGAATTCGTTTTTTTACCGATCAAATATACTAAGCAAAGAATTTATTCGGGAAGATTTGATGAAAACCACTCCGACATTCTCTTACCACATTGTTCTGAATTGCTAGAATCGAGAAATTTATCTTTTCCACATGAACAAACATATTTATCTTCTCGGTCTTGGCATGTTAGTGGCTGCGGACATAGACCATCTTCGCGATTAGCTCGATATCGTGAATTGATGCGCGTGCAAGAACCATATTCAAGTACACTACTTTCCCATTTAGGCTCAATTTTAACTAATTATATATAGGAAATGAAATTCGATGAAGACTATCCAAACATGCAAAAGTGGATGAATTTACCGCATGAACGATCGTCAGGATTGAATCGATGTTTAGGTGCACAACCAATTAAGTTGCTATGCACTGCATATTGATCATCCGTAAAATTTGTCGTGAAATCATGTTGGCTGAGGTCATACGAATTAGGAAAGAGAAGTAGCGGTTTGTTTGATGGTACTGAACGAATATATGAATAGCAATAGGAGTGTTGATAAACTGTCTACATACCACATCGATTGTTTTCCTTCTTATAACCTGCTTGACACCAGCATGTTGTTTGTGTTGCAGCGCGAATACATACGGCGTTTTTGTCTTCGCAAACGCCGCATTCAGCATAGTTTGATTGAACAGTGTTTAACGGAGACAATGCAGAGATTTGAATCGGTTCTTTTTTTTGAAAACGAACACAGAGTAATCATCGAATAAAGGACAGTATTTCGATCAAAAGATCTTACCACACTTTTCATTATTATTCTTTACTTCATATCCATATGGACATTTACAAAATTTCGCTGTCGGATGCTGTGTATCATTAAAACATTTGGCGATCAAATCTATACATGACGCGTCATCCGAACAAAATGCATTGCTTGCATTTGCATCTGCCCAAGTGCTATAAATTTTAACTAATTTTCGTCCTAGAAGATGATTTGACATCGAGTTGATCGTAAACAAAAGTTTCTGTTAGACACATACGACATTCAGTGCGATCATCATTGAGCTCATAACCATGTCCACATGCACATTGATGGTTAAGACAATATCTCGACCGACATTCCGTATTACTTGCACATGATTCATTCAACTTTTTATCTAAAACACGAAACACCTCTCTCAATTCTAGGATATTTGCGACTTGCTACATACAACAAAGCCCATTTTTAGCTGAAAATCCATTCAGACATTGACATCGTTTGTTTTCAGAGCATTCTGCATTGTTAATACAATGACTTCGTTCCTCGCATGTTTCTCCTTCATATGCTGACCGAGGATTAAGTACTACACAAAAGAAAAACAGTCAGATTTATACCGATTAAAAAGAAGCAAATCGCCTTGTGTAAATTACTTACCACATGATGAATTGCATGGTCGGTACAAAGGTACTCGACACTGGCATTTGCCTTCTGAACAAATCAAACTGGCTCCTTCGCATCGTACATCATTTGAACAAGATTCGTCAAGTGTAGCTAAATTGAAACGTAGTGCTCAGATGAGACTATCGAACTAGATCTTACCCGCATTCGTCAATGAAATCGATAATATTAGAATAGAACTGAACAAAAGCAACATCGTAACGAACGTAGATGAGTTTTTTCTCATCGTGAAATCTAAAAAATATTGTATTCTCAGATGTTGAAACGGATGAAAATGGTCACGACAAATGAAAGAAATTCTTTGCCGTTGTCTACATATATTCAATTTCAATTAGTCAACTACCTGAATATCGGATCACCTATATGTGATTGATTTGTCGACGCCTACTTTTCGTAATCGGAATAGCTTGCTGAAACAAATCCGTGCGGAGTATATTTTGTCATAGAAATGATATTTTATATCGACTTACTCATCAACTTTCAGTTTGAAATCTGAGAGATCTTTATATAGACACAGGACATACTCATATTTTTGTCGTGAATATAGAAATACTCAAAAAGTAATCTTATCTTTTCGTTATTTCAATCTGCACAAGAAAATCAAAAGTCAACTATCGTTTTCATCTTATATTTTGATCAACAGAGTCTTGTAGAACATGATGTTTTTGTTTGCTTTCAAGAAAATCTTACTTAATCTCATTATGATTCACCCGCCTTTCGTTTCATCATCGATGAATACCTATTCACTGCTTGTACACATCATAGTCGTTTTTTATTTATTTCAATTGAGTCGACTTTGTAAATGGTAATTGAAATCTTTTCCTATCGAAAACATATTCCTAATGGGAAACATCATATTAGGTCCGTTCGGCAATGCGGTTGCTAGTTTAACAGAACTATTCGCAAATAAAATCATTGGTGGAATTGAAAGTATTCCTCATTTATGACCGTGGATTGTTAGTATACGAAAACGAACTGTAGAGAAAACATTTGGCTTACCCATCTGCGGTAATTCTACTTGAATTTGAATGACAACGATTCCTATGTGATTCTCTCGCTGCAGAAGGAACGCTAATCAGCGATTGCTATATTTTAAGTGCAGCTCATTGTTAGATTCAAACAGATTTTTGTTTTGTGTGACTAGTGCAATCTAGTCCATTGATATCTATATGTTCGTCATCGGTGCACATTATTCAGCTGATACTCATGTTTATTCTGGTATTATCGAAGAATAAGAATTTCAAATCGATATGTGCTGCTGATTTCGTTTTTTCTAGATTTAGTTACGCGTGTAACTGCTTCGCTAATTATTCTTCATGAGAAATACAACGTAAATCGTCAGACAGATGATATAGCTTTGATTGAACTTGAAGAAAGAGTTTCATTCGACGATATTCACATAGGTGCTGTGTGTTTACCGAAATGATCTGAAAAAAATATCCACCAGAAGGAGAATATACTGTATTAGTTACTTGCATTTCATAGACACAGTTTCAATACAAATACTATTGATTTATGTTTTTTGTTTCGAAAGAAAGTGCCATTGGTTGGGGGCGTTTATTCGAAACAGCACAATACGAAAGCGATACTCTTTAACAAGTTACTTTAATTGTCGAAGAAGGACAAGCACATGACAAGATTAAATCAGGCAGCCAGTTGAACAGTCAACTATGTGCTAGTGCTATTGATTCGCAAACTTATCAGGACACATGTCAAGCTGATAGGTTAATGATCATCTGTCAAGAACTTTACAGAGGTTCCACAAATAATACTGAATCTATCTTTTTCATATTACAGTGGCGGACCCTTGATGGCTCGAATGGAAGATAATCTCTGGGAAATTTTTGGTATTACCAGTTATAGTAAAGGATGCGGACGTTTACATGAATTTGGTATTTATACTCGTGTCAGTATCCATTCGAATTGGTTGAATACGACGTTGAGAAAACTTCATCAATACACATCGAGATCCATTCGTTCGCCTGAGAATGTCTTCTTGCATTCTACTACGAAATCTTCAAACAGTTATTTTATTGTATTTAATTTGATTTTTATTGAAATCTTTTTTGTGTAATACATAGCTCTCCCATTAGTTTATTGATCGAAGTAAGAGAAAAAACGAGAACATCATTAAAATATAACGTGATACTATATTCATCAAGAATGCTTATTTCTTAGCGAAAGCAGTGCCTGGATTCATTATGCCGTTTGTAAGGGTTCCATCAGCTCCTGCTGGATATACACCGCCGAGTCCTGAATATGGACTAGCAACTGGTGGGTATCCACCGACGGCTGATTGAAATTGACTTCCTGATTGATATTGGGCAACCTAGAAAGATCAAATTTGTAACATGTAGTATATCAAAAGAAGAAGGCTTACTTGAGCAGCTTGGACTCCGTATGATGGATAGGTAAGAGCGCTGTGAACAGCACTATGAGTTTCATGATAGGATGATGAAATATATCCACCATAATTTAAAGCATGATGATACATATAGAAATCATCATGTAAATGAATGCCAAGTCGAATAAGTAAATCAGTTGAGAAGTATTGAGCATGATATAAATAGGTACCAAGTGTTGTTAAATGACCACTGTATGAACCGTAGCCAGCAGCGACGAAAGCACTGATGGAGATTGTCGAAGGGCAAGGCCAGAGATTCAAACTACGAAAGTTTTCTACACTGACAAATTGTTTCATAATACTAAAGTATCCAACATTGGTAAGGAGATTATTCGAATAAAGGTAGCCTGTGTGGACTAAATCATTAACAAATGATACTTGTTGAGTTTGTTCTTGATAAACATATTCAGATGTTTGAGTTTGAGCAAAAGCATTTGCAGCAAACGGATAGCAACCGAAATTTCTGTAGACGTCTCGTGAAACATAACCATGTTGCATAGCAAGCATACCAGTGGTGGTAACAATTTTGTAATTACCATAGACATATTTGGCATTAATCAACCGATCAACACTCATTGAAATGTCTCCATTTAATTGACAATATGATGACGGAAAGTTCGTTGGAATATAATGAATGTATGAAGCTGCAAGGCCAAGTGCTGTTGGAAGACAATCTGATTGAAGATATCCTGCTTGTTGTAAGAAACCAGATGTGAGCATTTCGTTTGATAATGGATATAAATTAAACGATCTAAGCTGGGATGGAAGAATGTGACCGAAAATACTTGCCATAACACCGAGACCAGTCAATGTATGTGATTGACCATATCGAATGATGTATGAAGCGCTCAGTAAACCCTCAATATCAATCATTGAAACTGGAAGTAGGCTGGCCGTTGAGAGTTGTGGTATCGTCAAATGACCACGGATGAGAGCGTCGAATGCATCACATGTAAAATAGTTCGTGTTTGAAAAGCACATGCCACCATTTTGAAGTGCTGGAATGGATACGAGGCCGCTCACGAAGAACTTTCGTTGTTGAACGTAATTGATCGTGTTTTGTAGTTGAACACCGACTTGAGTGGTGTGACTAGCATATTGATCGCAGCTGCCGATTTCACCGTAGTTGCATACTCCCACGGGATATGGCGCTGGCATCGGCGCGAAATCACGTTTGGAACGACGTTTACTCGTTTTTTTTTGACCATTGCTCAATGCCGATTCGATTTTCCACGCATCTATTTATATTGAAAGAAGTGAATAGTTCAACTGTGTTCCAGAATTACACTCCTGATAACTTACCAAGACTTTGGATGGTTAAATCCAATAAAACAAGAATTAAAATGGTTGATACGAGACGATTCATGTCGACGGTGCAGGATATGAAATTTTCGAGAAATTCCGTCGGTTTATATAGTCGATAATAGTTCAAAATCTGTTTCTTATTTTTAATGGTGAAAATATTTTCAAATGTCATCCATCTGTCGTACTTTATGTCCAATATGATTAGTTTTTCCGGATATTAATCAATTCGTTTGACAAAATCATCATGTTTTTTATTATTCGAAATAGAGAACGCCAAATGTGATACAAATTGTCTAATAAAACTGATTTTCATGCAGCTATTCCAGTAAAAACATATGCTGATCGAATTGAATACATATTTTCTGAAATTCAGAGCTCGCATACGACAATAATGAATACAATATTGTTGGACACATTTATGTACACGATAATACTCTAATTAATCCAAGAAGAGAAACTAAAAATATTCTTTTTTTTTCTGATGTGGTTATGTGAGAATTTAAACCGAGCAAAATTATACCATCGATTTCAAATCAAATGATTTTTGATAGTTTTAATAATTTTCTAATTGTATTGGCGAATAGACGTGGGCGTCTTGCTAGGCAAGCTCAAGATCATATTTCAATGAAATATAAAATCGAAATTAAAAAGAAACAGAAATCATTTCAATTCGATGATGCATCCGATAAATACGATCATATTTCTCCTTCTAACGACCTGTATTCACCTAATCAATACTACTGAGATAGGTTATCCAACTGTTGAGCAAGCGGGTTTTCATCACAATGCTCTGCTCTATATCGACGGGATTCATTCGCCCGAGAAATTGATATTTTGGCTCACTGGTTCGTATAATACACTCGATTCTCGTCGTGTAATTTTTGACACAGTAACCATAATCGTTGAACGTACACCATTTAATTCTGTTACGGCATATTCGACAAATAAACAAGATTGGTCGTGGTTTCTCGAGACGAAACTTGCTGGTGAACATGGAATCCTCTCGAATTTGACTCAAGCTCTGAATCGATTAGAGCCAACAGCGAAACCTTTACAAGTCGTTGTCATGTTACCTTATGTTGATCCGGTTGATCAACAAGCCTTTTCTCCAACGTTAAACCTTGCCAATTCAAATCATCGTCAACAAGCCATTCAGTGGTATGTCCAAACAGTGAAAGACAACGTCGAACGATATCCAAAATTACTCCTCTGGGGAATTTATCTTATGCGGGAAGATATTTCCTTAGGTATCAACGAAGAAATCACTAGAGAAATCAGTGAAATAGTACACTCCCATCAATTACGTTTACTTTGGATTCCATACACAAGTGCAGTCAATTGGAATAACTGGTCAAAACTCGGTATCGATGTCGCTATTCTACAACCCGGCTATGCTTTTACGTCACCATTGATGCAAGGAACATTCAATGCTGGTCGAGTGCGAGCAACCGCAAAACTTGCTCGAAAATACGGTTTAGGCGTCGAAATTGAAAGCAATCAAGGTGCAAGTACCGAATATGAAATAGGACTCTTACAAAATTATTTAGCTCAAGGTTTTATTGATGGCTATCAATTTGTACCTACCGCTTATTTTCTCGGTAATTATGATACAATCGCACGATCAAAAAGAGCATGTGATCTTCTTCGCAACTATACGTCCGGTCAACCAATTCAGCCAACATTTCTAACAAATCTCCCATGGTCATGGACATCTGATCCAACACTTCAAGCAACGATCAATGTTTCAGCTCCCGTCACTCCGCAAGCTGTTCGAATTAACTGGTCGTCAAGACATCGAAATTGGTTGGGTAACGTTAAGGTCGAAGGTTATATAGAAGAAGATCACAGTTATGTATGGAAACTATTGAGTAGTACTGAAGTTGGTGAAAAAAATTGGCGTGATGAAGATTGGACGAGTACATTACTGCCATTTACGTTATTGTCATCACAAAAGATTTTGTCAATACGGATATCATTTACTAGTTATTTTTTTACACCTTCATTCACTAATGAAGATCTTATTATTGAACAGATGCCAAATGGCATTTCTCTTCATACAAGTACAGGTGCTCCGTACCGTATAATACCATCTATGTATACTTACGATGCTCAATATGGTGATTCAACTAGTCAAACATTATCTCATTTTCATCGTGGTTTACTTACGGATAGACAGTGGTCAAGTGCGGAATGGGAATCCACAATGTCTATCGGCTGGATTAATGATATGTCTACTCATCCTTATATTCGTATTGCAATCGATTTTGGTGAAATCATGCATATTGATCAAATTTTAGTTCGTACTCATGGTGGTAATTCTGCAAGTGTTAATTGGCCTAACATGGCCCGTTTACTGATCAGTATGACGTGTGTACCATTTTCCTCATATAGTTCGACGAACTGTCCTGTGAAAAGTTATCCATGCACCGACCGAGTCATTACAGGTGGTACGGATACAAATCAAGGAGGTATTTTATCATTTACATTTTCGAATACTCTTCGTTGGGCAACATTAGAATTTCAATCCAACGGTTGGTTGATGATCGATGAATTACAAGCTTTTGTTAACGGACGTGATGTTTCTAACTTCATACAATATTATCTTCTTACACCACCTACGTCAAAACCTTCAACTGCTGGTGTTTCGTATTCGGACAATGGCATTCGTCTGACTGATGGTGTTATTGCTGGAACAATGGGACCATTAACAGGATGGATTAAAGGCGAATCTCGTTCGATTATCGTTGACTTATTGAATACGCGAACTATTCGTGAAACGTCCGTGTGGGCGCTGATTCAATTAGACTGGGCAATTAGTCCACCATCGTCGATCATTGTTAGTACTAGTCTAGATGGTAAAACATGGGATCTATTTGATCGACAAGGACAAATGAGAACAGGTGAACGTGTATTAGATGCACAACGTTTATTCTTGATTGCAGATCAGGCAAGACAAGCTCGATATGTGAAATTTGACTTTCCTGTTGACCAACTTACTCCTGGTTGGTGGACAATGCTCTCTGAAGTATCTGCTACAGATTGATTTTATTGACAAATAAAAATTATATGTGAAACGTTTTGTTTCGAATTTTTATTTGATTACATGACAGAAAAGGTTTGAAAAACCAAAAAATAACATAAGAATTTCTTGTTTTTTTTCTCGTTTGAAATAGTGATTTGTCTGTTAAATAGTTAATAAAGAGCTGTTGGTGGTGCGCATCCTCCACACGCATCATATGCTGCTTTCAGTGTATAATCGGAGATGGCATTTGAACACGCGCGATAGCCGTTATATGCGCTATCTTCGCCGCAAGGAATTGTCCAAGGTTCAGGATTAGCTCGTAAAGCAGATGATGAAACAACCTGTATAACCCTTGATTGAGGAGCTGGTGGAGATTGCAGAATAACTTTTCGATATTGAACGCCGTTTGATATTAAATCTCTTCCACAATCAGCAGCTGTCAGAATAGATTTACAATGACAATCAGCATATTTAACCATCGACGGAACTCTAGTAAAGAACGATTGCCAGTCACTGCTCCCAAGATCGTAACCACTGGGTGCTGATATTTGATCAAGCGCATATAATTCTTCCTTGTATTTGTTAATCGTATCCTTTGCATAATTTTCAACGTATTGACATGTTTCTCGATGCAGATCGATGTACCTATCGTAAGATTTAATGATACGCTCGAGACCCTTGTGTAAGTCACGTTGAATTGACCTCCAACTATCGGCACATGATGCATCTTGACCGGCATTGGCCAGTTCATCAGCATATCTTTTTATACTTTCAGAAATACCCTTGAGAAGCTCCTTAGTTGAATCTTCTTCGGCTTTTACTTCGGCTTCGATGTCATCGAGATCTTGGCCGACTTTACGTTGCAAATGTCCTCCCAATGCTTCCAATTTCTCCTGAACTGATCGTTTCTGATGTGATGAGTAACCATCGCGAAACTTCAATTCATAAGAATAATTAACACAGGCAAGAATAAGAATAAAATTGATTACTGCCGTTGAAAACATCTCGTTCGAGCAGAATAAAAAGACAAAAGTAAGATCTGACCTGTTTTCACGTTTTTATATGAGACAATTCAAAGAGAAGCATTTTCAACGATCCGATCCGCACATGTTTCTCATTTCATTCGTGACACAGATTTCTAGACAAACGGTAGTTAGATCATACAAGAAAGTTTTCGCTCTTTTTTAAAACATTCATATGGCATTCGTTGGTTATTGATTGAAAACAAAAACACACATCAGTTTCAGTCGAAATCATCAACGAGAAAATAATGACTTTGGGCAAATTCTGAATGATTTTGTTGACTAATATCAATTGAATATAAACGCATTTTCAAACGAAAAAAAAGCACATCTATTACTCATCTGTCAAGATATGTGCGCTCTCATTCGAAAGATATACTCATATGCTCGTAAACATATTGTGCAGTCAAATATAAACGAAGTATGTCGGTTGAAACTAGAACACTGATGACGTGAATTGTGAACTTGTTCGATTGGTTTTAGTTTGTTTACCAATGACGTTTTGTTATCAGTGACTGACTTGTCAATGAAAACGACTCTTACCTATCTATACTTCATTTTGTGAATTGCTTGACAAGGTCTAATTTTGTTCTCCGGTGATCATAGACGTGTTGTGAATAAACATTCATTACATTACATTATCTTTTTCATTTAATCATTCACATGAGTACCTCGGTAAGATAGAAAAAAAAATAACACACTATTTATCTTATACTTGAACATGTCGAAATTGTCTGAGAATATCTCGAGATCATCGATCGAGTTAAGAATGATGACGATTAAGCTGTTAGAACTAGTGAGAACATAAGACGATGACAATGCTTAGCAAAAGTGTAAATGTTAGATGCGTGTAGATGCATTGAATGTCGCATGTATGTATGTATGTGATACTTGTCTACTGTACTCGACTTATTCATGCCATTGAGAAAGAGCATATGTATTGATGGAGTATACACTTTCATCGTCGTCATCTAATGGATAGATTAATCTGTCTGGTATTACATCGAGAAGCATACAATCAAGTGTCGTCTTTCTATTATTTTCTTTGTGCTATTTTGTAGGCAACCACGGAGCGCAAATCGTTTTTGCCTTTACGGTTACGATCAACTACTGTTGCAGGATCGAGCAACATACCAACAGCGACACGTTCGATCACACCTGTTACAATATTCATGCCGTCGGGTGTAGAAAATGAGTCGTTAATTGATTTCTAATTACTTTGGCTTGTTTTTCATACGTTTTTATCTTCTAGGAAATTATCTTTTTCTGTTGGAGAACGAGTCTTAGTCAATGGACTCAAAATCGGCACTCTTCGTTATGCAGGAACAGTTAAATTTGCATCAGGTTTGTTCTACGGCGTAGAATTAGACGAACCTGAAGGTAAACACGATGGACAAGTGAACGATTTTCGGTATTTATCTCACGATGAAATATCTACATTGCGTCACTACAATGATTTGTTTCTCTTTGAAAAGATATTTTCAATGTCAAGCAAATCATGGCGTATTCGTACCCTATGATAAAGTTGTCCTGGCAGCTCGAGAACGCACGCTAGTATGTATTTATCTCTAATTGAACGTTTGTTCAATTGAAGCGAACAAATATTCTATTTAGTCGACCTATCGAACGAACAGTCGTTTAAAACCACCAACTGTAACACGTACTATGACGGTTTCAACATCGACACGCACTAAATTCGAACGAAATACAATTAAACCACCTTCTGTACATGCTCAATTACCGGATATTATACCGAGTCCAATACCTGTAACACAGCCAATCACTATAATTCGTCCGATTATTGATCCAATCGTGACTGATGATCATGTTTGTTTCCTCTATTCGAATGAAAGTCAATTGATTTTCCATTGTTGTAGGATATTATGACACCTACAGAGCAACCAAGACTGATCGGTAGACCTATCCTTCAAGCTCAGCCGATGGCGATTGATGAGCGTATGTTTCAGTCGAGAATGAGGACAAGAGAGTTTCTGAAAGTTTCTCTCTTTTAGCTGTCGAACCTCTAGAAGCTGATTTTACCGACAGTGTCTCGTTAATTCTTCATCAACTGCAGCAGGAAGAGAAACCTTCTTTTCGTCATCCACGTGCATCATTAACAATTAGTGAAGGAAGTACCAACGATGACGACGACGCTGATACAACCGATGATTGTGACAATGAAAGTATAGCTGAGTCGAGTATTAGTGAACGAATGCAAATTATTGGTCGTGCATTATCGATCGAAGACTCGTCAAAATGCGTTCAAACAGATTTATCATTCGATATCAATGATAATACATTCACGGTGATAAATAACTTGTCAGATTTCAATGCGAATAAATCAGCAATTGATAGACCGAAAGTGACTACTCTCAATAAACGATTAAGTATTCCAACTTCTGTGTCAATCGTTAAATCAGGTTCGAACGTTTCGTGACATATATCTATATATCGAAAATTCATGAGCTTTTCAGTAGAATCTGGACGGAAAGCATCCGTTACATCATTGAACACGTCCACTGCTTCAACTCGAAGAACATCGCTTATACCATCGAAAAAAGAATCTCCATCGATGACTCGACAAAATTCGATCAATTCAATTGCATCAATAAGTTCCCAATCAAGTAGAATTTCGCCCTTTTGTACGTCTCATTTTATATTTCTTTCAATTCAGAATTTAATCAATCCTTTTCGTCATCAACTTCTATCGAGGATAATCACACTGAAACGACATTCACTGCACGAAAATCTTCGAAAATGACTTTCAAATCGTCATCTACTAGCATTTCAAAAGTATCTAACTCGACCAATCATGATTCTGGTAGAAATGTCATTCATTTCCACTCGTTCTCCTAACATCTTTCCTTTCAGATAAAAATCCGAATTTATCTCAACAATTGTTCACGTAAATTTTCCCCTCGCATGTTTAATTCTCAGTATTCTGTATTTTCAATCTAGACAAAAAGCAATTCTTCGCCTACGCGAAGAAAACAAAGATCATATGAAAAAACAATATCAACAGTTACTCCATAAGTTTGATATATTGTGTGTTCTCAGTCAATATTATCTCTCTCAAGTACGATTGTCTCGATTTTCATCAAACATATCGATTGATTTCTCTTACAGAATGACGAAATCAGACAACACTACGACCGAGAACTTGCAAAAGGTAGATCATTTATTAACTAATATGTCTACTCATTATTATTTCTTTATGCAGCTCGAAAAGCAAACGATCAACTAAAGGTACGTTGAAATTCACTTTCCGGGTTCATTATGTACTGAATAGATTTCAATCGAACTGCTACAAACATCTCATAAGGATAAACTGGTAACATTAGAAAAGCATCATCGTCATGAAACTGACCTACTCAAAGAAAATCATGAAAAGCAAACGATGGAATATCAACAAAATCTTGACGAAGCATCGGTAAATGACACTCAACTTGTTCTGATCAGCAAACTTGATGTTAATATTATACATAGAATAAAAATATGGAATTGGACACTCGTTGTAAGTTTTTGCAAGAACAAGTCGATCGCTTTGTCGATGAAATGGAAAAGAGTGAACATGCCGATCCGTTGTCACGTCGTGTGGAAATCTTGGAAAAAGATCGAGCAAGTTTACAAACTGTTCTAGAAATTCGAAACCAGGAATTGACACAATTAAGAAGCAAAATCAATGAACAAGTGTTGCAAGTAGGAGAAGTAACCCGAGGAGATTTTCAAATAGTTTGATCGGTTGATTTTAGCGTGAAGATCAATTAGCTTTACAAAAACGAATTGATATGGCTGAAAATCGCAATCAAGATCTCGTTTGTTTACTTCGAAATTGGCAATTAAACGAAAAGTAAGCAATTACATTTCTCCTTGAGAGAAGAATGAAAAACAAGCGCATCAGATGTTGACATCAGCTGTGCAAAACAGATACGATTTCGAGGTCTTTTGTCATCAAAAATAGATAAGATTTCCTTCGTGAAACTCGTCACCAATATTAAATCAACAAGTGTAAGGCGTTCTCTTTTTTCAGAGCTGTGGCTGTCGAACGTGATCAACTGAAAGAACAATTGGCACAACTCGAACGCGATTATCGACAATTGACATTCGAAAATGAAACATTAATCTATCGTCTTCGTGGTCGACCATTCTGTGCAACTCATTCTGATTCAACAAATTTGAATTTAACCGCACCTATTCAACCAATGCGTGATCGAACACATAGTTTGTCGTCACTGATGGCAAACACATCGAAAATCACTTGCCGTCCTCGATCATTATCATTAAATCACATCTGAAATCGGTGATTTCTTTCCTCTCTTGAGAATGTCTATTGACCAAGCTTCTGTTTTGATTTGACAACCTATACTCGATTTATGTGATATGAAATCTTTACAGCGACATTGTTCTTTTGTATTATTTATATATCTGCTTTGAAAATAAACTATTGATTCCTGGCAAACTTGAGACGGCTATATCAATGGTGAAATCTTCGAGCGAAACGAACCATGGCATTGGCTTCCATGAGTTATTTTGTTATTTTTAGTGCTGCTGACCTTCGTTGGTCGAACGTGCTGAAATTATTTCATTGAAAACATTTGTTGTCTTGTGTTGATTAAACTCCTGTCCGAATAGTTATCGCACAGATGTTTGCATTCATCGAGAATGAGATGAATATCGAGAAAAGCGAGCAAATCCGCCGAACAACGATCAGTCATCTGAGATTAATTTCAAATCGAACGAAATATAATTTAATCCAGAAAACTTCCCTTTCAATCGAACTGATTTTCGACTTGAATACTGTTCTATTTGTTATCATGAGATAACATGTTAACAACTTAGACATTCCTTTCTTGTATATCCGCAAGTAATCTTCTAGAATGATTTCATTCTATCTCATATTCATTGTTCATTTTTCTGCAATCAAACCGCTTTCGACGGCGACGGTGATCCCGTCGCCATTTCAATTTATCTTCGATTATCAAGATGAACAGATCATCAATACAAACTTTACGATAACAACTACATTGATTCGTAATCGTTCCCAAACGCTTGATTGTGACAATCATCGGTACGGTACGTGTCTGGTAGAAATGTCCTTAGAAATCAGATCGACCAGGACGTCAACCACATGTTCATGTCAAGCACCTGCAATATTACGTCAAATTGCTAATTATCGGCATAGTTGTATTTTACCTATCACTGATGCTACTGAACGACCAATAATAACAATGATAATCAATTCCAGTGATTCCGACGAACTTCTACCCAGTGCGACTGCGATTTTCCGCAATGCGCCAGCGTATTCAATTGAAAAGCAAGAAGAAAGTTCCATTGTTGTTCAGGTAAAAGAGTTCAATGTAAAGTGTTCGAATATTCGAAAAAGAAAATAATCAAATCGGTTGTAGACAAAACAAAATAACATCCTCGTACGAAGTCTTCGACATTTAAGAAGTCAAATCGATATGGACGATGCTGTTGAAAGTGAGCTGATTGATCCCGAGTGCATCTTTGATAATCATGGTAAATAGATGAAAATGATTGCTTATCTAACAAATACAGGTCTGCTGTAGTTTATTTTGTGTTTTTTCAGATTATCGGTACAGAAATCCATTGGGTATACCACCAATCAGTCGGGTGAGAAATGCGTGATCCATTTGTGAAAGTTATTGAACAATTTTATTTTAGGGCGATGATGTTGCCACAGCTGATTTTGCGAATGTAAGTTTCGTTTTAGTTTGAAAAGTGGTCATTGAAAGGGTCTATTTGTTTTCTACGTAGGGTGCTACTACAGGTTTGAGAAAAAAGTCGACCATTGAGAACTACTTCTGATCTCGATCCTGTTTTTTAAAAGATGACAATCCAAATGATTCACAAGAAGAAATCGATTATTCTATTATACTGAAGTGTACGGTGATCCCACCTCTCTATGGTAATCTGGATGTGGAATGGATTCGAGTGGCAGATGCGCCGTCCATAATAGTGGATAGTCGTATCGATCGGAATATTGACCCGGATAGTGACGGTATCTATTTTCCTCAGATGAATCGATACGTTTTTCTCGTACGAATGAAGGTTTACATTTATCTACAATTTATTGTTGTTCCATCGAGTAATGTCAATCTACTATATGTCGTTACTCATTATGATACAGGAGGAAAAGAATTTTATCGATCGAGAACACAGGATGATCCAGTTGTACAACGGTTTTTAAAGAAACCGATAAAATATTTCGAAGTGCATCTCAATTCAACGGACAACGGCCTACCACCCAGTGATGTGACATTAAATGTGGTATGTTGAAGGCCTTTGAATTTCGTCGACAAACACCATTTTCACATATACTAGGCTTATTGTGTTACACCCCTAGAAAAATGTCCAACTGTGAGCAGATCGAAAAATATACTTGTGTAAGACGAGCAAATCTATTTTGATATTCGTTAGGTTATCAATCCGGAATATCCATTGGATGACTATACTGGAACTGTCAATATTGACGTGGGTTTTTCAAGTATATGTCTAGATAGGAAATGATTATTATACTATAGATTCCAATTAACGCGGATGATGAATTGATAAATCCAGCCGCATCAGTGAGCAACTTCTGCAGTGAACTTTATCATGATGATCTCATTTCTGAGATAGGCAGTAGCTCAAAGAATTCCTGTAGCACCTTTGGTGGTATCTCCAAATATTGTGCCGGGTGTTGATATTACTGTGAGAGTTTAAAGAAATTTTAAAATAATTATTTTGGAATGAATATGCTCCTTTTTATATAGATTGATGCTGGAAGTATTCCATCGAGATCAAATGTAAGATATATTTGATTATTTTCTGATAAGGCAAAGAGAATTCTTGGTCTTCAGAATATCTATACAGAGTTAGCACCGCAGGATGATTTCATTCCTATACAACCACCAGTGTCAAGTATTGTCAGTTATGCATCACCCATTGTAAGAACATACATTGGCAATAAATCGTCATTTTCAGCCAATTTATTCAGAGTGCTCCTATTCAACCGCTCATTGCAATTCGTAGTCCAGTTAATCCCATTGTAGCTGCTGTCGATGTTGGTGTAAGTGATAGATAATATGAAATTGACATCAAATTTTTCATTCTTTGATGTACAGATCAGTAGTGAGCCGCTCGGAGACGATCAACCATATATTCCAGTATAATCTCTCTTTTTTCCTACTCCTATCCTGTATTTAAACATTTTCCAGGTCGTCAACCAGAGTCCAATTGTTGATCAATCGCCAGTGTTGATTCCAACAGCTGACGATACAATTCCAGTTGTAAGAACTAGATAAAATATATCTTCATTCCTACCGTCCACCTTAGATTGTCGCTCAAGGTCCAATTCCCAGTATATCAATTCATCCTTCGAGCCTTTTAGATCCCGCACCCATTGACGTACGCTTCTCATCACTGTGTATAGTTTCAAACTGATTTATACTATAGGTGTCGAATAATCTTCCTGTGCCGCTCTATCCAAGTAATACTCTTATAGTACGTATCCCATCGCCGTTTTTACAACTCATTTGTGACGCTAATGTTCACGTGCTTTATTCCTGCTTAGCCACCCATTCGAACAGCAGAACAAGTTCCTGCACATTATGCATGCTACAACAACCTACAAGTCGTTGGCAACATCAATGTGCAGAACATATTTGGCATCAATTCACTTCATCCGTCTCCATTCTCCGATAACATCAACTCTCAGTCACTCTCACCGGTTAGTTCATACGACAAGTCTTTCCAGCACTTTCATTTCATGCTGTTTACCAGGGATATTCGTATTCGTCAGCTCACTATCCATTTCACACCATTGTCATCAATCTTCGAGTCAACATCTATGTGCAAGCACTCACTCTCGGTCCACAATCCAATGTTCAACGATTCGGTCTGCGATTGTACAATCCTGACAACGGAGTGGACGACACATACTATTCAGCAATTGCACCACAGTACGGTAATCAACCAGCAGTCGTTGGTATTCCGTTAGCGAAAGTAGCAATTCGACTGTACTTGAACTTGTACACGACAAATGATGGTCAACCACCAAACAACGTCAAAATCGTACTTGTGAGTTATTGTTGAGTTTTAAGATCGGATAACGATAATGATTTGATTGTCGAACGGTTTAGAATGCTTGTTTTGATACGACAGCAGCAATGAGCAGTGTTGGTAGCGAGAGGATAGGGGGCCAATACTATCGCACTCCAGACGTGTTGCCAACAGTATTCGTTCCACGAAAACCATTACCAGAACCCACTGTAAGTTGAATTGCGGAGATTCCGCTTTTGATTGATAAATTTTTTCTTAATTTGGCTAGATTGTTACATACGGTACTGGTGGTATACCATTACCAAACGTTCCATCGAGTAATATTATTGCAAACGTAGAAGTTTTGGTAAGTTCAAATTCAACCTTTTCCTTCGGCTAAAGAATTTTCTATTTGCAGGTGGATACGATACCATCAGCACCTATTTCTTTGCCGTATAATGACATTCAAACATATTATTCGGAGATTCGAACACCATATGTAGGTAGTCTTTTACCAATCATTCGTTGCGCCTAATTGATTCTTTTGTGATCACTTTAAAGGATTTGAATACTAACTCTTTTGTGCCCTTGAGATCTGGTGTGGCACCAATATCATCACAAGATTTCGCCGCAACAATAGATATTGATGTAAGTGCACTATCTTTCATATCTACCAAGCTATAAAGTAATTATATGTGAATATATATTTTTAACTTGTAAAGGTCGAACTAGACGGTGAACCCATACCAGTAAGATCTGATGATGTGCAAGTTGTATGTTGATCGTTCTACTTTTGGTTCTCATGGATCACTTATTTGCTCCTTATAGATTCCTCCAGTAGCAAGAGTGAATCCTGTTGTATCATACTACCATAGTCCGATAGTACAGGTAAGCATCGAAGGTCGCTGTACGGTGATCAACCGATTGTATGTAACATTTCAATTTAAACTAATGCTGTTCGTCTGCTATTTTTATTTATTTGTGGTTCTTGACAGTCACCGGCGCCTACCTATTATTCATTGCCACCCATTCGAACAGCAGAACAAGTTCCTGCACATTATGCATGCTACAACAACCTACAAGTCGTTGGCAACATCAATGTGCAGAACATCTTCAGCATCAATTCACTTCACCCGTCTCCATTCTCCGATAACATCAACTCTCAGTCACTCTCGCCGGTTAGTTCACACGACAAGTCTTTTCAACACTTTCATTTCATGCTGTTTACCAGGGCTATTCGTATTCATCAGCTCACTATCCATTTCACACCATTGTCATCAATCTTCGAGTCAACATCTATGTGCAAGCACTCACTCTCGGTCCACAATCCAATGTTCAACGATTCGGTCTGCGATTGTACAATCCTGACAACGGAGTGGACGACACATACTATTCAGCAATTGCACCACAGTACGGTAATCAACCAGCAGTTGTTGGTATTCCATTAGCGAAAGTAGCAATTCGACTATACTTGAACTTGTACACGACGAATGATGGTCAACCACCAAACAACGTGAAAATCGTACTTGTGAGCTGTTGTTGAGTTTTAAGGTGGGATGATGATCATGATTTGATTGTCGAACGTTTTAGAATGCTTGTTTTGACACGACAGCAGCAGTGAGCAGTGTTGGTAGCGAAAGGATAGGCGGCCAATACTATCGCACTCCAGACGTGTTGCCAGCAGTATTCGTTCCACGAAAGCCATTACCAGAGCCAGCTGTAAGTTTCCACATGTCAATAATAGTTTGTTTTTGATTATAACTGGAGAGAGATTGTGTTGGCTCCATCTTTTTGTCTGACTTAATCTACTTTAGATAATTGTACCAAGCGGATATGTTGATAACCAAGTTCCTATAGCGTCATTGGGAGGAGGAGAAATTGATGTTAATGTAAGTGAGATATAGTACCACGACCTGACTATAGTTTTATGTTTGAATTATTTCTAGGTGGTGAGCTATTTGAAAATAAACAGGAAAATGATAACAGGTCTCTGATGATAATGCTTCTAACCATTTCTATCGTAGGGCACGATTGGTCAGCAGTCAGGATCGTTTGAAATCGTAAGTTTTACAAAACATGATATAGAATATTTATTTGACTGATATTTTAGTTATCGTCACCTACTAAGCCAATACCTTTTTCACGTAAGCCTGGTCAGTGTTTCGAACAAATTCTCATAATTGGCGGCTCACATATAACCATGATTCGTTCCCGTAATCCTACGCATCACATGGTTGGACCGGAGATTAATTTTGGTGGTACAGGATATACATTCTCCTCTGCAAGTGATGCGTATGAATTCGAAATTCACTTCGTTCAACCCTTTACAATGAAATATGTATTCATTCCCTATTCTGCAAACGTGGAAAGCTTTAAAGTTGAAGCATCACATGCCGGGATGTTAGCTGTGCTCACGTCGAAACCGACGAATGATGGACTAGTTGTCGATGGTTTTCCACCTATCTTAATTTCAATGTTGGTCGTTACGATTGCCCACACTACAGACGGACATTTACCAAGTCACATCACGTTGAATATCGTGAGTAAAGTTATATTCCCTACGTTAGAATGAAATTTTTTATGCCTCTCTAGGGTGTCTGTAATCCTATATATTCGCCGTCGAATGTAAGTAGAAGGGAGAAAATGAGTATTGAACTGATTAGTCAGAAATTCTTAGGGAAAAGGTTTTTTATCCTCGCATTCGAATGCTTTATTGGCTGATAGAGTATTATTTTGCTGATGTTGATTCGTTAAAACACCATCTTCATACAAATACATTTTTATAGGAAGGTAATGAGATTCCTGAAATTACCGATTGCACTCCAAAATTACAATTAATTGATAATCCTACGCAAGTTGACCGCGTGGACATTAAAACACCAGCTGGGCATATCAGACCAAATGATCTGATTAATCCGAATGAAAATGGAATGGAGTTCTATACTGTCGGCACACATACAATTGATATCTTCTTGGTATCAACTCTCGCCATTGCCTCAGTAACATTTCATCCATTGACTAATATCGACAGTTTCATATTACAGCTTCATCATTCACATCGTTATTATTTGGAAATTACGTCAAATATCGGTTCAAAGAGTATCAACAAACTCGATAATGTTCCAGCTAGTCTCATACGTATTATCATATTGGGAACCGAGGACGGTTATCCGCCGAATCATGTATCAATTGAAATAGTTAAGAAAGATTTTTGACTTGATAAATATTAGAAGGCAGCGCTATCTTTTTATTGATATTATAGGGTGCTTGCATCCCGACACGCTTACCAAGGATTATGCCAAGTCCATTTAGACATGTAATAAGCATATCTTTCTGTTTAAGACCATATGATTTAAATTCTTTGCTCTTTTTCTTCTCAAGGAAATGATAACAAAACGAAGAAAATTACCGCGAATAGATGTGAGCATATATATTGATTGTATTTCTTCGATACAGAAAGTGGAACTGTAATATACATTCTAGATCAATAGGGGAGTTGTTTTACCATACTTGGTAAGGAATTTTGAATGTGTGAAACTGTTCTTCTTTATTCTTTTGTCTACCTTTTCCTTCGTTAGGAGCAGCCAGAGCCGTCTGTCGACATCACAGCGAACATTAATGTACGAAAACGCAAGACGCACTATGCATGCATACGTGATTGAAATTCGATCTATATCTCATATTTAGATACAACCAGTTTCACAACCTGTCATTGACACATTTCGATCACCAATCATCGTAAGTGTTACACCCACAAGAAATATTCTATCCCTTCTCTAAAACTTAGATGCTACCGCAAAGCCAACCTCTACCATTAGTTCAGCAAACGCTATACAGTCCAATTCTCTCTCAACCGCAGCAAATTGTATGTTTACACGAACTGTGTGTTATACGCTTGTCTAGCCTTTGTTCTAGCTACCGATTCAGCGCATTCTACAAACACCCCAAGCAGCTTATCTGACTCGATCGCCCTCTGGATACACTTGTCAACACAACTATCAGATCCTCACTTCTCTGCACATTCACAACGTCTACACTCTCTCACCAACATCTTCCATCTCCGATCCAACCCTATCCAACTCACTCCTCCCCCCTGACAACGTATGTCCATTCTCATTATCACTCATTGTACCTCATCTCTTCCTTCTTCGCACAGGGCTATTCATTTGACTCGCATCACTATCCATTCCACACCATCGTCGTTACTCTCAAATTCACCGGATATGTTCAGTCGTTGTCTCTCGGTCCACAATCGAACGTACAACGGTTCGGTCTTCGACTTTACAATCCACTGAGAAATGTCGACGACACCTACTATTCATCCGTCGATTCAGCCACCGGTCAACCCGTCATCTCTAACATTCACATGGCAAAAGTTGCCATTCGATTGTACATCAACTTGTACACGACGTCCGATGGTCAACCACCAAACGACGTCCAGTTGAAGTTTGTATGTAGTTTAAGTTCGCTTCGCCGATGATAATGTGAAGGAGTCGGTGTTGATGTTTAGAATATCTGTTTCGATCTTCGTCCAAGTGAACCTACAGAAGATGATGTGGGTAGAAGAGTGATGATCGGAACACCAATCATTCCAAGTCCATTGATCGTGGAACCACCGCAGTTACCGATAGTCCCAAGTGTTATGATGATCCCGAGTAGAATGATAGTGAGTATAGAGTGAAAGCTATGTATTGTTGATGATTTTGCATTTAGGAGCCTCCAGTAGTTTATGGTGTTCCACGTCAGATCATATCTGTAAGTAGAAGTATTTATTGATGGTGGAAAGATGCGATTTGATGTTCGATTTTCGTGTTATTTTCTTAGGATCCACAACCAGTACGAGCCGTGCCTGAACCACTAGTGGTGGCCACAATAGACGTTCAAGCCGATCTAATACCAGTAAGCGCTTTCAAAACTACGCGGAAATTTATTCCTGTTTGCGATATCATGAATATTGATCTGCACCAAACCATTTCTTCTAAAAGATTTTGCACAAAATATATATAGGTTGAATCCATGGCAGAAACGGTTGTTCGGACTCTTCCATCACCGATTGTCGATGTTCCAGTGAGTGTGAAAGTGGGATGCTGAATGTTGAAATAGTTGCCGCTTTTGATAGATTGTAGTAGAAGCACCAGCACCAATCATGGTTGTGCCACCATCAGTTGAACATGTGCGACCAGTCTATATTCCGGTTAGTTGTGTTCCATTTATTCATAGCTCAACTATATTGTATGACTATCGCTGCACTTTTTAGGTTCAGGAAATGCCAAAAGAGACTGTTTTTACTGTTTCATCGCCGATAATAAATGTTAGTGCTGTATTAAAAAATATAGACAAATTTTACTGAAATATTTTTCACTCTCTAGCAACCTGTACCAGAACTACCGATCGTGGCTCTCATACAGCAAGAGCGAATAGTACCGCAACAGGCTGAAGCGATATCTTTACCTCGCTTTGTTCCACCTAATCCAGTATATAACGTAAGGAAAATCATAACGACTATGTTCTTGACCGCTGATAGGGAAGCAGTTATTATGTACTCCTCTTTTATCTGCTTCACATACACAGAAATATCAATGCTGATATATATGAATACGAAAGAGAAGAATTCTAAAAGATCGATCTTGCTTTCTAAACAAACTCAAAGTCATTTCGATTGCGATTTCCTAGATACCCGTGTCAGTTGAAGCTATCGAACAGTCGTATCCATCTCTAATTATGGTAAGTAATTCTTTGTAACATATCATACATGTCATCGAGTTCGTTACGGATATCCAATATTTAGCCACCTCCTCAATATATTCAACGTATCCAACATCCGATTGCCTATGAACAAAGTGTGCCGAATAGAATAATACCAATTCAACCAATCGTAGTAAGAACACCACTTCAGAGAGTTCAGCCATACATTACTTCATATTCTGCAATACTGCGAACTTATATATGAGTCGTATAGCAGACATGCATGAAAAAAGAAGAAAAATTCATCTGAGAAGAGCAAAACAGAATCACACTTTTGAACGGAAAGCGGATGAGTCTATGTGCTTTATATTTCTAGATTCCTGTACAACAAACTTTTCAAGCTCCTCAAAGAATCTTACCTAGTGCAACCATTCCCCATTACCTTACTCGATCGCCTTCTGGATACACTTGTCAACACAACTATCAGATCCTCACTTCTCTGCACATTCACAACGTCTACACTCTCTCACCAACATCTTCCATCTCCGATCCAACCCTATCCAACTCACTCCTCCCCCCTGACAACGTATGTCCATTCTCATTATCACTCATTGTACCTCATCTCTTCCTTCTTCGCACAGGGCTATTCATTTGACTCGCATCACTATCCATTCCACACCATCGTCGTTACTCTCAAATTCACCGGATATGTTCAGTCGTTGTCTCTCGGTCCACAATCGAACGTACAACGGTTCGGTCTTCGACTTTACAATCCACTGAGAAATGTCGACGACACCTACTATTCATCCGTCGATTCAGCCACCGGTCAACCCGTCATCTCTAACATTCACATGGCAAAAGTTGCCATTCGATTGTACATCAACTTGTACACGACGTCCGATGGTCAACCACCAAACGACGTCCAGTTGAAGTTTGTATGTAGTTTAAGTTCGCTTCGCCGATGATAATGTGAAGGAGTCGGTGTTGATGTTTAGAATATCTGTTTCGATCTTCGTCCAAGTGAACCTACAGAAGATGATGTGGGTAGAAGAGTGATGATCGGAACACCAATCATTCCAAGTCCATTGATCGTGGAACCACCGCAGTTACCGATAGTCCCAAGTGTTATGATGATCCCGAGTAGAATGATAGTGAGTATAGAGTGAAAGCTATGTATTGTTGATGATTTTGCATTTAGGAGCCTCCAGTAGTTTATGGTGTTCCACGTCAGATCATATCTGTAAGTAGAAGTATTTATTGATGGTGGAAAGATGCGATTTGATGTTCGATTTTCGTGTTATTTTCTTAGGATCCACAACCAGTACGAGCCGTGCCTGAACCACTAGTAGTGGCCACAGTAGATGTTCAAGCGGAACTAACACCTGTAAGTTGTTTACTGAAGTTTGGCACTCTCTTGACCTCGAGGAAATAGTATAAATGTATCTGAGATTCTTGAAAAAGACTGTTTTCGAATAAATATTACTTTTTTTCACGAATATACAGGTTGAATCCATGGCAGAAACGGTTGTTCGGACTCTTCCATCACGAATTATTGACACCCCAGTAAGTAGAAAATGGAGATTATGGATCATTGTACGATTGTGACTTTTGATAGATGGTAATGGAACGCGTGAGACCAGTTGTGATCCAAGAAACACAACCAGTGATACGGCCGCCATTTATTAGAACTATTTATAGCCCGGTAAGATTTCATTTGATAGTACTTTGGTCACACTTGTTCATCGGTACTGGAATGTTTAGATACAAGAACCTCCGCCTATGTATCGTGTTGTCGATAGTATTGTACCCCAAATCGTATCTGTAAGTCGAACAGCGTTTGTAGGATGTGAAGATACTGGTAATTGTTTGATTTCCTTTTTGTCTTTCCAGAAGCCGATTGAAGAGCAACCAGTGAGAGTGGTGCCACAGCCACCATTGGTTGCCACAGTTGAAATTCAAGCTGAACTAATGCCAGTAAGCGTTCTCGAAAGATGCATGCGATACGATCAATATTGATTCGTACCGAACTTATACAGTTATTCAGAAAGTTTCTAGCTGAAAGATTTCGCACAAAATATATATAGGTTGAATCCATGGCAGAAGCGGCTGTTCAGACTCTTCCATCACCGATTATCGACGTTCCAGTGAGTGTGAAAGTGGGATGCTGGATGTTGGAATATTTGCCATTTTTGATAGATTGTAGTAGAAGCACCAGCACCAATCATGGTTGTGCCACCATCAGTTGAACGAGTGAGACCAGTCTTAATCCAGCAACCACAGCCGATGATACCACAACCTATTGTTAGAACTATGTACAGCGAGGTAAAAAATCGAAAAATTTTCATGATATATCTTCAGACCACATGATAGAACTTATTGCCAGCTTCAAGCTCAGTTTACACTCTTCCATCACCAGTAATTGAAGCTCCGGTATGTATTGTATGCCCAATATTAGGGAACACGTCTTTAGCTCATTCATATCTGCTTTCAAGAATACGATTGAAATAACAGCAAGCATATCGATTATGGAAGAGCCCAATGTATACGAGGAGCAACGATTAATCGCGCCAATACCTGTGGAACGTGTGGTAGCACCTCCAATAATCTATCCTGTCATAAATACGGCGTACAGTCCGGTATGTTTATCGGTTCTGTCAAATTGATTTCAAGACTCTATCAATAATTACAGATTATGCCTGCGCCGCCGCCAGTACTAGAAGCGCCACCACCAATTATTACAGTATGTATGATCTCTCATTGTGTAATGTTCAGTCTGAGCTACATTATTCGCGTGGAATAAAATTCTCGGTCACTCAGTAGCCGTCGTTTCTATTCGTGTGTCTCTAAAATGATTAAATAGATGAAGCAAACTGATAACTTGTTTCTGATTTTGAATTAGGCACAAGTAGAGATGCAGCCTATTGAACACCCATATCTGCCTCAAATTGCTGTACGTATATTGGAAGGTATTTGTACGTCGAAAATAACCACAATTGCTTTTCTCTTCTGTAGCCTAATCCTGCATATATTCAACAACCTATCAGCGAGATACGTTTACCGAGCCGGCCAGTGTCTTACGTGCCCGTTGAGGTAATTCTCCATTGTAAATCACACACCTGTCTCTTTCTCCATGCGATAGATTGGAAAGCCGTTAGTTGGTATGGTTCCATCACCTGTTATGGTAGGTTTGCTTTCTCAGATAATTTTCTTTTAGTTTACGATTCAAATGCTAAATAGATGCCTCCAGCACAAACAGAACCTGATTACGTTGTGCGTGTACCTATTCGAGCTCCACTTATTCGAACGGAAACATGTGTTTGTCAGTGCCCCAGAAGTGGTTCAATATCGATCTATTATGATGACAGCCAACCAAGTTGTTCGGTTCCCCTAACGAGAAAACGTCGAGATCATCATCGCAAGAACAACGAAGTCGATGACTATTTAAATTCAATTATATAATTTTCATGTTTATATCACTGTATTGATGATTGGATGTATTTGTTATTTTTTGTTTCGATATTGAAAATATATTAAGAAAAACAGCATGATACTTACGAGAAAGATGAATTATTTACTTTGAAGAAATAACGTGTTCTATGTGTAAAACGCTAATAAGGATGCTAGAATAGCAGCTATCCTCGACTGGCACTATTATTAGAATTCATCTAAGAAACTGTCGTATATCAAATACTCATCTTAAATTCTTCTAAGTAGCAAAAACATGCTAGAAGAATTATATTTGATCCTAAACGTCAGTTTACTCAAAACTTGAAATATCACCAAATAACACAGATTGTCCATCATGTATGATAGCGTTGAATAAAGGATTATGATCAACTATATTTCTATGTTGATATGTTCATTGTACAGAATTCCACTACAATAGGCTTTTTTGGCTTAACTTTACTAACTGAATCTCGTCGTCATTTCGGGACATTCTGTAAGTAATCCAATACATTACATTCCTCAACAGAATACATCTGTTTTGTTTTTTTTCCGACCCCTTTTACAGATACAAACAGCACACACACAAGAATAACACATGCTTCTCATTCATCCTCATTTCACCTACCGACACCATGATATTCATCTGCGTCATCACCTTTCTCCTTCTCATCATACAAGTTCATACAACATCACAAAGTACACCATCCATCCCTCCTTTGCTTACTCTCCAGTCTCATCTTCACCTTTCATCTTTCATCTAGACATCAATCCATCACCTTACTTTGCTCCATCTATACCTATTCACAACGGTATTTCCTTGTCATTGTCGCCTTCACCTTCGTCCTCATCATCGAGATCTATTCATTTCTAGACACATCTCACGATGACGAAGGCAAAGATCATGACTCCGAACCACTTAAGAACAACGGTCGAGGTTCACACGAAGCATCTGCACAAAGTGATCATCGGTCACATCTCATCCACTTCTACACTCACATTCTCTCGTCTAGACTATGCTGCCGAAAACAACGCAACCCATGGCGTACCTATCGATGACTTTCAGCAGATGATCCTCGTTGATCACAACAAATGTCGTCAACAAGCATGTGCCAAGGATCTTCAAGAAGACGATGAACTGCACAGGGAAGCAATGAAACGCGCACATAGTCTGGCGAATGGTCACATGCTGCCACTGCCCGATGACTACAACGAGAATGTGTTTGAGTTAGACACGGGTGATCCATCGAAGGTCACAAGTGAGTAGTAGAATGGGTTTGTAATGTAGGACGAAGCTGATGTGTGTTTTCTCTTGATGATGTAGGTGAGATGATTGTGAAAGGATGGTGCAACGAAGGGAAACAGTATGATGCTCGAAAAGAAGAGTCCTCGTTACGATATTCGCAGTTGGTGTGGAAGAGTTCGACGAAGCTAGGTGTTGGTCATGCATATGATAGTCACAAGTTGTATGTGATAGTATTGTACAAGCCATCTGGCAATCTTCGTGGTGAGTTCGGTGCTAATGTCGGCTGTGGTATCCAAGAGCAACAGAAAGCGAATTGATAAACGAGAAAAACTTCAATTATTTTCGACGAAGGAAAATATATCACTTTTTTGTGCATATTTAATCAATAAACGTAAATATAAAGACAATCAAAAGCAATCTATATGAAATGAAGTCTTAAGAAATATATCTGGCTAAGAAAGCATGAATTAAAACAAGGTTGGTTGTGTAAATATGTTTTTTGGAAGGAAAAAATAAAATCTGTTTTTCAAGAATTACGCTACTGTTGAAGGTCCGCACTGTTACAATCGTTTGTACTGTTCGTAAATTATTCCGCGAATGCCGGATTGTATTCTGACGTGTTGAAGAAAGAGTGAAAAATCAATGTCATCACAGGGCAGCTTTTACTTTTCTGTTATGAAAATATTTATGACGCATCGGTTCATTTCTGATGTGATGCCATGCGGTGATCGATTTTGTGATTTTACTCGGAGTGTTCTCTCATTTTCTCTCGTGTCGTTCAGAGAAGAAAAGGAACTACAAATAATAATGTTTTGTTGACAACTGAATGTTTGAAGGACTAATTTTTAAGAGAAACGAAATTATTAACTTCAATTGTTAACTGCAAACGAGCCTCGGTCGTCCGTAGATACAGATAATAATCCAAGGTGCTGTCTGTAGGGATTCGGAAGTTAACCGTGCGAGACTCTAGTATATCACTTTACGAACAAACAGAGCCAAATCTCAAGAGTAAAAGATCGATGCAATATACAGAAAGCCTTTCAAACAAAATCTCTGTGTGTACATGGCAACGACGAATTGTTTCTCTGATTCTTTCTGGTTTCTTTTTTCTTATATATAAGTCACATACTTTCGCCTCCGTTCTCATCGTAAATATATTTACATAACTATGATTTGCTGTCTATATTTTTATCGAAAATGGTTAAGTTTTATACATACGTGCGTCTAAAAAGGAAAATGACTAACTTTATCAGTAGAATTGAATATTTTTAAAAGTATACGTATGGAGAATTCTATAGTGTGTGTAAGTGCGATTTCAATTATTTTTGCTTTAGAAAATAAAGAAAATGGCGAAGCGACGACGATCAAAACCTGACTCGATAAGCCAGATTGTTTCTTTAATCTCATTAATTTTCGGTATTGCCGCATTGGTGCTCACTTGTGTTGGCCTTGGGACACCAGAATGGTACATTAGGTATGGATCCGGTTATAACATTTCATCGTATCGAATTTCTTCAGCCAACTTTTTTTACTCATGCAACTATTACATTGATAATACATTAGATAGATGTGTACAACGTCAAGAATCGATGTTTTACTATCCTAACTTTGCTCAAATCGAGTGGATCAACGCTTACCAGAACGTCGCTGAACATGCTGGTGCTTTATGTATCGTTGGCATTATTTTTCTATCGTTTGGTATTCTATTCACAGTCATAATGACTGTGGTACATTGTCCAAGTCCGTTTTATTGTTTTCCACCCGGTGTATTTTTCCTTGCATGCCTTTTCATGGCTGTTGGTCTGGCAGAAGGTTCATTTATTCTTATTTATAATGGCTATTCAGCTATTCTTTTTCAAACTGGTCAAGTAGCAACGATTCTCGCTCTTTGCTTGAGCACTTTCGCAGCCGGTCGCAATCACTTTGCCAGCTGTACTGACGCTGGCATCAATACAGCTCCAAAAAAATCGGCGGTCTCTGTGACTTGAATAGAATTTTTTTTTCGTTATTTGTATATTAGCCCTTTAGTGTACTTTGATTTTATTTAAGTCGTCTTGTCTATTTCAATGATAATAGAAGCATACGCAACCAGTATTTTTCTTTTGGCTTGTTATCGTTCGGTTACTTTAGCTTCGCATGTGCTGCTGTTCATTTTCAACAAGTATTGCCTGTGCCACTGTGTACGATTTACATTATGGCCTCATCAATGCTCAAAACAGCTCAAATTTATTAGTGCGTCCGAATATTCGTACATTTATCGTTTTCAGATATTCTAGACACTTGAGTCGAACAAATTAATAAACAAAATACATCTGTTTTGCTTTGTTTTCCGACTCCTTTTACAGACACAAACAGCACACATACAAGAATAACACATGCTTCTCATTCATCTTCATTTCACCTACCGACACCATGTTATTCATCTGCGTCATTACCTTTCTCCTTCTCATCATACAAGTTCATACAACATCACAAAGTACACCACCCACCCCTCCTTCACTTACTCTCCAGTCTCATCTTCATCTTTCATCTAGACATCAATCCATCACCTTACTTTGCTCCATCTATACCTATTCACAACGGTACTTCCTTGTCATTGTCGCCTTCACCTTCGTCCTCATCATCGAGATCTATTCATTTCTAGACACATCTCACGATGACGAAGGCAAAGATCATGACTCCGAACCACTCAAGAACAATGGTCGAGGTTCACACGAAGCATCTGCACAAAGTGATCATCGGCCACATCTCATCCACTTCTACACTCACATTCTCTCGTCTAGACTATGCTGCCGAAAACAACGCAACCCATGGCGTACCCATCGACGACTTTCAGCAGATGATCCTCACTGATCACAACAAATGTCGTCAACAAGCTTGTGCCAAGGATCTACAAGAAGACGATGAACTGCACAGAGAAGCAATGAAACGCGCACATAGTCTGGCGAATGGTCACATGCTGCCACTACCCGATGACTACAACGAGAATGTGTTTGAGTTAGACACGGGTGATCCATCGAAGGTCACAAGTGAGTAGTAGAATGAATTCGTGGTGTAGGACGAAGTTGAGATGTGTTTTCTCTTGATGATGTAGGTGAGATGATTGTGAAAGGATGGTGCAACGAAGGGAAACAGTATGATGCTCGAAAAGAAGAGTCCTCGTTACGATATTCGCAGTTGGTGTGGAAGAGTTCGACGAAGCTAGGTGTTGGTCATGCATATGATAGTCACAAGTTGTATGTGATAGTATTGTACAAGCCATCTGGCAATCTTCGTGGTGAGTTCGGTGCTAATGTCGGGTGTGGTGTCCAAGAGCAACAGAAGAAAAATGAATGAACATTAAGTTTTGATTGAAACAAGAAGGAGTACATCTGTATATCTGCTTTGTTTTGTGTATAGAACACGATTTTATTTATAAATCATAACTAGACACTACTTCTCGCTCTGTCGTATATTGTCACATTTTAGGAGTCGGGTGTAATGAAAATGAGGCATTGAAATTGGAATCGATTCTGTGAGTAATCATAATAAAGAATGATCGATACTATCAGGATTCTTTAGCAATATGTGAGATAAGTATTTACATAAATATCAATATCGAACAATCATTCTGCGATAGAAAAGCAATAGCAGTCAAGTGACATCCAAGGCATGTTCGAGCATTTCCATCAACGAAGGATCGAACTGTTTTTTGACATACTCATAATTAAATAAACAACAAATCCTAACATATTTCAGGGAGAGAGAACCGATCAAATTCTTTCATATAGCAATCTCTTTCGTTTGAGTATTTCTGCCATAATTGCCAATAAAGTATTCAATGGTTTCCAGATAAAGTCATTTCATTTGTCAAACGCGTCAAGAATGAGGAACAAGCGAGAGTTTTACACATTTAATAAAATATTGTCAGAATTGTCACTCTGCTTCCAACATCGAGCATTCAATCGGCGACGATGAGTGATAGAAAACATCTTTTCTATTTTTATACCTCTCGCTGTCTGGTTCTTCTTCTACTAATCGGTTTTTAAAATTCAAAAGGCCAAGAAGAGAGAGCGTAGTTAAAAATAAGATTCTCAGTCATTAAGGTTATAACTCCTTTTTCGATTGATAGCAAGTGTGTATTAATATACTCTAAGAGTGGCGAAGAGAGAAAAGAAACACGTAAGTTTACCTTGTAGTCTTCAAAATCATTTGTACTTGCCTTCGCAATCAACTAGTAGAAGCACCTCTACAGAAGTTTCACTCAATTGAAATTTTTATTTAGCGATAATATCTGGTAAAAAAATACGAATATTTATCAGTTTCGTCGACAGAAAAGTAGGTGAAGGTATTCAATGTTGATGGTCATTATTCGTTCTTATTCATGTTGGAATAGAAGTCAAAAGGATGGCTTTATCACCGGACAGTATGAGTCAAAAGATAGCTTTAATCTCGGTTGCTTCTGGTGCGATCGCATTATTACTTGTTTGTGTTGGTATTGGAACACCGAATTGGTACTTAGAATATACTACAATCAGCGGTTCTAACTATTATAAGAGCGAATCAGCTAATTTCTTCTACTCATGCAGTTTTGCGAGTGATGGTTCATTCAAGCAATGTGTCAATCGTGAGGATGGACTTACCTACTATCCATATGATGCCTCGGCAGCATGGATGAATGATTTTTCCGATCGAATGCGAAACGCAGCTGGTCTCTGCATCGTTGGTATACTTTTTCTAGCCATTGGTATCGTACTGACATTAGTTATGGCATTTATTTACCTACCAAAGTGGCTGAATCTTTTACCGCCAGCATTACTCTTTCTTGCCTGTCTGTTCATGCTTGCTGGCATGGCTGAAGGCGCACGATTTCTTTCCTATAATGGTTATTCAGCTAATTTATTTCAAACAGGTCATCTATTGACAATGTTCGCTCTATTTTTGAGCGCTTTTGCAGCTGGTCGCATTCATTTCTCACGTACAACTGGTGCCAGAATCAACACTGTTCAAAAATAATCGTCCATACACGCATAAACTATATCCCGCTTTTGCACTTGTACATTTGAATGGTTTATATGCCTTTTTTGAAATCTTAATACATATGAATTACTAAACCATCGACTTGAAATCTTTCGTCATCGAGAATATCTGTTGAACGACTGACAATTTCACGTTTGAGACGCTTTCATCACGACATGTATTTTGCTTGATTATTCCGAAGAGAAATGAACAGGTTATTGTCATTTATATCAGTGGCCATGGCTGCAATTGCAAATTCTAAGAGAGAAAATGATTGATGCCTAAAGCAATATGAAGTACAGAGGAGAAATATCTGCACACGTTATTGTTTTATTAAAATAAAGATGTTGTTAAATGGTTTCTAGATCAAATACGTGATTTTTTTATTAATTTCAAACAAATCAAAGAAATGAAGCCGATTTTTTTCTTTAATTATAAATGAGAAAACAACAAATTAAACTATTCGTGCGAGATTCATTTAGTCTGCAGATGTCTTTAATCTGCGATACTACTTAAGCAACAACTCTTTCCATAAATATATTTTAAAATTTGCTTCCATCAGCTATCAATTTGATAAATATTAGTCTAAGATTAACTCTTTCTCAACGCGCAATACGTTCATAAGCGAAAACAATCACTGCGATGTAAAGAGAAACCATCTGGCCGATGTTTTAACAACCATTACTAGAAAGGTATCAAATATCACGATGAGAGTATTTCTCTTGAGAAACGAAAACAACGTATGTGGTTACTTCTTTCACCAAGGCGTTTTGTTGTGAAAAGAACATCTAACTATTTTTGGATTACATCGTCATTGAAAAGAGATTACAGAAGAAAAGAATGATGTTAATATTCCTATTTCCTCGGATGCATATTTATTCTACTTGAGCTCTTTCTATCTTGGTCGAATGCGCGTGTAAAAAGTCTTTTTCTCGCTTTTTTCTTCTCTCTGTCTCTCTGTGATTAGACGTCAAAACACAGTCATTACATATCCTGCGAGTTCTTTTTCTTATCTGAGGTTGAATAACAGCTCAGAAGGGAAGTTTTTTTTTCTGATTTTGTATAATCAAAAACAAGGACAGATGTAAAGTAATACCTTTCAAAAGTAAGTTAACGAGTTTCTCATTGGCTGCTTCTCCTTTTGTAAATCCAATGTGCACGAGGCAGGTGACTTAAAAACTTGATAAGTACGGTTTTTACGATTTATTGTTAAACAATACATATGACGAAAAAATACAACATAAAAATAACCTTTTCCTCCTTATTTAGATTTTTGTCCGATGATTTTATCGTCTACTCGTCCACCTGTAGTCAAAATCGATGGATGTAGTCGATCTTTAATTATTTTCGCTAGTTTTTTCACGATCGCTGCTTTAGCATTGTCCATCGTTGGTATATTAACACCTTCATGGCACAGCGTTCAATATTCGTCTACGAATTTAACAAACTTCAACCTCTTTACGATATGTACACGTAACGGAGTGAATGCAACACCAACATGTGCCGATATTCCTCGACAGAGTGATTTCGGTATTGGTACATTACATGCCGCAGCATTCTTAATTGTTGCTATCTGTCTACTTGGTTGTGCTATGTTTGTAATATTAGCAATGAATATTGCACGATTTGCGGGCATATTTGTATTTATTGCCCCATTCCTACTCTTTCTTGCGGCGTTATTTATGGTTGCATTATTTGCTGAGTTATCAAGAGTAACTATGTACAATGGTTATAGTGCGATTCTTGTTCAAACTAGTCTTGTGGCAACCGTATTCTCAGTGGGTTTGATCGGTTTTGCTGGCGGACGATTGCATATTCGTTTATATGAACGATTTTAAGTACTGCTTGCTTTTTCTAGCACTCACAGTTATGTTATACGCTGTTTGTTTTTCTGTTGTTTTTACATTGCAAACTGTTTCATAGCGACCTCACATGTTGGTAGAGGTGTTGTCATAACACAATTAATGAGGAATGAAGGATTGTCAGTAGTGCGTGCATGCATACGTATATCTATCTGCGCATATTGATAATAGAGAGATTCGAAATATGCAGCAAGTACAAACTCACCGAGATTCGATATCTGGCAATGATATTCACCGCAGAGAAAATTCATCCATGATTGTTCGGACAGATCTTTCGTCATTAATAACTAATTTTACCAATTCTCAACAAGTTTGTACGTACAATAAATGCTATAATTGTTCTATTTGAGTTTGTAACATGTCTATGCGCAGGTAATGACCGACTCCAGTCTCTTGAACGTGAATTAGCAACATTGAAAGGACAAGTGAATGAAGCTTGTTCAACAGCATCGGAAAATGAATTGAATAGAACCTTTACAACAAAAAAGCCACCGAATTTGCAACCGTCGGTTTCACAAATGAAAAGTCCTTCTCGTATTCCATTACCTATAACACCTCGAAAACTATCCACTGACGAGAAACCTGTTCCGCCTACAACTACCAAGTTACCCTCACATCTTCCGCCTGCGATACCTTTGTCTCGTAGTAAAACCTTTCATAATGAAACTGTCGATGGATCGCCGCGTATTGGATCTCAAAAAGGCCAACGTAGCCGAACACCACGACAGGAACCATCAGTAGATTCAGACGTGAGAATACCATGCTATTCATCGATAGAAGATATCATCAAAGCTAATGAGGTAATCAGTTGCTTTCTATAATAATAGATTTTTATGCACATTTTTATCTTTATCAAGGGACTCTTTCTTGAAAATGATCGTCTTCGTGCTGATATCAATCGTTTAAAAGCTGAAAATATCGTTTTACTTCGATCCGTAAAAGGATCGTCAACAAGTAGAAATGAACCAAACATAGGCACTGATCGGGTAAGAAACTCTTTTTCAATCCGGAGTTTTGATTTTCTCGGTTTAAAGATTTTGGCAGAACGTGAACATCAAGAATTGACGAAAGACGTATTGCGACTCAACGAGGAAAACCGACATCTTCGAAAGTCTCTATTAGCTCAGTCTGCGAAACTAATCAGATTACGTCAATCTATTCCTCCGAGTACTCCGTCTTCTACGTATCAGCAATATTCTCAAACATCTGTAAGATAAAATCGAACTTACCAGCATTTTCTTCATCGAACTGAACCCATTTTTTAATTTATAGCGATCTATAAGTCAAGCATCGGCACGTTCTAGCGGACCAATAAAACCGAAATCAGCTCGTTATAGTAGCTCAAACCACCGAGGACTCGAACGTACAAACACAGTTTATCATAGTCCACTCGAGCATTCATGAACATTCTTCGTCAGTTATTGCCACCTGCCATCGATGGTTTAAATAGAAGAATCTATATATCTATTTTTCTGATTGAATAGACAATCTAGTGGAGCTATACACTCTTGAAAAACAGGAAATGCCTCGCTCATCTACGATATTTTCTTTTATAACTGTCAAAACTCCGATTCTTGGAAGATGCGTTTTTTGTTCTTTATTCCATTTTGTTTACTTGTCAAGAAACAAAAACATTCTATTTTCATTAATAAACAGAAACAATAATATGTTTACAGTCGAAGTTTTTGTCGAATCCATGGTACGTATGCAGAGACACGTGTGTAAACACCAGCTGCATTACTTGATGCACAAATTGCATCACCGTAGCTTACAATTCCAAAAAGGTACCATCTGTTACCGATATTACGTATTAATGGACCACCTGAGTCGCCCTGACATGAGTCCGTCCGTGTATCACGACTCATTGCACATATTTGTCTTGCTTGATCCATCGGATTTCCTCGTTTTGCCCATACACCGCATCCTGGACCACCATGGAAATCACTATTCTGATCAAGAATTTCTATAATAGCTTCTTGCAATTGGGGAGCAATGCGCTTTGTCGCACTACTGGTGTAACCCCAGCCAGCTATTTGTACAAGTTGGCCAATTCGGGGGTCTTGAGAATGATCAGCACTGGGTAAACAGATAGGATAAACAGACGAAGTGATTTGTGCTGGTTTACTTAGCTTTATTATAGCAATATCATTGATTAATTTGGTCGAACTGTATTGTTCGTGTCGGAAAACTCGATCGATATTATATCTTTGAACAGTAGCTAACCGTGATTGACGTAAATTCAATAATCCAGCTACCACTTGGTAGGCACTTGTTGATGAACCTGGTGTATCGAAGCAGTGCGCAGCAGTGACCACATGAAGAGAATCGATCAGAGTGCCGCCACACTAGATTCAAGATATACTACCTGACACTGATTCATTTGCGAATACTTACAAAATGTGATTCACGGTTTTGCACTGAAACAATCCACGGCCACGTGTGACTGTTAACTGGTTGACCATTGACAACCCGATCACCATAGTCAAGGCGAGATTTAATTTCACAGATGCCACAAGTACTCAGCGGTGGTGATGTTGTACTGACAGGGAGGGAATCTAGATGTTATTTAGCATGAAACAGACTAAATAAACTATTTCGATAAACAATGTACCAGAAAATTGACATCTGGCACCACTGTAACGATATGGACACTCGCATGTGAACTGGTTATGTTTCCTCGTGTAAACACAAGTACCACCATTGAGACAAGGATTATTTGATAAGCATGGATTCCATGATCGTGGGGCAATGGTGGTCGATGTTGGTCCAGAAGAAATTTGACAATTTTCACCTGAATGTCCAGGAAAACAGACACAATAATACGTAGCATCGTGACGATAATAGCATAGTCCAGTATTGTTACAAGGCATGCGTAGGCATGGATTAGCTGGCAAAGAATAATAGATATATTTTCCGACCATTTAAACAGGAGTACTTACGTAGCGAACAAGTGTTACCCAACCATTGGCCCCAAGAATCACACTGACATTCATATTTATTATCACTGAGTGATAAACATTGACCACCATTGTGGCAGACGATTGATCCACAATCTATATTATGAGCAATCATTTATTCAAAGAATAGTTTGAAACACTCTTACTTATGTCTGCATTTCGTGTGGGTGGAAGGTAAGGAGCAGGAATCCCATTAGATTGATTCTTATCTGCGTCAAGATTTCTAACATCGTATATGAATTGTACTTTCACACCTTCAATATGCACATGACTAAATCTTGATGCCGATGAAAATTTCAGTAGATAACATTGAGAGTTCGGTGGATCATTAAAAACTAATGTCGAATCACGAGTTTTTCTGGCCTGCAGTGCCAATCGTGGTTGATCAGGTACAGTCAACGTTGCCCTATCGATTGATTGAATTTGATAAACGACAACTGATTTAACTAGGTACATTGATGGATTTATCGGACAATAGACCGATGATGACGGCGAAGAATAGTTATTATGCACACGATAGCCAGGTATCGAAAACAGTTGTTGTTTAACTAATGTGATAGTTTGAATTAGCATATTTACTGCATCTTTTATGCGTTTTCATATGAGTTTACCTGAACTTTTATTATCTTGTCTTGCATGTATACGTGACGATCTATGCAATGCACTCAACTGAAGAATAGATAAACAAAAATAGAGAAATGACAAGTTCAAACATGATTGTTAGCTACATACAGTGCTTCTAATAATTTCCTGATTACTGAAAATGATGATCAAAAGTAACAAACAATTCATTGTAAACTTGTTTATGGCATGTTCGAAAAAAGTGAAGCCATAGAATCGTATCAATATGTTCACTTCTGTTTTTGATTGTATTCAAACAGAATATAAACATGTTTTTCGGATAAAAACTGGCATATGACAATGACATACATGTGGTTATGTTTAATTGGAACGAACTTTCTCGGAACAAAGTCTCAACTCGACTTGAGTCTATCTAGATTATGAATATCTCTCTTTATCGTTGTTTTTTTCTCGCATCTGTTCGCCTCCGAATAGATCTGTGCGATTCGCACGAGTTAATTAAAATCTAATTTTCTTCGTAATGTCATCTGCGATTCAGAAAGAAGTCGAAATATACGTTATCTTTTGTAAATTAACTAGCGTGAACACTTTGCAAGGAAAATTCGAAGGTGAAGTTGATATTGTTTCATCATGGCTAGATAATATTCATGGAAATTACGATCGTGATCGACATTGGAATCCTGAACTTGTCTATGAGAATTCCATAGATAAAGACGTTAAGATTCGAACGCGTGTAGAAGTCAAACCGCATAATAACGATGAACATCAATCTGTGCGCGTTGTACAATATCAAAAGATCATCGGCACATTTTCCGAATGGCTGCATATCAGACAATTTCCATTTGACGTTCAAAAAATCGGTACATAGAAACTGAGAGTTATGCTCGACAAGTATTCTTTACCTTCTAGGTGTTCTAATCACAAGTCTCCATCCGATAACTCGTATTAAATTCATTGGTAAACAAGAATATTGTTATCTAGCTCAAAAAGCAATCCGTGAAAACGATACGTGGGATTTTAATCAAACTGTATCAATCAATTATAGCACCTACCAAGAACATACTCCCTACTTACGTTCGCAACAGTATCCATTGATTAAATTAAATGCTTTAATAGCTCGTAAAAGTCAATTCTATCTTACGAATTTAATCTTACCATTATTCTTAGTAACATCAACTGTATTCGTTTCATTTACGCATGACCCGGCAGCCGTTGGTTCACGTCTTTCAGCATGTGCAACAACACTTCTCACATCCATTAATTTTCGTTTTGTTATACATAATTACCTTCCCAACATTCCCTATTCCACCTATCTCGACATGTATTCCATGGGTTCCATTGTTTTCATAACTTTGGTCTTCGGTTGGCATGCGTACAGCATCAGACAATTAAACAAGCTGACCTATGCACTGTTAGATATCTACGTTTTATCTTTATTCGGAGCGACTTATTTGATAGGACATGTGTTATTCATCATATTTGCATGGGTTCTACCAAAGCGACGGCAACGACTCTTTCTAAAGAAGACACCTCAGACAATGATGACATCCGATGAAAAACAACTAATCGAGTTAGAACATCTGCTTGGTTATGAACGTAGTATGGATAAGAAAGTTGTTGATTAGATTGAAAATAGAACAGATTTACTTTCTCTTCAGTTATTGTTCGATCTGTTAGAGAAAATTTACGGATAAAATGTTTTATTCTCTTGAGACATGTTGATTAACAATTGTGTCGGAGCAAAACGGTCACCATACTTCAATTGATAGTTGTACATTAAATCGACTATATTAAAAATACCGAAGGTATCCATGAAGTGAAATGGACCTAGAATTAACGACTAGAATATAGTGAAAGGTTTCTCGCGGATGTGCACGTACCGCCTTTCATTGGAGGAAAACCAAGACCGAATACAGCACCTATGTCACCATCAGTCTAAAATGAGAAGACCAGCGTGATTTAGATTGATTGTTTTGGCAAGACTTACAGGTGAAGTGATGATATTTTCTTCGAGACAACGGGCAGCTTCATTCAGCAGACGAAGGGCTATACGCCATTGAATATGTTCCATTGTTGATCTAGTAAAATATTCATTCTAATGAATTTATTGCTCGTATTCTCTTTACCTTTCTTTTTTCTCGATCGAAATATTCTTCAATATCTCTCTGATCTTCGGATTATTCTCTTTCTTATTATCTTTGAAATAGATATATAGCCCTTGTCCTGATTTTCTACCAAACAGTTTATGTTTTACGAATATTTGTAATAGCTGAATGATAGACGAGTCAATAAGAGGTTCGCCAAAAATCTCCCGGAAACGATAAACACAACCAGCAATAATATCAATACCGAACTCATCCAGTAAACTCGCTAAACCGATATGAAAACCGAATTTTCTCGTCACGTGATCAATATCTTTTGGTGTTAATCCTTCTTTAAGCAAAGAAAGTATTTCCACGCAGGCGAATATCACTAATCTTGTTGTATAAAACCCAGGTCCATCATTAACTACGATCACGAGTTTGCCTTGTTTGAGACCAAGATTGATTGCGGAACAAACCGTGTCATCGGATGTTTGTCTAGTTCGAACAATTTCCAGTAATTCAACTTTTTCAACCGGAGAAAAATAATGCATGCCAATAACCTACGACAAGTATTTGTGATAGAATCCAGTAGAGTACATTGAAACCATGTCTCACCTTCTCCGGACGATGACTCTGTACAGCAATTTCGTGTATCGATATTGTCGATGTGTTCGAAGCATAAATGCAATGTTCTGGAATGAGTTGTTCGAGTTGATCAAGAATCTTTTGTTTTAGTCGAGCATCTTCAAAAACTGCTTCAATGACAAAATCGCATTGGTCAAAACCATCGAATGTTGTTTGACATTTTAAGTGTGACAATATTCGAGAGTAATCAGCTCTAGAATACATAATATAAACAATCGTTCAGAACAGTGTTGTTCTCTTTAATTTTCACTACTGTGTAGTCCGGTTTCGTTTGACGGAGTTCTGATAAGTGGTTTCTATTTGCGATCGAGCACGAGAAAGGGAATCTGATAATGAGTCCTGTAGAATCACTTGCAAATCTTTGTCAATAGACACATTTGCGATTCCTGAACCAATTGGGTCAGCGCCAACAATAGCAAATGTCCTAGAAACATTAATGATGCATAGTAGTAATCCAGTTGAATCTTACTTGACTTCTCTTTGTGCTTTCCCATATTTGTTCTTTTTACATTCAGTGCGTCCATGAAATAAACTAATCAATGCTTTCGACTCGTTGGTCATACCAAGATCCGCAAAAGCCTGTAGAAACACATAAGAGTTTAATTTCTTCCGATGAACGGATTTGAAAGCAATTACTTCTGCTTCCGCATTGAATCCAACTGTTGTACCACGCTCGAGCGTTTGCTTGATGACCTAAACCAGACATTCTCTATTCTAGCACTGATCACAGTTGAAATTGATACAAACATCAAGAATTCTCAACGGTGCAGGATACACGCCTTGAGTTTGTGCTATCACTTTCGCTTGTGCTTGCGATAATATATAATTGCGAACGTGGCTATTCGATATTATCTTAGACTTAATATCTATTGTAAATACTGACTATTTGTGTCAAAAATTATCCTTTTGATATTCTTACTTTCCATGAGACTAGGTTGTCGATGACTCAGTCCTTTTGAAATTTGTTGACTGAAACAAATCGAATTATTACAAGTTTACAATGAAAGATTGGATGTATGTTAACAGAAGAATTACTTGACTTTTTCTATGGCAATTGCACATAAATGCTCGATGTTGTCTTCATCCGTGCCGACAGGTTCGACTAGAACATCGATTAAACCAAGTGCTTTCGCTTGTTTTGGTTTGATTTCTCTTCCAGTTAACAGAAGATCGAGAGCATCCGTTAACAAAAGTTCTCGTAAAAGTCTTTGTGTACCCCCTGCACCAGGTAATAATCCTAATTTGACTTCCGGTAGACCAAATGTAGTTCTTTTATCATTCAATGCAACACGATAGTGACACGCCAAAGCGACCTGACAGCAGGAATGCTTTTCACAAACACAGATTCAGTGTGTAGATACACGTACTTCAAATCCACCGCCCAGACATGAACCAGCGATCGCTGCGACAATCGGTTTTGATGATTGTTCAATTTGATCCATAACTTCTTGTCCGCGACGTGACATTTCATAAAGTTCATCACGTGATTTAGCAGATTCAAGCATACTAAAGATCGAAATATGTATTTTGAAGTGTAGATCATCCTTTCTAACTTGATATCTGCTCCAGCAATAAATGAGCCGGGTTTCGCTGAGATAACAACGATTCCTTGAACATTTTCATCATTTCTCAAATGAGTAAACAATGGCACAAATTCGTTCATCATCGCTTGTGATAATGTGTTGACCTTAGTTGATAGGAGATGTGAACATGAAACCTTCATTAATTCAAGTTTCTCACTTTAGCATTTTCTTGATTAAATTCTACAACGGCAATGGTTCCTTGACGTCTAATTTTGAGATTTTTCAAATCAGCTAAATCATTTTCATATTTTGAAATAATCAAACATATGCAAAGTAACTCACTCATATTTGTTCAATCGATTCTATCAAATGCAGCTCTATCTATGGACTTCAAAACGAACTGAAGATAAATTTTCATGTCTGCAATTTACCCTTACAAACTTACGACTAACCAATGGAAATCTAGATAGACAATTTGTATCAAATTCGAAATAGATCTGTAGCAAAAGTGCTTCTTTTCATTTGTATTCAACACTTCCTTCCATTGGTAAGTCGAAACAACATTTCAAAACTTTCTCTTCGGATAATTAATGCTTTGAGTTCTTGCAACAACAGTAATCAGTGAAAAGCAATCGGAATTTGCAAGACAATTTTCACATCCGACATTCGACATTATTCATCTAAGAAATATGTATTTGACTCAAAATCCTCTCTTCCACGATCCGTATCGGAACGAATTAACTAACAAGCATTTCGAAACTATATGAACTGTGAAATACGAAAACAGTGACATACAATTCTCGAAGTCATATGATAATGAAGTGAATAACACGAAAATATTTTCCTAGGTAGTAGACATACATCGTCATTCTTTATTAATTAGAAATCAAATTAAATAAATAATTAAAATAAAAAAAACAAATTGATGTTACGTAATTGCTGACTAGATTTGCTAGACAAGGAAGAACAGAGACATACGCATAGGTAATTATCAATTAGTTTAGAAAGAAATCATGTTTGAATGACGCTAGATAAGTTTGTAAACGAGTTGGATAATCGGTCATCACCCCGGTGACAGACATTTTCTTGAAAGCATATTCGAATTCTTCGTTGTTATTCAGTATCCAAACGTAGACCTAGAATTCAAATTCGAAAATAGACTTCTAGTCGGAGAAGAGGAAACAACATACGGGAATACCACGGCGTTGTAGATGTTTGAACATTTTTCTGTTGTTCAAAGCTCTAAAGCGAACTACAATGAATGTGAATAGCGCAAAGAAGAGACATTACCGTTCCGCAATGTAGTACATAACTCGGAATTTAAAAGTCAAATTTGCAGTTGTTTTTCTAAAGAGAAATATCGGAATTTCCAACATATCAATCTCAAATGGATTTGTCTTCATACCGGAAAACTTCACCGGGAATCGGAACCTCAAAAGCACCTGAAAGTACAAGAGAAAACGTCAACTGTTAGACAAACATATTTGATTTTCATTTACCGGCTTGCAATGGAATGAAAGGCAGTAATCCAAACCAATAGGATATGACTATACCAGCTGCTTCTTTCATGGAGCAAAAGCGAACAATACGCGGATTCTAGCAGAGGAAATGCTAATCATTTGACTGAATGAACAGATTCTAATCCTACTTGAGCAGACAATTTCTTGCATGTAGTATGATTGAAACTTCCCCAATAAGTTAAATGTTCCCGATTATAATCTTGAACAAGTTTTGAGATCTAAAATTGATTGATACAAGATCAAATCAATCCTTGTTTCGATATATGTCATGTTCGAATGTGACCTTGATGCACTTCCTGTTATCTCACTCATTAGAAATGAATACCTGTAAATTTGATATGGGATAATTACCTGTCGTATAAGTTCGTCGTTATTCTCTTTGACATCAATGTTAATTGGAGTAGTTGGATAACGCTCGAAGACATCCTTCAGCAATGGTATACGCAATAATCCGTCCGTTTTTGTCACATCATCACAAGTGATAGTTGTACCTGAATATTGACAATATTGATCCTATCAAAATCATTTATTTGCGTTACTCGGCTCGTAATAGAGTTGTACACTACTGCTTATCACTGGTAAATCCTGAAGGATAAAATGTTCGTCAATTGAATTCGTTCATGTACAAGAACTTACGTCATAGTTCATATCTCGAATGAATCCGTTTTGACCCGTTGTTCTGTTTATGGCAAAATCGTGATGAACGACGACCTGATCGTCTTTAGTTAAATGACAGTCTAATTCCAGCATCTCTACTCCGTTGCTTAATCCCCTATTAGAGAAAAGCTAATCATTTGTAATTCAAAGAGTACTTTCAAAAATACTTGTCAAATGCAAGTAAGGAATTTTCGATGGATTCTGCTGCCCCTGAAAATCAAATAAACAATTCGTGTCTGTGTATATGTATGTCAATATGCTCTGATTTTACCGCCTCGGTGGGCTATGTTTCGAACAATAAACGCTGGTCGGTGCCGTTTGTGAATCCATACTGGCTTTCGAAGTAAGATAAACGATACGATTATGTAAACGACGGGAACCGTCAGAAAAGATAGGTACACCAGTGACATGAACAAGGACAAGAGCAACCAAATATGATATTTTATTTCATCATCTATTCATTGACGTTCTGTTCTGCATGCAGAGTTCTCTCTGATTCATAAAGAAATTCAATTGGTAGTTCGATCTAGTGACATCTATAAGTTATTTACTAGACGTTGATCAAACAAGTATTCCCTTGATAATACCGGAACTTCTTCACAATCTTCTTATTAACCAAAATAAGAAATCTTTAATTGTTTTCTCCGTCGTTGTCATGACGGCAGAATGAATTTTAACTAGACGAAAATATCTCGACACGATTACTACAAATAAGCGATTAAGAGGCGATGACGGATGTAATGAATATTCCAACGGGCACTTCCAATAGCGATGATCTCAGTGAACAACGTTTTAGTAACGAATCCGAATTACGAGATTTAGTGTGTCAATCGCTTGAGAATGATGGCATTTTAACACGCATCAAAGCCGAATTACGTGCAGCTGTTTTTAAAACGATCGAAAAAGCAACGAATTCTACATCGATTAATGTACGTCCAACTGCCTATGACGGAATAACCGGTCGTATCTGTCGTGCACTTGTTCTCGAGTGGTTGGAACACTCACGTTTATTCTACACAGAAGATGTTTTAAAAACTGAAACCACAGGTCCGAATCATCCACCACCATTAACCCAAGCTGAACTATTGGAACAATTGCACTTGAAATCGACTCCATCAACGCCACTTTTACATGTGCTGGTTCATCAAAGTCAAAATCCTGTCAAAGAGGTAATTGTACTAGTAATGTCTCCGAAACAACATGAACAAGTTCTTTCATCTCCTCTAGACTGTTTCAACAATCAGTGCTCTTCCTGATTATATTCAACAGTCAATAGATCGTCAATTTCCCAATGAAAAAATCAATGATCTCAGTCGTTTACGCGAACATTTTCGTTCGCTATTTTCAGCTGCATTTGACAGCACTATCCTAGATGTATTTCTCACCAAACATATTCCCCCATCGTCAACATCATTCTCGAAGCGTGATTACGAAGAGATTTGTCTTCAATGGATGCAAGCATGTGCTAAAGCATTAGTACGGCAGACCAATCCACCAAAGCAAGTGTCAGCACTGTAAGCATTTGATTTGAAGAGAAAAACAAAGTTGACTATCATTCTTTAAACGATTTAGAGTTTTCACTCAAGTGATGAATTCAAAAAATACAGTTGATGAAAGTACGCAACGGATTACTCAGGCTGCTCGTTCAATGTCACCAGCGCAAGAATCGAAATCAGCATCATCGGCGTCGTCTTCTTCTTCATCGCCACCGCCGGACAATCCTCGTAACAACCCATTTAATTTTCCATTACCAACCACGATCGACAAAAACAAAAGTACTATTAAAACAATAGTCGATATTATTCCACCGTCACTAGTAAATTTCGATCAAGAAAGTAACAACGGCGAAGAGGACGAAGAAGACGATACATCAGCTTCGTTTTTCTCCAAACGGAACGCGACGCCGGCTCAGTTGAATAGCTTGAAAACTATTGACCATATTGTTCAAGGTGATATTACCCCACGTACTCGAACAACCGTTCAAAACCCGCCGAATAGTGGTGCTAGAAATCTTCCAGTTGAATATGATGATGAAAGTATGAGTCAAAGTATAAGTCATAGTATCATTAGCAGTGTTGATGATATCACCGTTGACAAGACTTCCGCCAATGCTGCTAATATAGATTTTCTCGAAGATTTTTAAATATAAACGAAAAAGTGAATTCTATTGGATGAATCGTTTTCCATTTGTAGCGACTGTGGAATTAAGCATAGTCGATTTTCTTTTTTCTTATAGAAACAGTGCTTTTTTACGTATATGATGAGCGAATTGCAGACTATCGAATGTTTTGTACTTTGAATTTTTTTATCACGAATGATCTCAGGCTTTAATTAACTCGGTTGAATAAAATTTTTCAGCAAAAAACGATTTATCGATCTTAGTTACTTATTTGAATGAGATGTCATCTTCAATTTTATATAATGAAAAACAATCTGTCGTACGGCTTCTCGTTGATCAGAATTCATTATTTATCGTACTTGTTGGACATCCCTGATGTGTTTGAGATGCTAATCCAATGATCACACAATACTTTCTTTATTGCTTTTTCAGCTAGTAAAAAAATAAAATTTACGAAACAAACGCGAATAATATCAAATATAAAATGAGAGTAGAAAATAATTTAGAGTCATGGAAAAATCGAAGAGATTAGCATTGTGAGACACTTATCTATGAAAAATTATTTATCGCCGTTTATTTTCAGGATTAGGCAAACGATCCATCATTGCGCATAAATCGTTGTCATCATCATTGCTATTTTTTCCTCGACGTGCTGGACGCTCGTCAAAGTCCAACTCTTGTAAAACATGTGAGAGACGGGAATTTGGATCACGCTAAATAAAGATGCCAATAGAAGATACTAGGGCGAATTCGAACACTTACTTTCGAAACATCAATGCTAATATCTTCATGTTTCGGCCTTTGACTTGTGGCTTTTGAAGATGATTGTTGAGGATGTGATTGAGGTCTAGGAGATCAAATATATAGCGTAGAGAATAATCAAGCAAATGGAGGAATACGAACGGTGGTGGCCGAAAATCGTCCTCATCATCGTCGTCGTCAAATAATGATAATTTGACTAAGCCAGATCGTGATGCATCTTTGTTTGTATTACTTCCTATTAATTGAGAGAGCAAACTCAATTGAGTGAGCATCTTCGGATCCGGATTAAGCATTTCCTAGACATTCGAAGATCAAGAGAAATACTCGTGAGCATTTTAACTGATCTAGTTACGATATCCGATGCAGCGTTGACCATGGATGTCGCTTGAGGAGTACGATCTTCACTAAGAATTGTTTGCTTCAGACTTCGACTCTTCGAAAAACTTTCAAAAACCAAACAAACATTTGTTCTTAGTTCGTATTCAATCTCTCTTACATATTTAAACCCAATTGAAAATTACGTGTATCATCCGCCGGTTGATGCTGTTGACCAGCATTGAACGCTTGCGTATTACTCAACCGACCTCTTGTGTATGTTCTAAATTTGATCCTTAGAAATGATGAATGTTGATTTGTATTAGGAAACAGACCGAATTTCACCGGGTGGTTGAAAACCAGTCGGGACAACGCCGTTCGTTTTCATGATGAATTTACCTTCTTGAGTTTGTAAGTCTTCGCGAAGAAACACTGAAACCTAATCATGCGAGCGCTAAAATAACCAGCAAGTAATTAGAAGTCACGGCATACTCGAATATGAACATCTTGGAAGAAAAACAAAGTTGTATCACGAATTAACAACCATTCGGCATCATTCAATCGTTCGTAGAACTGTTCAAAAAAGAAAGTTTCTCGTACTTGCAATTGGAACAATGAAAAATATACTTTATTAAAAGCAAGAAATGCTTTATCCAGGAGATCAAGCACTGTGAAGCTACGAACTAATTTACGCATTGTATTCACGTGATTGTAAGTCACTTTAACAATATCAGATGCACATGGACAAAGCATAATCTGATATTTAACAGTCATGCTCATCAAATCATACAACTAGAACAGAAAACAAATTGTTAAGTCAAATTTCAACGATGGAAATATCAAAGGAACTTTTTATTTGACTTCATACTGACAAAAAATGCATGATCTACGATACGAGAGGCTTAACAATGAAAACACGCACTTGTATACGTCAGAAAATCTCATGAGAAATTTTCTTCGACATGTCTGCTCTGATTATACTTTGATCTAACACTCACAGATACGTATTCTCTATTTGTATACAATTCAATGCGATTATTTTCCGCCGTGAAAACTCAATATCGTTATGTACGAAGGTTAGTTTATTTGTTATACGAGATTATAATCGTCATTTCATAACTATAACGCATTATGATTCTGACCTTGTGTATAGAATGCCTGCACATACGAGATCAGTGTGATTTCTATCAGAATTTCTGAATGAGAAAACATATGTCTCGTCTAACTTCATCCCTTTCTCTCCTGATCCTCTGTATACTACGAATGATAGTAGCTCTTGGATCTTTGACTTCTAGTAAAGCGAATAAGTAATGAATTCTCAAGCTGTAAGTATGTGACATACTTTATCCATGCTCGCTTCATTTAATCTCATAATACTTGTATGTGCTACTTTTTCGAAGATATGTTTCACCGCTTTTTTCGGGTACAGTTCTTGTGTCCGAAAGATTTCTTCCAAAAATCGCGTATTGAACATCGCACCGACGATTTCATTGATTACTGAGAACACAACAAACAAATCATAATCAATTCTTGTTTTTATTCATAAGCAAATCAATACCTTTCACCGACTTTTGATCCATTACATCCTGAGCAGTCAAACGTTGCTCCAATATATAAATCATTTCCCCGCCCATATTAAAGAAGATAATTGGAAATGTTTTCAGTGACATTTTCAAAACAATCTTGAAATCAATCAATAATAAAAATCGACTTTTCAGCTTGAACAACCATCAACAAATCTACCGTTGTGGCAGTTCCTCTGCTATTGATTATCGATTAGAAAGAGAATTGATCTGATCAAATATTATCTAATCAAAAGTGTCAAGCACTCGATCGAGACTTCCTTACAAATCGATAGATGATTATTGAACAACTGGCAAGATGGCGCCTTTTAGCATTTAACTTTCAGTTGAAAATGAAAACAAATCTATTGACATATCTGTTTCGGTTTCCACAAGATAGAGATTCTTTTTTCTCTCATCATAGTATTTCATGTGAAATCATTACATAAGGTGTTCTTGTCTTCATCAAACGAATGAAGAAGAAGGGAGAGAGAAAGAGAGTGAGAGAAAAACGAACAGAACAGTCTACTGCAAACTCATCTGAAATCGGTAGATGCATTATGAAGGAGAGAAAGAAAAGAGGAGAAGAAAAAACTACACGTACGACTCAACCAGCATTAGAAAGTCAATGGAAGCATACGTCGAAAAAGATAGAATGTATACATATTCGAGCGTTAAGATATCAGCATCGTAGCACAAAGAAAAAGGATTATTCTTTTCTAGATCGATGAAAACATGTCTCAAGCAATGATTTAACACGATATGTACAATGCGACTAACTGTACGCTACTTATGCTCGATAGTACGATATCGAAGACGATTTTCTATCTTACTTCTGATTAGTGCACTTCTTTTTATAATTTTCATTCTATCCATTATTGACCGTAATCATCCAGAATTAAATCCATTACCGAATTCTGAACAAGAAATAAAAATAACTACAGCGCAGAAAGTGATCCGTGCAATATCAACTACAGTCGCACAACAGTAAGATCAATGATGATCGTTATCGAAAGTAGTGTTGGCATCGCTTTTGTTTGTGTTTAGAAATAGACTGTGGCCACTAGATGAGCAGGGTCGTTCGTTAAAAAACCATTTTTTCGTATTCGATGCAACAGGCTTTTTCGGTTCTGCTGCAAGTGAAGGTGTTGAAGTCAAATGTGAATCATCAAATACAACGTTTACATGGACACGGCAACCGAATCAAATGAACAAAGTGGATTTTGCTATTTCACACGATGCACGGCTTCAGCAAGATTTTCCATTTGACAAGCTTCATTTGAACAGCGAACGACAGCAGTATTCGATGGCATTTATCATGGAAAGTGAAGCACATTCATCTACAGGAGACGCTTGGGCGAATTACAATTTTAGAATGTCTTATAATCTCGATGATAGCTATCCTGAACCAGCCACGTACTTCGATGTTAATATACATATTATTGATCTATTAACCCCACCGGTAGTGAAGTTCGAGAAAAAAGAAACACGAGCGGATGTCGTTTGGATTATTTCGAATTGTGATGTAAGTAAAAAGAACACTTTTCGTTCAGTTTGATTATATAATCGACTATTCGTGTCATCTTTCCTTCAACATTAATAGCATTTCTGGATTAAGATGAAATTGCGCTTGCATGTAAATGAAAAGGGACTATTCACACTTCGACATAGCATACGATAGAAAATTTTTGAGAAATTAGATGTACTTTCTCTATAAACAGAATTTTGAGAAAGGAACTGATCGATAGTTTCACTAAAACAAATTTTAATTTGATCCTGTTCTAGGCACACAACGGTCGGCAAGGTTTTATTGAACAGCTGATGAAGGAAATCAAAATTGATTCGTACGGGCTATGTCTAAACAATCGTCAAGGTTATGGAGATCGTATGACTGATAATGTTGAAGCCTATATGAAATATAAATTTGTTATAGCTATTGAAAATTCGAATTGTATTGATTATGTAACCGAAAAGTTGGTTAAAGCGGTTGAATCCGGTTCTGTTCCTATTGTTGCTGGTCGAAATGGTCGACCAGATTATCGACGGTTTATGCCTGATCATTCCTATATCAATATATTCGATTATCCAACCGTAAAAGCTCTTGCCGATGATCTAAAACGTATTGCTAACAATAAAACATTGTATGAATCCTATCTCTGGTTTAAAAAGCATAAGATCAACCTGAGATTATTTGCTGAACTATCGTTAAATGAAAAAATCAAACAATTCACTGGTATTGTTGGTTCCAATGCCACTATGATCAAAGATGGCATCGTAGCAAAAGAAAAAAGTGAAAACAAAATTTGCAAGCTGATACGATTCGTTCGGCAAACACCTTGGCAAGAAATAGCAACGCATAAAAGAGCAGCGAGGCCAAATGAGAACATAGCTTGTCTACAAAGAGGAAATATACTGGATCATTTTCGATCGTCATTATCTTCAAATGGCAGCTCTGTCAAGAATTAATTAGAAAAAAATGCTCCGTATGTATTTTTTTGTTGTTGCTCAATTTATTATTTTGTTTTAATAAAAAAACAAACAAACAAAATGTCCATTTCAGGATAAATTAGTTGAAGTCGAAAGAATATGTTGCTATAGAAAGTTTATTCATGTCTAAATTATAGAAAAATAAACTATCTGAATGTTCAAAAAAAGATTCCTAGAAATGTAATGATTGATTATCAAATTTCAGTTTCATTACTAAACTACTCTAATATCGGAAACAATCTCTAAAAAAAACTCTCAATTTATGTATTAGGAAGAATTCTGATAGTATCACCCGGATTACATAGAACCATCAACAATTGCCAAGGGAATGGCGTCAACTTCGGATCGACTCCAAGAACGCATGTGGTTTTCATGCGTTCATGATATAAGCGTATTTCCATTTGACTACAATCGAGTGTAATTTGTAGTACATCATTAGGCTGGATCTTATTGCTATTGAACTCTGATTTTTTACAACCTCGACTACACCGTCCTTGTTCATAAGCTTGATTCGATCCGAACCATCCCACTGAGCTCGGTAAACGAAAAGCATCTTCTTGCAAATTGACTTTCGACGACATACAACCGAAGAAGATATAATAAGGTTGTTTGCACTTTTCCAAGCGAAAACGAATTGTATGCGAGCCTCTCAAGTAGAGTAATCGACCACGGACGTATGCATAGTCAGATACAGGACTGGTGTGTCGAGCGATGAAACCACCTTCTTCGAATCTGACAGGTCCTAAACTTTGTAAAAATCGTTCTTGTAAAGTTGAATTCGACTGATTGGCTGATCCATCTTTGCGACTGGGCGAATTATTGTTAAGAGAATCATCGATATGCAACTGCATGAGATAAATTGGGTTGTTCTTATCGGGAACGAGTTTTGCTGCAGGTGGAAAGGTCACTTGCAATTCCAAATCTTTTAGCTGCTTCTTCCAGCGATCGAGATCGTGTTCTGAGAAATCATCTGCTTCACGAGCAGAATGAAGATCATCGGTAATGTCATCGTAAATCTTCGACAACGGAGCCTTGGCTTGTTCGAGTAAATCTAATAAACTTCGACGTGCACTTTCCGCAGCGATTTGTATCTTTAATATTGAATCCTTTTCCCAACGGTCAATCTTTTGTAATAGAGAATTTTTCCTTGCCGATGGTTGTTCGATTTCTTGTTGAAGTAAATCGTGTTCTTGCATAATGTTATCCAATTTCGCAGCAAGTTCTTGTCGGTGTTCAATAACATGTTTGCCACAGAATGTCTTTCCACATCCATCACAAGTCAAGATGCCACCGCTTTTATTACATGTAACACATTGTTTCTTACCACCGATGCCCGTACTCATTCTTGTGGTTAAAGTATCTCAACAGATATGAATATAACACTTCGAAATGGCCTTCTTGCCTTGGTTTCTACGGAAAATTAAACAGAACGAAATGAAATATATAGCATTCACCGTAACGAACAGTTGACTACATATAGAAATGACAAAATAATCAATATGAAGTTGTATCTGCGGCATCACATGTTTTTCTCTTTTTGTTCAAGGTAAAATAAGAGTGGAACAGATCGTTATTAATGTTTTTGATTTCAAAACACACTTTCCGTATATTATATTCAATTAAAAAAAACGATGATTTTAAATTAGATATATATATATATATATATGGAAGCGTACAGATCGAATTAAGGCCTTGGTATTTTAATGCGATCAATTTCACTTGTAATATACTTTGTATTTCGAAACGCTGGACACAGAACGCGCTATGTTATTGAACATCGATTCAGATCATATGTTCACACGAGATGTGTGATATTTACCCCAGTAGGGCGTTGTAGGACAACCATTTGAATAAAGATGTTGTCCTTGAACGTATGTAGAGTTCGACATAGAAGAATCACGTCTGATGTGATAACTATCTTGTTTTAATAGTAATAGGTACTAATATTTGATGAAATCATTCTCATATTTTGAGTATTGAAGAGGTAAATAAGAATACGTGACGGTTGGCAGTAATTGATTGAATATTCAGAGAACGAATTCGGATATCAAGGATAATGGACGTTTGGACTAAAAAGCTCTTTTTTGTTGAGATAGATCGTTTAGCAGCATCGTCACCAAAACGATCTTCTAGGATTTTCAGCTGCACTTTCAGTTCTAAGAATTGAATGTCCAGCTGTTGCTGAAATATTTGACACATATTGTTATACAAATATATACAATCACAAGGGCGATTCATATTCTTGACGGCAGCCTGAAACATGCATTGTGGCATGCCACATTTCAATAATTTATTCGTACAACTGTCGAGAAAAGTGAACATGAAAAGCGCATCTTTATTCTTAGATAATATCGTGTGGGCTGATCTCAATAGGACTGTTTGGTGACGGATAAGAAAACTTCAATCAAAATCAACATATAATTATACCTTTTGATTGAGAATGAAACCAAGAAAAGTCGAAAAAATTTCTCTTTTTGTAGTATAAGAAGATTTATTTGCTGTAAATATTCACGAATCGTTCAGCACTTTTACACAATCACCAGAATGAGACAAAACCACTAAAACTTGCCACGGATACGGTGTTTTGCCAATGTTGACTTTAAGAGTATGAGTTAACTTCAAACGTTCATGGAATAATTGAATCACTCTTCTATCGCAATCAAATGTAAGACGCACTATGTCATTGATTTCCATTTTACTACTATTATACCCATGCTTTTTACAATCGCTAACACATGATCCATGTTCGTACGTTTGATTATGTCCAAACCATCCGACAGCACTGGAAGAGCGAAAGGCACTTATCTGCAGATCGACCTTGTTTGACATACATCCAAAGAAAATCTGATATTGCTTTTTGAACTTTTCCAGTTTAAATCGCATTGTATGACAACCTCCGGAATAGAGTAGTCGGCCACGCACGTAAGCATAGTCCGAAGTTGTTAAACCCATATGTTTTGCACATAGACCGCCGTCTTCGATCAGAACGGGCCCTAAAATCTCAGCGAATCCAACCTGTAAGCGAGGCTTTGTAGAAAATGTCGATGAAGCAGTCGATGCTGACGATGGGCATGCGGAATTAGTCGTCGTTTCTGGTGCCTGTGGAGTTGAGCCGGTCTTTTGTAATTTCCTAAGAAAAATAGGTTCATTCTTATCGGCGACAAACGAAGCAATCGATGATGATTTCATTTCTGTTGTAAGTTCTTTCAATTGTTGTCTCCATCGATCAAGATCATGTTCCGAAAAATCATCAGCTTCACGAGATGCACGAAGCGTTTCCACAATGATAGGAAATTTTGTAGTAAATTCTTGTTTTGCTTGCTGGAGCATTTCTTCCAAAGCTTTTCGAGCTGTTTCCGCAGCGACCTGAATTTTTTCCACGGAATCTTTTTCCCATTTGTCAATTTTCTTCAATAAAGAATCTTTTTTCGATGAAGGTTGAAGAAATTCTTGCTGTAATAAATCATGTTCCTGCATAATATTATCCAACTGTCCAGCGAGCTCCTGTCGATGTTCAATGACGTGTTTACCACAAAATGATCGTTGACATCCATCGCAAGTTAAAACTCCACCGCTTTTATTACAGGTTACACATTGTTTTTTGCTTACCGCACTAGCGCTCATTTTTCGACGATTTTTACTTTCCAAATATAAAAAAAACACAGCATAGTAATGTGATAAGGACAATTGAATTATTTTCAACCTGCTGGTAGTAAAAACAAAACCATGTGGCATTGCTTGCAATGACATCATCATCGCTTTCAGGTGGCTATCACGCTAAAAGACTGCATTTTCTCATACGAGTCTAATTCAAATAATCAGATTAAACATTCTCTTAAAAACTATGTGCAACTGCTTTCTTTTCTCTCAGGATTTTTTGTTGTTCGATAGATGGAGACGACAAATTCAATTTCAAAGTATTTTACTTTATTCTTTGCAATCAAGAAGACAAAAAAATCTACTAGACACGAAGCATTCTTACACAATCATCTTTATGAGACAAAATGATCAATAATCGCCAAGGATAAGGTGTGTTATTGACATTAACTTTCAATTTGTTTGTTATATTCAATCGTGAATTAAATAAACACATCGTGCGCTCATTACAATCAAAGATAACATGTATTACATCTCCTTGTTGAATTAAATTGCTCTTATATTTATGTTTTTTACAATTACTAGAACATTGTCCATGTTCGTATACTTGATTGAATCCAAACCATCCGACGACGTCAACGGATTTTTCCATTTCTCCTTTCAGAACTGTTTCTGATGATTTACATCCGAAAAAAATATGATACGGTTGTTTGTATTTTTCAATTTTTATTCGCACCACGTGCCGACCGGTTGAATATAATGATTGACCTTGTATATAACTATGTTTACGACCAGTGAGCATCTGTTTGGCAAGATGACCTTTGTCTTCGAGTTTAACAGCACCGAGTACATCTAGAAATTTGTCTTGATTTGGCGAGTTGGATGAAGAGGATTGTTCATTGTTAACTGTTTGTTCCTTATCCGATTTCTTCTTCGGATGTGTGAGTGAATGAACGATAGATTTTTGATTTTCTGTAATGTTAATCGAACATTGAATTGAACTTTCTGATTTCAATTGTTCGAGTTGTTCTTTCCAACGAGCTAGTTCATTTTCAGCATAATCATCGGCTGTACGAGATGTACATATGCCAACAGCTATATCATGGCACGCATTTATCAACTGTTGTTTCGATTGGTCAAATGAATTTTGTAGATTCTTTCTTGAAGTTTCAGCGGCAAGTCGAATCTTTTTCACATATTCTTCTTCCCATTGATTAATCTTCTCGATCGATGAATCATCTAGTGCTAATTCTGAAACGTCATGTTTAAATATATCATAATCTTGTGCAATGCTATCCAATTGTGCAGCTAATTCTTGTCGATGTTCAATAACATGTTTCCCACAGAATACACGTTGACATCCATGACAGGTTAAGATACCTGTGCTTTTATTACAAGTAACACAAAGGATTTTGTGCACTGCACTTGCACTCATATTCCTTGGGTAACTTTGTTCACTGTTTAGTATCTTGATCGTTATCTTATCTATTCTCACAAAGTTTTATTGGAAATGCATGTAGACGAATAAGATTTCTGTCAAATGAATCATCGACATGTTCACAGACAAAACTAAAGTTTCTTTTCTCTGCCTATTTGTTTTAAAAATACAAGAAAGAACGCGAGAAAAAGCATTAATTATTTGGTAGAACTTTGACAGAATCGCCTTCATTGACTAACACCACTAGAAGCTGCCAAGGAAATGGTGCTTTATCTGTATTAACTGCCAATTTATATGTTTTGTTCGTTCGCTCATGAAACAATCCAATACTTTTCTTATCACAATCGAATGTTAAACATACAGTGTCATTTGTTTGCATATCATTACTACTATAATCATGTATGCGAACATTATTATTCCAGATGCCATGCTGATAGATTTCATTATGACCAAACCATCCGACAGCAAAAGATGAATTGTAGTTCATTATACTCGGTATTCGTTCAGATGATATACAACCGAAAAAGATATTATATGGAGCTGTGCTTCGAAGGATTTTCAGTCGAATAGTATGACAACCTCGAGAATAGAATTGGGTACCAATAACATGTCCGTAATCCATTTCGTTACCAATATGTTTTGCGATAAGACCATCATTATGTATCGAAGCAGGATATGTTGCTTTGAGAAAGCGTTCTTTTGCGAGACTTGAATGAGATGCTTTGTGGTCATGATTAATCAGACCTGGAAGTTTTCTGTGAGCAATTGTGATAAGAGGAATCGATAATTGTTGATCTTCCATGAGTTGAAGGCAGTTGGATGATTGAATTTCTCTTCGAAGATCATTGAGCTGCGTCATCCATCGTTTCAAATCATTTTCTTGAAAATCATCTGCTTTGTAAGATGCCTTTAAATCCAAAGCAATTGCACGAGATATTCTCATGAATCTTTGTTTGTTTTTAGCAAGGATTTGTCTCACTTCTTCTCGAGCATTTTCTGCAGTCGATCTCACTTTCTGGATTGCATCCTGTTCCCATTCATTGATCCTATGTAAATAATTGTATTCATTTGACGATCGTTTAATGTCTTGTCCAAGCAATTCATGATTATGCATCACGTCTTCAAATTGATAGGCCAAATCCTGCCGATGTCGAAGAAGATGCTTCTGGCAAAATACTGACTGGCAACCGTCACAAGTGTATGTACTGTTGCTTTTACCGCATGTTTTACAACGTCTCTTATCGACAATATCGTTGAGAATGATTTTCATGACAGGCATAATATCGAATTGAAGAGAAAAAGAAACAGTTAAATTTGTACCGTTGTTTGATAAATAATGAAAGATTTTGAAAAGCTTCTTTTCAATTAATTCATTCGATCTCCTATTTGTTTGTGTACAAGGCATTTTCGACTACTTTTGTTCTGTATTTTATTAAATAAAAAAGAAAACAAATCGATCCTGTTCATTCCATCACCAACCGCGCATGATTTTGATCACCCGAATGTAGTTTAGATGCCGAAAGAATTCGTACACAATCATCTTTATCAGTCAACATCATTAATAACTGCCATGGTAATGGTGCATGTTCAGTTTGCACACTGATCACATGTCGTTTAGTTGTATCTTCATGAAATAGTTCAATTTGTCTCTTATCACAATCAAATGTTAAATATAAGATATCATTAACTGATATTTCATTACTATTATAACCGTGTGCACTTGGATTGCCGTTTCGGATGCCATGTTGATAGACTTGATTGAAACCGAACCATCCAGCTGTAGATGTGGAATTGATCGATATGCGTTTCTGAACGACTTCCGAGGAAATGCAACCGAAGAATATGTTGTACGGTAAACCGCATTCTTCGATTCTGAATAGGATCGTATGTCGACCTTCAGAATAACGTTGTTCGCCAAGAACATATTCGTAATTCCAATCATTGCTCGTATGTTTAGCAACAAGTCCATCGTCACTCAGCGTGACACTGCCGATAACTTTGGAGAAACGATCTTGGGCAATGAATGTGGGCATGTTTTTCATTGTATTCATGTCTTTAACGGAAATTAATTTGATAACCGACCATTCATTTTCGACGATATTGGCTTGTACAGGTACAGCAATTTCTGCTTTTAACTGCATAAGTTGTTTCATCCACCGATTCAACTCGTTTTCGGAATAATCGTTTGCTTCGAGAGACGAACGCAGAGTCATTGCTAAGTCACGACATGTTTTGACTAATGGTTCTCTAGATTTCTCAATTAAGTGTCGAAGTTGTTTACGAGCATTTTCCGCTGCTGTTTGAACTTTGCCAATCGTTTCTTTTTCCCATTGATCAATTTTAAGGAATAAATTATGATCCTTGAGCGATCTTTCGAAATCACGTTGCAAGACACTCTGCTCCTGTGTGATACTTTCCAATTGTTGAGTTAACTTCTGCCGATGTTCAAACGTGTGTTTTCCGCAAAATGTTTGCTGACAGCCATTGCAAGTCGTTACATCCGTATTACTCAAACAGGTGATACATTGAGGTTTCAGATCATTAGCCATGTTAAATATTAAAATCGCGTAATCGTATAGTGAAGATTGAAGAGAAGAATTAGGCTGAAACTCTTTGTACACATGGAGACAAAAGAAAGAAAAAAAGAAAAAAGAAAAAGAAACGATAAAAAACCGTTCACAGTTTTTGTCTTCTTGCAAGTTGTAAAAAAACAGGGAGAAGAAAGGATGAGGGGAAAGTCATGTGCTTTGAAAACGTTAAGATGTTCTGTGTCATGTCAATAGAACAGAATTCAAATAGAAAAGACTGGCGGGTGAGGGTGGAGTTTTAAAACAACAAATCAACGCAATAGATATGATTATTCATATTCAATAACGATAAGCATAATACAATTTATTTATTCATCTACTAATCTTCAACACGCAACATTCCATTTAGTTTTCACAGAAAAACGAAAAGTGTTCATATATCCGTTGATTCATTAAGTGGTCCATGGATTAAAAAATATATTTCGCGTAGAAATACGGCATTGTTTATTAAAAATCGTCCAAGGAAACATATGGCAACTATGATATGCACAAAGATAATAAAAATTATTTCGTAGGATAGCCAGTGACTTGGTTGTTTCTGCCCTAAAGAAAAACTATAGCAGATATTCTGTTCAAATCGAACAAACTTGTTGATACAGTTGATTGTTTCTTTGTGTGATGTGTATATTCGCAGATTTGCTAAATAGAAGACAGTTTAATGAAGCTTTCATAGCATATCTGCTTACCTGTTCGCGTGCAATGGTATCCGAATACATAATGTCGAGAGCTAAAATGAAATATCAAATAACAAGAAGATTGTCTTTGATGATTATTTACGAAGAAGACACAATATCTGTTCCGTTCCCTTCTCCGCCTAATATGCACTATCAAGCATTATTTAAGTAAATAATTGAAGCGGAGAAAACATATTCCTCTAGCTATGTAGAGTGCGCACGACTTTTCATATGAAATAAATATAACGTCGTTACTTATACTCTCATATTTCCAGCGACAATAATAGTTTCTACTCAAGGAACTCGGATCTAATCTTCAGAAGTGTCACACAAAAGTACGCTTCGTAAGTCATACGTTGCATTATTAATCTTTTACATTCAACTAAATTATTAAAATGTCTCTTTGGAGACCACAAAGACAAAATTTGATTAAATTTCAAGTGCTTTTTCTTTCATGAGATGTGAACTAATGCTTTCATCCTTTTTCCTTCCAATGTAATCGTTTACCGAGTGCTTGATTAGTTTATTTACAATCAATCATCTATGCTAAAATCATATAAGTTACATAAAATCATAAATGTAAAACATGAAGATCAAATCAAATTTCATCTAATGATGTTTTCCTGTCGATTTAACGACGACTATTCAATGGCTGAGTAAGCATATGAATAAGATTCTCATAATTAACCCGTCCATCCGAACCGATATTCAATTCGCGTAAAATCAAATCGACTAAACAAATTTATCATAGTATTAATCAATCTTCATTGTCAAACTTACCATCTTTATCAGTTAATTTTTCTCCCGTATTGGTAAGAAGGTACCTTAACTGCTTCGCATCGATATATCCATGCCGTTGTGTATCATAGAGTTGAAATGCAGCCATGATCTCATTTGGAGTATTCTCTGTTGATCGATGTTCCAACACGATTTTGAGAAAGTCATCGAATTCAACGACACCAGCATCTACTTGAAACGAATCATCGGTTACGAAAAAAAGTCAAACTAAAAAATTCTACCTTTTTTGTATTTAGTAAAATATCGCTTCAGTTCCGCGATTGTTGGTGCCATACTTAACGATCGCATTATAAAACACAATTTATCCGGCGTATCAACATAGCCTTGTGGAGCAAATAATTGAAAGCATTGACGAAAATCTATTGATGAAAGTACATTAAGTTGTTGTCTTCCTATGAAATCAAAGATAATTTTTCCTTACTATCAATTTCTTCTTCGCTGAAATTCTTTGACTAAAACACAAATAAGACAATAGTCCATATTACTTCAATTTTTATCACCTACCATAATTCAAATGAATAAGAACTGTTTTACGACGACTCTCTTTTTTCTTCTTGTTCTACTATCTACTGATGTACATAAATCTAATCGAAACAGACGCTGTGCGTGTGCTGTACGAAATCAAACAAATAGAAAAAGAACTAGGTCGACAAACAATTAGTGAGCAGTACACAGATTAACATGTTGACAGCGACATGACATCGATATGAACGCGAGTTCATTCAGTGAGTTGTTCATTCTTTTCATACAAATAAATATAGAACGGCCTAAGAGGTCGCTATGCGACAAATCTCAGTATCATAATCCCACCTTTTTTTTGTTCTTTCGAGATTGTCAGATTTCATTGCAGTGTGATAGAAGATAGTGTCAAACCTTTATGTAACAAAAATGCAAAATCAGCATATGAAGATCATAGTCAACTTCTTCTAATTTTAATTGTCAATCATATAGTCAATTATAGCTGTGTGAAGTTATTTGAATTTGTCGTAAACTAAATTATATATTGTCATTCTCTCTCTTTCTCGCACGTCTATCCACCTGCGCGTTCACCGAAACGAATAGGAGGAAAAATGTACATTTTCATATTTTTTGTCATGTGTACAAAGCAAAGAAACGATACACTTGAGTGAATCACACGAGAGAAACGTGTTGTCATGTTGTAATAGTAATACATTGCATATTCGTATTCATTTGAGGTGACTGTGAATTGATTTTTTCAACAAACAAAACTATTTCTTCAAATCTAATGGTGATTCCAAATGAAGATTTCGATTCTTTTGTTCTTTTGCCTTTTACATCTTGCTTATGGTAAACTAGTTACTAAACCTCGCGTTTGTCGGAATTGTACAGGAAAAATTCATACGAAAAGAGAATTAGAATTGGCTAAATTACCGTTAGTTATCGACAATTCGCAAATTTGTACACGTGGAAAGCGGTATCAATTCGTTATTATCATCAAATCTGGAAGTTTTATCAAACGGAATTTCACTCGATCGACATGGGCGAAAGAAATGAAAGAAAACTTCAATATCCCTGTTCTCTACGCCATTGGTTCTCCGAATAACAAGTCAATTCAACAAGATATTGTACTTGAAGAGCAACAATATCATGATTTGTTACAGTTCGATTTTCTCGATAGTTATTTCAATTTGACGATTAAAACTACCAGTGTCTTGGTTTGGTATGATCAGCATTGTTCGAACAATAGCGATTATTTGTTCTATGTCGACGATGATCTACTCATATCTGCTGAAAAATTTGTTTTGTATATGATGCGAATGAATTATTCGGATACTCTCGAAGGTTGGTTTGAGAGCTCGGGTAAAATTCTACGGACAGGCATTGGTGGTGTTACAAAAGAAAATTTCCCTATTGATATCGTACCGGATTATCTCTGGGGCGCAGCTGTACTATACCCGTCGAATATCATATCGAATAAATTGATTAAAGCGATATATAGTACGAAATTGCCGATATTTTTCCGTGATGATGTCTTTATCAATGGTTTTGTGGCGGATGAAGCGAAAATCAAACGACAGCAGATGCAAGGTTTGGTATTATATGATCGAACAGAGGATCGTGTGAAAGACAATATGATTGTCATTGATTTTACGACAGAAGAACATCGACATCGGGCGTGGAATTGTTTGAAATATAACGAACAATGTAATCAGAATTTATTATTAACATTATTCAAGATTATCTCAGGATGCATATTGACCGCAATAATTCTTGTCTATTGTTATAAAATTTTCAAATCAATCGAATTGTTTCAAGTATTAACTAATCATTCATATGTGATATTCTATGAAATGAAGGCGTTATGTCAAGACAATATAAACACGATTATGATACTGAGGAGAAGATATTGCCCGACGATAAAATGTCGAAAGATAAAGTTTGCTATTTATTTGATAGTGCATTCGAAACGAACTTACGTTCGGCTAGGCTTCTTTCTTATGATTGTATTAGTTTTGTGTTATCTTTTTTAAGAAATAAATTGTTTTGAATTTGTCTCTATTAACAATATTTATTGTCATATCATATACCACAATCTACACAAAAAAAAAGAATAGGAAAATAGAGATGAATGTATCATTTTTGAATTCATCTGGTAAATCGTCAATTGAATTGGAATAGAAATGAAAATATCAGTTTCAAAAATAGATAACAATCTTCGAAGAGAAAGAAATTTTCTATCCCTATCACAATGGTCTCGGGGAAGAACATAAATACACATTTAGAAGTATATTTTCTATGTAAAACTAGAATTCTATCAAAACTACTCTTTGATTTTATTCGAATTATGCATCATCTTCTTCTAAGGTTGGCTCAACTGTTAAGGCACTACCGTGTCCACTTCGTTCTCTGGTTAAGGGTGTTCCGTATGTCCATTCGTCCTTTTCAGGATCGTAAATCTCGACGGTAGATGAAAAGCTTCGCCCATCATAACCACCTAGAGCAAAAAGACGTTTGTCCAACGGCACACAGCTCAGTGCTGATCGACGACAATTCAATGGTCGAACAAAAGACCATTGTTGAGTCAATGTGTCGTATCGTTCGACAATATCCAGTTGCATGGGCCCTTCGATATTGTCTGATGCATAACCGCCCACAACGTATATACATTCAGCTAGAGGAGCAGCTGCAGCACCAGATCGAGCACATAGAAGCGGCTGTTCACGCTTCCATATATTTGTATCAGGATTGTACGATTCTACATCGGCTAATCGTCGATGTCCATCAAAACCAGCAATAGCATATAACAACCGACTGTGTGTGCAAACAGCTAGCCCCGTACGTGGTATATGCATAGGAGCAACTTCTTCCCAAACGTCTGTATCAGACAGAGGAGTGTACCGTTCAACGGTTGCATGTAATTGTTGACCACATAGACCGCCAACAGCATAAATACTATGATCGATAGTACCAACAGCAAGACGATTTCGTGGGTAGATCATCGGTGCAACTGTTGTCCATTTATTCACAAATGGGTCGTAACGTTCGACGTCACGGCAATCTCGAGTTTCGTTTCTGAAAAATAATCGAGACCAGAATGTCAACATGTTTTCTGTTAGGACAAATGATCGTTTACTTTGTACTGAATTTCCCACCAATAACATAAACACGCATATGCAGAGAAACAACACCAACTCCACTTCGTGGTATCTGTAAATCTGCACATCGTTTCCATTTCTGTGTTTCTAAAAAGTAGCATTCCATCGTTTGAATTGGCTTATTGAAATATCCACCAGCACAGTCTAAAATAGAAACATCACTTTGCGACTGAGGACAGTGTCGACAGAAAATAGCATACAGATAACAAGTGGTTTAATCGGAGCGCGACGCGGCGGTAAACGAAAATATCGATGCGATGTTAGATTTTCGTAGACATTCGCCAGAAATTCTCGACAACGTTGCATATCCGGTGGAGCAAAATCATCACAGTTGATAACATCTTTCAAAAACAATGGATCGAGAAATTGCAGACGTATACATGGTAAGATTTCCGAGAGTTCAGCGCGTCGATTTGTTACATCATGCCGCACCCATTGCATTGCAGCCTAAAAGATACGGATATGATTTTTCTCAAAACGAACATAGTGCGTTCATACGTTATAGATAATGGATTCACATTTAACTTTGACTTTGTCATCTTTAATGATTGAATAAACATCTGAAAAGCTAAGCGTAAGAAATTCTTCGTGCCGCACCACGTCTTCGAAATGTTCGAATATATAATGTAGAGCAGCTTCCGTCAACGGCGGACATTGATACTGTTTACCATAAAGAAATAGTCCCACACAATTAGATGCATGAAATTGGTCACGAAGATACGCAACACACAATTCAGTTAAATCATCGATTAATAATGGAAGTGAACCTATTAGAACACCAAGAACCTAAAAGAAATCCTTATGAATCTTCTTTCAATCGAAATCATCCAACTTACACATTTATCATTCAGCTGGACTTGTGACGTGTAGAGAAAATCTAAGATAATACTCATTGCATTCGAACAGGGCACTGTTTGACTTAAATCAATGTCTTGTAATGTCTGTGATTCGACGTGTCCTCCACTGCCAAACATAGATGAGAAGTACGGACAAGCTGATGCTAAGACAACCTTGTGTGCTAAGAATCGTTGACCACTGACACATAGGCTAACATCACAAAATAGTCCATCTTTTCGATACATAGCCATCGTATTGGCTAATTGAGCCGCTCGACTAGATTTGATTTGATAGAAACGATCTGAACCTGAGAGAATCTTCATTGTATATTTGCCCATGTCAAACTCATTCAACTCATTCATAGAAAGTAAACCATCAAGATCGTCGAGACCATTTGTATCTATTTGGGAGTGCCCGTTTAGCATGACAATGCCTTTTCGTTGCGAAAAAACACAAGACAGAACAAGAAAATTTTTTTGCAATGCTCATCATGATACTTCCATTACACTATATTCGCTAAGTACGTACTTTTTACTGCGTTTCATCACAACCTTATCTATGATTGCCTCGATGTTTTCTACTAATCAGATCTAAACGAATAAATTCATTCACGTCTAATGTCAAGCACTTTTATCAACAAAAGTCTGTGATGTAAAAACATGTTTTTGCGTCTTATATTTTCAAGCGAGATGTCGCTAGAGTGCAATAAAAATTTACATCGTTTTGGGTAGAAGATGCCTAGAACAACAGAGATTCCCATGGTCGGAAATGTATTCTGAAGAATAAAACAATCAGATTCTAGTCGTTTGAAAGATTATTAGGGATAATTAGAGTGCTTCGGGATGAGCGATTCAGGATACGTCATTTTGGGTAATTTAAAATAAAAATGATTGATGAAATACATTAGAATTACTGTCTAATTTAAATAGAACTGACACGAGAAAGATTTGTGAATATTTTCCATGTGTCATCACCGTACGTATGACATCAAATTATAGATTAAAAAAGACAAAAGATAAGAAGACAAACATGAAGATTTTATGAGTAATAACAAAAAGTAAATAATAATATTGCTATTTCGTTCTCGCAAATCGTCTTCATATTGTTCGTATACGAGTACTAAACAAATTCGTTTAATTACCCGTTTAGATTAGATTTGTTATGAGTAGTGAACGTATTCCTCTTTCTTCGGGTATTGATTCCAGTTTTTATGCTGCTCACGAAGTATCTGCACGAGATTCAGGTACTAGTGGAATAGCTCGTCGTATTGTTCCTGGTTTGACAATAGTCTGCGTGTTATTTGCTGCCGGTTCAACAATATATGGTTCAGTTCAAGCTGAATCTGCTGCGATGGTCTTGCCATTTACTGTTGTCCTATGTTGGACGTTTATTCATTGCTTACTTTTGTTTTTCTCGAGAAAAGATCACCATGAATTTCATCCGCCAGCATGGTTTCTATTCGTTTCAAGTGGTCATATTTTTATACAATCATTGATCGTGATTATTTTAACATTATTCACAAAATCAACTTAATATGACACATGCTTTTCCTATATAAATAAAACATCGACGCGCTTTTTCACCTAGCCTAGCCATCTTAATCCTAAGTGGTTTTTCTATCGAATATCGAGCCATCAGATAGGAAATTTGATTAGCTATAGCTCATGTCAAGTCGATTAGGGTCATAATATATCAATTAGATCTTGAATTCGCGGAACTCTAAGTTATTTTAAAAACTGTAGGTACACCAGGAACGAGTTTGCACTAAAATGCTTACTCAAATTCTATTGCAGGTTTTCAATTACATATCTTTGCTAGTAAAGACTACGATGAACGGAAAGACAGTTTATAACGGGAAATTGTTTGAGATATACATTACGATGATTCTTTCGAATGTTTGAGGTAACAATTTTTCACAGGAAATGCGAAATAATAGAAGATTTAGAGAGATTCTGTCGATTCAGGGTAGTACTCAGTGGATGTACGTCTGAAAAGAAATTGAGCGTCGGTTAGGAAAAATAAATTGGACCAGATTGGATATGAATCTGAAGTTGATTACTGAATGTAAATGATAGCTGAAGATCAGAATCTAACCTGCAATTTGAGAGGAGACGGGTAGGAATTTTTATTTTGAATTTCAGTTGAATAAATTTCTGATGTTTAATTATTCAGATAGAAATAAAATCTTCAATCTGAATTATCTATTGATGAAAAATATTGTACTGTGATACAGAATAAGTCTCTGTTACATGATATAATTTATGACAAAACAATCTCCTCAATTATGTCTTTCTTTTTCTCATTCTATCAAGCAATCATCGGCTTGCTGATTCTTTCTTCTTCCTTCTAATCTTTGCTTACACGATATTCCAGCCACTCGCGTTGATGGATCGCAACACCGGCTCAGAAACTAAATTTTGTGACCTGTCAATCAACTGGAATCTTCCTTTTCTTCTTCTTCCTCTTTCTCGACGTTGTTCTCCACATTCTCTGAAGAGTAGTTTGGTTAAATAGATTTAGAAGAACTATTTCATAATTGAATAAAAGCACCTTCTTTATACTTCAAACAACGTTTGCATGACAAAAATTAATAGGAAATCTTTTTGCGACGTCATAATGGACAAAACTAGCATTGAAATTCTTTTTTTGTTCGCACTTTCACTCCGTAGGATGTTGGTGTTACTTCTCGTGTTTCTCCACCTGAGAAAAATCACTTTTACTCATGCAACATTATTTTATTTTAGTAATTTCCAATGTTGAACATCACAACACTTTCTCTCATGCTTCATCAGCAATGGTCGATCGATAAATTCCTTCGAATATTCATTCTAAGTGTTATTATTTGTCTTACAGTGATAGGAAATCTTTATATTGTTTTGTTGTTATCATTTCGTCGACGGCGTACTCGGTTACATCTATTCATATTGAATTTAGCGTTTGGAGATTTAGCAATCTGTTGTTGCACGATGACATCTGAATTATTTCTATTAATTTATGATCAAGAATGGATTCTAGGTAATATTGCATGTAAATTAACGTTATATATTCAAGTTGTGACAATTGCATCAACGACGTTCATAAATGTTGCCATGACCTATGATCGGTAAGAGAGTTTGTGATGGTGATTGAGATTGATGGATTTGAATTGCCGAAAATCATCCTTCTAAGCAGTGATTAATGGAAGTATAGGAAAAGTTTCGCTTCCTTGGTTTGATTCAGTTTGCCTTGAATTAATTTGTGAGGAAGAAATGGAAACTTTGGCTTGCTTACAGCCAATGTGTATGATCAGTGCATACTAAAATGATTCGTTCAGTATCGGTGATCATATTGAAGCGTCTCTATTTGTCCTAAGATTACTAGCTAGTGCGAAAATAATCCGTTCTCGCTCTCTCCGGAGACATCGGAACCGTCAGCCACTTCTCACTTGCAGAAGAATATTGACACATCTGTATTGAACTTGAAAAAATTATTTTAGTCACTACATTCATCGGCATGTGAGAACTAAATATAGATTGTAGGAATAGTGCTTACGAGGAAGTAACCGACGCAAAAGATTTCATTCTGGAGAATGAGTATCGAGTTGAGACGGAAGTGTGAGAATTGATTATTAGGTTTGAATATGTAATCAGAGTGATCATTAGTCTTGAAATTGTAGTATTGCACACGGTTTCGCCTTTGATCTAGTTTTTTCCTCTAATTTGAATAACGATACAAATGTGACAAATGAAATTCATAATTAAATCGAATCGAGTGCAAAGTTTCTTTTCCACAGATGAATCTCAATGATTTCCATTTCAAAAAGGCAAATGAACATGTACCTTTGAACAACAACAACTAACCCTTCTAATATTTCGTTTAGATATGAAGCTATCTGCTGTCCATTAAGGATTCTTGCAACATTTGGTCGTATATACAGAACTATTCTCTTGTGTTGGATCGCTTCATTCATCATTGCTATACCTCAATTATTTATTTTCGAACAAAGTCTCTCTCTCACCAGTCCAACAAAATATCGTTGTGCGAGTACTGGTTATACTGCCGAATGGCAACGTCGTGTTTACTTTGCTATTTTCGCTCTTTATGTTTTAATCTTGCCTGTGATCTGCATGACGTATTGGTACATTCGAATCATACGCACAGTGAATGCATCATCGAAAGTATGGACAAAAAGCTTGCGCGCTCAATCACCGCCAACGACGTATATTCTCTCCCCATCATCAAAGAAGGTCAGAACAGTGAAATTAGCGCTTACAATCATCATCGCTTTTGTTGTTTGTTGGACGCCGTACATGGTTCTAACGTTGATCGAAATCTATTCCAATGGTCGTTTTCGTATTCCATCATGGTGTGATGGAGTTCTGCAAACTATATGTTTAGTTCAAAGCAGTTTCAATCCGTTTATTTACTTAGGATTCAATCAAAGAAAAAGATCTTCGATAACGCTGATACTCGCGGCTGCTTCGACGCATTCGCAAAGAAGCAAAATAAAGATTCATGGCAAACTTCGTCAACGAGGTGGTTCAATCTCGCTAGATTCATGGACAAAACCATTCTCACGAAACAACACTTTGAATTCATTAAAAATAGATCACGATCAGAGCAGTTCTTCTCGAAATCAAAATTATGATTGAATTATTTATCACTGATTAATAAAGTTTCGCTGTTCAGAACTTCATTCTACGAAGTATTCCGTACAAAACCCACAGAGATGAACTCGTATGAGGGCAAAAGAAAAGATCACCTACATACCCTCGAAAGCGAATCATGCGCACTCGATTAAGTTATTTTGGGTTCTGAAAGTTGTGTGTGAAAAGAGATTAATCAAATCACTCCGATTATCCTCATGCAAACAGTGCATCAAGTTTTCTAACAGACCACATCATTTTTCTTTTCGATAAGATCGCCATCTTTGCGTGATTAATTCGTCACAAAGACCAATGGCATATGTAATCGAAGATCATCTATAAGATAACGCGTATTCAATATATGAATAATGAGATTCTTATTAGCTCGTATTTCATGACACGATCGTATTTCTATTGAGTGTATTCCATGTCAAAAAAAAACACATGCTTACGTGGTGAATAATTCCAGCACTGGAAGTGTAGATCTTCTCAGAGAATTAAAGCCATGTTTACCATTCCATGTCTGACTATCTTTCACATAGAACGACAATCTCATCCGTGATTATCACTATTGATAAAGAAAACAAATGACGAAACAACGGAGACTAAGTTGCTAGATACCAGATGTTTCTGTCGGAATCATATAAATCAAAACTGATGATGATTGAATTCCATATATGTATGTGAACTTGTTATAGATCGTGTACTCAATCTAATTGGAAATTGATTACACCGTTAAGTTTCTACGCATGAAATCTCAATGTTTTCTAACATCTATTTGAAGAGAAACTGTATTAGCAAATTATCTCTTGGCATTTATGTTGTCATGTTTGATGACATTTATGCAAGATAATTAGTTTCTATTTTTCAGTATGACAGTCATTAGTTCAGTCAACATATTTTTTCTTCTACTTCTATCGATATATGATGTAATCCGACAAATCCTGACATCCCATCAGGTGAGATTAAAACTGATTTTACCATGCTACTATACGTCAGAAATTGACCGAACTAGTATGAACTATAAAGCAGTCAATACTACAGAAAACACCTTAAGGTTTCTTTTGAATAAAAAAAAATTAAATGAAATATATAAAATTCAGCTACTTTGATTAGTTCAGACTATGAAAAAATTTCAATGATTTGATGTACCATATGTCGTTAATTAGTAGTTTAGACTTCAAGGCCTGCAGGTTATTCGCTCATGTGAATTTTTTCAATGAAAACTTTACGTAAAGTTATTGACCGTATGAAGCAGGTTAATCAACGTCACACAAAGACAATCTCATACAAGACATGCAACTGCAAATAAAATGACCGACAAAAAGCATCCACGCTCACTTCCGGCGTCTTTGTCGCCGTGTATTGTTTGAAACATGAAGTAGAATTGCGACGCAGAAAACAGTTTCCACATTCGATTATCTTCATGGCAGACAAAGCAGGTCAGTTCGAAAATCTTTCCGATGAACTACTCCTAGAAATCTTTCAATATCTGCACGCTTTGGACCTTTTCACAGCATTTTCTTCTCTCAATAATCATTTTACGTCGATTTTATCATCAGTGAAACTTCACGTTGTTATTAATGATCTTCATTCTCATCATCACGTTCAATTTCTCTCTTCATTTCTTCATCAACATGCTCATCAAGTAATTTCGATTTCCCTTCATGATCAACTTCATAATATGTCGTCAGTTATACATTTTCTTTTCAATCAACATTCTTTCGAAAATCTGCGCCATTGTACATTCAGTTCAATTTCATCGACAACAGAACTTATTACACTCGTTGATCAACTGAAATTATGTACTAAACTGATCTCATTTAAAATATTTCAACCATTTGATTTGCCGCTATCTTCTGACATTAAAAAACAGTTAATATCCATTGCTTTACAACACGTTCCTCCAAAATTTCAGTCAGTTGATTTGTCCTTTTGGTGCTATGCTGCACATTTCCTTGTGAATAATTCAATCAATTCAACATTAACAAGACTCCATGTCCTACTCACAGGATCTATTGCTGTCTGCTCGATCTATAGTGTTCTTTATATACTACGTATGTACTACGCATTACGAGTATTTTACATTGACATAAAAGATGACGAGCATGCAAGTGATCAACAACTTATGTATGTCTCATTTTCATAATTCTATAATTGTTCACTAACATTACTTTTGTTTTTTGCAATAGAAGACCAAGATTACTGACCTCGTTTGTTACACATCCGCCAATAGTGTTATCACTGACGTCGTTTTACTTGCATATAATATCATTTTGTGATTTGGAATCGTTACGTGTTGTTTTACGTTGCATGCCAAATCTTCGTCAATTGGTTCTTACTATTGTTCCTACACCATCAATTCTACCCAGATATGCAGATATATTCAAAGGTGATGAATGGGAAAAATTATTAACATCGCTTTTTTCGCAACTGAATCTGTTTGACTTGCTTGTAAGTGTTGAATATCCGACTCTTCCGCTTGATCCAGCAGTTATTGTCAATTCTTTTGACTGTTTCACTAAGAAATATGATGATTGGCAGTTGCTTTCCCGAGATACAAACAAATTAATCGAACGATTTCCATCGCTTGTTCATTTGGAATTTCAATTGAGCTTTGGCAAAGAATTGCCACCACTTCTCGATATTTTCCTCGGTGGTCTGCCTGACCTAGTTCACATAAGGGTGCATTTCGATCTGATACGACTAGTTCAAAATGAAAAACATTGTATTGATTACATCGCCAAAAAACGTCGCACAGCATTTCCGTGGATTGCCTGCAATGCAGAGGATATTTCTGTTAGAATTGTCAGAAAAACTGTGAATATCTATTTGAAAGGTTGTTCAATGTGTACAAACAACGCAAATCATTGCTAGAAATTCCGTCATAGAAAAGAATCTGTTCCTTTCAAAAGAAGAAAAACAACGATCTGCATATGTGTACGTATATTTGGTTTTACTTTAAGTGAATACCTCATTTGATGATCCTTTATCGTCTACAAAAAAAACTGATATGAATAAAAAAGAAAAAAAATTTCCAAAAAGAAAACAAAAAAAAAACAAAACGTAAATATTTAAACGATGTATGTATATATACACATGAAGAAGGCAACAAACAAACAAAAAGAGATTTGGTTTCTATTCGAATAAATAATTATTTATGTTTATTCGCTTGTGAACGTGATGCACTTTTATTTCGATTATTGTTTCCATTCAAGTCCGAACTTAACTGTTGTCTTGCTTGTCCACATGCCTGAGCAAGATCAATATCTGATAGAGGAAGTTTATCCATTTTGATTAGAAGAGTTTCGAATGGAAGTTGTTTTGCTGTTTGTTTAATGAGTGCAACAAGATCCATAGCATTATCACATTTATGTGCTTTTGAGACGGTATCAGTTGGACCAATTTCAAGTGTTTCACGCACAATTACAAGCGCGAGTCGAAATAATACTTTAACACCTTCGCAAAAAAACATATCCCAGATACGAAATAGTTGAGGGGCACGATATGTTCGCGAAAATAACGTCATATACCAATCGAGTGTATATAATATTGGATCGACATCAAGTTTTTTCTAAATGAAAGAAAGCAATGCAGTGAGGACGAATTCCGATCAAACAAGTTAATCTCTTCGACTGAGTGACTTACAAGTAGACGATGACCTTTCGATGTAACTTTTTGTATAAGCAATTCTGTTGCTAATGCATCTTCTTTAACTGCCATTAGGCCATCACTGAAATATCCTTTTACGTATTCTTCATTAATCTGAACAAAAACCCAAAATGCTTGTTCAGGTGGTAAATGCATTAGGAGGATCGCAGCAATGGGTGCCTGTGCTTGACAGTAACCAACGTCAGGATCATGTACAGCATATGCTTTCAATACATCATATAAACTCTGTTGTCTGAAATTGAAATCAGTTCTTTTGATCTTTGCTTTCATTCGATCGTATTTCCTTACCCGCAACCGTCGTCTCGGAACATTTCGTGGTCGGGAAAAGATCGTGCGAGATCTTTTCGAATATCATCTACTACGTGTGATGCTGGCGTTTGTGTTAAATAGAAACTGAATACACTTCCTGTCGGACAATTTCTGTCCGCATTTTCATGTCGAAATTTAGCTGCTGATAGATGATACCAAGCTTGACCGCGTACAGATGGTGGTATGCCTTTCCGACATCGTTCTTTGACTTTATCGAAACGTGAATCAATAAACGTCGCCCATCGAGCAAACATATCCAGCCATTTTTGTTCTCGACGACGCGCTACTGATGCTTTTACTGATTCTTCCATTCTAAAAAAAACAAACAATAAACGAAACAAATTCACTAAATCGATTGAACATTTCATTAGTCTTACTCGAGTTCATTGGGTGAAACAAAAAATCCATATGTATTCGGTACTTCATCACGTTCCTGTTCGCTGTTACGAGAGTAATTATTTACCATGTCTTAAACGAAGTACAAGTTCATCTAAAAAATAACAACAAAAAAAACTATCATTTATTCATTTGTTACAAAACAACATTAGGAAAATACTTCATAATATTCGATTCTATACCGAAAAGAAAAAGATCAATAAAAAAAATATACATATCAAAAACAGAAACGAAAAAACACCTAGTTGAGAGATTCTTCTAATGATGTCCACCGTCATCATCATCTACTAATAATAGATCTTCCTCGTCGTTGTGATTGGTGTCGTTTAATACATGCTGTGGATTGGAATTTGACTGCGTATGATAGTATGCATGTAAATGAAAGTCTTCGTTTTCATAAGCCACTAATTCATCGACAATGGATCGAAAAGATATTCGATCACCGGGTGAAAACGTCCAACAAGCACGCATCAGTTTATGTCTAAAATCAATGTGAATTACGTGCAAAAATGATAGAGAAATAGAGAGCTCATACAAAATTTCAGGACAATTTAACGGACGTTCAAGTGTTATATTTCCATAACGAACATAATGTACAACTTCTTCATTGCCATAACCCTGATAGGGTTGTTCAGCTAAAGTGGCAATTTCCCATAGAAGAACACCAAATGACCTGAAAGACATGTTTTGCTCGAAGAATCAATTGAACGAAGAAAGGACTTTTACCAAACGTCGGAAACGGTGTCGAATCGTCCATCTCGTAAACTTTCTGGCGCCATCCATCGAATGGGAAGGAAACTTCGACCACCCCGTCGGTAATAATCTGTTTCGTATATGTCACGAGTCAAGCCAAAATCTATACGAAAAAAAGAAAGTGATCGCATCGAAGTCACTCCCAATGAACGAATAGAATGTCAGTTTTACCTCCAACTTTACATGTGTGATTTCCATTCACCAGACAATTTCTGGCCGCTAGATCTCGATGCACAAATTTCTGATCTGATAGATAGTACATTCCGTCGGCTACATCCAAAGCTAGTTGAATCATTGCGGACTCAGACAGTGTTGAGCTATTTGGCTATAAGAAAACAAAATCAACTAGTTTTGTTTCCTTGAAAGAACAACAAGATATACATTAGCTTCGTTAGGTCGATGTCGATATAAATAGTTTTTCAAATCTCCGTTTTCCATCAGTTCCATGACCACATACGGTGGTCGAATACGTGAACATATTCCATACAGTTGTATTACGTGATAACATTGAAATTGTCTACAAACAAAGGAAAGTAATGCAAAATCAACGTCTGAGGAGAGGCGAAAGTGTTCAACGAACTTCATTATGGATGCTTCTTGTAATAAATCTGTTGGATGTGTTGTCCGAACCTTTGAAAGAAGAAAAAAAAAACGATCATGAGAATTCATGTCAAGCAATAATAAACATGTCTATATTTACTTTGACAGCACATGCAGTTACTGTTCCATTTTGTAATCTGAGAATACCTTGATAAACTTGACCGAAATGACCTTGTCCGATAAGTTTATCTAATGTAACAGAATCTTTATCAATTTCCCATTGATCTGGCGTATATAATTCTAAAATGAAGACACACATTGAGAAATTAAACGTTCGCTTGATGTCAACAAACCATAGTTGGGATTTTTCGAAATCGATGCTTTATTATCTCCTCGGCCATATCTATAGTAATAAAACGGTGCGCCAATAATAATAATTAGTAGAAGTAAAATCGAGCCAGTGACTAATACGGTCAATATCATACGATTTTGTCGACTTAACATGTTACCTGAAGTAAAGATTATGATAGAGAGGTGAATTGAAATAGTTTTCTAGGTACTAACTTGGTAAATCTTCTGTCATGAATCTCAATTGAAAATATAGACTCGTCGAATTTTCTGAGTACTGTTCATCGTTAATCAATTGTCGATCTTTATATTCATTATCTATTCTAGCAATTGTATAAGTTATAATTCGTAGTCGATAGGCAGTTCGAGGTAAAAGAGTAATGTTAATAGAATTCGTATTATGTCCAACACATCGATCTTCTTTCGGTCCATTGGTACTATCTTGTCCAACTGAAACGACGTAAAAATAAATCAAGCCATTTGGTTTCAGCGGCTTTGACCACGATATATGATAATTGAAGGATTTCGTGTTCGATGATAATCGATTTGGATCTTCCGGCAGTGTAATCAATTTCACGTTTCGCACAATATCACGTGATGCTAAACGAGAAGTCAATATTGAGGATGCATGAACAGTTTCAATCCTAATACATACGATCACCCGGCTTCGTTCGAACCGTCAAAGTAATTCCATTGAGACTGCATGCATCGGATAAGGACTGATTTGATAGATCATGACATGCATAGACTTGGAACATGTATAACTGTGCTTCTTTCAGTCCATCAATAATTGCTCGCGTAGTCGATACTGAACGGTTGTAATTATTTATATATGGTTTATGTTCGACAACAGGTTTTTCACGCGAATCCGATTTCGATTGTTCACGAAGTGCACTGCTCTTGTCTTCAAAATAAATGTCTAAATCATTGATAATGGTGTCTTTCAGTTCGGGACGAATAAACAAAGCTTCTTTTCGTTGACTGACAGAATTGATCAATTCATATTCAAGTATGGATAAATCAGTGACAACTTGATCGATATCTTGATTTCCTGTGGCATCTTCTTCATTTTCATCGTCACTATTGGAAATAATGCTATTCTGTCGAGATTTCGGACGTGGACAACGTGTCGATTGAGTGATATTCAGATCATTTCGTCCAACAGTTACTTCTGACAGCCAACGATCTACAGAAATCGAGAAATTTATTTTTCAAATGGAATCACCTTGTGTTGCTCATTTACCTTTCATCAAACAGAGTAATTTCCAATTATCAACAGGTAACCGATCTTCAATCGGTGCATAATAGACAAGATACGTTGCTATTATACCGTGAGATTTCGACGGCGGTTGCCAAGTCAGCTCGATGGCTGATTGCAGCAATGACTCCCCACGTAAATTAACAACTGGTTCTGGCTGTCGTGGTAATGTCGGAAAATAAATGATCGGAGAGAACAAACCGATGGTGTTCACATTCGAAGTTATTGATGCATAGACAGCATACCATTCATCACCGTTCAACGATGTTAAATCGGCGTATAATGGTAGTGTTCCACCTAGAAGAGAATCGAATGAGAATGAAACCTCAAATGATATGAATTCATCTTGAAAAAGTATTCATATCAATTAGAAAAATATTTCCTATATTGTCATGTTTATTTTGATAAGAGGACTATCATATCGTCGAGACAGGAAGTCTATATCTATTCGATGTTATTTCAGTTGGATATATTACATATACATGCGTACACGTATTCAAGCACAACAGATCATCTCTTCTAGTCTCCTAACGAATGATGATCGAATTTTGAAATATCCTACCGGTAGACGCTAGATTATGGCTGACTTTTTCGACCAATCTGAACCATTTATGCGATTGTGTAGCGTCGAAATGTGTTTCGTTTTTCGTTTTCGTTGGTTTGTAATAAACGGATAGAAATGGTCGACGTAAGTGTTCGGCTTTTCCACTCGAGCGAAAAAATAGTTCCTTAGGCACGGATACCATCACTCGAGCAGTCAACGAGCGTATCTTGTCGACAGATATTCGCAACGAATTCGATTCACACGATGCCAAATATCCGTTTGCGTATCCATTGTATGTATCCTGTGAGACTTGAAGTTCTAAAGCAGACGGATGAAGTTTCTTTTTCACATAGAATCAAATGAAATGACCAACCTTTGTCACGAGAAGTTGTGAGTTCAATGAAATCGGTGATATGTTTCAAGCATAAGCGTGCGTTACGCACGATATTTATGCTTCCTTGGACAATAGGTGGTGGCTGACCGATTGGCCAAAGTTCTGTGAGAAATTCATTTTCTTCGATGGTGATTGTTGCATTCGCCGTTATGCCAATGCGTTGCAGTCGAGAGAACATATTCAAGGTGGAAAATACTTTGACATTGTGAATTGTAAATTCATGATCGATCTGTTCGAGACCATCAAATGCCGTAAAAGCTTCATTAAAATGAGTTCCGCGTGCGTCAACTGTTGCAATATTGTAGATATTCAACGTATGAACACGAGAACAGTATTTCAATGATTGAAAATCCGCTATGGATCGAAGATGTTTCTCCTTGCAAGCTCCATTACAGTAACCATTTTCCGGCGATGATATACAACGAACGCATCGTGATCCTGTTTCATGTTTAAAGCCGGATGGACATGCGTAAACGCATTCGTTCACTTCATCTAGGATAAAACCAGAACCCATGAAAAACGATATACATTCTTGACGAGTGATGCACAAAGAACCGCCAGTCTTAAAAGAAAAGAGAACAACTGAAGCTCTCGAAAGACAATAGAACAATTCTACCTTTAACATATTTGACGGACATTGCTGTACGCATTTTCCTGTTGCGTAAATTCTCATACTTCTACAAGCATTACAAACTAAACTTGTAGTATTTGTCGTATTACCATAATAACATCCTCCAACACAATCTGCTGGACAACATGTGTCTTCTGACAAGCAATTTCCTTTGCACTGAATGGGACATCGTTGTTGACATCGTGAGGGTGACCAACATGCAGACGGACATGTTGGACAGAAAGCACAGTTATCACGATTTTGTCTTGAGATCACTTGTGATGCTTTACTTTCCATAATATCATTCCACCGTATTGATGTTGTGTAACATAACTGTGCATTTCGAGCAAGGATTATACTTCCACGACGTACACTTATTAAAGATATTAAACCCAAGTCATCTAAGAGAAAATTATCCATAATTATTAATGAATAACTATGATACAATTCTCGTCCATGAATAATTGACAAGCGTGGAAACATTGTCGAGAATGAGCGCATGGATGAATAACCCAAGAGTATATATCCATAAACTTCACGAAGATATGGAAAGCGTATTTGAGTTATTGCTGTCGTCGTATTGGCATTTGTCAAGGAATGCATAGGTGCATATGTCATCGAACCAAGAATAATTTCACAGGCACTCAAAGCTTGAGTATCAAGACCACGGCGTAATTCAAATAATGTAATGCGTACATCACCACAGACTAAAATGAAGAAAGTATGTTTGAATTAGTATACATTTCTTTCATCAAAGCGCCATCGACATTTACAGAGTTCCACTTTTCCTGAAGGACAAAAAGAAGTTTATGTCTTCTGCTGTTGCACTTAATTCTATTTTTATCAACTCAAGTAGCTATACCGTAGAACATCCTTAGATCACATCTAAACAGACACTAAATTATTCTTTCTATTAATAAAATGAGTACAACATGTTTCTTATACCCCTCCAACGATTAAAGCGAAAGACATACGTCATCCTTTTTTCCCATTCTCATCGTCTTGCCAGTATTATAATTAATTTCAAACAATTCATCACGCGTCTCAAAGACTCTCCACAATGTCATTGAAGGAAAAGAATATACGTAAATAGTACTTCGTTCAATCTTAATTCATCTTATGATCAATTCAATTTCATAGAAGTACATTATTAATTCTAGTACTCCCAACTTGAATCATCTTGGACTCTAATAGTAGTAAATGTAACTATATCAGAAAAGTTTTTAAATGAGATTAGCGGTACTGCTACGAGTCTGGGTTAACGTACGATTTTAATGAATCATGTAGAGAAAGGATGCGAAGCGGCTATGCCAGAAAGCGGTCTTCAGGATGATACAACAAAAATTTTCAAATTATAGGGTGATTTTCAGATGAGATGAACAACTATATCCAAACATAATAGAGTAGTTCATTTATGTCCATAAAAAGTGGAAAACAAAAGATGGTAGTACAAGAGTTAATCGAAGTGAAAGAAATAAAATAGAAAACTAATTGTTTGAAAGTTAATTTACCTTTTGGATGTGGTTTAGCTATGGCTATTGTTTCAATAGTGGCATTTTTTTCCGCTTGGATCCAGAGAATATATAAGAATAGAAGAACAATGATCACATATGATTCGCCCTTATTCATCTAGAATAAAAATTATCAAATAATCCATTAAATATAGGAAAATAAATAATAATCTCTTTCTTATTCTTAGCATTGTGATTTTTTTCTTTCTTGTACAAGAAAACAGAAACGCCCAATACCAAATGGTAACATAAGAAAGAACAAGATTTTCTTTTTTTTGTAAAATTACACGCGTAAGTATATATAAAGAGATAACAAGTGAATGCGAAGAAGAAAAGAGAAAGAGAGAGAGAGAACAGAAAAAGATGCTTTCAACACCGGTTGCCAGTTTAGCGTCGTGTTGTTTTCAACTTTGGTTTGCTTGAACTAGTGAGAACATCCTCGAAAAACGCATCACTATCCCAATCATTTTTCGATTGACTGGGCTTATCCTGCGTCCATGCAGTAGTATTTGTCGTTGTTTTTGTTGTCGTTGACTTAAATGTGCTTGTTGTTGTTGTTGTTGCTGTTGATGGAATTTCAGGTTTATTTACCGGTGCTGGTGTACTGAAATCTTCCCATTTATCATCACCAATCTCTTGTGTTTCGCCCCAATCATTCGATTTCATGTCATCCCACGGGGTTGGATTTGCTTCGTCATCCTCGTTAACATCATCCGTTTTATTAAAATATGAAGCTAATGCTGATGCTTGCCGCTGCTTGAAAAAATCAATTTGTTTTTGAAATCAAAATATATAATTTGTTATTACTCACTTGTTCCTCCTTTTCCGCTTTTGTTTGTAATTTACTAGGCGCATTAACTTTCACAGGTGATTGTCCATTACTTGTGTTTCCTGTCGATTTTTCTATATGGTAAATCAAGTGTATAGTAGAGAGAAAGAAAAACGTGTAATGTAAAGGGCTATTACGTTCTTGTTTATGTAGAGTAAGGAGGAAAACGAGAGTTAAACAAAGACAGAAAGAGAAAAACAAGCTGCTTCTATCGAGTAACAAACGAGCGAGAGAGAGAGAGTGAAAGAAATCTATTAACAGAACAGCTTCGGATATCTTAGTAAGCGATCGATCGTAACGAATCAAGCAGTGTCAAGGTGATGTGTATGATTTTGAATACAAATACATTCGTGATGAAAAGAATAATATTGTATTACTTGTCTATTGTATAGAAAGACTAAAGTAATGTATGACTGTAGTGTATTGATAGAGCAGTAATAGACTGATAGTTTCGATAGGTTTGCTTATGAGTAAGAAAGATTAGAATCCAAAGACGAGCGATAATAAAGATCCAGGGAGTTGTTTTTGTTTTTGTTTGAAATGATGAATGTCTTTTTATGGAAAGTACTCAAAATATGATGTTTGAACATGAATTATTAAGCTGCTCAGCGTATTTTCATAAAGAAAAAGAAATATTTTTCTCTCACAGATCCTTTCGTGTAATTGAGATATGTCAGAAGAATTTGTTGATCTCGAGAGGACTAACCTTTGCTTGGTGTGGACATCGCCGATGTATTTGCCAAAGTATTTTGTGAGTCGCTCTTTGCTAGCGTTAAATTCACCGATGGTTGTTGAGGTTTTGTTGTTAATTTGCCAATATTACTAGAAAGTGATGTCAGAGCCCATGATGTCCATGATGTTTCATTTGCTGTGCCACCGACATTGCTCGAATTAACATCTTTTTCTAATTGACAAACGAATCGGCGTTTTGTTGATCACAGCATACAAAAAAAGTTTTTCTTACCCATCTCAATCGCTAGTTCAGGTTTTTCGGACACTGTTTCTAATTTCTTCAGGAACATTTGAATTGTTTTAAACGCCTATTGAAACTCGATAGAACAACAGTACATCCAATATGAAATGTTATACTTGCTGTCGCACATCCAATTCAGGATCGACCGTTGCATGGCAAACAATCGGTAGAATTTTCGAAGCAATATCTTTCAATGTAAAAAACTTTTCGGAATGATTCAATGCAAAGATCGATGCTTGTCGTGATGGTCCAAATGGATCTTGAGTGCCCCGACCAAACGCAGATATGAGTAGGCGACCACGTAACTAATCGAAAGAACGAAATTGGTATTTCTTCAAATCGAACGAGACATCACTTACACTTGGATTGAGATGTCCGGCGATTTTACCAAGACAAACGATGGTATTCGTTCGTATTACTCCTTGATCGTCGCTTGTTTGTAAACGAGAGAAATGCTTCATTAATTCGATATTTAAATTCTTATAATTTAATTTCGGTGCCAAGAATAACATAGCCTGTGATTAGAATAAAAGAAAACAATGGATTTTAGGCGGAAATAAGACGATTAATCGATTCTATGATAAAAATAGTAAAACATGTTGCTAGTTCGATTGGAATCGATTGCCATCGAGTAAACATTTTCATACAAAACAAACGCAATTGATTACATAGGAATTTAGCGTCGTTCTTATCTACCTTTACATCAAGGTTGTCTTGCTTATTTCGTCAATAAAAAAGCCATCGTCTTAATTGATGGACATTAATCTTCTCACCCTATTCGAAATTTCTTCTCGACAACATCAATCAAATATACTTACTTTCACAGTTGCTTCTCGAATTGCTGGTTCTTGATCACTAAAGCCCGTACAGATATGAGTGAATATATCATCATTGACAACCGCTGGTGTCAAATGCTCAACATATGTGTCCAACTGAAAATAGAGCGAGTTGAAGAGAACGGAAAACGATGAGATTGTTTTTCAATCAACCTGTTGTAAGAGTCGAAAACGTGTCATTCGATCTGTTGATGCGAATAATTTCGTAATGATTGGAACGATCCGTTTCTTGTAATCATTATCAGAGAGCTTTTTCCCTAATTTGAACAACGTTGGTAACACCGCTGAACCCGCTGAACCGAATTCATACGCAGTGAATAGTAAAGGTAGTAATTTTCGTTCATTGATATGCGATGGAAATTGATCGACTTTGTCAGGTAGTGAATTGAAAAACGTTTGCTTTTCTCCTGGATCTTTTAACTGCAGCAGACAAATATGTAAATATAAATATATTTTTCGAAGCATTAGAAAAGACATACTTGAATTTGTTCGAGAAATAGAAGACATTCAACTAACGGATTGTTTTGAATAAAAGGAGACTGATTTAACTTATCGATCGAAGTTCGAAGAGCTGGATTTATATTCATCAATTCACCATAAGCAGCAGATAATGGACGTGGAATGGAACCTAATTGACGATAGGATGCAGCAGATGTAGCACCATTGCCATTAAATATTTCCCAGATCAATGTACCAACTAGCCAAACGTCGCGTGATCTGAAGAGATAGTGAATGTAGAAAAATAAAATCGAAGAACTCGAACTCATACCTTTGATTTTCACCACCTTTTTTTCCTGATGCTGGTGGCGGTTCATAACGTTGACAGGCTGGTAAATATCGCGACGGAACATGAGCTTGTTCTTCGTTAACCGATTGTACGAATTCAAGACAAGCTAATTTCCAATCACATGACTTCGCGTCTACAAATACTGTACTTGTATTGATATTTCCATGTGATAGTTTACAATCGTCATGAAGAAATGCCAAAACACGCTAGAATTCAATCGAGAAACAGCGGGAGTATTGATGCAGTGAGTTTTTCTTCGTTTGTGCTTACACATAATTGTTGTAAACCCCACGCGATCTCAAGTAAATGTTCGGAATTGAAATTTGCGACGTTATTATTGGATTTCAGCTCATTTAAATACGTTTCAAGTGGCATAGCCTTTTCTGTAACGACGTAAACTGCTTTGTCCGACTAAAACTCACGACAAAATTGATTAAATAATCGAGTAAATACGTCTCTTACTTCGACACCATCGAGATACACAAGAATATTCGGATGTCGTAATGTTTTCATTCGCTTCAATGCTGCTTTTGCTAGTTGTATCTATGAATAGAGATACGATGCCTGTAACAATCAAATACAGAGTCGAAACTAGCTTACATAAGCATCGTTTTGACAAGAGAAGATTGTTACTAAATCCCCTGTCGCCTAGAAGATAAACAAAGAAACCTTAGGATAGTAATTGATGATAATTAGAACAATTTACTTTTTTCTTCCCGTTCAGAATAGTCCAAATCGACCGAGAATTGTTTGATGTTGGTGAACTGTCCGGAAGAATTTCATAGCCGAGATCTTTTAATGGATCTTTTCCACCAGAAAAAAATGAACCCCACATGAGTTTTCAATCACACGAGTAAACAACTAAACAGCTGATAAATGATTACATGTGTTCAGACATTCTTCCAATATATTATACGCTAACGTGTGTCTTTGTCTCATGGAAATTTTATTGGATAAAAATGAGAATTCAACCAATGTTTCCTGAAAGATTTTCCTTTAAAACCAAAAATCATTCAAGATTATGTTTTCATCGAAGGTTACAGAGATGAAAAACAGAAAATAATGACATATAGATGGCGATAGTTGCAACTTCAGATGAATCATTGCTATACCAGCAATGACTGGCGATACCGGCAGACATAGACAGATACAGATAGACGGATACAACACAATCAATCATCATTATATCATATGGATGCATACATACATCTTCGTCGATCGATATTTGGTACTGAATTAGTTGTGATTGTCTGATAAGATAGATTTCGTCATGTATGAACTGAATTCATTCTACGAGAAATAGAATGATAATCTAAGCGTGAAGGTTCTTTGCATAGCTTGAATGTGAGAAAGAGAATGTAGGATATTACCATTTCTTTTTCTTACCGCTTTATATGTAAATCATTGTCGTGCATTTCATTTGTAAAACAAATGCTATAGAAGTAATACGATCAAAAGAATAAAGAGAAGAAAGGCCATTTTACATTCTCTTCGATGAACATCTCACTTTTTTTTTCTTTGAATATAATGGAGTTTGTTCGGATTCCTTTTAGTAATTGAGTCTGATGTATCGACGAATAACAGGGAATTATTCGAAATTCAAATAAACAATCGTACAGTGTACGTGACCTTTGACATGTTTAGCTTGAAAGAAATGATTTCTTATCTATGGTATTGAATAAAACGAAGTTGTTTAACTCTTAGTGCTTTGAGTTTCATGTGAGAAAAAAACAAATCAATGTGTTGTTGTAGTGTCAAATTTCTTAGAGAAAACTTACATAACTCCTCGCAAGTAATCGTTCGTCTTAATTCGAACGCAATTGCCATGCATATGTAACTCTTTATATCTTCACATTCGAGTAATCTCTTTCTGTAGATCAATAACAGAAATCTAAAACACTTTCGGGAACGAATGATTGACTTCAACAATCGACAAATTCAACATCTGATAAAAGTTAAATCTGTTTGTAATGATCTGTGTTTTTTTTTAAATATTCCTGATGACCTGGATATCTGAACTTCTCCGCTAAAGAATATCATGAACGTTTTTTTCGTTTTGAGTAGTTCTTATTGTGTTGAAATGTATTTTCTTCGGAATATTCCATTAAAAAACTTTTATAATGACAAAAAATATCTTTTCTTGAAGTATCTACTTGTCGAATGCCGTGTTTTCGATGCCAATCAACAAAAGCGATATGAACGTTGATAAATTAATTTTCCTCTTGAAAATGAAGGAACTAATTACATTTTCTCACGTCATTTTTGCTCTTTTGATGCTAGCAGTAAATCAAATGACAGTTTTATACTGCAACATTATCGTTTTGGTATTGTTTTTTGTTCTTTGAGAACCGGAAAAGCGCATCTACTTTTCAAGAATCAAATAAGATTTTTATCGAAGAGAAGAAAATTAAAAGTACATAGACTTCCTTTTTATCGTCGGAGAAAAAAGAAAGAAAGGTTGTTATTCATTTTCAAAAAAGTTTTCAAACGAGATGGTCGCTATTACATCTCAATCGTCGACGATGTTCATTGTCTTATTCATCTTCTCAAGTAAATTCGATTATGCCGTCAACAAAATCTGATTGAAGTTGATTGAATTTCTCTTTTAGCGATAAGTGTGTGCAGTGCAGCGAATAATACAACTCAATTCGATAATTTCACTATTGTGTGGGAAGATTTTAATTTATTCCAATGCGCCGTACCAACGACTATCCAAGTTTCACTTTTCAGCTGTGCAGCACCTCAAAATTATTCCATGGACGAAATGAGTTGTCTTCAAGAGACTACAATCGATTTCAATGATACAATGTGCACGGTTGTGACAACTGCAATGGTCTACACAACTACTGTCGCAGCAACAACAATGGACAGTACCACTGCATATGCTCAAGTAGATAAAACAAAGATTTACTTTTTATTCTCATTCTCATTATGATTACTCTATTGCTAGACATCCACAAGCACAGTAGCAGTTACCACTCATACAAAAACAATGAGTGTAACTGCGACTGGGCAAACTACAACTACTACTGCAGCGATTGCAACAGCCAATCTAGTAACCACTATGGCACCTACAATAGCCGGTGCAATGAATCAGACTGCATCAACTGCTGCTCAAACTATCGGTCAAGTCGCCACAAATACAACTCAAGCGGTTAGTCAAGCAGTCACTGGTGCTGTAACTACTCAATCAATAACACCTGGCGGAAATACAACATCAAATACCTCAACTACTATTACACCGGTAAATGCAAGTAATAGCAGCGTTTCAACAACACCATCGGGAGCATCCACGACAATCATATCGACTACACCGTCAGGAGTAGCAGCAACGACAACTGTATCAACTACGCCGTCAGGAGGAGTAGGAACAACAACAGCAACGACGACTGCATCAAACACATTTGAATGCATGAATGACCTATACATAGGTGTTGACTGCAATGTATCATCGAATGCTTGCGATATGTCTCAACCATGTCAAAACGGAGCTACTTGTTATCCGAACAACACATATCCATTAGACTATTATTGCAGCTGTAAAACTGATTTTTATGGTTACAATTGCGAAATTGATCGACGTAGCTGCCGGGATGATACATGTTGGTAAGAGAGTTGTCACTTTTTGAGCAATAATAGAATTCTTCTGAAATATTTCTAGGCACAATGGAACATGTATTGCGGAAAATTCCACTGTCTATTCGAATAATGGTTCGAATTTTCGATGTGAATGTGTTGTAGGTTACGACGGGAAATATTGCGAACTTGAAACGAACCTCTGCGATAATGTCACTTGTGAAAACAAAGGTATTTGTGAAACAGTTCAACTCAAATGGAAATGTGTATGTTTGGACAGTTCCCTTTATTATGGTGATTATTGTCAATTCAAAACGACTAAATTGATGATTCGAGAAATTCTCAGTAAATCGTTTGCATCGATTGCTATCGCAGTCATTGTGACTACCTGTGCATTTGTTGTCATTATGGATATACTCAAGTACGCATTTCATATCGATCCAGTTGAATGTGAACGTGAAAGTTATCGAAAACGACGAGAAGAACGAAGACGAGCAAGACGACCACCGAAAGAAGATCAAATGAAACTTGCGTTACGATTTGAATATGTACCAACATAAAAGAAAACACTCATCGTACTCATTTTTGCTTCATACATTCTTGTATTTGATTAATTAAACTCACATATTTTTTTCTCTTCTCTTTCGCTTATTCATTTAATAAAACTTTGATTCATACTCATTTTTGCAAGCTATTTCTGTTCATACGGAGAAAATTGCTTCGCAACCAAATGAGAAGGGCAAATCAAAGTCAAACTCATTCATTCCAGTCTACAATTAGAACTGTACTTTCTACCCTACCCTACCCTTCAATATCATAAATACCGGCTGCAAAAAAACTCCTGTATTCATTTACTATTCAACTGTGCATAGATTTCATAAAAAAATATATTGATTTTACCATACATACTATCTCGAAAAGCAATAGATGTGCTATTTATAGATTGTATCTAAACACAGTTGTCAATACATTTAAAATTCATTTTTATTTCCTTTTCAACCATTGATTTATTGCCTCATTGAAGGATCTATACATAGACCGATCCAACCCGAGTATATTAGAAGTCTGACAGATTTATAACTGAAAATATTTATTATGTGGTAATTAAATATGAACACATTTTAAAATGACAGTTGATTGTTAGACGCGCACTTGGTACGAAGCAGATCAAGCCGACAGGAAGTACAATGATTATTGATCGAAGGAAACATCTTCTGTTGAGTTGAATGAAGATGCTTCCTGAACTTTTTTACATTATCAATTTTTCTATTTCAATTTCGGCTGCGATCATTGCGTTAACGACTGCTTTCCTAATTCTAATCACCGTCATTTGTATTCGTTCCTGCCGTACAATTCCCAATCTTCTCATTTGTAACACATCAGTAGCAACAATACTCTACTATTTACTCAATCTCGTCTCGATTTTCTATGCACTTCAAAACGATTGGGAACAGCATCAACCTGGTTGCGTTTTTCGTGCGTATAGTTACACTGCTCTATGTGCTGCTCTTTGTTATTCATATTCGATCCACGCCATAAGTCGTCTACTCTTCACTGTTTTCTACACACATAAATCTCTTCAAACATGGTTTATTCATTGGATGATGATTATCATCAGTTGGTCAATTAGCATTCTCACACCAACGATACCATTATTTTTCCAGCATGGATATCAATTAGAAAACGAGTCTCGTATTTGCTTGCCGACAGTGAAAATCTTCTCGACTGCGATATGTTCAGTACTGATTGCTTTTATTATTCCTCTGAATATCGTAGCAAGTGTCTATAGTAGTATCTTCTTTTATGCATGGAAGTCAACATATCGAATTCGAAGTTTGAATTCTCATGCAACGAATCTGATGATTTCAAGTCACACTCGATTACTTAAAGTGAAACGTGAAATAAAACTAATGCAGAAGATTCTAGTGCTAATCTGTCTTGTTCTTTTCGGTGGTACACCTTATTTCATTCTCGTTTTATGGCATGTTTTGTTGGAAGAATCTCCACCGGAACCATTCTATTTATTAAGCACGAATTGTATAGCCATTTTTATATCACTAAAAATGATCACGTTATTTTGTATGTGCAAACAAATAAAAACGAATGTGTTGCATTATCTATTAAAATTGCAACGATATTAATCGCATGAAAATGTGTTTGTTTTCCTTGAGCAAAGAAAAGAATGCCTCACGAATTTCTTTGGTAGAGTCAACCAATGACAGCATTTTCTTCGTAATCGAATCATGAATGTATTTCATAAACGATAAGAAATGAAAAACGAAACTCAATTGAATCAATTCAATGAATCATATAAGACATTTTTATCAAGAAGAACTCGTCGATTCTCTGTCGTGCTGTTCGCTTGAGTATTCATATAAAACGTACATTACTTACATAGTAATTACATTCATACAATAATCTTTCGTTCTATCATAAATAAAGGAGTAAAAAAAACATATCAACATTGATTTCTTCGATATTTTTCCTTTCTTCATTTATGTTTTTGTATTCTACACTTGTTTGAAGAGAAATCTAATGTGTGTAATATTTTCTTCCATTCTTTTTCGACTGCGTCATCTTTTCATTGAAGTGCTTGATATAAAAAGAAAAGCTTTTTTTTTGTGGTAAGTATCAAATTTTGATGGTAAATATCTATCTATCGTCGGTCAAACATCATTTGATTGGATAAACTAGGGATGTACCGAGACCGAGATTCTCGGGCTTGGTCTGTCTTGGTCTTGGGTGAGATCTCGGTCGAAATCTCGTAGTCTCGCCGAGACACCGAGCTTCTCGTTCATCCAAATTTTAGTCACCATACCACTGTTGAGTTTAAAAGGAGCTGATTTATAAATGTTTATAATTGCTACACTTTAGTAACGCTATTTTGCCTGAAAAAGTGTTTATAAATGATAAATAAACACAGATTTGTTAGTTTTTCGTAAATAGATAATAAATCCTTGCGAATGCTATTTTAAACTCAACAGCGCACCATACGTGAAAAGTTCTAAATTTAATTTTGCACACAGTTGACATTTTTGGAGACCGACTTCATTAAGACCAAGATCTCGCCCGAGACTCTCGGTACATCCCTAGGATAAACGAATATCTAGAACCGTCTTTTTTTTCTATCGAGATTGTATTTTCATCATAAGATCAAACCTTATGGCTTCCGTTGTAACACCCGAGAAAGAATACGAAGTTTCACCATTTCAAGGATATACAGAACAACCTCTGGTTTCTTTGAAAGAAGCAGTTGAACCATTGTGTGCTGCAGTTCGCGACATCGATAAAATGCTAAGACGTGTCCAACAACAGTGTTCGGAAATACAAGACGATTTGTCGGCTGATGAATTAGGATCGATTTTGCTTTACACATTAGCATGGGAAAAACCGCAGTCTTCGTTTCGTTCCATTCTGAATCGTACAATTCGTTCGCTAGTTCAAGAAAGTCTACGTCCTTGGTTTCTTTATCTTCGTTTGTTTATCAATGCACTTTCGAAATTGCCATCGATCCCATTTCATACAGTTTATCGTGGGTCAACGGAGAATTTGCTTGATGATTACTCGGACGGTGAGCGAATCATCTGGTGGAATTTTGTTTCATGTAAAGCTTCACTCAAACTAGTGAAAGAATCGTGCAGTGAAGATGATCTTCGAACAATTTTAATTATCGAGTGCGACATGGCGAAAGACATAAGTAAATATTCGGAAAAAGAGAACGAAATTTTACTTTATCCAGCGCGGCAATTTCAAGTTATCTCGACATTACAATCGAACGATCGACTTCGTCTTATTCAATTATGTGAAATACAATCACAACGTCCACTTATCGAAATCGCGAGCGTCATTGTCAATGAGCAACCAAAATTACTACCTTCGAAAAGTCGCTTAGAATATTTAATTAATCAATATCCTGGACAAGATCAAATCACCTTAATCAAACAAAAAGTTACTGATGCTGATATGCCTATGATTGTAAAAGATGCGATCAAGAAGAAGAAATGTCGAGCATTACTACTCTCAGAAAATTCTATCACAGCAGCTGGCCTATTGGTTCTCAATACAGAATTAAAAACGAACAAGTCACTAGAATTTCTTAGTCTTTCATGCAATCGCCTCTGTGATAAAGGCGTCATATCCTTAGCAAATGTATTAGCTGCTAATGTTAGTCGTATTACTGCACTTAGTCTACACTCGACTAATATTACAGATAAAAGTGTGCAACATCTCTGTGATATGTTGGAAATAAATAAATGTCTAACTTGGCTTCATCTCGGTATGAATAAGATTAGTAATGAAGGTGTGAAACTTATAGCGAACACATTGGCTCATCGTAATAAGACTCTAGAAGCATTGGATCTATCAAAGAACGCCGCGATCGATGATTCATGTATTGATTTTCTTGAAGAAATGTTCAAGAATGAAATTACCTTGAACACATTGTGGATTCATCATTGTAAATTAACTCCAGACGGAAACAACAGACTACATAAAATTGTTAGATCATGTAGACGCTTTTTTATTCTCACAGTGTAGCGAACAATCGATCGACTCTACTATGTGCGCAAAAAAAATTATTTTTTAATATACGTTATAAACCCAGAGGAAAAAAGTGTACTCGACTGACAGTTAATACAGTGCACAAAGCGCATGTCCTTTGTCAAAGGCAGTATTTCCTTCGAAGAGCATAGTTTTATCGTATGTTGAAACAATCTGTAAGGCATACACATATGTTGCATAAACTGATGCTAACGAGTAAGATATATAGGTATTCCAATTTGATTGATTATTTGGAAAAACATTATTCACATAGGTGGAATTACCCAGTGACGTTTGTATGTTAACCCACAGACGATATGTTGAATATATTTGAGCAATAACGGTCACATCCGACGCAAAGATCGGACTGATCAATTGCCAACCTATTCCAATACACGCCATTTGACTCGCTGAATACGTCATTAATGACGAATTCATCAGTCGTGTACAAACCCATTGAGATGAATACTGGATCAGAATATAACCTGCGGATTCGCAAGGAAGACATTCATTTGAAGTTGAAGACCAAAACCATAGAGGAATCTTACAAGCGCAAGCACCATCTATGAAGTATCAAACTAAGTCGATTGGGTTATGTAGAGATGCTTTAAACTTACTAATACAGACGAGATGCAATGCTTGTGGACATTGACTGTCGCTAGTACAGTTACCGTTATAGGTTCCTTGGCTAGTACACGATGATGTGCCGTTTACACCAGATGCTATCACCCATGTTTGTCCTTGATAACAATCACATGTGTATAATTTCGATTGTTGAGGACAATCACATGAAGGATATGGACCAGGTAGACGGCAGAAAAGTCCAGCTTGCGTGTTGCAACTAGAGTTTTGTTCACAATAGCTACCATATGTTGAGACTGGTTCGCATCGAGTAGACGACCAATATGTGCCAGATGGGCAAAGACATACGAGTGTGCCTGGATCACATACAAGATCAAGTTGTATATTGCATGGCAATGTACCTGACAATGTACATGAAGCACCAAATAATTTATAAGCTATCAATACTCGTATGTTAGAATATGATTATTAGATTTTGAGTGACTTACTGGTACAACCAGATGTTGTATGGTAAGTATTCGAAGGACACTGACAAGTTCCATTTGTGTAACAGATTAAACCTTTGTTCGTTGCACATTCATCATTTCTCGAACATATCGCATTGATACTTTTAACAGTTGAACACTTTTTAGAGCTATAATCCCAATAGTTTTCCTCAGCACACAGACAAATCAATGCTGTTGAACTGCATATTAAACCAGCACTCGATGAACACTGTCCTTTTCCACTAGAACACGATTCTAGGTAAGATGCTGTTTGACGAAGTCGAACAAGTCCGGCTATGAGCCAAGCAACCGCTAACGTAAGAAAAATGATGACAAAAAATGAAATAATGAATCGTCGAGGATGTGTTGAATGTTCGTAGTGAAAGAATGTATACAAGCGTTTCGAACGTGATCGTTCAGTGATTCGTTTCGTTTCATTCCATTGAGTTAGAAATGGTATATTCGCCGATGTCATGAGTGAAATTTTTAATCAAATGAGAAAAAATACAAGGTTTCTCTTTGTTTTGTATTGTCGCAATGTAAATAAGTTCACTTTTCCAGTGCAGTTTATGTTGATACTAAGCAATTGATTTTATTATTATTGGAATGAAAGAAAAATTACTATCAAAAAGCTAAGAATTAAAATTGACTGAAGAAAAAAAACATATCTAAAACGAATTTTCGATGATAATCTCAAATGCGCGTGGCTCATAACGAATGTATTTGTCACGATTTTTTGTAAAATCTTTATGTGCAAATTTACTGTAATACCGTTTGTACAAATCAATGATAGCTGCTTTGCCTTCGCTTCGTAGACGATCACGTAGATCCACGTCACTAATAATGAACTGACTGAACTGTTGCCGAATGGAATCAATAGCGGCATTGACTGCGGCAAAACTTTCTTTCAACTGTTCACGATCACGATCGCGTAACTAATAGAGCATATAGAACAATCAAAAGTCATTCTTAAGCTAAAAGTACAAACTTTGCCATCGGGAATGTGATGGTTATTATCGTATTCAAGCATTTGTTGAATAGGAAGTACCAACGGTGTATAACTAGAAAACAGAGAAACGAACGAATGGTGTTCGAACTGATTGACGCAAGTTCTACTGACCACTTAGTAAAATCTCGTAGACTCGTTTGAAAATCGGCTTCGTATTTCGATTTCAGATCTGGTTGACATCGTTGTAGAAGAGCCAAAAGGGGCGAACTAAACAATGATTTTGATTGATAGTGAGATCAATGTTAGATATTCATACTTTTCTAGTCGTTTAAGCAAATAATTGACATTATTAAGTAAAAATACTGCTCTCATTGTTGCATCATTACGTACATTGTGATCGTCACTTTTCTTTGATAAAGTCACGTGAAGCGCACGAACCAACTGGGCTAAACAATACAAATACATTCCAAATCGTTCGTTCGTGCTCAAAGCATACATACCAAAGTATGTTCCTAAGTCATAGAGACCTTTGTCTGTTCCTGATGCACCGCCACTACTCGAACCTAAACAAACAATTTCGGTATGTCTGAAGATTTCAGCAAGTTTCTTTTGTTGCGCGTACGTTGCTGTTGCTGTTCAACATAGCGCGAAGCAATAATTGTCGCTGTATCTTCATAGGCTAATAAACCCTCCATAAACGCTAAGACATGGGATGTTAATGGATGAACATTTCCACCTTGGCTTCGTGGTGATGAATCTGTTGTAATCTCTTCTAATATTCCTCGAAGACAATTGACTGCCTGCAAAATAGCAATGATTTCTTCTAATTTCAAAGTAATGTAACTGTTTTCTTACTGATTGTTCGAATGTAGCAGACAGTGTGGTAAACTGTTGTCGACGTGCAACATCACTTTCCTGAAAATGATTGATCAGAAGAATACGATTCGATTCAATAGGCGATACTCACTTGATAGAGTTTAGCGAACACAGGTCTTGATCGTAGAAACCACCTCAGAATGGAAAATATGCCATAAATGGCGAACTTTCCCATGTCTATTTTGCGTGGTGATCGTTCGATAGATTCACATAAACTTTGAGCTTCTTCGCGCATATAAACCAACGGTAATTCGATTAGTTTTGTAAATACTAATGACTGCAAATCGGTCATAAACACATAATTAAGTAAATCACGGTCACGTTGCAAAAGTACAATAAATGCGTCTAGTAATAGCTTGTAGTTATTCGTTTCCCGATCATCATTCGAATCGAATACAGTGTTTTCTTCAAGAGTTGTCGTCGATGCCGAAAGAGATGAATTGGTACCGCGAGATCCAGTACTATGTGCTGACGTACGCATCAAACGACGGCCCATGTCACTAATGATCGTTAATAATGCAAAAATTTGAAATGAATCAAAATTGCGCTTTACCTAATTTTTGTTCCTTGTCGTTTCAATGTTTCGTTATTATGTGTACTTTTCTGAGATAAACTTGGACTAGATGTAGCAACAGTTGAAATACGCCGAACAGATGTTTTTCCTAAATGTTCTGCCAAACTAAAGGAAACAAGAGTTATCACAATTTTCTTCTTCAAAAATTTCATTGAGTTCCTACAGTTGCAGAGATCGTCGAATCATTGTTCCTCGTTTAGTTGCATATGAATCAATCAAACCTTGTTTAAAACCATGCGAATTGAACCATTCAATAATACTTTGTAATATACGCATATCAGCTTCTGAAAAAAAAAGACCGATTCTTTTGATGTTGAGCAATGACATCTCATCTCACCCTGCATGGCATGGAGATCAGTTGTATTTTTTGCATATGTTTCAACTAAATCAAGTGTTTCTTTCGGTTGCAACGGATTAGCATATCTTAGAATGAGTTTGTCTGTTTCCTCTACTAAACGTTTTCTTCCAAGATCGAATAATCGTAAAACACGTTCGCGTTCACGTGTTGCTTCTGTGCGTTTAAAATACCTCACTGCATCTTCTAAACGACCTAATTCTCCGAGATAATCTGCTAAATTTCCACCAGGTCCGGATGAAACCGTCGTTGTTAATTCTTCACAAATGTCGTAGTAATGAAGGACGGAATCAACTAACGTTAAACTTTGATCGACATTATTTAAAAGTAAATGCAATTCGTTCGTAGCTTCATAGACAGGTGTGACTAATTCATCGAGAGATTGTAGTTTTCGTTCGAAGTTATCTAATGTGGACACCATACCACTTGTTAACGCATTTGACCGTGATAACGATTCTTGTAGTAATTCTAGTCGACGTTTTTCCTGAGAAAAACAAAAACAGATGAATCAAAAGTTGATCAAACTATTTCAAAATTATCTTTCTCATTGAGCACCAATTCTCACCTCTTGTAATTTTACTTCTGACGATCGTGTATTCGTCTTGATATTCGATCCACCTGTCATCTTTGACTTTACCAAACAGAAATCTGAAAAAAGAATTTACTTTTGCGTTAAACGACAGATAAATGTATGTGTATTTATATATATATGTATAAACCAAATATATCTTACAAAAAAAAAAGAGGACAGAGAAAGAGAGAGATACATCAATCAGATCATCTATCATGCAGAAGTAAGAGAAGAATTGATCGTATTATTCAAAGAAGAACACAGCCTTTCTTTTTGGCTTTGGGTTTTGGACATAGATGCGCGCGTATTGCCTCGTCGAATACTGTCTTCAGACCTTTTTGAGTTAATGCAGAACATTCAAGATATTTCACAGCACCAATTTCTTTACGCATGGATTCACCTTGAAGGGTCGATATGGGCGCTAATTTTTTCTCCTATACAAACAATAATTCCACGGATTTCTTGCAAATCAAATCAACAACTTACTCGAAGTTTATCAATGGTATTTTTGTCCTCACGTAGATCAAGTTTTGTACCGACTAGAACGATAGGTGTCTGAGGACAATGATGACTGACTTCCGGATACCACTAAACATGTCCAATACATAGAGAAATCGGTGTATTTCATCAAGAAAAGTAATCGATTACCTTAGCTCGAACATTTTCAAACGAAGCAGGACTAACAAGGGAAAAACAAATAAGGAAAACATCCTGAAAAAAAAACATTAATTTAAACGCAAAAACTCATTTCAAAGATCTTTACTGTTTGTGGATACGATAATGGACGGAGACGATCATAATCTTAAACATGAGAAAATCAAGTTAGAAAATAACTCTACACTGATTGCCCTCATACCTTCTTGACCAGCCTAAAAATAACTGACAATCAAATATCATTCGTAATGACAATGTCTCCTCCTTACCGTATCCCATAAACCAAGATTGATTGGCTTTCCATCAACCATCACATTAGCTGAGTAGTTATCAAACACCGTAGGAATGTATTCACCAGGAAATGTATTTGTTGTGTATGATATTAAAAGACATGTTTTTCCCACCGCACTAATATTGAAAATGTCTTGCACGAAATGTTTATTTCAATTCAAATCATTTACCCGTCGCCGACGACAACACATTTGAGTGCTTGCATTTTGTTTAATCAGGCAATAAAAAAACCAGCGAGACAGAGAGAAGGGATCTTTTGTTATTCTTATCTATATGTCCTGTATTAACTGCCGAGCTACTAGTGTCATCATTGCATCTAGAAAGAGGGAAAAACTAAACATTTTCGAACAGATTGAATGCAAAGAAAAAAAATATAACGACGGTGAATTGAAGCAAACAAAGAAAAGAAAGAAAAAACGTGTATGAATCATCTTAACAGTCACTTATTCATTTAAAAAATCCAATAATGGACTAAAGGAATAACCACTCAAGATAGAGACAGAGGTCGCATCGGAAAGAAAATAAATTTGATGACTATGTCTACATTAGTCATTCGACAAAATGAAGTTTATTTGAAGAAATCCGATCGTTCATGTGATTCCGATTTACTTTACTTTATTAAATCTTATGTCCACAGAATATGATTTCGACATTCATAGCGACGAGAAAGTGTTTGTCTACAGTTACATAAAAGTAGCCGGAGACGAACTTCGAAAGTGAGATCTTTTAATTGCAACATGACACGCGACCATGTACTTGAAAATTGTTTCGTAAAAGGATAATTGACACGTCGTCGTTTAAACTACTCGACGATATTTTGTATGTCTGTTAGCAAAATTGGATTAGCTTTTCACAAGTCATTTGAAAACAACAATTTATGATTATTCGTCCTGTTCGCTTTGAAACCATTGACAATAAAGTGTTTGTGTTTTGATTCATTTTCACGAGCAACAAAAACTACTACAAGAGGATACTTTCAACATCGATCAAAAAAGAAAAAATGGAACAAAAATTACACATTGTGAAAGCATCGCTTTTCTTCCTATCGCAAAACTACTTCTGAATCGAGCTGATATATAGATGATTTGTTTCTCTTCTTCTTTGTTCTCTCCTTTCTATATATGATGGATAATAGATGCGCGACTTAGACGTTCGCGATATTTCTATTGTGTCCTACGTAGAATATTTCAAACATTGTCTCGTAATGTCGATTATACATTTGTTCACCATTCTTCTCTGGTATTGCTGCTCCTTTTTTCCAGCTAACAAATTCGTTCTCACCCATCGTTTCTCTATTAAACTATAGACGTGCCGGGAATGAACAACGGCCATCATCTGTCAATGCGCACGGTAGGAATGTTTTATGAGAATCGATTCAGGTGAGAAATGACGATGTCTGCGAGAGAACATGTCATATGTTTGATATTTTAAAGTTGAAAGAACTGTTTTATTCTGTAGATGTCACATTCATATCGATTGACGATCGGTGAAATAAAATTCGCCAATGAGTGACTCTCCTGTCATAAACAGTAATCATAGCATCTGGTCTATTATTACTCGAGCGTTTGATTGTTTTTTTTCAGCTGCCACAATAATGACAAGGAAGACTTATTTCGGTTGTCCTTGTCCACCAACAGTCTCATTTCTCCGGCGACTAGGTTCAGCTCTATTCTATGCTACTTGTTCAAGTCTCATTACAATTGTTAACAAACTTGTACTCACAACCTATGGGTATGTTCTTTATCCATATGAGTTTCGTTGTTGTCTCTAGCAGTTTCATGTCCCTATCATAAAAACAGGTTTCCCTCATTTCAATTACTTGCTGTCGGACAGGTAGGCGATGATCTTGAATCCAGAATAACTTCTAACTCACCACCCGCATGATGTGTTAACTTCTACTAAATTTTTTCTAACACTTCGTTTTTTTCCCTATTAATGAAAAGATTATAGATTGATTGTGATACTTTTTATTTTACTGTAGCTAACTGTAACTGTTTTTGTATTATACTTGGCACGGTCGTTCAATCTCATTCGATTTCCTCATTTTTCCGAAAATGTTGTCAATAAAGTAGGCACACTTGACTTTTCCTTTCTCAAAATAAACTTTTTATTCGATGTGCACATTCAGATTATGCCTTTACCAATCTTTTTCTTTGGTAATCTTCTCTTCGGTCTTGCTAGTACACAAGCCATCAGGTAGAGTTTTGTTTATCAATTCTAATTATCTCGTAATTAATAATTAGTCTACCAATGTTTACTGTTTTACGTCGATTTTCCATTTGGTTAACAATGATCGGCGAACAATTGATACTTCGGTAGTCATCGAAATCTTTGATTTTGAGTTTGTTTCATTTTGCTTTTCTCTCTTAGACAAACACAATCATTATCTGCACAAGCCAGTGTTTATTTGATGTTACTTGGCGCTGTGATTGCTGTTAGTGACGATCTAACATTCAATTGGTCTGGTTATATTTTTCTTATTATGAATAATTTCTCCACCGCTGCACAGGGGATTGTTATAAAACGCAAATTAGTTAATAAAGTAGATTGAAAACGACGATTCAACGAGTACGCTCAATTAGAATCTATGTTTCTAGGATTTCAATCAAAATGGTCTTTTATTCTACAATTCATTTGTTGTTCTCGGACCCGCTGTTATTCTCACTTTTTTGACAGAGGATCTCACAAAAGTAAAGTCATTCGTAATCCAGATCGTACGAGAGTAAAATTCATACTTATCTTTTCAGGTTTGGAATTATGATCGTTATTCAGATATGGGTTTTATCATTGCATTTCTTTTTTCATCACTAATGGGATTTCTACTCAATTATTCCACAATGCTCTGTACAAATTATAATTCACCTTTGACAACAACAGTTGTCGGTGCATGTAAAGTAAGTTAAAATATGTGATTATTGAAAGAGTTGTTTGACTGTCGACAAATTCAGAATATGTTCGTGACATATTTGGGTATGCTAATTGGTGGTGATTATATATATTCCCATGTGAATTTTATTGGTCTCAATATCAGGTAAGAGATCGTTAGAGTTGTTTCTAATAATTGTGAATATAGAGGTACAAAACAAAAACACTTGATTGTCATGTTTACTAACGAATAAAAGTTTTCATCTCGAGAAAAAAACAACAGAATAATGATTGAAGACGTTGAAATGCTTCGCTTCAAGGTAGAAAGAGTTTTTCTCATCTCAATCTTGTTATTCTTTTTGACAATGAAAGAAAAGGTTAAACTCAAATCGTAGACTAAGTCATCGGCTAGATCATACACATGTGCAATGTCTCTTCCGACAATAGAATACGCGTACATAAGCCCTCAAGGAGAATGTATATTCGAAATGAAAATTGATTACATGGTTGAGAGATGTATTTTCATGAAAAATATTAATTACTTTTTGCTTTTCATTCGACAAACAGCTGTTCGAATAGAAGGGAAAATTCATTGTGAAAAGGTTAAATTTATTATTCTAGTGTTATCGGCAGTATTATCTATTCTTGGGTGACATTTACTCGTAAATCATCAGTAACAGTACCACATGGAAATGATTCGTCAACGGCAACATTAGAGAATCGAAAAACTGTTCATAGTATTGTTTAATTAATCTCATGTCGATACGCGACAATAATATGAATTTATTTACTTTTTGTATTACAATATCTCGTTGTTACTAATGATGATCTCTGTGACACATCTATCAGTATATTCGATTCGTTTATTTATGAATGTTTATCTGAGAATTCTTCTAGATTTCGTAGCAATAGCTTGAAATTAATCAACTTTATATAATGTTTTTATGGATAATCAAATCGTTCTTTTTCTTCTGTTCATATGTTTCTTCGCAGCGCAATACTCTCTCATTTTGTGTGATTATAATAACAATCTTCCTTCTCTTCTTACATGTACTGTATGTCTGTGGATAATCATCTTACGAAAACGTCTTCTTTAGTATCGTATGACAATGAAATGAATAGATCTCAACGAATTGTGACGTTGACAAACATGACCGATCGACTGTTGTTTTTTCGTCTATTTTGTTAGACTGTTTTCTTTTTCTAACGACTATTTCTTACAGTATGTCTTCTTCGGTTTTCTTTTTGTATTTGTCAAGAATAGATCAAATAAACGAACAACTCTACGGGACATATAAATAAATTTGCAATAAATCGATAGATGATTGTGAGAGAATGGACGCGTACATGTCCTTCGCGGGTACTCATTTCGGACGATTGGTTAAAGTTATAATCAATGCTCTATTTGTCTATATATTTCTATGAAAAAAAAAACTCATTTGTATTTGTCTAGGAATCGATTATTCATCATGAGAAATGTCGTTATTCTTGTTCGATGTTACTATTTGCATTACACAATCACAATGAAATATGATATTGGGGATATCATTGTCATCTTGTGTCTTGCTTTGGATGTTTTACACGTTGTGCAATAGCGTGGAAGATTTTGAAGAGGAAAAATGAACTGAATGTTGTTTTTGTGTTTGGTCAATCAAATCTGATAGTACAATAGACTATTACCTCTTCTGAACGAAGGAAAATTCAATTTTCATAAGACAACAATCATGTGATCGAGAGTTTATTCTGTTGTGTGAGTGCGGAAATATTTAATTAGACACTCGCAGGTGTCCGAAAGCGTGTAAATATGAAAAACTGCAGTACATTAAAGGATTTTCTGTTTCTTCATTCAAATATTGGTTTGATGTGCAATGGCAATGTCGCTTGTTTTTTGTAAGTAGCAAGTTTAAAGGTTGAACTATGTGAAATAATATCTGAAATGAAACTACAACCGAAGATTTTCGTGACCTAATCTAAATAGTTCTTAAAACATGAGCTCTTTTGACAGAAAACAAAGTAGTTTGTTATTTATCAGCTTCGATCCCGCATTAGCATTGTCTCAATACTAGTTAAAATATTGGGCAAAAGCCCACCATTTAATGTACTAGTAAAAAGGCAATTTTCTTTCTGTAGACATTTTCCTGGGATTTACATTTGCAACAAACGTAGTGACACAAACAACAACAGCTCCAACCACATTCATGGGTTATACTGTTAATTATACTGATATAGATCCATATAGCTGTTTATCAACAACAACAGTTACTGTTTCAACCGATACAACCACAATATGCTTAACAACGACTCAAGAACCGACGACAACTGTGTCAACGACAATCACCGTAGCCGCCACCACCGTAGCCGCTACCACGGCAGCCACTACCACGGCAGACGCTACCACGGTAGCCACTACCACGGCAGCCGATACCACCATTGTAACTACGGAATCTCCATCCACAAAGCAAACTTCAACAGAAGTTACTACAACAATAACAACTACCACTACACAGTCGAACAACATCACGTAATTATTTTATTTCGTTCAATATCGCCTAACTTCTTTCCTAACAATTTTCTGCATAGAACAACGACTGTAACCAGCACAGGATCGGCATTCATTATTTCAAAATGTGCAAATCAAACTCTTGGCCCATCATGTAATGTTTCTTCTAGTATTTGTAACATGGCGCAACCATGCTTAAACTTAGCAACATGCTTTCCGAATACTAGTATGCCACTAGGTTATGTATGCACATGCCAAGTTGGGTATACTGGTGCCAATTGTGAAATTGATAATACGTCATGTAGTTCGAATTCTGTTTGTCTAAGTGGTGGTTCTTGCAATTCGACAGCGAATGAAACAACTTGTAAGTGCCCTGTAGGTAAAACAGGTAGTCATTGCGAATATGAAACCAACGTATGTGCAAATATTACTTGTCAGAATGACGGTCTATGTGTTTCGAAATATGGCAATTGGTCGTGCGTATGCACAAATTCTGACTTGTATTCTGGTACTTATTGCGAATATAAATCATCGAGTCTACGTGCTAAAGAAGTCGTTTCACGTTCATTTGCCTGCGTAGCAATTGGTTGTATCTCGACGGTCATAGCCTTCATTATTATAATGGATATACTAAAATACGGATTCAAAGTCAATCCGGCTGGTTCGGAAATACAAACATGGAGGGAAAAGAAAAGACTTCAACGTCGTGCGATGCGACGACAAGGAGAACGGTCAAGAAAAAAGAAGATTGACAATCCTCGAATGCATGCTAGTGCTGTGCGCTTCAATTACATAAATGCTTAACAAGCAGCATGTCATTATTGATCAATGACAAATAAAATTTTTAACAAAACATATATAATTATTCGAAATAAAGCAGCAGAAATCTTCTTAGTGAATATTGTAGTTGTATATGAACACTCTCGATTTGAGTGGAAGAACGATTCCTACACGAAATTTCTCGAAATTCAACAAACTTCGTTGTTATGCACTCTGTACTCTCATCTTTTAATAAAAGTGTAATCTGATATACTGTTTTCAGTATCGATGTCTTGTTAAACAAGCAATCATGAAAAATAATTATTCTTATTTTCATCTATTCCTCCTGATCAACAGACGAATGATTGTAAATTGTTCATCGACAGATATCAATACAAATGATCTAGATCATCGGATTGAACGAATTGTCTGCTAGTTGATATAAACAATGTTACATCCAAGAAAGAAAAAAAGCGAAGATAAACTGATGCATTTCACTTCGATTGAGAGACCTCTCGACTAGTTTTAGTCTGAAGCAAATTCAATGAGTTAACTGTTTTGTTTGAACATATGTCGGATTAAGCTCTTTGTATTGAAAGAATTAAACTTTCACTAGATTAATCTCATTTTTGAAATCAGTTATCACATGCCGAATCGACTCATATGATAAAAACAAGAAAGTTCGACCATCCTCGTTCGTCTTGTTTTGTTAATAACGAACACAATACTTGACATTTTCATACTATCACATGCTTGAACATACTGGCCTTTGCTAAATAAATAATACAAACTGCTCACTCTTAATCAATAACAGACATTCTGATGTGATTATTGACTTCTTCATCATAGCATGAAATCGCACTAATTGTTTGATCTTTAATTAGTTGTCCATCATACCATACTTAATTATTTCCTTGATGAAGACACGGAAATGACCGAAGAATGCCTCTTTCTTCTTTTGATAACGAACAGTTATTCTGTGCTCTCGGTTAATCCATGAGAATCTCAATCCTCTCTTTTATTAATTGGTCAACACATCAACACAGTGTGCACAATGGCTTAGATCGAAGCAACAAACAAGCGAAAGAGGAAGAAGGAAGAAAAGAGAAAAGGAATGAATTTCACCTCTCCTTTCCACACTGCTGTTCTGATTTGTATACGTGGCGTCGTCATCGTCCAAGGTGAACGAACACTAAGGAAAAACGACTTGTTCTAATTGCAGTACGAAAAAGTCAGAGAATATCATTTGACTTTACCCATCCGTCCGCCACCAACACTTGACATTTGTGACAGTTGGTCATCGTTCTGTTAGTTGATTTTTTTCATCTTCTCCTTTTCCTTTCGAATTCAATCAGATTAGAAACGATGGCTTGCTGTTTGTGTGCCAAATATTTTCTTTTATTTTTCAATTTAATTATCTGGGTAAATCGTGATTTTTTAGTTTTCTTCTCATATTCATCTGAATTTTTTCCTTAGTTATCAGGTGGTGCATTTCTCAGTTGCGGAATTCTCGTCCTATACAGACGAGATTTACATGAATTATTCGCACTTTTATCCTACGATTCCGATTATGTACCTTCATTTCTCAATGTTGGCTATGTATTAATTGGTATTGGTGCACTTGTATTTATCGTTGGTTTGCTCGGTTGTTGCGGTTCAGTACGTGAATCTCGTCTTCTACTAGGACTTGTAAGTACACTTACCGATGAACTATATGGCAAGTTATGTCTATTTTACTCTTAGTATGTGTTCTTTATTATACTTGTTATGGGTGGAGAACTTGTAGTTGCCTTGTATACGGTACTATTAGGTGTGGAATGGGATACGAAATTGGAGCGTACTTTGCAGCGCCGACTTTTAACGTATAATTATTCCATGCCACAGCGATTTGAATACGATCTGGATGTTGTTCAAAAGCAGGTATGCAGTATCTCAACATGATGTGAACGGAGAAGGAAAAGAGACGCGTTCGTTTAGTTTGCTTGCTGTGGTATTCATGGAGCAGTCGATTATTATGAGAATATGGATTATAAAATATCCGGAAATCGTCTTCCGTCATCATGCTGCAATGATTTATTCAACGGTGTCTGCATCGAAGCTCATTCATATCGCATCGGATGTTTTACTACTATCAATGATAGTGTACAATATTATGCTCGATTGGTCGTTGCTGTTGGTATTGGTATTGCTTTACTTGAAGTACGAGAAACGAAACGAAACAAACGTTGATGATTATAATAACATTCTTTTCTGTATTTAGTTAACGGCATTAATGATGGCTGTATGTGTATGTCGGAATACGAAATATGACGATGAATTTGATTGATAGGAAAATAGAAATTACGTCGAAAAGATTAGTTTGCCAGCTAGAACACTCATCAGTTGTGTATCGAGAAGAAGTAAAATAAATGTTGTTGCATAGATATATGATGGCCAACCATTGTGATGCATCAATCGAGATGCCTCTGACATTGCTAAGAGAATAGTGAACGTTGCGAGAAGATATGCACTCGATGCGAATAGATTCCAATATTTCCAAAGTTTTCTAATACAAAAAAATAACTTTTCATCCGAAACGAAATGTCAAATAGCATTTGTACTTAATTAACATCAATGCCGACGCACAGATTCCAAGAACTGTAAAAATAAGACTAAATGTGCTCATAATTCGCGACAGGTACAGTTGATGATATTTTGACACCGATCGAAAATAATCGCTCTTACTTTCTTTTTCCCAATTACCCAAAGAGAAAGCTATACAAGCACAGATCATAGCTACCAGACCAAGAAATGTACCACATAATGCTATCAATCGATCGTAACGATTCATTGCAGATCAGAAGCGCAATATTTCAAAAAGAATATATTTACTGAACAAAATATAATGCGCGTCTACTAGTCAAACTAAAACTATGACAAATAGTCATCTGATCAGTGTCCGCTTTGGCAGTATCGTCTCTTCGTCTACTCAAACTGACGAAAACATTTCAAAAGTCTTATTGGTTCTTCTAGCAAACTGAAATACGACACAAAATTTCCATATTCACTTAAAACTGCTATGTAAATCGATACTTAACGTCCTCTCAGTTTGTTTACATACTTTCATAGAGCCAGGTAATAATAAAGATCGAACGGGTATATTCCCCGTACACTAAATCAATAAAATATTGTCACCCTATTCGAACTGGCCTTTTGCGCAATGCTAATAATAAAATCGATCGAATTTAATTCGATGCATTTTAATATTCTGTTTTCGAAATTAACATACAAGAGAAGGATTATTCATATTTATTTCAAAAATAATTATTCTAATCTTCCTTCTCTCCCTCTTACTCTCATCGGTAAATATTCTCCTTTTTTTTTTCACTAAAAATCTCTCGAAATGATAAGCGTGATAATCACGGATATCTTCTCTCTCTCTCTGCATTTCAATGATGAAGATCGAATCAGCCTATAATATATAGATGTTGCACATAAATGAAACAAGCGAGAAAAAAATTTACATGAATAAAAAATCAATACGAGGTCATATAATGTGATGATGACGACGAGAGAAGAAGAGATGGTGTATGCATAATCAATTAGAAGAAAAAAAGAAAAGAGACGGAACGACAAAGCTATATATTTCTATGAATTATAACAATTGCCGATTATAAGCAACAGTTATGGTAAGTCGCTTTCTTTTTGGACATTGTCAAATATTTTCGCTTCAAAATTCTCCGTATGAAAATGAGACACGAACGATTGTCTCTTAGACGATTATTCTAGACAAGTACAGTAAATGTTTTAGGTATCATATGTATATAGTGTATTAGTGTAGGTAATGAAACACCATGAGAAAGCACACACACATATATATATATGTATATGTATTCAAATTCGAGTTTGATCTCATTAGCTACCATCTCCAAAGTTCTCTTTTTTTTCTTTTTCTTTTTCTCTTGCCGTGAACGTAACATGCTCGCATCTCCTCATCTTTGAGAAGCGAACAGGAGCTCGTGTCCGCGCGCTCCGTTATGTATGCAAATAGTATGTATATTCATTTTATTGCATTCAGTTTATGATAATTCTTCTCTCTGCATCTCTCTCTCTCCCCCTCTTCTCTTTTCGTCGTCACTTTCTCGAGTTTTCTCAACAAAAGCAATACGAAAGATGAAGAGCAGTAAGAATGCTATTCTTCTATTCACCATTTCTCTCGAATTACGAACATCTGAGGTAAGATTTTCATTCGTATAGCCATGTCATACCAGACGCATTTGGTATTTATTACCATTTGCCACAGTTACGATTGATGAGTTTTATATAACCTATAGTTGACACGCAATAGATCATACAGTGTGAATAAGCAGAGCTTGTCTAACGATTTTCATCTTCGATAGATCAGAAAATTGGTCTGAATGTTTTGAAGAAGGAGAAATACTTTGTAAAATCTGTGAATCTTTTTTGATTCGACATAAGTTTTCAAATTATTTGACGAGAGAGCAGCTCGGAAAAGATGTCCTAGTATCCAGTTTTATGGATGTTCGATTTCTTTCGTCAATTGTCATGTAAGCGGAAGGAAATCAAAGTGCTGCTATGTAGAAACAAGTAAGAGTTGTATCAACGTTTCCGGCAAGCGTAAAGAGAAGGCGAGAACAGATTTTTGTTGATGAAATTTTATTCAAATATATTCTTATTCGATATTAACAGCAAATAACTGGATCTGTTCACGTTTGCAAAACTTACTCTCGAGAGGATTGTATAAATTCTCCGATTCTATCATGATCGGAACTATCTCCCTCGTTTTATAGAATATCATTGTATCTCTTCTTTTTTTTTCGAATAATGATGTGACAAAACAGGACATTACGGAGTTTTGTAAACAGATTTCGTTAGTAAAATGACTAATCTTCTGGGATTGGGATTTGCATAACATGTAAATATCATTAATCAACGCAATTGTATTTTAGAAATTCATCCAGCAAATACTTTCAACGACATAATGGTACATTATCTCATTGGCATATGATCGGACAGTGCTGCCCTCTATTGGCGATAGCAGCGACAATGACATGTCCAAGTGAGTAATGTGACACAACTCTTGAAAAAATGATGATACGTGCGAAATGAATCTCATTTCATTAATATTGACAACCATTTACCACTTATCTTAATCGTTCGTGTTTATATGTCTAAACTAAAAGCGGAACAATTCGTGCGTGTGCTAATATAAAAATAATAGTGCCATCGATCGATTGAAATCGATCATTTCCTTTGTATGAAAAGAGATAGTCATATAGAACTGGTGTTTTTTAATCTCTCGTCATGGTATAAACAAATCAGATTAGGAAAGCAAGAGAATTTATTATGCTAAGTTTCTGGAAACAAGCTGATATTATTCAGTGTGTTTTGAGTGTTATGCTTTGAAGATTACACGACTGATGATGACATTTATTGAATAGTTTTGTGAAACGTAGATATATTTTGACGAGCGGAATTGTTGAGTGTAAGTTTTCGTCCACAATTGTTTATTGTTTTAGCTTCAAAAGAACAGTGTCAGAAATCTTTCGATAGCGATTCCTTACACTTTAACCTAGAAAATACTCGTATGAATCTGGTTCAACAGAGAGTGTTCAATAATATTCGACTGCGATTCCTTGTGACATGAAAATGATTGGCAAATAATTGTCGATTTGATTTTCGAACGTTTTTCTCTCTTATGTATTCTCAAACAACTCGATCTGTCACACGTTACTTAACTCGGGTATCATTGAAGAAAAAACAAATTTCACGTCATTCATTGATTGTTTAAACAAGAAGAAAAGTAAATGAAATGTCTGTTTCTCTCTCTCTCGAACAAAAAGTTAATATCCTTTTCACACATATCTATCTAATTAAAACAACTAAACTTATTTCGATAAAGTCATTTATATATGTATGTCACGTCTTTATCTGTCTACTCCTCCCATTTCCATCCGGCCTTCTTGATTGGACTCATCTGCTCCTTGGCAAAATGATTGATAGTTTTGTCTCGTATTTTCTTTTTCACCATGTTCATCAACACATGCTTCGGTAATATTGCCGGCAGATTATATATATACACACACATACATCTATGCTTGACTTTGCTCTTCGTCTTACTGTCATGATCATCTCAAGACGAAACGAAATCCGATCGGTACTCATTCATTGGCATACAGCTTTCCTTTCTTTCCTCTCCTCTCTCTTTCAACATGAGCACATCGGTAAATAAAACAACCCAACAACCAATCATCTCGCACGCTTGTTAAAATAGTTTATTAAATTTCTTTGAAAACAACAAAAATTTGTCATTTCTCGGGTTCTTTCTTTTTATTAAAAATGAATGATTCGGATCATATGAAGAACACATTATTGCCATTCGTTTCTCGTCGTTCTCATATATATGTTGATGTCGAGATTCAATGTGTGTCTATAATTCGATTAGAGTTCGCTTCACTAAATTTAAACTTAGAAATGTCAACAAGATGTGCGCGAGCCATAAAGAGGAAAATAGTGTATATGTATATCTAATAGAAATACGATCGATGCCGCTCGTTTGAAGACTAGAAAAATAAAAATGATCAAACAGTCTATGGATACGCCAAGTGTGTAGAATAACATTAGCAATATTGTGTAGAGAGAAAGTTTTTTTTCTTCTTCTTCTTTTTCTGTCAACGACATTCTGTCATCAAGCAGGAAGCGTGGAAGATTTGCATATATGCAAAAGAAGACAGAAGATAACTAGATGATCACGCACTTGTCTATCTGTAATGAATGAAAAATTTGAAGTTTTTTGTTTGTTCATCGTCGAATTAGAAATTCAAAAGTGAAATTGTCTTTTTTTCGTCATAACAATCGTCTCTTGTGACTTGGCACGCGCACACATTTGTGCATTGTTCTATTGCATTCAATGCTATTTGTTTAAAGGTGGGCAAGTGCCAAATGTTGATTATTCGAGTGGAGGTGCGTGATGCTTTGCCTTTCTTCAAGGTGTCTGTAGAGACAAGAAAAGAATTAAACAATAGAAGAGAAGCCGCGTTAAAAAGCGAATCCAAACAAAATGAAATCTGTATCTAAGCTTGGTAAAAGAACAAGAAGAAAAATCTCCTATACCAAACGAAAAGTAAGTGTGGAGAGATTGTGTGTTTATCAAGGTACAACGGATTAGATCGATAAGAGAAGATTTAGAATAAAGAGACATTCACATCTCGTCTACTCAAATCAATTTACGCAATTATGTGTGAAGAAAATGGAGAAAGTGTCAATGATCGAAGAGAATTTCAATATACGAATCCGATAGCATGCTACAATCAAAGATTGTTCATCGAAAACTTCATTGTTATTCTTTTTTTGCAACTGTATCAAATGAGAGCACAAAGTACAATTCGATTAGTTTAATTTCCCGTATCTGTGATCTTCACTACTAAAGCAGAAAAAAAATTCCAGCTAATTGAATTGTATTAGTTGTATATCGAGACTTGTCTAATTAGAACTATTCGATGTCCAGCTGATCTAACCATCTGCTAGAATGTTTGCAATTTGACTGTAGTTTTCTTTTTCTTTTTTGTCTTTTCGATGGATCGATCGATAGTTGTGCGACACAGGAAATGTCTTGTGTACACACATACGATTAGATTCATCAATCACGCAATGGTAACGATGAAAAGCAAGCGAAGAAGAAGAAAAAAAACGCCGATAATTCTGTCCAATAGAAAAAATTCTGATTTCTACTTCGTCAGCCGACCAACCGGCTTTTTTCTTTTTCTATTCACTTGTTGTGTTTTGTGTGTAGACAGAAAAAAAAAAGAGTCTATCTTGTCATCGGGCACACGTAGAAGAGAAGAAAAAAAAAAGAAACGAGTAGAGAAATAGAAGAAGGAGAGAGAGAAAGACTCCTTGACAGAAGAAGCATCGGACGGCGGCAAATCTGAATTTCATTTGCATTAAAAACTGATTATTATTATCCACGCGAAACAGCAGTGCTACTGACCTCATATTGATATTCAAATAATACAACGATTTACACTTGTGTTATTCTTTTTCTTCTTCTCTTTTCTCGAGCCCTAATTTCAGTTTGTGCTAATTGAAATCTGATTATTAATTCAATTGATTGAAGCATGGTGAGTACTAAATATGCATCGATCAAAATTCTTCATCCATCCATGAAAGAACTAATTAGATAAATCAAATGTTCAAATCAGCTGTTGAATTTCAATTTCTTCTAGTTTTTCTGGTAAGAACGTCTCCTGAAAAATCATGTCAACATCACCAACATCCGTGGCCGCTGCTTACGCACTTCACCATCATCATATCCATACTCATCATCACTTGCATCCATTTCATCATCAACATCACCTCGACACTTCAAATACCTTCTTTTATCCTCCACCTCCTCCTCCGCCCACATCATCTGATTCCTCATCAAATAATACCAATGACTTAGTTTTACAACATGCCGATATCAAACCACCCAATCCATATCTATTTTCAAATACGAAAAGTATTTCACCACCGCCGCCAACAAGTCCAACCAACAATGTAGCTACAGCATGGCCTGTTATCATGCAACATCATCCACATAAAGCCATTGAAGACTATTGGGCGTCGAATTCTTCGAATTATTATCAACCGTCAACGTATCACCATCATCCGAATTACATGACAAATCACCAATTTCTTCCATCATCTGAACACGAACACCATTTTCATTCGAATCAACCAGCTACATCATCAAACCAAGGTATTTTGGATGATAATGAGTTAAATATGATTCCATCACGTGCCAACAATGATACGGACGATGATGAACATCAGTTGCATATAGATAACAACGATCTGAATCGATTTTCCAAGCAATTCAAGCAAAGACGAATTAAACTTGGTTATACCCAAGCTGATGTTGGTTTGGCACTTGGTAATCTGTATGGAAATGTTTTTAGTCAAACAACAATATGCCGTTTCGAAGCATTACAGCTAAGTTATAAAAATATGTGTAAATTACGTCCATTGCTAGCCAAATGGCTAGAGGATTCGGAATCACAAACAGGCACGACAAATTCCATGGAAAAGATCGCTGCTAGTGGACGAAAACGTAAGAAACGTACGTCGATTGAAATCAGTATTAAACAAGCATTGGAGATTCAATTCTCACGAAATCCTAAACCAGCCGCACAAGATATCGCACAGCTAGCTGATCAGTTGCAATTAGAGAAAGAAGTTGTTCGAGTCTGGTTTTGTAATCGACGACAGAAAGAGAAACGTGTGACACCACCATTAGGTGATGGTTCAGCATCGGCATCAAGCAATCATCATAATCAACATCGGAATATGAGAAGTCCAAGTTCACCATCAACTTCGCATGGTACTGGAGGAGACTATTATGACTATCATTATCCCACACATTTGTAACATTTTGTCATTTCTTTTTCGAGTTTTTTCACTTGTTACACACTTTACACAGTGTTTCTCTCTTTTCTTCTTTTCTCTCTATTTTGTGTGATACTGTCAGCAAAATAAAAAAATCTAACATATAATCTAAGAATTGATAAAACACACCTCGGCTGACGTGATGGACAAGCGAAAAAGAAAAGAGAGTCAACAGATCATGTCAATCGAAAGAGTTCAACTCTATCTTCCCGCTTCTCTGATCTGACAACAGTAAAAGGGATTTAAAGTGAGTAGAGCTAATCAAAAGGGAGACCAGATGGGTGAATCAGCTGCATATACGTTCTCGCTTTTCTTCTGATTTTCTCTTGTGAATGTCGTCTTACGCACAGTCTATAATGAAAATGTTATTTCTCGATGCACTGTGTCCCCATGGTATAAATGCTGAAGCAAGCGCATCCACACATCATATTTGCATCTCAATCACTGCGTCGCTTGTCTACTTCTATCGACATATGGCGATGATCTCTCACGCGTATAAATCAAACAAAATATTGACATTCGTATGCGATATTTTTCTGTTATTGACGATTAAGTGAAATGAAACAAAAGTAGTAACGGTAGTCGTGTTTTTCGATGTTGATATACATAATTTTCGATTGAAATGCTACCGACGATACACTCGTTTATAATATCCATGGAATTTCTTTGAAAATTAAAGCCTGTTCCGGTTCCGCTTTCGTCTTCTTGTTTTAGAAGTTATCTTCTTCAATATAATGCTTGTTCTCATTGCCGGCAATATTCTTCTTGTTGTTTTCATACGAAAGGAAATCGATAGCATGAAAATGTGTGAGAAAGATCAAGAGTTATGCTGTGTTAAAATATACACCAAAAAGTAAGATGTCAAATAATCAATAGAACGGATTATTTGAAAATAATTGACACATACTCTCGAAATGTTGAGATTGATAGTCGAGTCCTTTAATATTCATACATTCAGCAGAAAAAAAGACAAATCAAAAGAATTATTTTCATTTTTTTTTATAGAAATATACATTCTTTCCGATGAATTATTTTTCCCGTAGTATAAATCAGTGATTAGTGCTGTTGGATGGATTTAATTTGACACACTTGATTGTGTGGTTCATAATTTAGTCATCGTAGAAGAATAATTTATTCTTTCATGAATTATCAACGACAAACAGTGACAAAACTTCTCGATGGATCGGACGGGATTTTTATAAATTTCCAATTCATACAAGTTTTATACGTTAGTCAATACGTACACATAGAGACATTGAAGAAAGATTTCTATTTTTCTTGAATCCATAATTAATATGCCCGAGTGTTTATATATTCATGTCAACAGAGGGCAGGCTTGTCTTGTTTTCAATCATTTCATATTTCAGCTCCTCTACTCTACTACGATTCTCTTCGTCCATCAGCACATTTTATTTTTGTACATTTTATTCAACTACCAGAATCAGACAAACTCTTATTCGTTCATTCGCATGAACCAATCAGAGATCTTTATGACTCATCATAAAAAATATAGAAATATGACTTTATTTTTTGAGTAATCGGTAGAAAGATCGAAATGAGTGCAAGTTCTGATAGTCTTGATCTTTTCACACCGGTGTTCAAACACTTCCGTCGTCTATCGGCTGCTGATTGTTTTACACAAGCATATTCAGTCACTTCTCATCCATCGCTCTTTCACCATTGTCCCATAACAACATCCATCGATTTGGATGAATCCCTAGGTTTAAAACCGATCTCTTCATGGTCTCTCTATTCGTGTCTGTTTTGTGATGGTCTTTATTTTCTTCCTAATCCATTCACATCCGTTGGTCAGCATCAGTGGGTTCACCGTGCTTTGAATGACTATGCTCGACAAACTAAAACGAGTGTTGGTGATAATAGTAACAATGAACAACTAGCTCGAATACGCTGGGCTACACTTGGTTACCATTATGATTGGACAAATAAGATTTACAAAGATGATGATCACACGAAAATGCCTAATGAACTTGCAAAATTATGTCAGATTATCATGCAAGTCATATCTTCGTCTACAAGTACAGAAATAAAACTGATAATCTTACTTGAAATTTCAGTTTTTTTTCTCTCTGTTAGATTGTCCGATGATGCAAGCAGAAGCTGCCATTGTTAACTATTATCACTTGAATTCAACGTTATGCGCACATACAGATCATTCAGAATATGATGCATTAACAAAACCTTTGATATCGTATTCATTCGGCAATGCAGCCGTGTTTCTTATCGGTGGACAAACCAAAGCGGAATGCAAACCATCACCCATTCTGCTTCAATCGGGTGATATTATACTTATGACTGGCTCAAGTCGACTTTGTTTTCATGCTGTTCCACGTATCCTTTCCGATCCATTGTTAAAAGAGATTTTATGTGAACATCTTGATGATGAATGTTGTTGGAGCTATATTCATGATAAACGCATCAATATCAATATACGACAAGTCTATTCTTAACTATATAAGAGACATATGAAAATAAAGAGAAAGCAAAAAAAGAAATAAGAGAACAAAGGTATGCATGGCATGTGGTTTCTTGCGTCGCAGAAAAGAAACAAAAAGGAAAAAAGAGAATGATTGGTTCTATTCCTCTTCAATGTATTTCGTCTCGATGATGTCAAACACGCGTCTCTGTCATTACGATTTTTTGGTAATGAAAACAAAAAAAACAAGAGTAAGATTTATACATCAATTTGTAAAGCAGTCGTAAAGAAACTTCTAAAAAAAATGAATCTTTATTATGCAAGTAAATGATTAATCAATATTCAATGCAAAAACGTCTTTCTATCGATGACGACTCGACAATTTTCTGATGCATGTTTTAGATAAAATCTAGTTGCTTCGTATTTATCTATCATGCCAGTTTTTGGTAGTAGCAAGAAGAAATCTGATGGATATTGTTGTAAAATATTTACTATGGATGCTGAATTACAGTTCACTATTGAAGTATGTATAAGTATGAGTTCGTATTTTGTTTCATCATCATTCAACTAGGCAACAGCAAAAGGTCAAGATCTATATTCTCTGGTATGTCAGACAATTGGTCTTCGAGAACATTGGTATTTCGGTTTGAAATTTCTGGATAAAGTTTCCAACGAATGGACATGGTTACAATTGAATCGACCAGTGAGTTCGAATTAGTTCTTTGTGTAATCAATTTCTTTTTCTGCTAGATTCTTTCTCAACCATTGCATATTTCAACTCAAACTAATCCTTCGAAACGACCTGATTCGCCGACAACATCAGATATTTCTAAAGCTCATCTTCTTCGCTCGCCACCAACATCTCCATCAGTATCAACACTGAGTCTTCCATCGTCGTTTTCCAACCATGGCCAACAACACCCGAAAGGCATGTTAGAACTATATTTTGTCGTGAAATTCTATCCCGAAGATATTACACATGAACTCATACAAGATATAACTCGCCGTCTTTTCTACCTTCAAGTAAAACAAGATATTCTCAATATGGATATCTACTGTCCACCGGATACAGCTGCATATCTTGCATCGCTTGCTCTTCAAGCTAAAGTAGAATTGGTTTTTAACTAGTTCTCGATTTTCTCACTCTTCTTTGTAGTTTTCTGATTATGATCAAATTATTTCGTTATCGGAACCATTCAATCTAGAAAACGAAGCTTTACTACCTTTATCCTGCTTTCAAAAGATTGAATTAACGAAAAACGATTGGTTCGATCGAATTATTGCTTTATGGCGTACGCACGCATTAATGACACGTGACGAAGCAGAAATGGCTTATTTGAAACATGCACAAGATTTGGATATGTTTGGTTTGTCATTCTTTGAAATATCGAAAATGCAAGGGGGAAACAAATCCAATACCTTGTCACATCAACCCGATTCCGCATCCATTGCGGCTGAATTGTGGCTGGGAATCGATTCATTAGGAATTCGTTTCTATAAAAAGAACAAACTACGACCAGAAGTCTTCTTTTCTTGGTATGATGTCAAATCCATCATAGCACATGATAAGAAGGTTTGGAACATAACGCTGAAAATTGAGCTCATCATTTCCATATTTTTAAGGTTACGCTCAATTTGACTAGTGATAAAAATGCAACATTTACGTTCTGCACTGCGAAATCATCGGTTAGCAAAGAGGTAGGCAACGACTAATGATAGGAGATTTATGTGAATGCATACTTCATTTAGATACTTGACTTGACAATCGGTAATCACCAGTTGTATATGCGACGTCGACGAGAAGAATCAATTGAAATACAACAAATGCGATATTTCGAAGAGCAACAGAAAAAAGTGAGAATGGACAAAACTTGGATTTACTTGCAGACATAATAGAAAATTCAATGTTAGAGCAAAACCTGAGTCATTTCTGCTCGGTTCTGATTATAGTTTACAACAAAAAAGAATCAGTTCACAGATCTGTTTTGTTGACTCACCTGTGTTGACATGAAGATCGTCAGAACTGGCTTCTAAAAATAAACTCTTGAGTAGATGTATGTCATTACTGCATGAGTTTCTGAAGTTAAAGGCTATTCTTTCTGTGTTAGACAAAAAAATTGATGTTTAAAAGTAGTTGCGAAGAATGTTTTCAGCATTTATATGTGAAGCAGTTTATTCATAACAAGAAATTGACGTACTTTTTCTATGTTTACATAGGAGAAACTTCGCATACTTGGTCGAGAACGACAATTACGTTTAGATGCTGAAAAGGAACGCGATGAAATGGAACGAAAATTCGTCGAGTATCAACAACAAATGAAAGATATTCACGAAACATTGGTTGGCTATGATGAACGTGTAGATTTATATTTGAGTTGATCGGATCTTCTTTGTTCCTAGATGAAATATCAAGAAGCAGCCGAATTGTTAGCCCGTAAAGCACACATTAGCAGTGAAGAAGCGCGATTACATGCTGAGAAAGCATTGGAAGTCGAAACTCAACTCGAACGATGTAAATACGAAATAAATCGAGTGAGTTTTCTTGATCTATCTTGACTTATTATACAGAAACATATTCCTTAATAGAATGAAGAAGAGAAAAGATTGTATACTCGGCAAATCAATGATTGCGAACAGATTATCTCTACTCTAGTGAATGATTCAGTTAAAAAGTAAGTTTTGCTTTTCGTCGGATATTCTAAATGTTCAAATCGAGCAGTGGTACTGTTTATCATTCCTCTCATTTCGGCGAAGCTTCTCTTCTTTCGTCCACTATTGAACAACGGTTAGTCTATTAATAAGAAGGGATTGGACCACTAACATTGACGAAAATCATCCGAACCGATTTTTAGAAATCGTTTCTCATCATTCGAATTGTTATTTTAGCCGCAAGGAGGCCGAAGAACTGAAACTCGAAGTTGCAAAATGGCGTGTAGCAGAAGCTGCTGCTCGAGAAAAACTAATGTCAATCACGCAGTTGAATCAATCACTGGCTGCTACAAATGCAACAGCACAAGCGCAACGTAATCTCGCTCAATCATCACCAAGAACAGTATCACCATCACCGGTAAAACTAGACTTCATTTCCATTAATCAGTCACATTCTGTTTTATCTCCGATAGTATCGACCAAATCATCGAAATCAAGAAGAAAATCAAACGGATGAACGGTAAATCACAGTCTGCATAATAGTATTTTCACAAAGCGCTCAACTATTGTTTCTAGAGCTTATTTGAACGAGAAACAAATCAAACAAAATCAAGTAGCTTTACAATTGCAAGATTTGAAACACGTGATTCAAGCGAGAAAGATTGAAGATCGTTTGACACCACTAGATAAAGCTTATGAAGAAAATTTAGCAGTCGGAGATAACAAATATTCTACCATGCAACGAGCAAGCTCAGGACCCGCATCAAAACGTATGGCTATGTTACAAGATTTGTGATCTATGTATCTATCAACACAGAAGCGTGATTGTTTTACTTTTGTCGCATTATTTTTTTTCAAAAATAACAATGACCGTGAGAATGTTTACAACGAGAATATTTCATTGTCTTTAATCAAATTAAAATATACATTCCCGACAAAATTTTCCGCAGTAAAAACGATGAATAAACACACCTAACTTCCTCCTTTTCCAACTCGAAAATTGAGTTTTGTATGTACTTCACTGAGATACAAGTCGATCATGAAAAGCTGCGATGATATTAAACGCGTGTTTTCGTTGCCGAGTGTAATCGTATTTCAAGTCACGTCAGATGACTAATGGCTAATTGATATATCTGACTGAAAATTTGTTATTATTCGTGAAGAATAAGAGAGATTGATAGAACAATATATGGGGAATAATAATGTAAATTACTCCGAATACAACTCGCGAGCACTGCATTTTCTTACAGTTTATCTCGATTGTGATGCAATTTGTTTTCAAATGAAACTTCACCTATTAACATGCTGGCAACTCTACCACGAACATCTTCTGGAAATAAATTTCAAAAACCTCAATTTATTTATAATTATTCAGATTTATGTGTACATAGAGCTGCTATTCTCACAGTTATTCCTTGCCGAAATAATATCACATCTAGTTAGCACCATAACTTTGCATTATTGCATCTTGTATGTGTTCATCCAGATTGGCAAATCTTTCGGTTGGACTTTGATCGATGCACACCACGAAGTATATGGAATCATCACGGATGTATGAACTAGACTCTTTGTGTAAAACATTTTTATCGGCGAATTCGTCGAAGCCAAACGACGCGTTCACATCGGTTCCACTTGCTTCACAGTCTTTGATAATATGTTGCAGTGGCATCTGTCCACTTTGATCAACCAGTATAAATCTAATATGGCCGCTGAAACGTCCCCGAACAGGGAAATTCAGATGGATATAGATTGATAAGTATTTAGCATCAGTGTTGCCGTTTAGAAATAGACGTGCCCACATACGATGCCCATACATCGATGTGTGAAAATTTGGGGAATCGATATAAAGTTTTCTTTTGTATATGGCGTCATTTATGTTTTCTCTGATACCATCAATGTGCCATATAAGTATGCCATCCGTTGAAACTGGTCTCGCATCTAATTCAAATTGGTGGAGAAGATTTGAATTAAGTTTCAAAAGCATATTCTACAATTAAAAGACCTTAAAATCGTAAGCTTGTTGATGGCATGATTACTTCGTGTTCAACAGACTCCGGTGAGGTAATATTTGGATCTTCTGCCGTCGGATCAAACCCTTGACCATTGTCGGATACAGAGCAAAGAAATTGATCTATATCTTTCATGTTCATTTCATTCATATATTGTTGCAATTGGAGATCGCGAGCACGATCAGAATCATTATTCAATTGTTGAATGGAATGTTGACCAGAACGGTTCATGAAATCTGTCACTACGAATAGAGGAAATAATCAACAACGAAAAAGGAAGTTTGAGGATTTGACTTACAAGAGTTTGTAGTGAATGAACGACTCAAAGGAGATTCTTCTGCATTGGACAACGAGAATATTTCAGTCATAAGTGAAGTTATTTTCTCCATACAATGTGCGTAGTTTGTTAGCCTTCGATGTTCTTCCGTTCTAGCCGGTTCACCGTCATCATCAGAGTATAGAGCAAATTGCGCGATCTCAGCGCATTGATAGTCTGACCGTCTATCCATAAGAAAAATTATAGTACTCAGGAAATGTCTTTCACTTCGGATATGATTATGCTCTATTTGTTCATCTCGACCCTAAAATCAATTTGTCGATAGGATTGAATCAATACATTTAATTAACTTACGAGATTTCCGTAACAGTAATTACACAGAACACAAAAATTAGATTTGTTGGATATTTCACTTTGAAGTTCCCCACAGCTCATTTTTATCGCGAATAAATCCTACATATGAAATAAAAGACAATTACCAGTAGTTATGATAACCAGTATTCATGCACTTTGACAATCTTCTTATCTGAAATATCGATTTAAAAATTAGTTTTCGACAAAAACAAGATTCGTCGAAAATAAATGCAAAGAGTGTAGTTACATAAACAGGCACACAACAATAAAAATATTCCATTTACTTTCGATCCTGGTAATAATACCCCATATGAGCAATACATGCCGCTAATTCAAAAAGGATCGAACGCGTAAACAGATCAATACATTTCCTTCTGATAACGTCGTAATGATTACTGTTACTGTGAGAACAGTATACGTAGAATGTTCACGCACGAGGATGAATTAATGGGTAGATTGTCTCGATATCCGTTGGATTGTACATAACGACGAAAAGCGGATCATTTTCATGATGATGCATATGTTGGTGACAGTCTTCAATAGAATGATGATAATGAACGATTCCTAGTGTAGAATTGAGATGCATGAAAACATCATCGAGTGAGTCAGCAACGAGGAGTATACATCTACAAAATCCTAAAGTGATGATAAATATACCAGTATCAGAAAATTCCATGTGCTGTTTCCATTGTACAGCCGGAGCAACAGCTCTACTCGCGCTGATATTATGATACATTACCAACATATTATTTTAAATGTTCCTTGCTCGATCGATGAATGGTGTGTCCGCTAATGCAATAGTAACCTTATCATTCGATACTAGTCATGCGAAAAATTTTCTTGTGCATAAATCCGTTGAATGATTATATGCTTGTTCGATTTCTCCCTCACAGCTGGCAAAATTCCATGCATCTAAAGCAGTATTACACTCCGAACATAAATGAATTGTTCGGTTTTTGACACAAAACATATATGCATATAATTTGAGATGAATACTTTACTTAGGAAATAAAATTACGCCTTGCTAGACCAGATATAATTAAGAACAACTTCTTGGTACTTTGTAGTTTACAAATAAATGCCAAATATTCTTGCTTATCTATGAAGAAGTCTAATTACAGGAAATAAGCTGTTGATATAGCGGTAATGCTTCCCATCTTTTTCGTCAGCAGGCTTATCGTACCAAATTAGTCTTACGTTCGTGAAATTGAAAGACACGACCACTATTTATATGATTAGCTAAGCGATAAATCTCGACGTGTGGTGTTTAGTTGTATTTATCTTCCTCCATACAAAATCAAATAGAAAAAATCAGACCCTGAGTAAATAATGTCTGGAAACAAATAGTCTGCGTACATCGATCGCCGAACATTGATGAATCACGGAAGTTCTTTATTTCGCAACATGTTGCAATACCTAGGTAAGAGAATGTTCGAGATACGTCTACAAGTCATTCAGGGTTGGAGACATGAATGCACACCTGTCTTCGAAGAAATACCGTCGACTGTGCCGTGTTGTTAGAAGACATTTACGACTTGTTTTCTTATGGAAACAAATACTAGGTATGTATGTTCTATGGCACCTAGCGTCCTCTATAAATTTTATATTTTGTTTCTGAAGTTCGTTGTCAGGTGATGTTTGAAGTAAATGAAAAGAATTTGCAAAGTGTATATACATATCTAAAGTGAAACGAACGATGGGTGACGATCCACGTACAAAAGCTCGGAGTTTTCTTGAATCATCTGCTATTATATCCGAATTTGAAGATATACTCAACGATCTTGTTTACGAAAATCCCGAAGACCTTCGCGGCTATTTGGTAACTTCGTAGTATTTGTGGTAAAATGAAGCTTTTCTGACTATGGTCTTTTTAGGCGAATTATTTTCTCACCCAAAGTAAACAACCGCAAATTACTTCGTTGAATTTAAGGCTACTAACTGGTCCGGCTGGAGAGCTGGCTGTGCACATTGATGTTACAGTAGCACTTCGAAATCGAACTCAAGTAAAAAACATCTATATTATCCAATTACCTTCTATTGTAATTAATACTTGTTCTATAGCGATATAATGGACTTACAGTTAATTTATCATCGGGTCAATTAAGTAGCCAAAAAATAAAAGAATACGAAGCTTTTGGTGAGTATGAAATCAATCAATTGAATACTGAATCTTGCTGCTTACTCTGTTCAGTCAACTCAACGTCATTAGCAACCATTCTTAATCGAATTGATTTAATCGATCATAGTACGATTGATAATCTACTTGCGTACGATACTGCGGCTTCCTATTTCTTATTTTCTTATACATTCTTGTGTTTAGTAACTGTCGGCTAGAACATGCTCATGAAATGGCAAAATTGGCAGCGATTGAAGCAGAAAATTCCAACATTGAGATCGCACCCGAAGTTCCACCAGCAAAGCCGCCACCGCCAGCACCACCGGCTAAACGGCAAGCGATGAGTCCAGCCGGTGTCAAACCAGGTGGCGCGCCTCCACCCAGTAAAAAAGGGTTCGTTGCTGAATACAACTTGTTGTTGGAAACGAGTCCGTTTGTTTTTCTTTCCGTAGAACTATAAAAGAAGTTCAACTACTTGAAGTTATACCTGATGGTCCCGAACCATCATCATTTACTGGTCAAGTATTAGTTACAGGAATATCATTAACTTCTCGTTTAATAACTGCTGAAATGCAAAATTCAAGTTTATATCGTCTTATTCAACTTCCATATGTGACAAATCTGTCTATACCACTACCGATTATTCCCATACTCCAGAGTGGACCTGACTTTCCAGGTAAACAGACGTTAGTTAAGTATTTCATGCTTATCCCAAGGCCCGACAAGATGGATAACGAAGAGGTAGTCGACATGTATCTTCTTGTGTTTTTATAAAATTCATCTAATATAGTGGCTGAATAAACTACATAGTATTATCCATCAATTACGCGAAACATTGACGACTGCTAAGGGAGCTACTGTAAGATTAATGATTGAAAATAACGTTTCTACCCTTGTTTTTAGTCTCAACAAGGTTATTCAACTGATGATGGTTGTCTCGTCTTTTCGATGGACAAACCCGAACAAGGATTTGATATCCTGCAAAATGCAGTGAACGCTGTCTGTGGCACTAAGGAACATTGGTTCGACTATGCTCTACAGATGTGCCCATACGAAGCGTTTGATTATGTAAATTTTTCGAAGGAAAGGAAACACGAGAGTGTGTCAACTGAATCATCTTCTTTTAGACAAATGGAATGTACGAAGTAGCTTCTGGAATGACGAAAGCACCTGATGACCTCGCTGATCTCTACGCTGAATGGATCCTCAACTATCCAAGTTGCATTATGCTCATCGATCCATTCCGATATTCTGTAAAATAATCTAACTTTCCATTCGAAAAGAAACTGTTTTTTGTCAACAAAATATTCATTTAGGATAAAACATCACTATCACGTTTGTGCCATCGAGTGACAAAGAAATGTTATGTAACGTCAACTGATACACGTCGTTATCAACATGAAGATGATGATAATACAATTAATTGTCATCTATTAAGTTTCGATCGTGCTCCAACAGTTACCGAATTAATTCAACGTGTAAATAAACTTCGCGGTAAATGACAGAGATTACCAAGGAATCCACTGATAAATGATCTTTTCTTAGAAAGTAATGATTATGCTTTGGGATTATTCGAACGAGATCATCAAGAAGTTGCACAAGTTTATCTAGCTGATCTCGTGAGAAGACAGATTATGATTTTTAGATGATGATATATGAAATATTTTGTTTAGGCTGTTGGTTTCGGCTGTCGTTTTCTCAAACTTCCTGGTCTTCTTTCATTAGGTGGTCAAACAACATCTGTTATCCTTCAACGTCTCTCTATAATTCGTGATGAAATTCAAATGAATGACGGTGATCAACCTGTCCAACTCAAGCAACATAGTTTCATTCATATTCGATCAGCAATTGACATACCGGAACTTGACGTTGCTCCACCGATCTCGACGACTTCGAAAAATAAGGACAAGAAAAAGCGGCCTTAATCTAGTTTGTAAAGAAAGAATAAAAAAAGAGAGAGGAAAAAAAAGAAATTGAGCGGTATGTGTCTGTATGCATTTTGTTATCTATAAGTGTAAAGATTAATATGTGTGCGAAATATGATAGTAACTTGGTAGGAACAAGAAAACGTCGAATTTAGTATTTTTTGTCGTTCTTTTTCTTCAATTCATTTGGTAGTCGCATGATAACGAACAAATGACAACAACAGGTTAGTATTGTAACAGGATTTTATCGTATGGTAATTGAAAATCATCAGTGTGTCTTTTGGCCATTGAATAGAAAATGAATGGAATGCGTAGAACATAAATTCTGATGAGATGCTTTGCTTGAAATTCAAACATTGAGTAGGAGGCATTCATACCACGTGAAAATAAAGTCAAATATAGTTCTTTCTAACGATGGATTTATATTCCGAGAATGCATTGCTTTTCATATTCGGCAATCGAACAGCTATTTGTTAACTATTTTAGTGCGAACAAATGGGAAAGATACAACATCTGCATTGGTATGTATTGACACCCCTCTCTTCTTTTCAAACATATCCAACTGAGTAGAAATACACAGGATGTTGATTATTCTGCCGCGGAAATTCTCGCTATCAAAGGTTGTCAATATGTTCGTTTTGCTCTGGATAAGCCAGTCCTACGGTAAAGAGTTTCCTTCGGAAAGGTCTATCTACTCCTTGTGATCATCTCTATAGTTTGTATAAGTTCTACTATTCGGTGTATTGGTATTGGATAGTTTGGTTTGCTGATATTGCATTGCTTCTCTTACCTTGCATTGAACGGCCTGCTTATTTTGAAAGTGTCCCGAAATGGGTTGCTTTAATTATCGAAATCATCGCTATATCCGTACTTCTAGCATCATTTATCATCTCGATGCATTTGCAAAATCAACGCAAACTAATTCGTGAAGCGGTGTATCCTTACATATTTATCATCGTTTTTCTAGTAAATCAAAAACGAAACTCTTTTTCAAGAAAAAAAACACAAAGCATATTTTGATTGTATCTAGTTGACGATTGCTGATATGATTGTTTATTATGTTTTAATATGGAATAATGACAATACACGATACATACGCTGGTCACGTCCGTTGCGTGTTTTGTTTCCATTTGCTTTGCAGTCAGGTCAACATGTAAGATGAAATTTGATTTGATTATTTTGCAAATATTTCAATCGGAATAGATCCGACGGGTCATTCGAAACATTCTTCGAACATTACCAAATATTGCCAATGTGATGGTTCTATTCTTATTGTCGGTATTAACATTTACTCTACTCGGTGTTGGAATGCTGAGAAGCAGGTGAATGCATTTTCATTTGAGAATTGTTCTTTTATAGAAACTTCTCTACATTTTCAGGAATTTACCACATCCGAACAGAAAAGATCAGTATTTTACCAATTATATAGATACAGCCTGGGATTTATACGTTTTAACAACAACTGCAAATAACCCTGACATCATGTAAGATGCTTTCTTCAAGAGAAATCAATATATTGTTTGTGAATAGGATGCCAGCATTTAATGTCAGTATACTCTACGTAATCTTTTTCATGGCTTATTTACTTGTTAATTTGTATTTATTCATGAATTTACTTTTGGCCGTCATTTTTTCGAATTATAAACAGCATCTGATGGTAAACGATTGACTACTTACAGTTATATCACTATTCTTTGTGATTTTCTAGGAAGAACAACAAGTAATTCACAAACGTCAGTTAGACACTCTTACGATCATTTTTCAACGTTTATCGTCGAATAATTCGACGAATCATGTGTCGTATAACACATATGAACAATTGATGCGAGCTATAAAACCTGATATAACGGAGACTATCATCGATGCTTATTGGAAAACTTTAGATGTTCCTAATAAAGAAGATGGATTAGGTAAATATTACATAGGAAAGACTATATTTCGTATTTCGGCGATGTAGATTTGAAAAAGTTCAACGAACTTTTATTAAACCTTAATTTTGATTTACGGCAACGTAATGATGATCAAACTATTCTACAAAAATATTGCCCGAAGTTTTACAACTCGAAGCCAAGTCGTGTTATCATCGATTTTGTGAACACAAGGTAATAAATTTGATCGCTAATCATCACTTCCTTCTCATTTACTTTTAGTCTCTTCCGAACGATCATCAATTTGCTAATTATCGCCAACGCTGTCTGTCTAGCAGCGAATTACAACGAATTAGAGTGGGTTTTCTTGGCCGTGTTTATTCTTGAAGCTCTATTGAAAATGTATGCGTATGGTGTGAGAGATTATTTTCATCATCGGTGGAATATATTCGATTTCATAATCGTGCTTGTTTCGACAACTTACAGTCTTGTATCAACGTCCGTTCAAGGTTGTAATTGAGTTCATGAAACGATGGTTTTATGGATTTCGTTGATTTGTTTTAGTGAAATTTGAAGGCAATGTTCTTGATGCAATTTTAGTCTTTCGAGTTCTTCGTTTAGTCAAACTTGTCGGAAATGTTCAAAGGTATGAAGATTGAAAAAGACGTCGTTCGACAGAAAATTTCTTTCCTGCAGGTTCAAAGTTATCTTTGGAACATTTTCGAAAGTCATACCAACGCTAATGACATATCTTCGTGTGATGTTTGTAGGTTAAATTCAGTTTCTTTACTTGCCACAAAAATCTATTGAATAATCGATTTTCTTTAGATGACCTACTATGTATTTTCAATGATTGGTAATTTAACTTGAGATCGACTGTATGAATAAGGGAAACCGCTTGATTCGTTTCAGGAATGGAACTGTTTCAACGAAAAATAATCTTTATCGATAAAAATTCAACATCGACATATCCATGTAACAATAGTGCACTGGTAGACTCGGACTTTGCTGCGTATGTTGAAACGAAGTTCAAAGATGAATGAATGTCTACGTTAGAAATTTAGGAGTAATTATTGTCGAAACAATTTCAATGATTATTTTTCATCATTGATTGTTCTGTTCGAATTGACTGTCGTTAATCAATGGCATGGTGAGTAGATAGATATCAGAGCCGAACTTTTGCTGATATGATTTATGTTTGCGAATTTTCAGTTTTGGCTTCTGGCTTCGTTCTTGTCACTACTAAAGTAGCACGTATTTTCTTTCTTGCCTTTCATCTTTGTGCTGTCATCGTTGTACTCAAGTAAAAACTTTCCATTGATCTGAAAGTGTTGTATTGTTCCGATGTTTGATTCGTATTATTTTAGTATCTTTACTGCTTTTGTCATTGATTCGTTTCTTAATCAGTATACTCTTTCGAAGAGTAAAGAATTTCCTTGGGTCGAACAAGAAAACATCATTACGGATAGACTTACTCGGCAAGGTTTTCGAGTTATTCGAAGGTAAGAACAGATTCTTTGCAGTAACCAAACTGTTTTCTTGTCTTCTTAGATACGATGATATGAAACGATCGGAAGGAGAAAGAAAGAAAAAGTTCAATTTACTAGATTCCCTTCGTGCATTTGTCAAACCATCGATCAGTCGTCGTATGACAACTATACTGGAAAGTTCACGTGACGATGAACATACTCTACTTCTTCGTTGGTCAGGTCACGTAGATATTGATCCAGACGCCTTGTTGCATTTGTCCGACGAAGCATCTTAGATGGACAATTTATTTTATCGTATCGCCAAAACAAAATAAATTATTCATTCTCTAGTTTCTATTAATTATATACACCTTTGCTATTCGTTTTCTATATCATTCTACGTACAATGTCTGCTGTCGTCATTGTATCTGTCTGACCTAGAGCGTTGTTTTCAGTATTTTATACACCTTAGCTTGCGATCAACAGGTAGGGTTGAAGAGTGGATTTATTTCTACAAATCTACTGAATATTTCATATTTTAAATGAGTAAAACTATACAAATTACACGAGCAAACATAATATGAGATGGACTTTGTCCATCGAGTTCGAAATGGCTCTTAATTTTGTAACAATAGACGCAACCATTTCTATGAGAAAGCATAAGAACTCCTTCTCATCGATGCGAATTGTTCGACATACAAGCTAGAAAAAACGCCAATAGAAATAAAATCATTATGGATAATTCAATCGAGATTTACTTTGTCGACATTGATCCAAACAAGCCGAATCTAATGTTAACAAACTTTGATCAACCGAATGAAGTTTATAACATAAATAAATATGTAGCACTAATAGACAAACTCCAATAAAAATGGCGATATTGTATATAATATTATCTCCAGTAGTTGGAGATAACTTCGATTCATTTGAAGCAATTGTATTGACTACTGAATCTTGTGATGTTTCACTTGAACATATATCTTCATTGGACTCTCTACGTTCACGACTTTTTGAAACAACGACTGTTTTTCTATTTTGTTTACGTTTTGATTGTTTGTTTTCTTGTTCTGCTAGTCTTCGAACTAAAATCAACGACGAACATCAATAGTACAAAATACGATTGCAAATTCTCATTTACCTTGTTCATTGACACCGCCTTCGATAGCAGCATAGGAATTTTTCTCAATAAACGCTATAAAACACACATTCTATCATCGAAGTGAACACAAACTCATATCTTACATTTCACAAAACTATTCACACTTTTGATATAATTTATTTCCGCACTGATTCGTATGGAACTGTGTTCAGCATCACGCTGAGTCATACAAAATTGTGTTGCAACAAAGAATGCATCGGTATATTTCACACCTTCATTATACACTTCTGACTTCAAAATGTACATAACATGTGGTTGTTCGACAAGTAATGTCTATGAAGGAAGAAATCATCGAAGTTAATGTGAAACAGTCCATGCCTTAAATGTCAGACCTGTTTTTCTCGACAACTGAGAGTATTTGTACCGAGAATTGATTGATTGATTGTTTTGTATGTTACTATACGTTCACGTTTTCCTGTCTCAGGATTCACTGTCCATTCGCCATAGACATAGTCTAGATAACGAAAATAAGAACTTTCGTAAGGATTGATAGTTGACTTTACCAGTTAGTTTTTGTGCGCTATGGAAACTTCGATTGAATTCATTATCACCAGTAAGATATTCAAAAAGTGTATCAACATTATAACTCAATAGACGATCCGCGAATGTTTTGGCATAGTGTGTTTCACATGTACAGGATGGGAGATAAGGTTCAATTTCGTTTTCTTGAAAAAATACATTCGTTTAGTGATCTCCGGTTTTTGAAATAGATGGCCTTACCTGATAGTGAAGACAAAGTCTGTTGTTTAGACAATTTCGTTTCTTTACGTTCTTCGACTGTTCGACTGGAAGCTGTCGGAAGCGATTGCGTCTGTAATCCATACTAAAAAAAATAATAAAACCCACTTAATATCGATCCTTATTTCAAAGTTAGTTTGACCTATTCGAGTATCTTTCTTACTCATACCTCTATAACAAACATTTCGTAACCGTAAGAACAGGAAATGAAGGTGTACACTTAACGAACGTTCGAGCACAGCGAAAGTATGCCTGTGCAATAACTACCCTTCACCTATTCACACATGACTGATGATAATGAAAAAGATCGAAAATATGCATCGACTGGTTATTTCTATGGCGTGTTTCGTTATTCAAATCAGTAAATTATTACCTCAGATGAAGTAGCTCCGTTGACATTTTCCAGACTGAGTGATTCTTCACTATCTCCACTGGTTTCATCATGGTGTTGTTGATCATTATATACAAGTGCTCGTAATTGATTGTAATCTAATGGCTAAACAGACAAAGAGTATAGGGCTCGTTTTCCGTGTTGGACCTCATGAAATGATTACTTGATCAAGTAGCGTGTTTTGCCAGATTCGGAAAACAGCGAGAAAGACCTTCTCTCTTGGTATTACACTGACGAATATATACTGTTCTTGGTTTTTTGTTCGTATTTTAATTGCGTTTGGCACAAGCTTAGCCGCCTTCTCTCGTGTGATACTAATGATATCTGTATAAGGTATAGACAACTAAAAAGAAGCCAATTTCGCTTTCGCTTTCGAATGAAACACGCTAATTTCTTCACTTACTCTTTCTTCCCATTTGAAAAAACATGTGTAAAATGAAATATAATTCGCGGAAAGGAACATTCGTCCGTGTATGTAAACATCTTTTCGCAAAGCACATGGAAACGCTGCAACAAACGATTAATTAGTACAAATCAAATGACAAATGTATTTCATACCGATGATTAGCTGTTCGTTGGATGGCAAATCGCAAAATATCGATGCGAAATCTTCGTCACGAATTTGAAAAGCCTGTACGGAAATAAGAATAGTTGATGCGTTGATTGAAAGCGGCGCTTTCGAAGCAGTCAATGTCATACCGTTCGTCGGACTGGTAGTCGTCGCTTCTGATGATTCGACTCGGGAAGAGATTTCGATGATTGCAAGCATTTTCGTTTTGTTTCCTTTGTTTTTTTATGCGCATCAGAAAGAGTGCTTGTTTTGTTATCTTCATCGTTATCTTGTGTTACGGAATTCTGTTCTTCCGTTTCAAAAACAGTATCTTAAAATCATAAAAGTCATTTAGTTTTCATCTGTTGAACAGATTAAGCAACGTACCGCGTGTGATATCATTGTTCGTTCCGTTTTCGCTTGAGGACTTTCTTTTTGTTAGAACAGCTGGTGATGTGTGGGAACGAGAGCGATCTTGTGCTGTAGATGATTCTGTGGGCGAATCATTGGGACTGGCTTGTTTGGCACTTTTCGTCGATGTTCGTTCTTCGCCGTACTGAGTTGATGCGCCGTCGGATAGTTCAGCTTGTGAGCCTCTCTCATTTCGTTTTGCCTTTACTTTTTGTTTTAAACGACTGATCATTATTATTGGTTTGATGTGTAACGTTCCATGGAGAGAGTTGCGGTGCTTTTGTAGCATGGCTTCACTATGTTCAATATTTTCTGCATCGGAATGATGACTTGACATTTCTTTTTGTTTAATCATACGTTGCATCAAGTAATATAATATAATGAAAATATACAGGTTAATTTATATTTTCTAGCATTCTTCACTTCATCGATTACGGCGAAAGACCAAAAAAAATACATGAGTCAAAATATTTTTTTATTGCAATCCCCTCGTCATACTACTGAAACGTTTCACAAACGTGCTTTCGGTATGCTCCTTAGGTATACCTTTTTACTACCTATCAATAATAAAATACAATTTGAGTAAGCAAAATAAATACGAAATATACGATTGATGCTTGTGATAATTAGTACTCATCATTTATCACGTTCTCTGCATACTAGTGACATCTGTTTAGAAATGTTTAGTGCAGATACATACCTCAATGAAGAAAACTTATATGTAACAAAAGGAAGGAAAGGGGACGTTGCTGGAGAATAGAGTATTTGATACATAATGGCTGAATTTCGACGTTTTCATGTATATGGTGCACATCACAAATCATTCCCGTATAAACAGAACGATTTTTAGACGAACTTTGTTCAATCATTGAATACAAAGGTAATTGTATTACACAGATTTTTTTTCTAACAGATGCTGAATCAGATACTATACTCATATTCAATCGGAAAGATGTACATTAGCAAATTTTCTTTTAATCGAAAGAGTAAAAAAGTGAAATTTCTGAAAATTACACACTAACATGTCAAATGCGGAAATGTTCATCCCGATTAAGATCCAATGTTGCTAGGAGAGTCGAAGTAGTTAACTTATTAATAAAATCAAAAGAGAGAACTTAGAAATTAGAACGATCGATGACGAATGTGAAGAATTTTGAATGTCTTTCTTTTTGCAAATAGTTACATAATCATCTGATCTTCACAGCCCGACACAATCCATTTATAAAAAGTCATGACTATTTTTTTAAAAGGTTTGATATCTATTCAAATTGTCATATATGAAATGAAAATGATAGCTTGATATCATCACAGTTCATCTTGTTAAATTTACTTGTCAGTTCAAAGAGCATCGAAGCACGATATAATGAGATTGCTTTTATTCGATCAAATTATCCGAGACGCGTTTTGACAAATAAATGTTTTTATTTTCGAATCAATTCATTTCATTGTCACAATATATGCCAGATAAGCTTTAGTAATAGCGATTTTTTACATAGAAAAGCGTATAAAGACAAATGACAAAAAGATGCTTTTAAACGAGAGTATAGACATATTGATTTTTTCTCCTATCTCGTTGTTTTTTCTTCTTCTCTTCGTATAAGACTATCATTACGATAAATCCTATAGACGATACAATTATCATTATGCGAAATCGTTAATCAAACGAATGTTATTACATTCGTTGGGTTGCCCGTATAATACGGCGTGAAAAAAAATGAATATTTCGCATACACACTTGCAAGTATCTGACCGTCTGTCGCATCGAACGAAAGGAAAGACATCGGCGACAGAAGAGGAGAAGAAGAAAAAAAAATAGAAGGAGATGAAAGAAGAAGGACAAAGATAAGGCAGCAGAAAAAGCGCAGAAAACTGAAATATTAGCTTAATGGAAATAACCAATGTGGAACACATGTTATGACACGAAAAAAAAGAATGAACACGAACTAAACTTAGCGTTATAGTGGAGGTCCAAGAAATCCAGGAGAGATTTTTCCACCTCCTGTCCAATCTGTACCGAGATTAGGACCTACTAGCCGATTTGGAGATGAAAATGGTCCTACTGGACCGGATAGGCCCACAGCAGCAGGAACAGATGCACCTATATTATTGTACATAGGTGCTACTTGAGGCTGTTGCGGAACTGGTTGTGGAGCATATGGGGTAGAATAGGATGCACCTATTGAATAAGGTGTGGATGCATAAGGTGAATAGATAGAAGCTGGCATTTGTTGAGCCATTCTCATAGCTTGAGATTGTGGTGACTCTTGCGGCATCATCATAGGTGATTGCTGAGGCATATATTGTGGCATCATCATAGCTTGCTGTTGTAGTAAGTTTTGCGGCATCATCATCGGCGCAAATCTTTGCATAGTCACTGGTCGAGATGGTGCAGCCATCATTGGATAAGGCTGTGATATTTGTTGAGGCATCATCATCGGTGGCATTTGTTGTTGCGCCATTAACATTGACTGTGGAGGCACATATGGTAAAGCTGTAAAATTTTGATAAGACATTGGCAAAGAGGATGGAACTCCAGTTGCTAATGGCGCAAAAGCAGGTACTGCCGGTGGGAATTGCCGCGGCCGATGATGGTGGTGATGTTGACGTGGCGGAGAGTGATGTCGGACGGGTTGTGGTACAGGTATTATAGTTGTTGGAGCTTGTCTGACTCGGCGAAAGATACGTCTTCTACGTCTTTGCGCGCCTCGACCAGCACCAGTAGCTGGTCCCATTGCTCCATTTCTAGATGGGAATGATCTAAGTGGAGGAGCTTCATAATACTCTTGAGAACTACCAAGACCCATTGCCGTTTTTCAATCAACCACTTTCGTTATACCAGTAAATACATCAATTAGTCGTTTGTTTCACGCGCACTCGATAAAAAGGAGAGAAAGATAGAGAGGGAAAGGGAAGGAGAGAAGGAGAGAAACGGGAGAACATTTACCATTGCGAAAGGGAAGCTACCGAGAGGAAAAACGAATAAGTTTAGGTAGAAACAAAAAATAATCAATGAGCCAGAACGAGAAAAGAAAACATCAACATTTCGAAGGGCTAATACGACACCTAAAGTAACTGTAACTGTGGTGTCTGTTAAAAATCAGTGACATGTTTACTTTTTTTGATATACATTAAGATTAATATCAGATAAATGTTCTTTCATAATATTTAGTCAATATTTTGGACATGCTTGGAAATTCAAATGACACCTTACCACGTATGAGAGATTCATTTTTCGATGAAGATGATGACGACGATAACAATAACAATAATCCGACCCCGCGTGCGCCACCCTTAATATCATCGATCAAAATAGTAACCTCCAAACCACCTGTTTATCGTCGACAGAGTCAAAGCAGTAGTTCACCATCACCATCATCATGTTGCTCTGACCGTGATGTCACGGATGTATCGTCTATGGGTGGCGATCATCACCATCATCATCAATTACCACCGAGGCAACAGGACAGTCGTCAACGACACTCTGATTATGATCAACATCATCCATTTCATCTTCAATCGATGAGACATGTCCTATTAGGTTCATCAGCTCCCACTAGTCGTCCACCATCGCCAGCGAACCATCAAACACAATCAAACAAGAAACACGTACGCATTGTCACCGATGATACGGATCAAAATCATCACCATCGTCATCAAAATTCTCATCACCAACAACCTTACATACACGGGCACGCAAAGGATTACCGGCGAGTTCGGCTAACATCCTCTGCAATCAATCGTCAAAAGCAACAACAGAAAATTGAGCGTGAAAATATGGTAAGAATAAATATTCTTTGACTATAAGCAGTTTACTTAAGTGTTCTCTCATTCTCTATTTAATACATATCGACACATCGATTTATCATTTACTCATTCATTCATTCATTCGTTCTCCTATAATTGATCTATTAACACACGTTTATAGACCAACTTATTCCTTTCATCCATTCAGTCACCTTGTGTCTCTGTTTTATATAAAGCATTTTTCTGTGCATCAAACTGTACAGTATAGTATGAGAAAAGAGTGGATATTAATGATAGACTATCAATTTCGATTGACATCCGATAAAGGTTTCAACCTATTTTCCTATCCCTAATCGAAATAAAACAATTTGGTTGAATGACAAACTATTTCTCATTTAATTCAAGAAACTGCTGGAACGTCTTCAACAAACTCGTGCATCACGCGGTCTCAAACGCGAAGAGCTTCTCAGTCACTATGACAATCAAGTGGGCTATGTAACATACACAATACCTCCAGCACCAGCACGTGCCCACCTTCCCCCTCGGCCATCAAGCGCAACAATGACGACGTCGACAGCTCCAACATCACAAAAAAAATCGAATATCCACAGTCGGCCTTCGTCCGCTTCGCATACAATCAATAGTAACCGCGTACGGTCTCGACCGACATCCGCAACGAGTTCTGTTCATGGCAGTAGTCGTTCATCATCAGCCCGTCGGCCAATTTGGAATGATCGTTGGCAACAACAAGAATGATTTTCTTTATACTTCAACTTCGTAAAGAAAAGACAACAAATCCCTTTCATTTTTTTTCTAAATCTACGATTGCGTATTTGTTGTTGGTACTGTTTGTTTCGTTTTTTTTTGCATCAGATGTTACTTTGTTGTATAGAAGTATACTTTTTCTTTCTCTCGAGAATCGAAGAACTTTCAAATAAATTCTTTCTCTTGTTACAAAACTACTCGAGAAGAGAATAAAAACTACTGTGTCATTTAGACATCTCTATTCGAACTGACAAATGAACTTGAAAGATCGAAATGTACATTTTGATAAGATCGCTGTCAATAATGATCATAATTGCTAATTAATACAAGACACATGCACACCTTTATTGATGGTCAAATCGATGCCCTGATGAGTCTACTATTTCGACAAAGGTTCGCTCTATTCATACGAGTGCACCGTTTCGCTCGTCTTCTTCTAACAAATTAAATGTCCATCGGGGAAACTGAATAATATGATTATGTAAGCAAAATGAACCTATTAATTTCCAAGGAATACTCTTAATTTAGATTGATGTTTACTAAGCATACATGAAGTATAAACAAATTAGCTTTCAAATTAAACATTATTTAATACATCTTGAAAATTTCATCATACAATTTGTATATTTTGCTGAAGTGAACCAGAACGATGGTCGAAGTATATTTCAAGCGTAAATGTGAGAGCAAAATTTGTTAGTAAATTATTCGTTATATACATGTTTGTATTACCAAATAAGCGTGAAGTTTATAAGGTGACAAATTTGTTCCTCGTCATTAGAATGGTTATCTGTCCGTTACGCTTACTGACGGGTCGGTTATCGTTACCTTTGCTCTCACACAATCGATGGCGGATGTCGCTTTGTGTGCGAATTTGTAGTTCATTAGAAAACATAAATCGTATAAAACGATAATTAACATCTACATTGATTAGGTTTGATAATGAGGTCGAACGAGTCATAAGCATGGTAAACAATTGCGTTGAACTTGTCTGATTCTTGACGAGTTGATAACAGATGTCTAAAGCGTTGTCACACGTGGCGCAACTTTCGGTTCGAGTTGTTCATCACATAGTTTTTCATAATAATCTTCCATTTCTTGTTCATATTCTAGACTTGATGTTGACGGTGATTCATGCATCGACGTTGTCAATTGGGTTAATAAATGTTCAAATGAATCAACATCTGCATCTAAACTATTGAGTAAGTGCGATAAATTTCGACAGATACGTTGTAAGGAAATTAACAAAACAGACACAGCGTCTAATGTTTGCGCTGAAGATAAATTCATGTTTGTCTGCAGACTAAGCGCCTAGTCGATTTAGTGATGACTATGAAAAATACCAAAGACGAGCATGGGTTTTATCATCTGCATATATGACATACATAATTAATATCATATTCAATGAATATATGTTTTCATCATTCTCGACATTCATTTAATAATAGAACAAAGAAAAATTATCCAGAGGATAAGAAATATTGTTCTTCACAACAAAAAGAACTAGAGACGATCTTATTATTATCAAGGTCAGATGGTATTCACTACACGGTGTTCTTCTGTTCATGCTCAACAATGGCAGATGAGCGATGAATGAAATGAGCATCGGAATTTGTCGGAGATCCCCGTTGTTTTCCTAGTAATATGTAGAGTCACGAGGGAGAAGATTACATCAATATTGTCCTAGAAACTTGTTTGTTTTGGTTCAATAATAAACTGCGACTAGACTACCATTCTTCAGTTGAAGTAATTATTGTCAGTTTTTGAAGATCTATTTCATTTTGAGCGTGCAAGATATTCTGCAATGACTATCATATACAGACGTCTAGTGCTTTTGTTTTCGAGAACAATGACCGAGCAAGAAATCGAAGGAAATGAACAGTCATGGTAAGAATAAGAATTCTTTACTGAAATGTTAACATTTATGTAGAACAAAGTCATTTTTCTATTTCTATCCGATCGTAGTGAGGTACGGTATTACTTTCAAATGTGTCTCTCTGCACTTGCGATTGGTATTGTTTTATTAGTTTAATTATCGGTTGCAATACAATATGTCTGAATAGTTGATACATGTCAATAACTGACAAATTCTGTAAGAGACTATCAATGCCAATATGAATTGGATTTCACTAAGTTTCTGTCTAGCGATCTTTACACTTCTTTGTCGGAGATACTAATATGATTATGAAAGCTCATTTTGATACGGAATTCAGTGTATTTATTAATACAGAGTATGAGAAGTTATTAGAATAATCAAACATATCTTTAGCAATAAAGATACTATGGATTGCATATGAAAAATCATTCCCATTGATAGACGATGAAACCAACTCATGATTTATTCATGAGGAAGATGTGGACATTCTTTTCTCAGATGTCCATGTTGTCGGCAGCCGTAACATTTTCGTCGTTTGAAACGTCTCGAGCCACGGTATGAACGTAGCGAAGGATATGAACGTGTTCTTAAATACGATGAATAAATAGATGAGATATGTTTACTAACAATTGGCGGATAGGGTTTGTAAGGATGGTAATGTATTGCAGGATGATTGTGTTGGATCGATTCAGAATTGAATTGAGAAGAAAGTTGATTGAAGATATTCCAAATATCATTTTGTTCAGTGGAGTTTTCCGATGTCGGAAGCAAATCATCTGAAGTTGGTGTTTCACTGCTTGTTGTAGATGAATAGAGTAGTTCTGTATACTGATCGACTGGAATGTCCACATGGATAGTCGGCTGAATGAAATCTGTTTCATGTGTTATTGAAATATCAGGAGATGTGACTGGAATTGAAGATTTTTTCACAGTTTGATGGACTGTAGTACTGTTATCCTCATCTAGAATGTTAATGCTGAAAATGACAATCCTTATAGTTCAGCAAATTACCTGTTGATAGGTCAATGTAAGCTGGCGATGCAGACATTAAATAGTCTTGTTGAAATTGCTCCAGAATATCATTTGTAAAAAATCGTCGATTAAGATTGATTAAATTTGCTGTCGTGTTTGAACATGAACATAACCTTGGACTTTGCCGTTGAAATTGCAGCCATGATGGTAATGCGTATTTAACTGTTTCACTTAAATTAAAACCAGTATCGAAATAGAAATGGTATGTACCAGGAAAGACTACGACTAGTTCATTGAGCTTCTGTTCAATTTGATAATATTCAATCGAATGCAATTGCAGAAATGATGGATTTAGTAGAAGAGATTTGTGTTGAAGTGGTGATAAACAAGACAGAGAAATATCGGAAAATAGTTTTAGTTCGTTAACTAATTCTTCTAATTTCGTGTAAGATGACGGATGAATAATATACCAAATTTTCGGTGCACCATGATGAAGATAGTTCAACGAAATCAGATCGTGATCATCAATATGAAGACCAACAGATGTTGACCACATGCCCATGTGAAGTAAAGGCGTAGTCACTCCTAAATGCGACTGTTTGTGACGAAAACTAGAAATAGGAAATAATCTTACCAGGAATCGATTTTGGATAATACGTGAGTAACGATGGTAATTGACTCATATTGAAAATTTTTTCTCTTTTTGCGAATAAACTCTCGTCGATATTGGATATGTACAGCGAATTGTTATTTGTGATTGTTGACCAAAAATAGTCGGTGAAATTTTCATTTATTGAATCTTTCAAACGGTATGAGTCACTCTCAGCGATATTTCGACATTCTTCATAGGTCATGAACCGTCGTTTGGTTGTTTCACAATTTTGAATATAAAACACATTGGATTGTCGAGATGAACGAACAATTGTTTGTTTGATACAAAGTTTGATTTGACGTATTTCATATGAATTTTTGACAAGTGGAATCCAACGAGTAGGCGGGATGATTTTAGCTGCACCAAAACGTCTTTGAAGACTTGTTTCATGATGATTTAAATAGCTAGGTAATGCTTTCCATTGTTCGAACGTTGGAGTCAACGTTGGAATGAATTTGATATTATTCTCCATGTACACACACTCGGTATGTTGTTGAACAGACCGTCGGACACTTAGTGTAACCTTATGGGAGACAAACATAATTATTCAACTGTGACTTAAACTTTTTTCTTTTCGTTCTTTCGATCAGTTTCTTTTACTTTTTTTTTCTTTTTCTGTCGTCAATATGTGATGCATTGACGTCATTCGAATATAGCATGGGGATATAGCTCAGTGGTAGAGCATTCGACTGCAGATCGAGAGGTCCCTGGTTCAATCCCGGGTGTCCCCTAATTTTTTCTCCTCGTGAAAAAAGCGATTTTTTAAATATTTTTAATTAGTTGATGTAAATTTTCATATCGTCATTTTTCATTCGATTATGGAACAACGACTGTCGAGATTTTCATTCGTCGATAAAAGCCATTATAGAATGAAATGAATGGGGGTACAGGTCATCGTTGTGAATGAAAAATAAAGAAGAAAAATGTATGTGTTTAGATGTACGTTGATTTCATTTTCATTGCCGATTACATAAAAAAAGATCTTGCGATTTTTTTGTTGAAATTGAGTGAGGTGACAGAACGTTATGTTATGTTTTTAGGTATGAATTTCATATGTATCAACATGCAATAGTTCAATATATAGGTGACATGAAAGACTCTTCGTACGATCGTTAATAGATCGTCGGTTTGTTTGCAAATATCTCCATTCGATTCTTTTGATGGCGTTCGTGTAGAGTCATCTCAAGTAAATTGTTTCTATTTGTTTACAATGACAACGAATAGTTTGGTTATTATCACTCACTGCGTATATTGACGAAGTTTAGTTAAAAAAAGTAACTTGGAGAGACTGTTATCTTATCGTAAAAGACACTTTGGTTGCAAACGATTCTCTATTGTGTGTAATCAAGGTTATAAGAATATTTCGTCTGAATTTTCAATGCAATGATGATGTATTACTTGTTTCTTGTACTCACGGTGACTAGTCTAAAGAGTCATTCATTTCCTACTGAAGATATACGGACAACATCGAAAGCTGTTTCAGATCGTTTGATTGAATTAGTCACTCAAGGTGCTTTTCGTGGTGTGACATATTATCGTTTGGCAGCTTTAGCTGATACGATTGGTCCTCGTCTTTGTGGAAATGAATCATTAACGCAAGCTGTTCAATGGGTACAAAATGCAATGGAAGGCGAAGGTTTAGAAAATGTTCATGTTGAATCAGTCAAAATACCTCATTGGGTCCGCGGCGAAGAACGAGCTCAATTACTTCAACCTCGTCGTGCAAAATTATCTATACTTGGCCTAGGTAATTCAGTTGGTACAGGTCCAAAAGGCATCCAAGCATCTGTACTTGTCGTTCGATCATACGATGAACTAAATGCTAGATGTGATGAAGCTCGTAATAAGATTGTTGTCTTCAATCCACAATGTGATTGGCAAGCGCAACCGGTTGGTTGTTACGGCCCTGTTGTTGCTTATCGTTCAGGTGGTGCATCGCATGCCGCGAAATGTGGAGCAGTAGCATCGCTTAGTCGATCAGCTGCATCGCATTCAATTGACTCGCCACATACCGGTATGATGTCATACGATCCAGCTTATCCGAAGATCCCTGCAGCCTCACTTTCGGTCGAACATGCTGATATGCTCGAACGTTTTCAACGACGAAATCAATCTATTGCGATATTTCTTTACATGGAAGCACAAACACTACCTGATGTCATTGGCTATAATCTTGTCGCTGAAGTGAAAGGTTCAACATTACCGAATGAAACTGTGTTAGTCAGTGGTCATCTTGATAGTTGGGATGTTGGGCAAGGTAGATTGCTCATCTGTCAAAATAACTTCTTGTTATTTCTTTTCTAGGTGCTATGGATGACGGAGGTGGTGCAATGATTTCTTGGACTGTTTTATCCTTACTTCATGCACTTGACATTCGAGCTAAACGAACCGTTCGTTGTGTACTTTGGTCATGTGAAGAATTTGGTGGTATTGGTGCAGATCAGTATTTTACTGCACACGAGAACGAAGTACCGAGTATGAGCATTGTGATGGAATCAGACATGGGTGTTTTCCATCCACTTGGTCTTGAATTTCAAGGCACGAGCAAAGCACAACAAGTAATTGTTCTAAGTTTGTTCTAAAAGTTCATTTAACTTTTTTCTTCTTGAAATTAAACTAGGTTATTCAAACCATATCTGAACAGTTAGTTTCCATCAATGCAAGTCAAGTTGTGACCGGAGGCGGCGGTACCGATATTGATCCATGGGTAGAACGCGGTGTTCCTGGTGCTTCACTTCGCAATGAGAATTATAATTATTTCGCTTATCATCATTCGAACGGTGACATGATGAATGTCTTGAATTCAACCGATGTTGATTTAGCAGCTGCTGTATGGGCTGTTTATGCTTATGCGATAGCTGATCTTGATACTCTTTTACCACGTTAGCTTCCATTCTATCCGATGACTTCGCTTTTTTTCATACAGTATGTTTGTTCTTTTATTTAAAAAAAAAAACAAAAAGAAAAGAAAACGACATTTTGATTGCTAACGAACGAATCAAATTTGTAGTTTGGTTGTCAATGATCTGAAGGGCAAAGTTTGTACGAAGTGAAATAGAAACAATCAAGTGAAACATTAGTTTGTCATTCTGTATAATCTCACATTGAATTCGCAGCACGCATGGCAACGACTTCTTTGAAAGATAGCGGGATTCACATAGTCGTATACGATGAACGCGATAAGTTTCTTCCACTTATACGAAAAGCAATAGTCGAACCGATGATATCATTCAATCATTTAGCATCTTGTATGACTTATATTGATGAAATTACAAGGGCAAATGAAGCAACAGTTATCATCACAACATCAACAGATGATCGCGTCTTGAAAACCTTCCAAAGTTCAAATCTAATCGAAGCTGTTTATATATCATCAACAACGAATAAACCGATAGACAAATCCCTTACAAAAGTCATCGGTGTTTATTCTCGAGTCAACGATATGTTACCATCACTATTCGAAACACTTGATAGCATCGAATTTGAATTGAATGGGAATAGCATTCTGTTCCATAATAATGATGACGGTAGTGATAATTTAGATTTCTATTTCTATCAACTTTGGTTCACACATAATTTAACGCAAAAATTAACGAAAGCTGATCTTACTGAACAAGCCAATCTTTTCTATCATCCAAATAAACAAATGAAAGCTGTCATTCATGAATTCAACGCTTCGTATGACAAGTCCGATGCGTTACGATGGATCGATAAATACAATCATCCATTTCCATATTATATGCTCATATCCAATGCTCTTCGAACACATGATCAACATGTTTTAGGATTAGTTCGATTTTTTATTAGTGATATGACTCGACACTTCAAACTTTTGTCATCACTACACATTACTACTCAAGCATATTATGGTACGAAGTTACCTATCTCCATAGTCGATCGACTCGAGCATCAAACAGCAAGAGAAATTATTGCTTTTCAATGTTTTCTTCCCGCAACGAAATCACGAGCGAATGCGTTAGCAGCCGCAGTCAAACCGACTCGGCGTCGCAAAATGGTTAGTGTCTTGTTCAAAATTGATGCCGGTAACGCTTATGGTGTTCATATGAGCGATATTACTCTTCTTGATATGGCCACACCATTCCATGTCATCAATGTTTCCAGATGTGCTGGCTTTAATAATGGCCAGCAGATAGTTACAATTGTTCAGTTGGTTGCACTTGATCAGGTGTATAAAGGACAACTATACGAAGGATTTATACAAAAACAGAAAAAAGCAGGTCGGACGATCGAAGATTTTCTTCTTGAAACAGTTCCTCTTCTCAAGTAAGAATAGTAAAGTATATGTCTTCTATGGATTTGTTCGTTTGTTTCTAACTTTAGAGCAAATGAAAGTGCAGGAAAGTCAAGAGGTAACAAATAGAATCTATCGAATATTTTCTCTCCCATGTGATTTGATGATATTTTAGGATCACAAAAAAGTTCGTATATGCAAAATATTTCGTATGTATTCTGTAGAAGCTAAAACTGTCTGTATGTCTTCTTGTCAATGTAGAGAGAATGAAGCTAGAGCAGATGAATATATATCTCGCGGAGAATGGAATCAAGCCATCGAAGCAATGTCGCAGATTGAAGATCCAAGCGTTCGTGTTTTGAACAAAGCCGGATGTATATTACGTGAATATTTAAATAACTTACCAGCTGCACTTGATTGTCATGAACGTGCATTACGTCAGGCGACAAATCAAGAGCAAGCAGATACACTTGTTTATCTTGGGACTGTTTACAATGATATGAGACAGTTTGACGAAGGAATGAAATGTTATTCGCAAGCACTGCACATCTACGAAAATCAAAATCCGCAAGATCCAGCAGCCATTGCTCGATGTCTTGTTGGTCTTGGCAATTCACATTGGGCATGCAAACAACTTGATGAAGCACTTGATTGTGCTCAACGTGCTCTTGCTCTTCGTGAAAAAGAAGTGAAACCAAGAAACGATTTCGATATCGCTGGTTGTCTCGGTAATATGGGAAATATATTGCATGATAAAGGCGATATGAAACAAGCATTAGCATGCGCTAAACGTGCTGTTGATCTGTTAAATCAATGTGGAAAGGGCGATCCCCGTTTAGCTGCAGCATTGAATAATTTAGGTGCGATGTATCAAGTTTGCGGAGATTATCCAAAAGCACGTGAAAACTTTCAACGTGCACTCGATGCACTACCAATTGAAAATCATCCATATCGAATCAGTACATTGAACAATATTGCTCGATTGAATGCGATCGAGAAAAACCAACAGTCATAATCGTTTCTTTTTCTTGTAGAACGAATGTAAACAAATAAAATAAAGGAACCGTAGACAATCGTCTTTCCTTCTTCTTTGACTTTTGTTCAGTCGATTGTGTCCTTGAAGAAAACCTACTTGTTACATCATTGAGAAACAACGTCTTTCACAGTTTTCATTGCTATTCGAATGAAATTTCAGTTCTTTTTTCTTCTCGTTCTTGTTATCAAAATGCTATAGAGTGCACGATGCTATTTTCATCGAGTGTGAGTTGTTGCCGCTGACAACAGGTTAGATACGACCGAAAGAAGAGAAGAAGAAAAACGAGTGCGCAATTCAAATCACATTCTGATTATTTGTACTCTTGTAACAATCATTCTTAGTCAATAATGGACAAGGCTGTACACGATCTATATAAAGAAACAAATGATGATCAACAAAAAGTCATTGCACCGAATGATGGAAGTGCGACATCAGTACCATTAGCAACAGAAACGGCTGGGCAGAGTCCTGTTGGTCAAATAGCGACAAAGCCAGTTACTCAAGCTGACGTAGAAGCCAATCCCGCGTTCAATCCGAACTAACATTTGACTTTTCTTTTTGTTTTCTTTGTAAAATTAATCTTGAATCATTTTTATTTTTAGATATAAAATACTTTTTGACATATCCACAATGGATCACGCTGTGGTTCAAAACGAAAAGCGACAAACTGATATTAAAACTGTACCTGATGATGCTAAAACTGGTGCAACATCAGCCAATACTCTCCCACCTGATACAACTACATTAGAAGGGACAATTGCAAATGAGGCCAATCCAAATACTAATCCACGTTAAATTTCGTCGATGTGTATAGATTTCTAAAGACTAAAGATCGATATTTTTTCCCTGTTGTAATATATTGACTTAATAAACGATCCACATACATACGTAAATAATATTAACTGATCCGGTATCGATACATATGAATTTTTACTTCATATTCTAAGAATAATTATTTGATAAACCTGAGCCTGTGGAAAACTTTAAAACACATTAAAAATTGTCTGACAATAAAATTCCTGAGTTTTTTGTCAAAAACTATCGCAGAAAAAGCAATTGTATACTAAGTACTACTTCCGCTAAAAATAATGTCGTCGATCTGACACATTGAATTCGAAATATTTACATGAAAGAGAGAGAGAAAAAACACACATGCACAATCGCCACCACTAAACAGACACTAGAGTGCCTGTTGCATTGCTCCGTAGACGTTTCATTTGATGATCATCACTATCTACACTCATTGTCGATGCTATTGAACGTTTTGCTATACGTGATATTAAACCAGCGTCATCATCATCATCATCATCATCATTGATAACAGCTTGATCAACAATATCGTTCAAAATTGAGGAAACTACTTCGGTATCTTGTTCTTCTTGACCCAAATCATCCAGCGCTTTCATATAGGATTTTTTTAGTAAGCATATATCAAGAAAATGCTGAGCACCACGACGACCAAACGATGCTTTCCACAATCGACCAGTTGTCGATGAAGACAAGATTTCATCATCTTCATCTTCTTCTAAACAGCAACAAAGCATCCATGATGTTTTCCTGTTACCAATTTCTGATATTTACCTTCCTGATCGTCGACGAGTGTCATTGGTGTTGATAAAAAAAGTTTCGAATCGAATTGTGGCAATTCGTCTTTATGTTCTAATAATTCACACAAATATGTTTGTCGTTGTGATAATTCTTTCACTTGTATCAACAATTGTCGAACATAGTGTTGCTCAAATAGTTCAGCACGTTCTTCACAACGGAATTTGAATTTCAAATCACCATGAAAGATTTCGATCGACAACAATCGAGGCGATAATTGTTTCGCATGTAATTCTTTGTCGGGATTTTCTTGTTTCAAAGAATCAATCGATAACATCGATTTCAAACGCTCCAACACTGGTGCTAAATCATCACGATGAAATGAAGTTTTTCGTGGATTGTTCAATAACTGTAAGCGTTGACGAATCTTTTCTTCATTTAGATATTCAAAATATGCAGTACCATTCAAATAAAAGGCAACTGAGATCGACGTGTCAGAAAAATGTGGTTGACATAATAGAACAAGATGCCGATACGGCGGATCGAGATAACCAACGAATGTTGTCAAGGGCGAAGACATGCGAATCAAACGTATAGGTGTTTGAGCAAATGTCCGTGAACATGTTGAAGCAAAATCTTCGAAAGACATATCTTAAAGTAGAAGAAAAAAAAATAGAATGTGGTTTTTTTTTCTCTCAGAAAGACTAAATAGTAAATACTGCTAAAAATCTAGGAAACTATTTGGACTCTTTTTTTTCTGTCGAAAGTTGTATTTTAGTTTTTTCATAATGTTGATGAATAAACTTCATTTTTCAGTACACGCCGTTGATATTGAATGTTAAGTTGCTCAATAAATATGAAGGTAAGAATAGTATGAGGTCCAAGACGGGAAAAGTATGGTGTAAAACCTTTCCAGAAACTAAATATTCCTTCTTGGCGAAGAATTCTTTGAAAGACATTCTGAAATGGAACAAAGAAAATCAATCAGTTCATTTTCAATACATGTTTTTATCAATGATTGTGTTCGGACAAAATTTTGCTCATAGTGTCTATGATACAAACGATTGTTTGAATGCAACTGTACTTTTGTAAGTTGAACAGCGAAGAGAATATGACCGATAACTTGTGCGTATACAGTTGAATGTGAACGAAAAGAAAGAACGAAATAGGTTCATGACCGAATATTTTATTCGACGACATCAGCGAAAGGAACAATCATAGATCTGTTCAAATATGCATCGTTTCATCAAGTGAAATGTATTGTTCAAAATTCATAATTGATGACATAATCGCTATAGATCATGACATGTTTTATTACAGAGGAGATAACATAAGTCAAAACTCGAGAGTACTGGTAGTACGGTTAGTAAAGGCGAATAAAAGTTATATTATCTATTGAGGAGTAAAATTACGTGAAGGTTATCACGTCAGGTTACCTCGTGGCTTTTGTCTTATCTGATAAGCGTTCTTTTTATCTCAAGGTGACTTTGATTAGGTCTTCGTACTTAGGTTTTTATCGCAAATTATGACTTACCAATATACTACTGTATTCGGGTTTTCCTTGTATAACTTTCATATTTTGATATCGAGTTTTTACAATATCAACAGGTAATGAAACAGCTGTAGTTACTAATGCCGCAATCAATGATGAAACAGCGTGTAAAGGAAAGCCTTGTTGCATAAGACCAGATGATATAAGCGCTTGTTTAGCTTGAGAGTAAGTTGGCATTTGAGCAGCATTGACAATCATAGCTCGTGTTGCCGTTGGAATAGCACCACGCCATAATTTCAAGAGACCTTCTTCACGTATAATACGCACAAGAGCATCGAAGACATGTGCATAATTTCGTCGTTCAGCAGCAGGTAATCGTCCATCAAGTGTCATACGGATTAGTGCTACTTCAGCTGGAGTACCGATGAATGAACCTAGGCCACCACTGGCCACGCCCAACAGAAGATTAACGACAAACGTAGGTGGGCGACCATCTGGTTGTCGAAAACGTTCTAATAGCGTTTGGTAGATTCCCAAACGTGCCGTAGTGTATGTTGCTTGCCGGAGAAGACCAGCCGAAAGACTGCATTAGCAAAAAAGTGAATATAGTTCAAAACTCTAGTGTAATAAATTGTTGTTTTACCCGGAGTAAATACCACGAAAACCTTCTTTACCAAATATTTGTGTTAATGCATGAAAACTCGTTCTGTATTCTTTAGCACCACCACCAACACCGCTCATTTGCATCCGATTTTTAACAACGTCCATTGGATGAACAAAGAGCGTTGTAGTCATTCTAAAGGTAAAATTCATCAATGAAACAAAAATACCAAGTTTGTTTTTATACCCAGCTACACCACCGATCAAAAACTTGATAGCATTTGGTGTATTGGCTGCTGTCTTTGGTGCATCTGATGTGCTTGAGAGAGGTTTAGGAACGTTCGAATTACTGCTCGGTATGGATTTTGCCCCCATACCGTATTGTATTTACCGTTTCAAACGCCTAGACGCCGTCAGAGAAGAAACAGAAAAACTACGGAACCGTACTTCTTATTTGAGGAGAAGAAACGAAACGATTAGACGACACCATATATTGATGAAGAACCAATAACACAGTAAAGAGTCCTTACTATTTTACAGATGTCACTTCCATATTAACTATTATTAAATAGTTTAGAATTGACAAGTATTTATCAACCCTGAGTATAGTTTTTGTTTGCATTAATTTCTCTTTTTTTCGCAATGGACATTTTGTTGATGAGATTGCTTTGAACAAGATACATCTTATAGCAAATAGATAAACACTCATGCGTTCAATCGGAACAGACAAGTTGTCTTCGTTTAACGTTCAGCATATAAAAAACAATTAAATCAACTAATAGAGTGGACATATCTTATGCTTATTAGAACTTTCTTTGATGTTCTTTGCAATTAACTAGTCAAATATTAAAGAACAGATTTTCTAAAAATTGCATTGGAAATCATTTGAAAAATCTTATAAGATCGATTCAATATTGATCATACAAATATGAAATGAATCTCAATTCTATGCATCGATAATATTTATTGAGACTTAGTTTTCGTACACAAAAGATTTTCACTTAATTCCAAAGTTGATTTGATTTGGTTTAAACGATGAAAACACTTTAAATACGTGTACAACTTGTCAAAGAAATCAAAAATCAACCTCGATCACATAATGTTGTTCATATTCTTCTTTGCTATATTAGGTGGCAAATTTTCCTACACAGAAGCATGGGGCGCAGTGGGACATAGTATCATTGTAAGGCTTGCTCAAGATCAATTGACCAATGCTACAGCAGACTGGCTTCAAAGTCTCGTTCCGTGGCATTTTCGAGGAAACTTAAGTGCCATGGCTTCGTGGGCTGATTCGATTATTCACGAAAATAGCAATCCAACTGGTTTTATCAATTGGGAATGGTCAAAAAAATTGCATTACATCAATGTTCCTGACGGAAGTTGTATATACCAAGTAGATCGAGATTGTGAGAACAATACTTGTATTGATGGTGCAATAAGAAACTATACAGAAAGATTAGAGAAGAATCTCGATCTTGCTCAACAGCAGGAGGCATTGTATTTTCTGGTACATTTTGTCGGTGATATACACCAACCGTTTCATACTGCATTGAAGAGTGACTACGGTGGTAACACAATTAAAGGTTAGAATTCGTCAAAGTGAATCGATGAGAAAAGTTGGTTGATCTTTTGATTTTAGTTCGTTTTATGAATGGAAGAGTAACGAGTTTGCATTCGCTTTGGGATTCTGGAATAATTCAATATCGAATTCAAACTGACTTTCAATCGAATGTCAATAAATATTACGAATACATTCATCAGTTGATGCTTCGAGAACCGATACTCAATTCTGATGATGATATCCAAGAATGGATTCGAGAAAACTTGAAATTAGTTTGTAATCAACTTTATTTTGATGGTAATAATCAAACTATGGATGTTACGAAAACACACAATCTGAATGAAACCTATTATATGCGTAGTAGACCGATCATCGAAAAGCATTTAGCTCTAGCTGGACGACGACTTGGTACAATCCTCAATCGAATTGCACAAGCTCGGGCAAGACAATTTTTGTTGTCGACATCTTTATCCCCAGTCGTTTATATTCTAATTGCTGTTGGAAGCGTTATTATAATGCTAATTGTAACTTTAGTAGTTTTTCTGTGTATTCGAAATAGAAAGAAACGTTAACAATAACTAACGATTTCTTTTTTTCTCATCAGAATGAATAAACCTTCTACGACATAATCGACTTCGAGTTTTCCTAATTGATCTGGACTTTATGACATTTGTGATAATTGAAAAAACATTTGCCGGCATCTATGATATCTTCTTGACAAAACAAATGCTGGATTGGTTTACTTCAAAATCTTGTATTTTCAAGCTTAGGTCTCATTTCTAACTCTCCTCGATGTCTTTTTCTCCGTTGATGAAAAAGGCGAATGAAACCGAGTACATAAATACTAACAAACAGGAAAATACTAACATAAGTTAAAATAATCAAAACCAACGCGCCACGCAGAACGATCTCTCGACACGCATATCCTGTCGATTCCAAATTTACACGATTATTGTCCGAATAAACTTGATAAACTCGTTTTTGAATAAGAAAGAAAAATATGATTGTAATCGAACCGAATGTAAAGCTTATAATACCTAAACAATATTAATATTCATAGGTTAACTCTCAATTACACTAAACATACCAACAAGTAGCCGAGACATTTTGCCGGCTATGTCACTCTGTTGCTGATTTAATGAAGTGAGCATTTTCAGGAAATGATAAGCAATACCTAAGAAGAATAATGTAAAAATTCCACCAATGCCCATGAGTAAAGGAAGATCGGGTGCAGCCGAACACGGATCATTTGAATTTTGACCATCCTGTACAACATAATGAAAGCCAATTGATAATTGAACGATAGGAATGATGAATGTAACGATAGCACAAACGAAGATAGCAGCAAGAAGCATTTTATTTGTTACAATCAGTTGTATTTACAATAGAGTGTTATAACTAACTGGCAATATGCGTAGTAAAAACAAGAGTATAGTGGCAAAAGCAATTGTCGTCTGTGAGACACATACACGGACGATTGGATGTGAGTATTAATGAACAAAGATGTGATGGTGATACGGGATGTCGGTTATATCTCTCGAGTTTATCATTTTTTTGCTCACGACGCTTTTGTCGTCGTCTTTTTGACAGTGAAGGTAATGCTAATGAACAACAAGCATAGCCCGAGAACAGTCGAGCATGTGCATGTCTTAAGATATTTAACGCTCGACGCATATGGGATGATTCGAGTAATCTTAATAATGTATCGTATTCACTTCGATCGACCAGTTCACTTTTCATTTGTTTTTCTTCGATCAAGTAGTTCTTATCAAGACTTTTTATCAAAGAGATAGTATCCTTAAATGAAAAGTCAGAAGATATCGAATAATCATGAAATGCTAATTGACCATCGATATCAAGTTGTGCAGAGAGATTCGGATTGTGTTGGAGAATTGTTGAAACAAATTTCACCCGTTCATCTTCATTTTCCCATTTAGAATTGACGATCAATACTGAATGATATTGACCTTCGACATTTCGACCACCAATGCCAATCCCATCTTGACAGAACGCTTCGCCAAATAGAGCGCTAATCAAACGCGCTAGATTTCCGTCACCATGAATCTTTGGAAAGAAAAAGAAAACGAGATTATTCTCAAATACAGATTGAATTAACTCACCTCGACGAACATGTTCGGTTCCAAACCCCATTGAGCTGTTTGAGAAAAACCTGATCGAAGAACAATTTCATGTTCCGGAACTAGTTTTGTTATTGCTGTGATTTGTTGTTTCGTATTACTTTGTTCATTTCGATTAACTAACGTATTAACAAGTAGTTCGTGTAAATAACGAGTCTGTTCAAATTTACGCTGACCAACTTGGTTACCCGGCACAGATGCAATTTGCACTAAGAACGTCGCCGTTGACGTCATTGATCTTTTCAACTGATTTCTTCTTTTCTCTTTCTCTGACTCCTCTATACTCGATGAATATATATATATGCTTACATACCGACTGAAAGTACATAACAAAAGGGATCACGCACGAAGCACATGACAGGGGCATATTTCAATGTGTGTTTTCTATTCGTTTTGTTTTATTTACGTAAAAAATGCGTTTACAAGAAAGCGATAAACATATAAGACCACGCAATGAGTATTTCTTTACAATTCTTTGTGTTTATGAGACGAAAAATTAACAAGCAGTGTTTGCCCAATAGCACAAGTAATACAAACACCAAGAATATCCATGACGACTTGAATAATCGGACCAGCATGTGCTGGATCAACATTAATGATACGTTGTAGAATGACTGGAAGAAGTGTTCCAAGTAAGATTGATGATGTTACAATACAGAATAAAGCAATAGCAATAGTTAATGATGGTAAAACTGCACCGCGTTCTTCAATCCAAACACGAACGAAGCCAACTGAAGTGACTAATAAGCCAATAATAATCGCAGAAAATGTTTCTCGTATAAGAAGTGGTCGAACGGAAAACGTTCGCGATGTTGCTAAACGACGAATAACTAAAACAGCAGCTTGATTACCGGCATTACCGCCAGCTCCGACAAGCATTGTTAAATACATAGTTATTAAAATGTGCCGAGAGATTAGATCAGAAAATGATTGTAAGATAAATGATGAACCAGATTGAAGAATCAGTAAAAATGACAGAAGACAGACTCGAGACCAAATCGTACTTTGTCCTTCTGTTTCTTCTTCTATGTCATTTCGTTGTTTCGAAGATTTCTCCTTTTCACCAACATCATCTAAACGTCGACGAACATGTGCGACAAAGGTTTGCAAATCCTCAGAGGACAACGAAGAGAATTGTTCATCAAATGTATCGATAATTTTCAACGAACGATGCCGTTGTGTCATAGTAGGTAGATAAAAAATCTAAAAGTGTTGCAACACAAAGTAGTAATATAGATTAAACATAGCCATGACAACATACATTCGTGTATGATAACGAATAGCTATCATATGCTATTATTACAGCAAGACTAATCGTTTGTTGTTTTTCTTTTTCTCATACAGCCGCACGTCATAGTATAGTCAGAATCATCGACAACCAACGTGAAGAAGTAAAAGAAAGATGACGAGTATATATAAATAAGAGCGGTGTATGTAGAAAAGAAAATTATGAATCATCCTAAATTGCTTTTTGTATCCTTTTGTGATTTGTTCTTTTTATTCATCAATTTGCAGAGCGATGTCGAAGATTAACGTCGTTTCTTTTAATTCTCATAGAAGAATTAGTCAATCGACTGGAAAGGAAATCATTTCTCCTTGACTTATTTGTTTTGCTACAATTTACCAGCAATCACCTTGGCACATGACTGTATAATGTTCGACTTTCATCAAACAAAGGAGCAAACATTCATTAATTGAAGTGTTATTTGCTAAATATGATCACTATTAATTGACATCGAGTAGTGTGTGAAATAGAACAAGCGGAAATGTGACTTGGATACTTGATCGTTCATTCCAATTATTATCCATGAAACACTGTTTAACGAGAAAAAAGAAAGTATAATTGAATGTATTCACATTCTTGTTTACAGCGATCATTTTAATATATTAAACGCCTACATTAGTGAGCAAAATAATATGTTAAGTGGAACGACTAGAATTCGTACTCTGATTTATGTTGATGAGGACGATAACAATGATGTTGATGATGACGAACAGGTATTTATGCGTTCGATTGAAACTATTCTAAAGAAAAATGACGAGTAGTGAAAAGAGAAAACGATCAAAGTAATTGCGAGAAATCATCGAGTAGTTAAGATGAATTATACTGTTCGTCAGAGTTACTCTAACTATAATACATCAACGATAGTGCCTGTAAGATGGATCTCGCAGTTTAGTCTTTTGTTTACAACGAGAAATTTTCGTTTCATTTTAGTTCCAAACTATCTCAGGGGAAGTATCTCATTTAAGACCGTCACAAGTTCAACGAGTTCTCGCGCCGCTGGTGGCTTTCGATGAAAATGGTGATATACCACTCAGGGAAAGAAATTCTTCAAGTTTTGTCTCTGCTCGTCCGGTTTCATCGAACAGTCCTGTGGAATATTGTTGTGGTTTATGTCTATGGAATCGATTACGACAAGATTTTTGTCGAGTTTTTATTCAATTTTTATTTTCACAATTAGGTTTATTTGTACTTGTTTGTATGTATATCGTTCTCGGTGGGTTTCTTTTCTATGGAATTGAATCCAAGTATGAATTACGGAAGAATGAACAAATTAAAATCAAACATTTACACGGAATACATAACATTCGTCAGATTGCAACCGAAGAATTCAATTGGATGTTAAATGCCTCATTTGAATTACGTTATGCACTTTGGCGTGGAATGATATCGCGATCAGATGAATATGATGATTATCAATGGCGTGTCTACGTACACAGTGAAAGATTTGACCGATTGATTCATAACGAACTCGCTCGAATGCAAGCTGATGAAGAGAAACTATCTGATAAGCAAGATGAATCTTCCGCTACTTCATACGATCAAAAATGGACATTCTCAACAGCCATGCTGTATTCGGCGACAGTTATAACAACAGTCGGATATGGAAATATCACACCGAAATCTATGCTAGGCAAAATGTTCACATGTGTCTACGCTATGCTTGGCATTCCTATAACAATTATGTATTTGACCAATACAAGTGATCTACTTGTTTTCTTTTTTGTTAAATATTATTCCATGATGTGCAATTTCTCCCATCGGTTAATCAAACGATTTCGTCGATGGCGAAGATCACACCAGAGAAGACAATCTGTGGAGGTAAATTATGAAATAAATTTTATCATATGATTAGCAAATCTTGTTTTCCTAAGATTGATGATGAAGCAGCAACAGAACATCGTGTACCAATTTGGATAGCATTCAGCGTTCTTGTTTTATATTTAATAGCTGGCGCTCTTCTGTTTTCTCATTGGGAAGGATGGTCGTATGTCGATGGTGCTTATTTTTCATTTATTACATTTACAACCATTGGCCTAGGTGATTTAGTTCCTGGCAAAGGAACGTTAACTGAGAATAAAAATGGGAAATCGGTTTTATGTGCACTTTATCTACTTTTTGGTCTTGCTCTAACAGCAATGTGTTTCAAATTGATGCAAGATGATATATTCGAATTAAGGCAACGAATCTACTCAAAACTGGGATTTTCGATGTACCGAAATCAATATGTTTATCATAATCGACGGCAACATATGCAAGCGCGTGCAAGTAGCACGTGATATATATCTTTCTTTTTCTCGGGATTCATTCTTTTCTTTGTCTAAAAAAATACAAAACTTTAGAATTTTATTTGTTCTTTCATTCTTATTTCTTTTGCTTCTTTTTGCCACAACTTCATACGTCTTAGTGCTATACAGTACAAAGAGCTAGGATGCATTCTCTCGAGTTATTCGATAACGTTCATCTCAAATACATATTTGAATGATATATCACATATGCTAGCTGATGATGACAACGAGTCGATGAAATTATCATTCATTAGAATATAGTAGCTAAACTATACCTATCTCATTGAAATCCATCGTTTGGTAGCGACATCCAACGCAATCACTACAATCTCCACCATACATTTCTGATTCGTTTAACATGTAAGCTAATGTTGAATATGTACTCATGTGGGCTGCTTTTATCACGACGTCTCATAAAGCAAAGTATATTAAATTGAAATTGTTCTTTGAGTACTTTTCGACAGATAACTATTTATATTCGTAATATAGACGCATTCTTTCATTTTAGTATAGTAAAATCCGAGAGAAGATCGTGATGGCTTCAAGGCGTGTTTTGATCTTGGACGATTGTCAAATAGAATCGATCATCGAAGAACATTCCTGGTCAGATTTAATCGATGATAATGATGATATTGAACTATACATTTTAACAAGCACCGGTGCATTATCCGAAAAGGATAAGTCCTGTCCACGTGTTCGTGCTTATAAAGAAATCGATCATCCAACAACTGATGGAACACTCGAATTATGGTCGTATGAAATGCACAAAAAGCATTCATTTACACATGTTTATACCAAAAATGAAGATTTGATTATGCGTGTAGCGCATGTTCGTTCGCTGCTGAACATTGAAACAGGTTTAACATCTGAGACGATAGCAGCTTATCGGGAAAAAGTTGAAATGAAACAAACAGCATCTCGAGGTGGTTTTCCCGTTCCACCGTTTGCTCGTCTGTATGCGCCAGCTGATCTAATAGCTTTCATCGAAAAGCAAGGATACCCTGTCGTCGTTAAACCGACCCTTGGTTGTGCAACATCAGGTCTAACATTAATCAAAACACCTGCCGAGTTAGAAAAGTTTCTTTCTGAAAAATTATTTACATGTATCGACACTGATCAACGAATGGATCTGGTTGGCGAATTTATGGTCGAAGGATACATGAAAGGACATATGTTTCATGTTGATGGCATTGCAAAAGATGGAAAAATTATTCATGCATGGCCATTTAGTTACCTTCATACATGTTTAGGATTCTCTCAAGAAGGTACAGCTTATGGTAATTCATCCATTCCGAAGTCGCATCCACTTCATGATCGTCTATATAAAACTGCTCAACGTTTACTCGATATTCTACCGTCTCCCAACGGTGGACTCGTATTTCATCTGGAACTCTATGAAAATCTTAATGAAAACCGTTTACCGGACGATGATTTCGTGCTTTGTGAAATTGCCGCACGTGCACCTGGTGCTTCTATTACTCACCTCATTGATTTGCTATCATTTTCCGACGGTGATTCTAAACAATCATTTGCTCGATTAGACTTCCGTATCAGTGTCTCATTGCCCATCTCTAAGATAACTGAACCACCCGCCGACAAAGTTGTCACCGATCTTATCATACCGCGCAAACCCGGTAAACTTATGTATATACCACGCGAATGTCCAATCGATGATCTTCAGTATATACCCAAAGCCAATGTGGACAAACCGACAGTTTATGAAAAATACGATGTGAACGGTATGAATGCAGCTTGCCGATTTATCGCCCGAACAAAAACGATGGAAGAGGGACAAGAATTAGTGGAAAAAGGTTTTGAATGGTTCGACAGTGTGCTGATAAATACACCATTGGACGAGCCATGTACAGTGTCGTTAATCAAAGAACTACATCGCTATTTTCATAGGAAAATTTTTGTTTAATGTACCTTGTTTTGCTCAATGTCGATTATTTATCATTCATTTTAGTCGACTGATTATGTTATTCTAGCGAAATACTATAACGAAATAGGTAGTAAATCTATGCTGATATAAAATACGCATTTATTCGTTTGCATATTCATAATCTTATGAGAAGAATTTATTAAAACCATCGATATGTGCTGCCATCATAGTAATTTGTCGTTCTATTCGTCATCACTTCATCTCTACCGATACATAGATCAATCAGAAAGAAAGAGCATAAGAGTGTGTGGACAGAAACGAAAAAAGAAAAGAAGGAAGAATGGTAGGTCTTGTCAACTAGATTTTGAAGGATAAATGCGAAATGTCTTTCTATCATCTTCGCTTACTAATTCAAAAATCCGCTCGTTATGCATGGCGTCGTCGAATCTTTCGCTGTTATCCAAAAATTGTCTTCGAACTATTTGTACCTATTATTTGTATTCTTCTACTATGTCTTCTTCGCTGGATGTATTCACCTTCTTCACAAAGCGGTTTTCAAAACGACTCGTTGAATAGCACAGCATCACCTCGCATCCAAATCAGCCCTACCTCGATTATTTCCCCTCAGGATTCTTTTCAAATTTTGAATTATACTTCCGTTTACCGATGTCCATCATCGAATATAGCAGTTGTAATTACATCTGAACAGTTATTTAAACGTTTTACACGTCTATGTCCGCGCAGTCATTTTATCTTATCGTCTCGACAATCAGATGGACAAATTTTATTGAATACATCCGTGGACATGCATCAGATTAGCTATCGATGCCTATATAACAACCCACACTGGTGTTGGAAAATAAATCTATTGGCAAAAGAATCTGATACTGTACAAATTCAACATCCTTCAGCATCTCTTTGTTCTCATTTGGACACACAGGGATACAGTTTAGTACTGAAAGCTTATCTATCACTTGAATCGCTTCTAAACATACCATCGAATAAGCAACAACTATTAGTTTATACATGGCCATGTTCATCATATGTTTCCGATGCACTTTTCAGTCATTTTCCTCGTTTTACTTTTATCATCATTCTGATTCTTGTTGATGGATGTATTATGTTTAGTTTTAATTTTCTTTTCCAAGAACTCATCGAAGAAAAGCGTCAGGGAATAACTGAACTTCTCCGTTTACTTTCTGTTCGACCGTTACTCAACAGTCTCGCATGGTTTTTACGTGTTCTCATCATTCAATTACTAACAAATGCAATTCTGATCTTCACATTAAAAATTTCATTCGACGGAGCAATCTATCTTGCTTACGTCACAATTTGGTTAATTATTCCAACTATTCTCCTCTGGACAATTCATGTTCTCTCGCGATCGATTCTCGTTGCACATGTGTTTAATAGTGTACTCAAGGCGTCGCTTTGGTCATGGTTCATTTATTTTATTTCATTTTGGCTAGCGGTTTCCTCATCAGTGCAATTGCCATTAATAATTCATTTAATTGCTTCAATTTGGCTGCCGTTCTACTCAATAAAACGAATATTTGTTGTTTTTATTCAAGTTAATACAAACGCCGGCCGTCATACAGATTTGTTACATGAAATTATCTATATCTGGATATGCATGATCTTTGGTACTCTCCTTTTTTGGCTTCTAGCGTTCTATTTCGAACGAATTCGACCAGGAAAATATGGAATAGCACGTTCCTGGTCATGGCCTTTAGATTACATTCGCAAGAAACAATCGAGACGAGAAAGTACTGATTTAACAATGGTAGAGATGCCGTCGAAACAGCAAACAACTGTTCGAATCAATAATTTAACGAAAAGCTATGGTCGATACGGTACTGAACGACAAGTTGCTGTTGATCATATTTCATTTACGTTAGAAAATTCGACAATATACGGACTAATTGGCCATAATGGTGCTGGTAAAACTACAACCATGGAAATGATATGTGGTCTATTGTCTTGTGACTGTGGTACAGTTGAAATTCACAATAAAAACTTATCTGAAAACTTACATGAGCTTCAAGCATGCATTGGTTATTGTCCACAACAAGATATGCTCTTTTCGCACTTGACCGTTCGTGAACAATTAGAATTCTATGCTCGTATACGATCGAAAGGAAATACTGTGGATAATAATCAAATTGAAGCATTACTTGGTATGATGAGTATGAACGAACATGATCAAAAATTATGCCACACATTATCCGGCGGTATGCAACGAAAATTATCGATTGCTTGCGCATTTGTTGGACAAGCAAATATCATAGTTTTAGGTAAGATCTCATAGTTCATTAGAAAGGTGATGTATGCTAGTTCGTGTTTTCTTTGCTACAGACGAACCATCAGCTTCCCTTGATCCTGCGGCTCGTCGGATGCTTTGGACTTGGCTTCGCGAACATAAAACAAACCGAACACTCTTAATATCGTCTCATCTATTGGATGAAGTCGAAGAACTTTGCGATTCAGTTATCATTCTTGATGCTGGTAAAATTCAAGCACAAGGAACAATTCTTGAACTTAAACAACAATACGGACCATCGGGTGATCGACTTCATCTTGATCAACTGCCAAATTATATTCCAAACGAGTGGATTATTGACGAAAATAATCAATACGTACATATACCTGATCGACAACAGCTAATCACATTACTTAAACGATTGGAAAAAGATAATATTCATTATTCTTTGATGAATACAACACTCGATGATGTTTTTCTTAGACTAGCGTCTTCAGAATCACCAACACAAGGTAACAAATTTCTTTGAATACTTTTCTTGACATATATGTATCGAATACTTTGATTAGACGAAGGTAATCTGAAATCTCAGATTGATATATTATTTACGACTCGAACAAATTCGCGAATAACTGATCTATGGTTGCAACAAGTGCTCGGTGTATTTATTCGACGAAGTCAGATATTTCTACGGCGAGCTCGCCTTCTACCTATTGTTTTAATTCTTTATCTACTATATGCTCTTGCCCCCATCTATTTACCTTCGTTCAATTCATCAACACAGGAACTTAGTTACATTATCTCATCTCCTTTAGAACACATCAATGCAATGAATTTAAGACAATTTCCGGTGAAAACCGTGCCTTTCTACTCCACATCAAAACAATTTCAAGAATACTTACAAAGTAAGATGGATTTCACCGGTCTAAACCTGATCGATCTAATGTTGAAATAATCTTCAGGTATTTCACCATGGCAATCGAATCACGGTCATCGGAAGAGGCTGATTGCAGTTCGAATAAATTCGTTTCAACAAATGGAATGCTATGTTCCACCCCCAGCACTATCGAATATCATCTCATCGTGCTTATCCATATTTTCGGTATTTTCCAATCGTAGTATATCACCATTACAATTAATCGGCCGAGAGAGAGGAAGTTCATTACCGACCTCGTCGGATATGTCCTCAGCGCAATACGACTCACCGTTCTTTTGTTTTTATACACTGCCACCTTCGATGCATTTATCCATTTTCTTACTATCGTTGATATTAATTGTTTGTGCTGCGTTTATCATTCACGATTATGCGTCAGGTCTTCATTCATACTCGCTCATTCACAATCTTCGGTCACCTATTAATTGGTTGATCATATTTCTCAGCGATCTTCTATTATGTTTAATTTGGTTACTCATTCTTATTCTTATTGCACGTTTCGTTCATTCATCGACATTCAATGGTCGATTCTTTGCATTAACACCGCTCTTCTTCATTGTTAATTTACCCTTCATTTACCTTCTTGCGAAATTCTTCAAAGCTCCTGTACTAGGCGCAACAGTGATCATCTTCATTCTGCAACTAGCACTCGTTTTGAACGCATTCAAAACTTTTATTGAACTCTTTCGTGGTTATCCTCTATTGTCATTAATTGTGCACATCGTCCGCTGGTCGCTTCTACTTCTATTTCCAAACGTGAATGTATTCATCTTGATCGTGGCTGTACTTCGAAAGTCTTATTGTCAAATTGATGAGTCGATATTAGGACAAGGCGGGGATGACTTTTCTCACGAACGATATCCCTACAAGATATTGATTCATACGTTGATTTTCGTTAGTCAATTTGTCATCTATTTTTTTCTACTCATTATGGTTGATCTTGGTAAAGTTCAGATTTCTATGTGCGAACGTAAGATCAAAATCAAAGTTCGTAGTGAAGCAGGAGATGATGATGTTCTCGAAGAGAAAACTCGAATAAAATCAATGAGTAGTGCGAATCGACGGAAACAAGCGCTTGTTTTGGATAGCCTTACAAAACTTTACCGTGAAGCAATACATCCAGCGGTGAATCAACTTTCATTTGCAGTGCCACGTGGACAATGTTTTGGTTTACTCGGATTCAATGGAAGTGGTGAGTATTTCGATCTAATCAATGATTCAAAAGAAATATGTTTATGAAATGTTCTGTTTAGGTAAAACAACAACATTTCGTATGCTAGTTGGCGAATTACATTCAACCGATGGTCGAATCTATCGAAACCGACACGAATTGATTGGTTATTGTCCTCAAAACGATATCGCATTTCCAGCATTAACGGTTGCACAAACTATTGATTACATTTGTCGTATTCACGGCATAGAACCTTCTGTATTGAATAATATAATCTTGAGTCAATTTCAATTAGGAAAATATCGACATCGACTAGTATCGAATTTGAGTGGTGGCACTCAACGTCGCCTTCATCTTGCTCTTTGTCTAATTGGATCACCAACACTTCTTCTACTCGATGAACCGACAGCTAAAGTCGATCCTGTTCTACGTAGTCATATTCGTCTTATACTGCAACATCGTCCGATTAACACAGCTATTATATTCGCTTCACATTCAATGCTTGAATGTGAACAACTATGTGAACGATTGACTATTCTTGTTCGTGGTAATGCACGATGTTTAGGTTCCATTGACCGTCTGAAAACAAAATATGGTGCAAATTATCGTGTGCGATTGACGTTACTTGAATCATCAGTACAAGTACCATCGCTTATTTCTGTTGAAAATAGTAATGAATATGTATATCCGAAAGGAAGTTTAGCAGAGTTATTCACACTGCTAGAAGGACTAGTAGAACAGCATCAAATTGCGGCAAATTATACAGTACAACTAACATCGTTGGAACATATTTTTTTAACGTTTCAACATTCGATGTGAAGAACAAACTCTAGTCAAGTTTTATCTATGCACACCTCAGTGACTCATAAATATGCAAATTTTGCTTTTTTAGTGATAGAAGTTCATTTACTGAATATTTTGTATTTCGATATTTTCTACATTTTCAATAGATAAATATCAAAGAACTTAGTATAAACTAATACTTTTTTGATACTCGAAAGTACGAACTTGAGTTTTCGTCCTCGCTTTGACTTTTGAGTCTGACGTGAATAAATATAAAGGTAACTCATGCTATTATCTAAGCTATTCTATATCTTCAAAGTTGTCAAAGGTGACCAGCATTCAAGATGTGTCTTACACTTTTCTTCATTATATCTGCTTATGTACTGTATCGAGTGTATCAATATTTTTTCCCAGCACCGGATGTAAATCCAACTGGTAAATATGTGTTGATTAGTGGCTGCGATACTGGTTTCGGCCATGGTCTAGCATTAGAATTAGACAAACAAGGCTTTCATGTTCTCGCTGGTATCTACAGTATAAACAATCAACAAAAACTAACATCACTTCTTTCCGATCGTGCAACTGTGTTCAAACTAGACATTACAAAACAAGAAGACATTGATGATGCATATAAACTAATCAGTAGTAAAACGCAAGTGCTTCATGCATTAGTAAATAACGCTGGTGTTGGCGCTTGTGGTTATATTGATTGGGTGACAGTCGATTCCATACGTACAGTAATGGATGTGAATTTTTATGGACATGTGTCTATGACGAAAAAGTTTTTGCCATTACTTATTGCCAAACGTGATTCACGTGTGGTGAATATCTGTTCGGTTGCTGGTTATTTAGCTGCTCCAGGAATGGTTGCTTATTGCACATCGAAATACGCATTAGAAGCATTTTCTGATTGTCTTCGGCGAGAAATGTCGGTGTGGAACTTACGTGTGAGTATTATCGAACCAGGTTTTATGAAAACCCCGATTGTTGAGGGCCATGATGCATCGTTACGCACATTGTGGAACAGTTTGTCCACAGATGTGCAAGATCGTTGGGGAGAGCAACATTTAAAGAAACAAGTCGAGGAAGTAGCAAACAATATTTTCATAAAATTCGCTGAAAATCCAAAGAAAGTTGTCAACGTTCTTAGACATGCCGTTATGAACACCAAACCGCAGATTCGTTATCGACCTGGATGGCAATCGAGTGTCTTAATGTTTACATTATCGACTCTTCCAGCACGGCTAGCTGATATTATTATTGAAAAGGCAAATACAGCAGCTGTAAATCCGTCTGGTGTGCGTAGCCAGCTACAAAATTGAACGAAGCCTTTCTCTTCTATTGAATTTTCTGTATGAACAAACAGAACTCTTTGCTTTTTTCCGATGAATAAATACTAAATTAGACGGTCTTACAATCGTTCATTAATAATTCATGACAGCGACATCCATCCGTTGAAATCACATCCGATTTGTTCTTTGTTCTTATCCAATCAAGGAAACATCTTCGTTCTTCTGTTTGTTATTCAATTGTCTTTTTTTGACGTTCGTTCAAAAGATATAAACGATTCATTGCAGATAGTACGAAGACAAAGAAATTCTTTTTTTTAACCAAATATGACTGATTTATTTGACTTGAACCTGATTTCCAATCAAGCAACGTCAAAATCTCGACGAACGTATTCACAGAGAAATGTTTCATCACTTCAGCTTGAATTAACAAAAAATCGGAAGATGATCAATATGAAAACAGCGAAAACAACGATACTCAATCGAACACTTAGTTTCAAACCAATGTCAGAAGCCAGGTTTGACCTGTTCTCTATCTTCTTCAGAAATCATTCTTTTGTTTAGCTCATCATTAGCTAATGTCGAAAATACACCAATGAAAAAATCTTCAAGCAAATTCGAAACACCGACTACAAAACAAGAAGTTATCGAAGAGACACCAGTGAAAGATGATGATGTTGAAACTGAAAACATGCCATCGGATAAGATGATGCGTGATATTCAACGACTTTCTGTTCGTCTTCGTTCAACGATTCCATGTGCGATTGACATTCTCGTTGCAAATCGAATTCAAATTCTCCTTTTCATTTTAGTATTCGACATTCCGGTGACAATTAGTCACACAATGAAACCCGCTACTCTTCATCTCTCTCAAGTGGCGAATCGTGTATCACGTTGTAATTATGTTTTGCGACATTTTGTTCGAGAAGCACAAAAATACTCACCCAAACTTACTGAAATACAAGTCGCAAACGAACCTGCTCTCCTCTCACAATCTTACGAAAGTATGTCCTACAGCTTGCTTTTCGAAATCAATCTAACAAACTTTTGTTTGTCCGAATATTTAAAGAAGGACGACGTCGTCTCTTCATTGATTCTCCACAACAGCATGATAACAATTCGATTTCCGAAAATCAACCACCCACAACACCGCGAAAAGCCAGTGGTGTTATTAAACAATTGTTTGCATCACCTTCGGCATCATTCAAACGAACAACATCATCATCATCGAATACAAATATTATCGTTCACGATAAACGGCAAAAACTTTTCTAATTCTTATCTTGTTTCTTATTCTTGTTTTATCCTATACGCTCGAATGTGTAAATACAAATAATTATCTTTTTGCTTTCTAGATGACTAATGGATATACGGTGCCGAGCATTATACGGCTCGTTACTGTTCGTATTTTTCATCGTTTGGATTCTCTTATTATCCGAACAATTTAATGAATCCTATCCGCCAATACATCGATCGATTCCACCAGCTGAACAATATGATTATGTCTTAGAGCCTGGTGACGATATTTGCTCAAACGACGGATCGTTACTATTGGTTGTGTATGTTCATTCGGCAATCGNTCTTTGTGTTTATGAGACGAAAAATTAACAAGCAGTGTTTGCCCAATAGCACAAGTAATACAAACACCAAGAATATCCATGACGACTTGAATAATCGGACCAGCATGTGCTGGATCAACATGTACGATACGTTGTAGAACGACTGGAAGAAGCGTCCCAAGTAAGATTGATGATGTTACAATACAGAATAAAGCAATAGCAATAGTTAATGATGGTAAAACTGCACCGCGTTCTTCAATCCAAACACGAACGAAGCCAACTGAAGTGACTAGCAGGCCAATAATAATCGCAGAAAATGTTTCTCGTATAAGAAGTGGTCGAACAGAAAACGTCCGCGATGTTGCTAAACGACGAATAACTAAAACAGCTGCTTGATTACCGGCATTACCGCCAGCTCCGACAAGCATAGTTAAATACATAGTTATTAAAATGTGCCGAGAAATTAGATCAGAAAATGATTGTAAAATAAATGATGAACCCGATTGAAGAATCAGTAAAAATGACAGAAGACAAACTCGAGACCAAATCGTATTTTGTCCTTCTGTTTCTTCTTCTATGTCATTTCGTTGTTTCGAGGATTTCTCCTTTTCACCGTCATCATCTAAACGGCGACGAACATGTGCGACAAAGGTTTGCAAATCCTCAGAGGACAACGAAGAGAATTGTTCATCAAATGTATCAATAATTTTCAACGAACGATGCCGCTGTGTCATAGCAGGTAGACAAAAAAAATCTAAAAGTGTCGCAACATAAAATAGTAATATAGATTAAACATAGCCATGACAACATACATTCATATATGATAACGAATAGCTATCAAACGCTATTATTACAGCAAGACTAATCGTTTGTTGTTTTTCTTTTTCTCATACAGCTACACGTCATAGTATAGTCAGAATCATCGACATCCGACGTGAAGACGTAAAAGAAAGATGAAGAGTATATATAAGTAAAAAGAACGGTGTATGTAGAAAAGAAAACTATGAATCATCCTAAATTGTTTTTGTGCATCCTTTTGTTATTTGTTCTTTTTATTCATCAATTCGCAGAGCGATGTCGAAGATTAACGTCATTTCTTCTACTCTCTATAGAAGAATTAGTCAATCGACTGGAAAGGAAATCATTTCTTCTTGACTTATTTGTTTTGCCATAATTTCCCGAACAATCACCTTGGCAAATGACTGTATAATGCTCGACTTTCATCAAACAAAGGAGCAAATATTCATTAGTTGAAGTGTTATTTGCTAAATATGATCACTATTAAATGACACCGAGCAGTGTGTGAAATAGAACAAGCGGAAATGTGACTTGGATACTTGATCGTTCATTCCAATTATTATCCATGAAACCCTATTTAACGAGAAAAAAGAAAGTATAATTGAATGTATTCACATTGTTGTTTACAGCGATCATTTTAATATATTAAACGCCTACATTAGTGAGCAAAATAATATGTTAAGTGGAACGACTAGAATTCGTACTCTGCTTTATGTCGATGAGGACGATAACAATGATGTTGACGATGACGAACAGGTATTTATGCGTTCGATTGAAACTATTCTAAAGAAAAATGACGAGTAGTGAAAAGAGAAAACGATCAAAGTCATTTCGAGAAATCATCGAGTAATTAAGATGAATTATACTGCTCGTCGGAGTTACTCTAACTATATCACATCAAAGATAGTGCCTGTAAGATGGATCTAGCAGTTTATTCTTTTGTTTACAACGACAAATTTTCGTTTCATTTTAGTTCAAAACTATCTCAGGGGAAGTATCTCATTTACGATCGTCACAAGTTCAACGAATTCTTGCACCGCTGGTGGCTTTCGATGAAAATGGTGATATACCGCTTAGGGAAAGAAATTCTTCAAGTTTCGTGTCTGCTCGTCCAGTTTCATCGAACAGTCCTGTGGAATATTGCTGTGGTTTATGTCTATGGAATCGATTGCGACAAGATTTTTGTCGAATTTTTATTCAATTTTTATTTTCACAATTAGGTTTATTTGTGCTTGTTTGTATGTATATCGTTCTCGGCGGTTTTCTTTTCTATGGAATTGAATCCAAGTATGAATTACGAAAGAATGAACAAATTAAAATCAAACATTTACACGGAATACATAAAATTCGTCAGATTGCAACCGACGAATTCAATTGGATGTTAAATGCCTCATTTGAATTACGTTATGCACTTTGGCGTGGAATGATCTCGCGATCAGATGAATACGACGATTATCGATGGCGTGTCTACGTGCACAGTGAAAGATTTGACCGATTGATTCATAACGAACTCGCTCGAATGCAAGCTGATGAAGAGAAACTCTCTGATAAGCAAGATGAATCTTCCGCTACTTCATACGATCAAAAATGGACATTCTCAACAGCCATGCTTTATTCTGCAACAGTTATAACAACAGTGGGGTATGGAAATATCACACCGAAATCTATGCTAGGCAAAATGTTCACGTGTCTCTACGCTATGCTTGGCATTCCTATAACAATTATGTATTTGACCAATACAAGTGATCTACTTGTTTTCCTTTTTGTTAAATATTATTCCATGATGTACAACTTCTTCCATCGGTTAATCAAACGATTTCGTCGATGGCGAAGATCGCACCAGAGAAGACGATCTGTGGAGGTAAATTATGAAATAAATTTTAACATATGCTTAGCAAATCTTGTTTTCCTAAGATTGATGATGAAGCAGCAGCAGCAGAACATCGTGTACCAATTTGGATAGCATTCAGCGTTCTTGTTTTATATTTAATAGCTGGTGCTCTTCTGTTTTCTCATTGGGAAGGATGGTCGTATGTCGATGGTGCTTATTTTTCGTTTATCACATTTACAACCATTGGCCTAGGTGATTTAGTTCCTGGCAAAGGAACGTTAACTGAGAACAAAAATGGTAAATCGGTTTTATGTGCACTTTATCTACTCTTTGGTCTCGCTCTAACAGCAATGTGTTTCAAATTGATGCAAGATGATATATTCGAATTGAGGCAACGCATCTACTCAAAACTGGGATTTTCGATGTATCGAAATCAATATGTTTATCATAATCGACGGCAACATATGCAAGCGCGTGCAAGTAGCACGTGATACATATCTTTTTTCTCGGGATTTATTCTTTTCTTTTGTCTAAAAAATACAAAACTTTAGAATTTTATTTGTTCTTTCATTCTTATGTCTTTTGTTTCTTTTTATCACAACTGCATATGTCTTAGCACTACATAATACAAAAAGGTAGGTTGCATTCTCTCGAGTTATTCGATAATAATCACACAAATGCTAGCTGATGACGACAATCAATCGATGAAATTATCATTCATTAGAATATAGTAGCGAAACTAACTTTCTCGTTGAAATCTATCGTTTGGTAGCGACATCCAACGCAATCACCACAATCTCCATCATACATTTCTGATTCGTTTAACATGCAAGATAATGTTGAATATGTACTCATGTCGGCTGTTTTTATCCCCGTGTCTCATAAAGCAAAGTATATTCAGTTGAAATTGTTCTTTGAGTACTTTTCGACAGATAACTACTTATATTTCGTATTATAGACGCATTCTTTGATTTTAGTATAGTAAAATCCGAGAGAAGATCTTGATGGCTTCAAGGCGTGTTTTGATCTTGGACGATTGCCAAATAGAATCGATTATCGAAGAGTATTCCTGGTCGGATTTAATCGATGATGATGATGATATTGAGCTGTACATTTTAACAAGTACTGGTGCATTATCCGAAAAAGATAAGTCTTGTCCACGTGTTCGCGCTTATAAAGAAATCGATCATCCAACAACTGATGGAACACTCGAATTATGGTCGTATGAAATGCACAAAAAGCATTCATTTACACATGTTTATACCAAAAATGAAGATTTGATCATGCGTGTAGCGCATGTTCGTTCGCTGCTGAACATTCAAACAGGTTTAACATCTGAGACAATAGCAGCTTATCGGGAAAAGGTTGAAATGAAACAAACTGCGTCTCGAGGTGGTTTCCCTGTTCCACCGTTTGCTCGTTTGTATGCACCAGCTGATCTAATAGCTTTCATCGAAAAACAAGGATACCCCGTCGTCGTTAAACCGACCCTTGGTTGTGCAACATCAGGTCTGACATTAATCAAAACGCCTGCCGAGCTAGAAAAATTTCTTTCTGAAAAATTATTCACATGTATCGACATTGATCAACGAATGGATCTGGTCGGTGAATTGATGGTCGAAGGATACATGAAAGGACATATGTTTCATGTTGATGGCATTGCAAAAGACGGGAAAATTATTCATGCATGGCCATTTAGTTACCTTCATACATGTTTAGGATTCTCTCAGGAAGGTACAGCTTATGGTAATTCATCCATTCCGAAATCCCATCCACTTCATGATCGTTTATGTAAAACTGCTCAACGTTTACTCGATATTTTACCGTCTCCCAACGATGGACTGGTATTTCATCTGGAACTCTATGAAAATCTTAATGAAAACCGCTTACCGGACGATGATTTCGTACTTTGTGAAATTGCTGCACGTGCACCTGGTGCTTCTATTACTCATCTCATCGATTTGTTATCATTTTCCGACGGTGATTCCAAGCAATCGTTTGCTCGATTAGACTTCCGTATAAGTGTCTCATTGCCCATCCCTAAGATAACTGAACCTCTCGCTGACAAAGTTGTCACCGATCTTATCATACCGCGCAAACCCGGTAAACTTATGTATATACCACGTGAATGTCCAATCCATGATCTTCGGTATATACCCATAGCCAATGTAGACAAACCGACTGTTTATGAAAAATACGATGTGAACGGCATGAATGCAGCTTGCCGATTTATCGCCCGAACAAAAACGATGGAAGAGGGACAAGAATTAGTGGAAAAAGGCTTTGAATGGTTCGACAGTGTGCTGATAAATACGCCATTGGACGAGCCATGTACGGTGGCATTAATCAAAGAACTACATCGCTATTTTCATAGGAAAATTTTTGCTTAATGTACCTTGTTTTGCTCAATGTAGGCTATTTATGAATCATTTTTAGTCGACTGATTATGTTATTCCAGCGCAATACTATAACGAAATAGGTAGTAAAACTATGCTGATATTGAATACGCATTTATTCGTTTGTATATTCATGATCTTGTGAGAAGAATTTATTAAAACTATCGACATGTGCTGCCATCACAAAAATTTGTCGTTCTATTCGTCATCAGTCCATCTCTACTGATACATAGATCAATCAGAAAGAAAGAGCAATGAGTGTGGGAATAAGCGAAAAAAAGGAAGAGAAGGGAGAATGGTAGGTTTGTCAACTAGGTTTTGAAGGATAAATTCGACATGTCTGTCTATCACCTTCGCTTACTAATTCAAAAATCCGCGCGTTATGCATGGCGTCGTCGAATTTTTCGCTGTTATCCGAAAATTATCTTCGAACTATTTGTACCTACTATTTGTATCCTTCTACTATGTCTTCTTCGCTGGATGCATTCACCTTCTTCACAAAACGGTCCTCAAAACGACTCGTTGAATAGCACATCTTCACCTCGCATCCAAATCAGCCCTACATCGATTATTTCCCATCAGGGTTCTTTTCAAATTTTGAATTACACATCCGTTTACCGATGTCCATCATCGAATATAGCAGTGGTGATTACATCTGAACAATTATTTAAACGTTTTACACGCATATGTCCGCGTAGTCACTTTATCTTTTCGTCTCAACAATCAGATGGACAAATTTTATTGAATACATCCGTAGACACACATCAGATTAGCTATCGATGCTTATATATCAACCCGCACTGGTGTTGGAAAACGAATCTATTGGCAAAAGAATCTGATACTGTACAAATTCAACATCCTTCGGCATCTCTTTGTTCTCATTTGGACACACAGGCATACAGTTTAGTACTGAAAGCTTATCTATCAATTGAATCGCTTCTAAACATACCACCGAATAAGCAACAGCTATTAGTTTATACATGGCCATGTTCATCATATGTTTCCGATGCACTTTTCACGCATTTTCCTCGGTTTACTTTTATCATCATTCTGGTTCTTGTTGATGGATGTATTATGTTTAGTTTTAATTTTCTTTTCCAAGAACTCATCGAAGAAAAGCGTCAGGGAATAACCGAACTTCTCCGTTTACTTTCTGTTCGACCGTTACTCAACAGTCTCGCATGGTTTTTGCGTGTTCTCGTCATTCAGTTACTAGCAAATTCAATTTTGATCTTCACATTGAAAATTTCATTCGACGGGGCAATCTACCTTGCTTACGTCACAATTTGGTTAATTATTCCAACTATTCTCCTCTGGACAATTCATGTTCTCTCGCGATCGATTCTCGTTGCGCATGTGTTTAATAGTGCACTCAAGGCGTCGCTTTGGTCATGGTTCATCTATTTTATTTCATTTTGGCTAGCGGTTTCCTCATCAGTGCAATTGCCATTAATAATTCATTTTATCGCTTCAATTTGGCTGCCGTTCTACTCAATAAAACGGATATTTGTTGTTTTTATTCAAGTTAATACAAATGCCGGCCGTCATACAGATTTGTTACATGAAATTATTTATATTTGGCTATGCATGATCGTAGGTACTCTCCTTTTTTGGCTCCTAGCATTCTATTTCGAACGCATTCGACCAGGAAAATATGGGATAGCACGTTCCTGGTCATGGCCTTTAGATTACATTCACAAGAAACAATCGAGACGAGAAAGTACTGATTTAACAATGGTAGAAATACCATCAAAACAGCAAACAACTGTTCGAATCAATAATTTAACGAAAAGCTATGGTCAATACGGTGCTGAACGACAAGTTGCTGTTGATCATATTTCATTCACGTTAGAAAATTCGACAATACACGGACTAATTGGTCATAATGGTGCTGGTAAAACCACGACCATGGAAATGATATGTGGTCTATTGTCTTGCGACTGTGGTACAGTTGAAATTCACAATAAAAACTTATCTGAAAACTTACATGAGCTTCAAGCATGCATTGGTTATTGTCCACAACAAGATATGCTCTTTTCGCACTTAACCGTTCGTGAACAATTAGAATTCTACGCTCGTATACGATCGAAGGGAAATTCCGTGGATAATTATCAAATTAAAGAACTGCTTAGTATGATGAGTATGAACGAACACGATCAAAAATTATGCCACACATTATCCGGTGGCATGCAACGGAAATTATCGATCGCTTGTGCATTTGTTGGACAAGCAAATATCATAATTTTAGGTAAGATTTCATAGTTCATTAGAAAGCTTATATATGCTAGTTCGTATATTCTTTGTTACAGACGAACCATCAGCTTCCCTTGATCCTGCGGCTCGTCGGGCGCTTTGGACTTGGCTTCGCGAGCACAAAACGAATCGAACACTGTTAATATCGTCTCATCTATTGGATGAAGTCGAAGAACTTTGTGATTCAGTTATCATTCTTGATGCTGGTAAAATTCAAGCGCAAGGAACAATTCTTGAACTGAAACAACGATACGGACCACCGGGTGATCAACTTCATCTTGATCAGCTGCCAAATTATATTCCAAATGAATGGATTATTGACGAAAATAATCAATATGTACAGATACCTGATCGACAACAGTTTATCAGATTACTTGAACGATTGGAAAAAGATTATATTCATTATTCATTAAGGAATACAACGCTCGATGATGTTTTTCTTAGACTAGCGTCTTCAGAATCATCAACACAAGGTAACGAATTTCTTCGAATACTTTTCTTGACATATATGTATCGAATACTTTGATTAGACGAAGGCAATCTGAAATCTCAGATTGATGTATTATTTACGACTCGAACAAATTCGCGAATAACTGACCTATGGTTGCAACAAGTGCTTGGTGTATTTATTCGACGAAGTCAGATATTTCTACGGCGCGCTCGTCTTCTACCTATTGTCTTAATTCTTTATCTACTCTATGCTCTGGCTCCCATCTATTTACCTTCGTTCAATTCATCAACACAGGAACTTAGTTACATTATCTCATCTCCTTTAGAGCACATCAATGCAATGAATTTAAGACAATTTCCGGTCAAAACCGTGCCATTCTACTCTACATCAAAACAATTTCAAGAATACTTACAAAGTAAGATGGATTCTGCCGGTCTAAATCCGATCAATCTAATGTTGAGATAATTTTCAGGTATTTCACTATGGCAATCGAATCACGGTCAGCGGAAGAGGCTAATTGCAGTTCGCATAAGTTCGTTGCAACAAATGGAATGCTATGTTCCACCCCCTGCACTATCGAATATCATCTCATCGTGCTTATCCATATTTTCGGTATTTTCCAATCGTAGTATATCACCCTTACAATTAATCGGTCGAGAGACAGGAAGTTCATTACCAGTCTCGTCGGATATTTCGTCAACACAACACGACTCACCGTTCTTTTGTTTTTATACACTTCCACCTTCAATGCACTTATCCATTTTCTTACTATCGTTGATTTTAATTGTTTGTGCAGCATTTATCATTCAAGATTATACATCTGGTCTTCATTCATATTCGCTCATTCACAATCTTCGATCACCTATTAATTGGTTGATCATATTTCTCAGCGATCTTCTGTTATGTTTTATTTGGTTACTCATTCTAATTCTTATCGCACGTTTCGTTCATTCGTCGACATTCAATGGCCGATTCTTTGCATTAACACCACTCTTCTTCATTGTTAATTTACCGTTCATTTACCTTCTTGCAAAACTTTTCAAAGCTCCTGTACTAGGTGCAACAGTGATCATCTTCATTCTTCAACTAGCACTTGTTTTGAACGCATTCAAAACTTTTATTGAACTGTTTCGTGGTTATCCTCTATTGTCATTAATTGTGCACGTCGTCCGCTGGTCGCTTCTACTTCTATTTCCAAACGTGAATGTATTCATCTTGATCGTGGCTGTACTTCGAAAATCTTATTGTCAAATTGATGAGTCAATATTAGGACAAGGCGAGAATGACTTCTCTCACGAACGATATCCCTACAAGATATTGATTCATACGTTGATTTTCGTTAGTCAATTTGTCATCTATTTTTTTCTACTCATTATGATTGATCTTGGTAAAGTTCAGATTTCTATGTGCGAACGCAAGACCCAAATCAAAGTTCGTAGTGAAAAAGGAGATGATGATGTCCTCGAAGAGAAAACTCGAATAAAATCAATGAGTAGTACCAATCGACGAAAGCAAGCGCTTGTTGTGGATAGTCTTACAAAAGTTTATCGTGAAGCAATACATCCAGCGGTAAATCAACTTTCATTTGCAGTGCCACACGGACAATGTTTTGGTTTACTCGGATTCAACGGAAGTGGTGAGTATTTCGATCTAATCGATGATTCAAAATAAATATGTTTATGAAATGTTTTGTCTAGGCAAAACAACAACATTCCGTATGCTAGTTGGCGAATTACATTCAACCGATGGTCGAATCTATCGAAACCGACGGGAATTTATTGGTTATTGCCCTCAAAATGATATCACATTTCCAGCATTAACGGTTGCACAAACTATTGATTACATTTGTCGTATTCACGGCATAGAACCTTCTGTATTGAACAATATAATCTTGAATCAATTTCAATTAGGAAAATATCGACATCGACTAGTATCGAATTTGAGTGGTGGCACTCAACGTCGTCTTCATCTTGCTCTTTGTCTAATTGGATCGCCAACACTTCTTCTACTTGACGAGCCAACAGCTAAAGTCGATCCCGTTCTACGTAGTCATATTCGTCTTATACTTCAACATCGTCCGATTAACACAGCTATTATATTTGCTTCACATTCAATGCTGGAATGTGAACAACTATGTGAACGATTGACTATTCTTGTTCGTGGCAATGCACGATGTTTAGGTTCCATCGACCGACTGAAAACAAAATATGGTACAAATTATCGTGTGCGGTTGACGTTACTTGAATCATCGGTACAAGTACCATCGCTTATTTCTGTTAAAAACAGTAATGAATACGTATATCCGAAAGGAAGTTTAGCGGAGTTATTTACACTGCTAGAAGGTCTAGTGGAACAGCATCAAATTGCGGCAAATTATACAGTACAATTAACATCGTTGGAACATATTTTTTTAACGTTTCAACATTCGATGTGAAGAGCAAGCTCTAGTCAAGTTTTATCTATGCACACCCTCAGTGACTCATAAATATGCAAACTTTGCTTTTTTAGTGATAGACATTAATTTACTGAATATTTTGTATTTCGATATTTTCTACATTTTCAAAAGATAAATATCAAAGAACTTAATATAAACTAAAACTTTTTTGATACTCGAAAGTACGAACTTGAGTTTTCGTCCTTGCTCTGCCTTTTCAGTCTGCCGTGAATAAATATAAAGGTAACTCGTATTATTAACTAAACTTTTCTATATCTTCAGAGTTGCTAAAGGTGACCAGTATTCAAGATGTGTCTTACACTTTTCTTCATTGTATCTGCTTATATACTGTATCGAGCGTATCAATATTTTTTCCCAGCACCGAATATAAATCCAACTGGTAAATATGTGTTGATTAGTGGCTGCGATACTGGCTTCGGTCATGGTCTAGCATTAGAATTAGATAAACAAGGCTTTCATGTTCTCGCTGGTATCTACAGTCTAAACAATCAGCAAAAACTAAAATCACTTCTTTCCGATCGTGCAACTGTGTTCAAACTAGATATTACAAAACAAGAAGACATTGATGATGCATATAAACTAATCAGTAGTAAAACGCAAGTGCTTCATGCACTAGTGAACAACGCTGGTGTTGGCGCTTGTGGTTATATTGATTGGGTGACAGTCGATTCCATGCGTAAAGTAATGGATGTGAATTTTTATGGACATGTCTCTATGACGAAAACGTTCTTGCCATTGCTTGTTGCCAAACGTGATTCACGCGTGGTGAATATCTGTTCAGTTGCTGGTTATTTAGCTGCTCCCGGAATGGTTGCTTATTGCACATCGAAATATGCATTGGAAGCATTTTCTGATTGTCTTCGGCGAGAAATGTCGGTGTGGAACTTACGTGTTAGTATTATCGAACCAGGTTTTATGAAAACCCCGATTGTTGAGGGTCATGATGCATCGTTACGCACACTGTGGAACACTTTGTCTACAGATGTGCAAGATCGTTGGGGTGAGCAACATTTAAATAAACAAGTCGAGGAAGTAGCAAACAATATTTTCATAAAATTTGCTGAAAATCCCAAGAAAGTTGTCAACGCTCTTAAACATGCTGTCATGAATACCAAACCGCAGATTCGTTATCGACCTGGATGGCAATCGGGTGTCTTAATGTTTGCATTATCGACTCTTCCAGCACGGCTAGCTGATATTATCATTGAGAAGACAAATACAGCAGCTGTAAAACCATCTGGTGTGCGCGGTCAGCTACAAAATTGAATTAAGCCCTTCTTTTCTATCGAATTTTCTGCATGAACATACAGAACGCTTTGCTTTTTTCTGATCAATAAATATCAAATTAGATGATCTTACAATAGTTCATTAATAATTCATGACAGCGACATCCATCCGTTGAAATCACATCCGATTTGTTCTTTGTTCTTGTCCAATCAAGGAAACATCTTCGTTCTTTCTGTTTGTTGTTCAATTGTCTTTTTTTGACGTTCGTTCAAAAGATATAAACGATTCGTTGTAGAGAGTACACAGACAAAGAAATTCTTTTTTTTACCAAATATGACTGATTTATTTGACTTGAACCTGATTTCCAATCAAGCAACATCAAAATCTCGACGCACCTATTCCCAGAGAAATGTTTCATCACTTCAGCTCGAATTAACAAAAAATCGGAAGATGATCAACATGAAAACAGCGAAGACAACGATACTCAATCGAACACTTAGCTTCAAACCAATGTCAGAAACCAGGTTTGACCTCTTCTCTTTTTAATCTTCTTTAGAAATCATTCTTTTGTTTAGTCCATCATTAGCGAATGTTGAAAATACGCCCATGAAAAAATCTTCAAGCAAATTCGAAACACCGACTACAAAACAAGAAGTTATCGAAGAAACGCCAGTGAAAGATGATGACGTTGAAGCTGAAAACATGTCATCGGATAAGATGATGCGTGATATTCAACGACTTTCTGTTCGTCTTCGTTCAACGATTCCACGTGCGATTAATTTCCTTCTTGCAAATCGAATTCAAACTCTTCCTTTCATTTTAGTATGCGACATTCCTGTGACAATTAGTCACCCAATCAAACCCGCTACTCTTCATCTTTCTCAAGTGGCGAATCGCGTATCACGTTGTAATTATGTTTTGCGACATTTTGTTCGAGAAGCACAAAAGTACTCACCCAAACTTACTGAAATACAAGTCACAAACGAACCTGCTCTTCTCTCACAATCCCACGAAAGTATGTCCTACAGCTTGCTTTTCGAAATCAATCTAAGAAACTTTTGTTTTTCCGAATATTTAAAGAAGGACGACGTCGTCTCTTCATTGATTCTCCACAACAGAGTGATAGCAATTCGATTTCCGAAAATCAACCACCCACAACACCGCGAAAAGCCAGTGGTGTTATTAAACAATTGTTTGCATCACCTTCGGCATCATTCAAACGAACAACATCATCATCATCATCGAACACAAATATTAACGTTCATGATAAACGGCAAAAGCTTTTCTAATTCTTATCTTGTTTCTTATTTTTGTTTTATCCTATACGCTCGAATGTGTAAATACAAATAATTATCTTCTTGTTTTCTAGATGATCAATGGACATTCGGTGCCGAGCATTATACGGCTCGTTACTGTTTGTCTTTTTCATTGTTTGGATTCTCTTATTATCCGAACAATTTGATGAATCCTATCCGCGAATACATCGATCGATTCCACCAGCTGAACAATATGATTATGTCTTAGAGCCTGGTGACGATATTTGCTCAAACGACGGATCGTTACTATTGGTTGTGTATGTTCATTCGGCAATCGAAAACCGTCATCGTCGAGAATCGATCCGTACAACGTGGGCATCTCGTTCAATCTTTGGCAAACATATACGAGTGTTATTCATGTTAGGTTCAAGTCATAATGCTGAATTAATGAAACAGACTCAATTTGAATTCGATACATATCGAGACATAGTTCAACAAAAATTCATCGATGCCTATCGTAATTTGACATACAAAGGTAGAATGAATCTATGAGGAAATACTGTACATATCTTTACATGTTGAATGAATTCTAGGAATTATGGCATTAGATTGGATATCGAGACATTGTAATCGAGTGCGATATGTTTTGAAAACAGACGATGATATGTTAATCAATATGTTTTCGATTCTGAACCATTTATACACTCTAACATACGTTTATCCGAATGAAAGTTGGCATTATACAATTGCGTGTTTGATGTGGCGACAAATGCGTGTGACACGCGATCGATCATCGAAATGGTTTGTCTCATCGGATGAATATCCTTATGAACATTTTGCATCCTATTGTTCCGGATCGGCGTATTTTATTACTCAGGATTTGATTCGGCCACTTTTTGAAACAACTCGTTCGATTCCATTCTTTTGGATTGATGATTATTATATAACTGGCCTATTGCCACGTGCCATTCGACCAACGATTCATGTTAATTATTTATATATCAATTCTCTATTTGTTGTCAATGTTGACCTAGTTGAACAACGATTTCTTTCACCTTTCGGCCTTGCTTCACTTGCATTTGCCCATATGCCATTATCAGTCAATCGTCTTTTACATGTTTGGCAACATCTGATGATCAATAGTCAATCTGCACAGAAATATCTCAATCGTACTTATATCTAGTCGTTAGTAATCGTTGCTTTTCCTCAGTTTATTTTAAATAAAATTCAACTATCGTGACCCATGACAATAGAGATCATTTAATGAACAGTTCAAATAGTAAAAGTCGAGATTTTCTTTCACCGCAAGAAAGTTTATTCGGTAAAAAATAAAATATTATCAATTAAATGCGAATCGTTAAAAACAAAGAGGTGTTAATCGACGAATGACTACACGAGTATCAGTTGGAAATGAGTGTTGATCACCGAGTTTCAGTGCATTTTGTTTTCCGTTGTATTCGTAAATTAGAGGAACAGAATGTTTGTGATCCTGTGCGCTGACGACAATGTCATATTTCTCTTCGCCAATCAATAAATCAATAGAAAATCCTTGATACTTCAAACCGTAGAAACTCAGCTTCTTCGCTTGATTTGGTAGATGACCACGAGGTTGCAATTCAAGTTGCTCTAACGTCAAACGAATGCCTCCATAACCGAACAGAACAGCTTGCAAGAATCCACCAGCACCTGTTATGAAGTTCACTGCACCAACACCAGATCGAGCTTCTGTCCACACCTGGAAATAGAAGATGAAAGAAATTATGCAAAGACTAAGAATATGATCTACACTAACATTGAATGGTGGTCGAACGTAAGTTTCGTATGACCGTTGAAATAGTTGTTGAGCCTTCTCAAAATCACCTAATTCGAGAAATCCAATGGAATGCATCGACCATGTCATCGCCGGTCCATCATCACGTGTTAGTTTTTCGTATGCTAACAAATCGTTTCGTCTTATTTCTTCGGTCATTGGCCACATCAACGGGAAACCTAACAGAACAACATCGGCTTGTTTGATTGTTGTATTCTCTAAATAAATGTCAACAAAGCGATATTAATATTCTTTACAAACTATTCGAATCGATTTATTTACTTAAATCAAAACCTTCGTATTCTAAATGCGTTTGAGTTGCATCATCAAACGGAAAATGTAGATTTGATGCAATATCTAACCATGCTTGTGGGGGATTCTTACGTGTAATGCAACTAATACGATCAGCTAATCGAATAGAAAGTGAAGCGATTGCATTAGTAAATACCGAATTGTTTTTGAACGGTTGAGCATCCTCATCAGGTGGTAGAACAGCTGAGAAATAGAGATAGATACTTTGATGAACGGTATATAACTGAAAACTTACTGAGTATTTCATATTGTTTTTTCTCGTTATTGTAAATTGCTCTTGAGCCCCAAAATCGAGCAGTTTCATAAATAAGATCTCCGCCCATTTCATTCATTAGCCAATCTCGATTGCCTGTTGCTGCAATATATTGTCTGGCTGCAAATGCGATATCACCTGTGATATGCATCTGATAGAGACGAACTTCTGGACAGCAATCAGGCGTCACATCTACACCAGTTCTCGCACTTTCCCATGGGAATCTAATATCGAATAAATACAATATGGTAACAGCACCAAGGTTCTATTAAAGAGTAACCGATACCTCCATCCTTCATATCCGAACAGAGCTGCATTATCAACAGCCGTTTGACGTAAAGCGATTCGATAGGATAAGATTTCTTTTGCTAATCTAAAGCAAGAATGGTTGAACAAATAATGGACTGATATTCATGTACTCACGTTGGATAGAAGACGAGTACAGATGGAAACATCCATGTTTCTGTATCCCAAAATGAATGTCCGCCATAATCTTCACCCAAAAGACCACCACGTGAAAGACTACCTGGACTTAAACCATAGAATTGTTTATGTTCACTTCGTGTGGCTAATGGTGGAAGAGAACTTAGAATATAGTAGAAAGCGGCGTTGATCTGTCGTTGTAACTCATCGTCTCCGGTTACACCAATACGTCCATTGGCCCAAACATCATTCCATCGAGATATATGTGCTGCTAGGACAGCATCGGGCTGCCGTTTTTTTGTTGCTAAAAAGAAGTAGAATTCAAGGTTAAGTTATATCTATTTTTAGATCATCGATCAGTTGAAAACTACCATAATCAAAACTTTGTTTAGCTCGTGATTGTTGTTCATCTATTGAAGTGACGAAAAGATACGTTCGAGTTATTTCATCTTGACCAAGTTCCAGTCCATCGACGGGCAATGGTGTATAGTAGACAAATACAGATAATGGTTCTGACTGGTATTGCTCATTTTCCACTTGACGTGTTTTACCCGATAACAGACTACATGAAACAAACATGTACGATCATCATAGATTATCATTGACGCGATACTACATACACTTGTTGTGAATCACGATGTTTAACTTCGAAATCGATATCGACACTTGTCAACTGTTCATTGACATCAACAGGTACAGTAATTTTCTTTCCTGAAAGATATTTGAATGCATAGTTTATATATAATTTTTTAAGAAAAACCTGTAGATTCCAATCGAGTAAGTACGACATGTGTAAGTAACAGTTCCGTATACTCTTGTGAAGCGAAGAGACTTCGTTCAATTCGTATTTCGTCATTTTCGAGCGTTTCAGTGAATGTTCCTGTTGCAATCGAATGAGCTGGACTGATTTGTGCTAAGAGAATCTCCTACCTGACGAAACGTTCAGTGCATATAAAGTTGAGGTAAGATCTACTTGAAATTGCCAATTGAGTGTACTTGGAATTCGTGCACGATGACTAGTTCCTTTGAGAAAATAATCATTGAAAAATTCAACGATCAATACATATGAAAAAAACAAACCATTATCGCCATTGTAGAGACCATTCATATAGATAAAATCACTGAAGACTACTGTAGCAACATGACCATTTCCAATGTATGGTAAAATACGATAATCGAGCGAAGAACCATTCGAGGGTAACCTAGATAAAAATCACGGTATTATTGTGAAGACTATTCGATAAGGTACTTACTTATCCGTGCTAAAAACTGTTGTCGACTCAGGTTGATCTATGGGAGCTGTTCGAATAAGAATGAAAACCGTTGAAATCAATAATAGGAAAAACAACATAATAATAGATACAATAATAAGTCGTATTCTAACATTGCGGCTTTTATGCTCATGACGAGGATTAGCATACAAATTATGGGTAAATAGTAATCCTTGAAGAGACTCGCACTCACTTTCTAACGACATTTCCGTTGGAATGGATTAATAATCTTGTTTTTTCAAACTCGTTGATCTTCCAAGATTAATCCAATATTATGGTGTGGTTAAAGTGAGAGACATAAACATGAAAATACGTATATATATATATATATATAAGCACATGATGCGCTATACAGACAGGAGAAGAATACTTTTTCTTGCTTATGATAGTTAGAGAATGTGCATAGAATGTATCTTCTACTATCGTATGTATATATTCATATGACAGTTGTATAGATACTTCTTTTAGATATAGCGTCTGCTCGTTATTATATCAATGAATTTCCCATATTTGATATTTCTCTGTTTGCTGCTGAGAAATCGGACAATTCAATAATTAGATTACATATAAAACATGATTTACACCAGTTTTCCCTTCATTGCGAACGAAAAATCGAGTTTAGTTGAAAAAAGAATTAATCGAGTCTTTTCCAACTGATACCAATCAACGAATTATCATTGTTGTAATCAGAGAAGTACAACAATAAATATAGAATAAATTCGATTTTTTAATTCGTAGAGTACATTGCTCAATGAAGATCTACAAATTCAATACACAAGAAGAAAGTAGAACGGAAACATAATACGAATATCTTGTATTCCATACGTACTCTTATGTGAGCACAGATAATTTATATTATAGAGACATATTTTGGAGTATACTGAATATAGATAAACTCATATACATTAATCATTGCCAGCAGAATATCTCTCGTCTTAACCTCGATTTATGAAATGAGATATTGACAGTGGGATTCGACGATGTATATTGTTAAAATCGTCTTGTCCTTGAGATATAAAACAAAGATGATTATCATCTGCTTATGTCTTCTAGTACTTTCGCTTGCTCGTTGTTACAGAACTAGATAATCGATCTCCCTTAAATAACTACTCCATCCATTTTCATGGCAATTCTACTAACGCAATCATTGATGCTCTGCTGCAAGGAATTTGCACCGATAGAAGAACAGTTTACTTTTTCTTAACCGCGTTAAATGTTCTAATTATATTAACCAGGAATTACAAGTATCGGAGATTGTTGAACATAAAGAGAAGATCTGAGTGACATATCAATCTAATAAACATTGTGTTCTAGCCAAGACGTTTGTTTGAAAATACATAACATTCATTTATTTTAAATAATGCATAGTTTCATCACATCAGAATGGATAAATATGACTAAATGAAACAGAGATACACAAAAGCGAATGATACATTTGATACAAACACTTCTAAAGATTATCATATTCTAGTATCGACCTTTGCATACATTTTCACAAGTTAGATTGCCAAAGTATGGTATCCATCTCATTTTTTTCACTTTTTCTACGGACGAATAGATATGGTCTATCGAAAAATTATTATTTGGTCCATATGGTGAATTCATGATCGCATCATTAATTGCCTGTCGTCGTGGGTTCTGATGAGGAAATCTCCACTCCGATGTGGCGCTAATCATATGATAAAATACTGCGTTACTATTATTAAATGGTGAAACAAATACTTCCGCTCCACACTTGTCACATGCATAGAAATTCCTTCTAATCCATTGAATATCATTATCAAATGCGCCCCAAAAGAGATTTTTATCCTGTGTAATAAAGATCGTTTCTTTCATCCATGAGAAAGATGCATTCGGATATTTTAAAAAGTATTCGACAGTTTTTCCACCAGAATCGTAAGCGTATCCATTACGTATCATTTGTGAAACATCGAAATTATCAATTGTATCATACAGCTGTGGTCCTATACAGATCAGTCCAATCCAACAGTATCGTGCGAATGAGGCGGGATGTTTTCGACAAACGACATCACGAGAATTGAGTAATGTAATAGAATCAAATGGACTTAGAGGAAACACATCACCATCCAGTAAAAGAATAGCAGTACCGTTTCCAAGATAGTGCTTTGCACGTCTAGCTAAAGCCCAATTAACAACAGCCGTATTTCGATCTGATCCACTACGTGTATTTTGGTGTTTTTCAATGGGATAGTTATGAAGATTAGCTTTATGAGACTTCGCAACCTTGAGCATATCTTCTGATGGAACATCATCAACAAATAATTCAACAGCAGCTAAATTGACAGCAAGTTTCCGAACAAGATAGATCTGTGCATCTGCTAGAACATGATGTTTTGTGTGAAAAACAAAGACAGCTATAGAACTTTTCATGTCATTGTTCTGTTTCAAACGCGAAGCCGGAGGAGGTCGTTCAACTACAAGTAATGCTGGATCAAGAGTGGTCGGAAGCCCAGTAGGCGCAGTAGTAGTAGGAGAAACTGCAGGTTTTTCATTTTTATGAAGAATTGCAGTCATTGTCGTAACAGACGACATAAGAGTTGTCGTGACATTTACCTGTTGGTTGGGAGTAATCGTTGTAGTAATATTCGCATCTAATCCCAATAGATCAACGATTCGACTTCGATTGAGAATTCGATAAAGTACTTGAACTGTGCTTCTGAGCTCATAACTATTACTTTGAACTAATATATAATAAACGGTAAAAATAAACAACAACAATAACAATGCTAATCGGAGATAATTAGACCTATTCCATTCCATCTAGAAATAAAAAGAATTCATTCAAACCGTGTTTTAGTACACATATGAAAATCCGTAGAATAAATCAATTGCATTCAAACGAATTATTCTTTATGTGAAAAGCAATATTGATTACAAGGCATTGATTTTCGAAGAGAACAATGACAAATGAACTTTTGTTTAATTGTCAGTTTCAATAATCAACTCTGAAATATTTCGCTCAACACAAAAAAAATCGTTTTTATTTAATGCTCTCTAATACTGTAGTACACGTGTCTGCAGCGCGCTGATCGATTGAGAAATAAAGCACAAGAGAAAATGTTTCACTTAAATGTTTTATAATAACGAAACATGCTTTTACTGTTTGTTTTTTAAACCATTAACGAATAGAATATTACTCTATTCGATACACAATGTTTACAAAAAAACAGCAACACAGACTTCGAAACGGGGTATTACCTGTCGATCAACTACGTACATACGGAGCATTTTCGTCAACTATCCTGAATATCATGTCCCATCACTATTAGTTTGTCATTCTATGTTGATCCTATTCACTAGTGCATGACCAGCTATGCGAAACGATGAATAAGCAGACATCTTAGCCTTCAGGGAAAAAACCGTTATCGATAAATGTCACGCTCTGTCACGATTTCTTACTTTCTACCTGTCGACATTGTGTTCTTTTCTAGAAAATTATCGAGAATGTCTACGTTTGTTTTAAAAACTAGCTAATCCTCTTTAAAAAATTACATTCGTCGGCAAGATGAACCAACTTGCCTACACAAATGATTCATACATCGTTTGTACAAGCAAAAAAGAGAACGATTGCCTTTTAAACTAGATAAAAAATCCTTCGATCATTCTTTTGATGTCTACACATGCTTTTTCTTATTAGTCATAACTAGAGAAAAGGTAAAAAATGAATGCGTGTATAAGACGTGAATACATATTGCTTTTAATGGAGCTCAAATTCATTTGATATCACTCGTTCCTAATTTATCATCTTAGTCTGAACATATTCTATGGTTGAAATGTAGAAATGAAGAAAGATTCGAACTGTGTGGGGAAAAAATCGTTCAAAAATTTTTCTAAAACTTGAATAAGATACTTCCTGATGTCTTTCTATTTCGAGTTCTTCCATACTTTTTTAGCACAAGTTCTACTCAACAATACACATGATCTTTGAGTTTTCATTTACTTACGCAAAATAAAATGCTGTTCTATTACCTTGTAGGTTACATTAATGTGCATAATTGTGATGTTATACCATCTCTGTTCGTTAAGAGAACGACGAATAATATTTTTTTGCATGTCGTCGTATTTTATTACGTACGGTTGTGTAATTGACATTGGTCGTAGTACGCGAATTAATTTAGTTGTATTTCTATGTGCTGAATCGTTCAGTTTAATGTTATTCCAACCAGAACAAATCAAAAGAAGTTCTCTTTCTCATATAGAAATTTCTTCGGGGAAAATCGTTTGTTTTACGTTAAAAATCAACTTTTGATCTGATTACTCAATTTATTCCAGTTTATGACGAAGACGCAAACTAAAAAATACGCTTTCCTTATTTCTCTCAACTTTAACGATCAATTCGTATTTGTGAATCGATATCTCAACACTAACTATTCATATTTAATTCGATTAATAACAATTACCCTCGCAGTAAACTTGATTACAATAGTATCAATTTATCTTGAAACAAATCGATTCTAATAAAAATTTCGACATTGATTGTTCGTCAAGTCTCGTACTAACCGAGAATAGCTTTTCTATTGTACTATTGTTGACTTGAAGGAAATTTAATTTTTATGGAGAAATCTACAAAAATAGAAAATCAATCTCCCGACTAGTAGAAACGCAAATTTGAAAAGAAAACTATTTGTTTTATATCATTTATGAAAAAAATTTCCCTATAATGCACTCCGATGCAACGTTTATCATAAAGTGCTTGGTTAAATAATCTATTGAATATACTTGTTGCATCTGTTCACAAGAAAAAAGTAAATATTAGTTTCAATGAAGGCGAGTTTCTGATCGACTCGTCCTAGTGAGAAATCCTCTGGTAAATATTGATTTTCACGAGAAATACTGAGTAAATAAGCATATTTCCAACTATCGATGTTCAAACATTTGCTATTTCTTTCAATCAAACCACTAATAATAGAAATACATTGGATTTCACAAGAGAAAACACTTATTAAGGATAAATTAACCTCAGAACAAAATAAAAATGTGACATATTTCAATTTGCTTCATGAGGTATGAGAGATATGAATTCTAAACTTTACAACGCAAACTTACGATGAGTGTCTGAGTGTAACAAAAAATGTGTCACCATCTGTGTGTTGTTTCTTAAAACGACTGTTCTTCAGTTAATTTTCTCTTGCTCTTTCTTTCTTCCTATTCTTTTTGAAAAGTAACTATAATATATCTATTTACCACTTGTGAATACTATTTTTCAGTCACTTTCGTTAATTATAGGAGAAAATGGAAATGAGTTCTATTAGAAATGACAGATCTGCAATCTTCTATTACTTTTCACATACTTATTCGCAGCGAAGAATTTCTTTTTTTCTCTTGCACATGTTACATTACAAGTCAATGGATTTTTGTAGTCAAAGAACAAACGAATACAGTTAATGTTTTGTATATATTTCGTTACCAATCCCCGATGGAATATGCGAAAAAGGTCTATTTCGGACTTACTGGTATTCTGTTTAGATCAAATCGTTTGCACACAGACGAGTAACGGAAGAGACGATGGTTTTATGCATAATCAGCGAACATTTCTTTTCGTGAGAGTCGTTTTTAATTGAAATAAAAAGAGTTGAAACGGTATTGGCTGTTAACAAACCGACGTTCTCTTTAATAAAATCATTCTTTCAAATGCGTATACATCTCTGTCTGTGATGCATAGAGACAAGGATTTTTCGTTACGTATTTGTCACGGCAATCAAATACTTAAGCAATTCCGCGACATGCACGATCAAAATCAACAGAAAGAGCAAAAAATATATATTTTTATTTAAACGAAGCCACGTTCATACTTCTCTCCGATGCGAAATACGCCCGTTTTCTAGATTATCGCTCGTCGGAGCATAAACTCTAGATGGTGTGTACAAGAACAAAAAAAAATAATGAAAAGAAAATGTCATGAGACCAAATAGTACGTTGTAACGAACGAGCAGTATGAAAGAAACAGTAGAGAACATATTTGTAAGTACGTTTATTCGTGCTGTTTGTGTTATTTAAAACTCATTTTTTTGGAGTGGGTCGGAAGAAAAAGTACTGCTGAGTGTCATGAAATTAAAATATAACTCACATTAAAGTCGAAGAACACACGAAAGCGTTATATTTTCTAACTGCTAATCTCTCGCTATCGAGATATTTCACAATCGTCAACTAGAAAGATTGAATGCATATGAATGTTAATTTGAAATCTTTAGATGGCATGGTATTCGATATTCGATGTACTGTTTGACAGTTGGTGACGACTCGCTACTATCGAGTAAATTTTAAAAGAATGATCTTCGGTAAGATTTCGTTTGAAACTGAAGTTTTTCATATTGAAGTGAAGAAAATAGAGAAAAGAACAACCTCAAGAAATACTTTATTTTCATTGCTTCGAGTATTTTTTCAAATTGATATTTTAAAAGAAAAACTTTTCTAAGCTGTAAGACATTTTATTTTCCACTGTCTATCGTGATAGTCACTATCTGAAAGCCTCACAATGGTTATGGGCCGTTCGTCCGACGATTGTAGCTGCATAAACTATAAAAATAAACATGTTTTGTATACCAGCCATAGCCACTGATAATGAAATATTTTTAAAAAAAGATAAAGAAGCTAGTTTGCCTACTTTCATATATCGTTCTCAAATACGAAAAGGATGTTGACCTATGTTATACTTGTGTCTACAATTTTGATCAGCTACAAAATCTATCAGTACTTGTTTCCAACACAAAATATAAATCCAATTGGTAAATATGTGTTGATTAGTGGCTGCGATACTGGTTTCGGCCATGGTCTAGCATTAGAATTAGACAAACAAGGCTTTCATGTTCTCGCTGGTATCTACAGTCTAAACAATCAACAAAAACTAACATCACTTCTTTCCGATCGTGCAACTGTGTTCAAACTAGACATTACAAAACAAGAAGACATTGATGATGCATATAAACTAATCAGTAGTAAAACGCAAGTGCTTCATGCATTAGTAAATAACGCTGGTGTTGGCTATGGTGGATTGATTGATTGGATAACGTTAGAATCGATGCGAAAAATGATGGATGTCAATTATTTCGGACACGTGTCTATGACGAAAACGTTCTTGCCATTGCTTATTGCCAAACGTGATTCACGTGTAGTGAACATCTGTTCAGTTGGTGGGTATTTAGCAACGCCTGGAATGGCTTCATATTGTTCATCGAAATACGCATTGGAAGCATTTTCTGATTGTCTTCGGCGAGAAATGTCGGTGTGGAACTTACGTGTGAGTATTATCGAACCGGGTTCTATGCGAACACCTATGACCGATGGACTTTTGAATTCTATGAAAAATCTATGGAGCGAATTACCCACAGATGTTAAAGAACGATGGGGTGAAAAATTTTACTCATATTCAATTGAACGTTTTGTTTCACACGGATTGATGGAAAGAGCAGAGAATCCCAAGAAAGTTATCAATGTACTTAAACATGCGGTGATGAATAGTAAACCATGCATACGCTATCGTCCAGGGCTACAATCGCCAATAGTCTTTCCACTATCAATAGTGCCAACTTGGTTAGCTGATAGAATTCTAATGATAGTTATGGGTTCACCGTATCAGCCAACTTGTCTTCGTCATCAAATGCAAAGTTAATGTTAATATTATTTCAACAGCAGAGTAAGAATAAGGATGTTGACGTCGTTTTGGCAGATGACAATTCGTCCCAACTACTTTTCGACCGAGTTTATTCTGTCTTTTCACAATTTTTGTCTCAAATACAATTTATCTTAATAATATGTTGTGTTTTCATATCTCGTCCGCTTACAAGTAGCCCTAATCTTGTGTTGTCGTGTTGCATTCTGTCTCAATTTTCTTTTCTTTTCTACGTTTCATTCCACAATTTCACTGCTAAAGCCAATCTCTTTTTATATGAAAGCAAATGCTGTGTATATACAGACAACTCCATTTGTATACGGTGGAACGTCGCTATCTCAAAAGATCAATAAAGAAAAAAACGTATTTTCTGTCCTTTACATATAGATATGGACATTATTTCTTTGTGATTTGTTTATCTCATAGCGCTATGTCTTACAACGTCGACAGTATTAAAGATTATTCATACCGAATCTCGTGAATTTGAAACTCAAAACTTGAATTTTCCTAAAAAAAAAACAGATCGAAACTAAATTTAGTCAATGTGTAAAAGTGGAATATCAAATGAGAACTAATTGTAAGTGGACTATATGTAAAGAATTGACATATTATTAAAGCAAGTTGTATTCGAAATGAACTATGAAAAGACGGAATAAAATTGAACGAAAATTATGTGAGACGTATAGTATACAGACGAAATGTAAGGAGATGGAATGTAGGGGACGAAAAGTAGGAGTATCTTTAGTCATGTTGACCGCTGATGTTTCGTATGACATCATCAAAAAGATAATTCATTAATATAAGATTTTCTTTCACATTTGTTTAAATTAAATCCTCGATTCAACAATGCAAATAAAACAATGCATCCTCTTCCTTTTTGTCATCCGAACATCTTCATCATTTGTTAGAGGATTTGTAAATATACATCGTCGTCTTTAACTAAACGAATCTCTTCATTCTCTTTTCTCTATCATCATCATCATTATCTTCTTCGTTTTCCTTGTCTTTCGCATCGTGTCTCTGTTCATTCGATTTGACTGAGCAAACAAAGACGACATGATGTTCGTGATGTAATCCGTTGACATAGTAGCATAAGAGATTAAAGACGTATATACGAAATCGATGAACGAATCAAGTTAAGTCACACATATAATGAGTTCATCATCAGCAACAAATTCGTCGCTTTCATCATTCTCAGATGAATGTGAAACGAATTTACCAGAAACATCCGTTCAACCGCCGCCACACCTCCATTTAGCGTCGCAGTCTTTGTCTTCGATTAATACGTAAGTCTTCACATAATTTGTATATGTAAATGAGATACTTAGTAATTATTTGAACATCAAGTATCACCAATGAGTGTGTGGGCGGAAGGAAACCTGTACACAAAGTTGAACCTGTGTTCAATAGTGAAGCAAACAAAATACGTGTATTTCTTGAAGATGGATCTCTTGGTGAATATTCTCTCGGAGAATTAACAACAGCAGAAGTAGGAGAAGAACTAGACAGTAACAGAAAGATGTTTTTCTCGAAATTTTGTGTAGGAAGTTGTAGGCAAGATGGCTTTACGGTATAGTCTAGGTTCTGATATGCGTCGATACCGACTGACATTGAGTGAAGCACGAGATGCATCGTGGCGATCCATTCGATATATTCGACCACAAAAGAAATTAAAAGAGGTATGAACGTTGATACATAAAGTAATTTGTTGTCTTCGATTATACGAAATTGTCATTGATTTAGGTTGCTCAATGGCCATGCATAAGTGCTACAACTATATGTACATTACGTGTTGTTATTGTCCCTTCACAAGCTGAGATCTTAGCGGATATAGAACCGATTACGTTCACTTATTTATATCGACAGGTAGATTTCAATAGGAAATATATAGTCGCTAGTTTTTGTTTTCACAGAGTATCAATGATTTTGTTCGGGAACGAGCCGGAAGTGAAATCAGTGTTGATATTGCCGTACAGTTAACAGCGCTTCTTATTCTTGACGAAGCATTATGCACTGGTACTCGAGCGAATGTACTTGTCAAGTATGTTTCTGTCATTTCTCTTCATTAGAATTGAAACCTAACTGAAACTAAAAGATAGGCGTTCATGGTTATTCAAACAACTATTACCGCGTTCATTACTTGATCAATTCTCATTAAAACAATTGATCCATCGTGTACGAGATCATCTTCAACATACTCATAATATCACTCAAATGATTGTCGCCAGACAATTCATAACAATATTTTCGGAAAATACACGATCATTTGCAGGAAAACTATTCCCTGTGAAATTTCCCGTATGTCATTTGATTTTTGTATACGATACAACAATCCGTTTCTATTTCTAATATATCCAGGATAAACATCGAGATTCGATTTTACTTGTTGGACCGCGGCATCCAATCGCCATCGTTGATCAAACTCGCCGACTTAATTCACCTGTAAGTCACCAGTTAAATTCAACTCATATGTCGTTAGTATGAATAATTTTTCAGGCTATTACCTTAGTTTCTGCATGGTCACATCTTAGCCGTGTTATCGTTAAACAATATCGAAATGGTGTTGCTGTTCGTTTGATAACGACTCCTCGAACGACCACAACACTTGATGATGTATCTCTACTTCAACAAGAAATCTCCTTTCTCATTCATACGAATCTACTTAATGATCTGATGGCATTTATCGAAGGCTATTCGCAATTAGAAGCATCAAATGTTCCTCTGGCAATCGAACGAATATCTCATATAAGCAAATCGACACCATATATGTCAAATAGATCTCAATCAATCAAATCATCGACTGAGAATCCAAGTGAATCATCATGTCGATCACCATTTGTACAACGAATATTAAGCAATAAGAAATACCATCAGACGTATTCATTAACAAACCCGAAACCAACACCACCAGCTAGCCCATCATTATTTGAGATCACGCGACAATTTTTCACACGAAATCCGACGAAAGTGATGGATGCCGATGAACACGAAACAGTTTCTAATGTTCCTAATCGCACGACACTTGTCACATGGCGTACCATAGCTGACACTCATGCAACCACACCACCACCTGCGCCCGTTCTTTACCGAACCGTTATCGACGTGAAGAAACCAGGTAGAATTAATGTTTCTCTCGACATGCTGTAGTAAATACTTTTTCCAGGCCAAATCGCACAAACGAGTGATGATGATGACGATGATGAAGCACCAGACGTGATCGGTATGTATTCAATCGCACCATTCTTTTGGTTCCTTCTTCAGCATAATCAAGTACATCTAATTAATGCAAAGTATAACCTTTACTGATAAATATTTGACGAGTCGATAGGAATTGAAATTGAATTGATACTCTACGCAATTATTTGAAAGAGTGTGTGCGTTTCTTTTTATTAGATCTGACAACATCGTATGGTTATTATGGTTGTCTTAGTTTTCCTGTTCGACCACCATCGCCGTTTGCTGATGGTCTTGTTTGGTCAGAAATGACAGAACCACGGAACGAATACGACGATGGCGACGAAGACGCAGAGGAAGATACTGGTGGCGTTGTCGTGTGGTCACCATCAACAAAACAATTATCTATTCACTACAATTCAAACAATAACAACAACAATGTTCCTTCTCCTTCGCCAACATCAACATCGTCACGTATGGGTGGTACATGGAAACGAACATTAGATCGAATCTTAAGACGCGCAAAATTAAGGAAAGGTAATGGAAAATTTCTGCTGACATTTCAATATCATTTTATCTATGTCGATAGATCCAGTTATGAAAATGTATGATTTTGATGCAATGGAAGATTCAATGATGTCACGTCATCAAAGTAAACATGTGCATTGGGTTGATGACCATGAGACAATTTTACAAGCTTGTCATCGCTTTGTTGAGCATTTGAAAATCTTTGTACAAAATGTTGTGCTCGATAAAAATGAAGAAATTCATTTGAAAAATTGTCAAAAGTCTTTAGCGGAGCTGCATATGCTCACGGATTGTTCGGAATTACAACGAGCATTCGAAGAAACAATTCAACTAGCAAGAAAACAACAGAAAACTGAACTGCTTCAACAACAAACTATCCTGGCCCATTTAATCTCTCGTACTGTTCTTCCTTCTTGATTTCTCTTCGTACAATAAAACACAAAAATGCGTATATAGGTTATTCTTTCTTTCTTTTTGATAAAAAAACGAGTTAGAGGAGCAGAGAGAGAGAGAGAACAAGGTCACTTAGCGGTCAAGCTGATTCTCTGTAGATGTTGATGATCAGTTCGCATATGATCCGTGTGTAGAAAGGGTGGAACAAACATGAATGGGCAATGGCATATTCAACATCAACTTGAACTTCTATCTGCACCAACGACAGTACAATATCATAGGATAGATACATATTCATCGATCGTTGAAGGCGTGCAACGTGTTAGACGAGTTTTGGCTGGCGACTATCAAATAGGTTTGTTTAGCATTGAGATTTTTTAAAGAAAACTAGTGGTATATTATTTCCAGAGAAAGAAAGATTAATCCGAGCATGTTACTCGAATGATATTGAGACGGTACGATGGTTACTGGAAAATGACGACGTCAGTCCAAATGATCTGAGAAAGGGTATCAATCGATCAGTCTTGCACGAAGCTGTCTTGCATAGCAATGGTCGGGCACTCGTTCGTCTCTTGTGTCAACATGGTGCTGATCCGAAACAACGCGATTCATTGGGTTTGTCCAGTTGTGAATTGTTCTATTTTACTTTTCCATCTTAGGTCGTACTCCTCTTCATTATGCAGCTAGTTACGGACATTTGGATATTCTTATCGAATTGATGCATTTTATACAAGTTCGCGTATCAACGCTGACAGATTTGGAAGGTCGTTGTCCGTTAATGTATGCTTGTGGTGAAGGTCATTTAGCAGTCTGTCGATGGCTAATCGAATATGGTGATGCTGATTATCATCGACAAGATGATCATGGTCGTTCTGGTCATTCATATGCATGTCGTAATGGACATGCATCCGTTGTTGAATGGCTATTGCCAATCTTACCTCCCGAGCCAACCAAAACAGGTTGGCATCCACTTCATTATGCTTGTGCAGCAGGACACTTTGACATTGTCAAAATTCTTCTACAATATGATAACGAAAATGCACATTTAGTGACGAATTCCGGTCATTCGGCACTGTTCATGGCAATGCATTCGCCAACAAACGGTTTTGAAATGATGAAATACTTGCTAGATTCACATCGGTCAATTCAATTAACCGAACAAGACATTGATGATCTAAACTGTGACAAGTCATTGATTCTATTACTTGCTCAACGTCGTCATTCGCTCACTTATCTATTTAGAATTCTTCATCGAATTGATTATTACTTTCCATTACTTCGTCTTCTTCTACTTAGTGAACATACATTTACTTTCGAAGATTTGCTTTTAATTCCTTACCAAGATCATCAAGCATTTGTGCGTCATCGTTTACAAAATCCATTAAAGTTAAAACAAATTCTGCGCTGTAAGATACGAAAATCACTCGACACAAGTAATACAATTGATGTATTAGAAATTAGTCAAAATTTGAAAAAGTTTATTCGTTTCGAACATATGTAAAAATTATTTGCTTGTGAATGTGTTACATTGTAATTGTGCTAATAATATACTTCGAACATTGGGATCAAGATTACTGATCTTATTTGCCACTTCATCACATGCACCGGGCATACGTTCATTGAAGAATTGATTTAATTCATCTTTCGCAGTTGCAGGAGCATGGGTTATACGAAGACCAGTCGCAGCAGCATCTAATAACAAGGGATAATCATCCATGAAAACAGTTCTGACACCCCATTCGTAGTCAAGTCGTGCCTTAGCTGATTGACATCGAGCAAGAAGACCCACGAACGAAACCGGCGGTTGAACAAGGAATGGATGCGCGATGCTGTCGGATAGTTGAACTTGTATCATAGTTGCTTGTGATGTGGAAACAGCTTGACGAACATAGATGATAACTGAGAGACTTGATCCATCATACGTGTAAGCATTGGTCGTTCCATCTTGACCGTTGATTAGTTCATTGAATGATTCGTAGATAACAGAAGCGCCATTGATCAGAACGCTCGTAGCAGGAAAGACACCTCGTAGTTGAATTTCATACGATCGTTGTGTTGGAAATGAGCTAAAAGAACCGGTTGCAGCAGATATAGCTAAATGGGAAAGAGAAAGCGAAGTAATTCTGTATATACATATGAAAATGAACTAACTGAATTGTAAGGTATTTCCTGATACTGAGTAATCGTAACGAGTGACCGCACTTGTTGTACGCGAAGGATCTTTATATGCTGAAGTAAATCCGTCATCGTCATAAACATATCCTCTTCCTTTGACGGATCCACCGATTAATGTGTACAAGAGTAATTTTTGTGGAATTTGCTGTGCACGACCAATTCTATCACGGCTACTACGTGGTTCAGGTAAAAGTGGAATGATGGAACCAACTTGAGCATAGACTGGCATTTCATCGATCGTGAATGACTTCTTGACTGATGATGATGAAAGATCACCGGTGAAGAAGTTAACCCATTGGAAGTCAGGTGGAAACCAGATGGGCCAATTATCGACAAGACCAGTACTTGCATCGACAGGTTGACTGATGGGTGAGACGAAAATACTCGATCCAAAGAAATATTGGTTTGAAAATGTATAAGCTTCGTCATTTTCCGGATAGTTATAGTAGAGCGGAAGAACAACGGATAAACCTGAATCATATGTACGTCGAGCAGCTGTGTAAAGATAGGGTATAAGCGCTTGACGTAATCGAGTAAATCGGGCTAGATTATTTTGATATATCCAAGGAAACGTCCAAAGTCGTCGATCATTATTGGCATTTTTCGTGCAATGTGTTCGAAACATTGGTGAAAACGCACCCCATTGAACCCATCGTGTATACAATTCTGGATCCGGTTCTTGAGTGTGTCCACCGAGATCATGACTCCAAAAACCGTAGCCAACATTCGCTGCTGTAGCAGTAAAACGCGGTTGAAATGAAAGCGTGTCCCATGATGGTATCACATCACCAGAAAAGCCGACTTGATAGCGATGATTGCCAAGGCCACCCCATCGATGTAGAAGAGCTGGACGATTCTGTCCAAAGTAAGGATCAGTGAAAAAGACGTGATTCAACCAAAACGTTGGATTTGTATATGGTATATCGTTCATCCAACCTTCTTCACCTTGTTGCCAATCTAGCCACCAAAGATCAATACCGGCTTGTTGAAGCGCATGTAGAACAATATTTGCCCATGCTGACGTAAATTTCTTGTCGGTTACATTGAAAGGTACGTAGTGTTTTGTTGAAGGATCGATGCCCATAGCTTCTGCCATCTCCTTGTACTTTTCTTCCCATGGTTGAATACCTGAACAAGAGGGACAGGGTAAGTGATGATTGAAATAAAACAAATATTTGTATACCTGATGCTGGATGGAGATTTAGAGTATTTTTAAGTCCTAGTTGTTTACACCATTGAAGAAATTTTTGATGATCTGGAAATAAATGTTCATCGAATGTATACCCTGACCAACCAATTGTTTGGCCAGCTTGATCTTTTGTATCATTCGAAGCTAATTTATAAAATGTAATATGCCAATCCATATCGGTGACAAGTACATCTAGTGGCACGTCGTGTTGAATATATTCTGTAATGATTTGTCGTTCTTCGTATTCAGCATATGCCCAATAACGACTGAAAAATACACCGAAAATGTACCGAGGTGGAAGTGGAATCGAACCAGCCAGACGAGTAAATTCGTATAGAGCTTGAGGATAAGCTCGACCATGACCAAACAAATATAAGTCTTGTTGTGCTTGAGATGAATAAAAACACGATGATGGACTTTGAAAACAGCATCCACGCAGTTCACAATCGTGTTGATTGGTATTATTGAATGTGCCACAAGTTCGACGTTCGTTCACTGGTACAGCTTGGCAAAGGGATGGATCAGGTGGTGAATATTGTTTATTGACAATCCATGGCCATTGTGGATCGTCGTCTAATTGTGGTTGATGAGTATCATCGACAAGAGCATAACCACGACGAGAAATAACGCCGTAGGTACAATGTAAATCACTACGAGGTTGATTTCGACAATCTAGTTCTAATTTGGAATCACGATTTCCATCTAATGTACGAAGTGTGCCGAGAAGATTACCATCAAACTCTTCGTTCGGTATAGCATTCCATACAACAGTTTCTCCTTTCGAAGGATTGACTTTGACGGTCACACGAATGTTGTGTTGACTGAACGTTGTTGCACTATTTCTCAAATATTCTAATGTGATATAGTTCGTATCGATTCGTAGATGAGTATCATTTCGGGTTACATTATAGACTGGCGGCGTTGGTTGAATTTGACGTGATTGTACTAGCCATGTTTTACCGTCGAGAAACTCTTTCGTTGGTGACCATTCGAGACGAATAAGGCGCGTTGATAAGATGGTAAATCGAGCTTGACCTTCGTAGACTATCGATGAAGGGTCAGCTTGTAAAATATTGCCGAAGGCCGTTGCAGTAAGTGCAGATAACCATAAGATAAGCACCACCGCCATAGCTGTTAAAAAAAGAAAAATGATAATTGAAAATGATTCTTTCGATGCGAAACATTACTTAGTTTATCAAACAGTCCTGGACAGATAGATAAGGCAATATTTACCTGATCGAAGTCGTTCTTCGAGTATCTTGGCATACTTGAAAGAGCGGTTATCAGTAACCACTGCGTTCTCGAATCTTATTCTGTTTGGTATGTAAAAAGCGAAAAAAAAAGAATTCTAATTCATTTTATCTCTACTCAATTCGTAAAGATAGAGTGTCGCTCCTCATATTTCAATTACTCAGCGTCGAACATAGAACATCAAATATTATATAATTCAATTAATTGCGAATGGAGATAAATATCTTTGTACAACAATCAATGATGAGTGTACGGATGCTTTTTTTTTTCAATTTTAGACTTTCGACCATAGTCATCCTTCTTCTAAAATAAATGAAATCCATAATGATTGAACGAATATTTTCTAAGATGCTCACAGGTTTGTTTTAAAGTTAACTCGATAAATACCTTCAAACTTTGACTGTATGCACACAGATTGATCTTATACCTATATTTCATTATACGCTACTCTAGCGACATCCTTCCTTATACTAATGTCTCAGTGCGTCTTAAGTATATACTCATATCTTCGTACCGTTATTCACTTATTACATAAATCGTTCTCTCTTATGCCATACTTCCAGGCAGGATAGCGTATTCTGTATATGTCGCCTGGTGACAGACATTAGGACTACTTGATTTCCCTAGTCCAAGTACACGAGAATGCTCTCATTGCATTTTCACGTTACAGAAAAAAGACATTTTTCCTGTTCTCGTCGCATTATATAGTTTCGTACATTTTTCGTTCTACTATTTCCTTTGCATATCTAGCAAAAATTCCAGAAGAATCTAAAGGATTCTAAGATATTCCATAGTGTTCACGACAAAAACTACCAAGAACTACGATCTGTTGTGAAAGTTTTGCCAGAGTTTCAATGGCTCAATCTGTCATCTGTTCATAAGTTCTAGATAATTATAGCAGGTTGTATAATGAACTATTATATTCTAGGCATTATCAACAGAGTCGAGAAGATAGAGAAATCATCATAGATCACGTGATATACTGAGTTTAATCAGTTGATACAATATGCATTCATAGATAGATAAAAGAGTTAATGATCATAATTGCACGATGACTGTTTATCGCCTTCATCAAATAAAAGATTTCTTCTTTCTAAAAGGCCTTTCTTTAGAATAAAGATAATGAGCGATTTGATTTATTTGAATTCATTGGAATTAACAAACTCGAGCTGAATGAGTTGGATGGAAAGTAGTACCACCAATGGAGTAGCAAAGTGATCGTGGACCATTGGATTCTTGTGAAAAAACATCAGCCCATTTGCCGACAAGACGTTGATTTTCACAACGGACTTTCATCCATTGAACACCGTCGGGAAATTCCATTTCACGTGTTTGACCAGCATATATATTTCCACTAGCTAATGTTAATGGACCTAAGCTATCTTTGACATCGATAAAGCATCGGGCAACATATGCACCACTTGATGAGATGGTAATCTTAATACCTTGGGATCCAATAACTATGAGAAACATGAGTTTTGCGTGTGAAATTCAACACAAAGGCAAATTTGAATTAGTATACATACTGAGAAGAGCGAGAAGAGCAATTAGTTTCAACATGGTTTTGTCTATGAATCTGATGCCTGATCAAATGATTGTCATATAGCTGATTGGCAATATATAAAGCGCCTGAATCCGGACAAATATCACGCCATTTTCAGTTAACCATCTGTTAGATTTCTCAGTGCCCTCTGCTTTCTCTCACGGCTTTTGTTCTAGTCGTTGGATTTTATGAAAACAAAAACGAAGGATGGATAATATAAGTAAATAATCGATCATCGATTAGATGTTTTTATAAAATCAAAATAAAACAAAACAAAACAAAAAACAAAACAATCGTAATAAAACTAAACCTTTTCAGTTGCCGAACGTGTCATAGGAAAGTATTTTTGTCGCTGACGATAATCATGCATCATTCGACGAGGTGGAAAATCAACCAAGATCGGAGTTAATGTGTCCGAGAAAGGATCCATGTTGCTAAAAGGATTGAAGCCTGGTGGAAATGGAGACATAGATGTACCTGAGAACAATGATGCGAACGGAGACGATGGTAAAGCAGGTGGAGGTAATAATGAAGGAAACGCCGACGATGAAAGTTCCGAAAGTGTTGCCGCAGGAAGATTTAGAGATGGAATTATCGATTGGATTGACGATGTAGGAGCTGATGGGAATGTTGTTAGAGATGGATTTTGAGACGAAACTAATGATTGAAATGACATTGGAGGAGCTGATGACGCTGTGGGCAAAGCAGGATATCCAGATGGCGGTGATGATTGGAATGGTGGTGAAGGAGCTGCAGATGTTGGCGCAAAAGGAACATTTACCGATGGAGCCAATGATGGAAAAGGTGATGGAATTGTGACAGACGGTGGTGTTAGAGGAGGATTTGCAGATGCAAGAAATGATGAAAAAGGCGACAGCGGCATGTCTAACTGCGATAGAGCAGATTGTGTTAAAATGGATGAAAGTGCTGTAGGTGGTAAACCACCGTTAAATGGTACTGAAAAATAAACAGACATGTGTATATTGAGAAATATATAGAAATAATAATAAAAAACTCACATGGTTGAGCAAAGGATGAGAGAAGTGAACTGTATGGTGATGGATTGACTAGAACAGAAGGATGAATGTAATGATATTTTAGGTCTAGCCGTGAACATACTTGGACAAAGATCGGAGACTGGTGGAAGCAGTTCGCAAGGAAGAAGATCAAGCGCAGGTGCAGCACATTGGTTTTTGATAGCTAAGTAGTAAAACTCATAGTGAGGAAAGAATAAAATATCATTTGTTATCGTATACCTCGACAGAATGGCTGGCATGGAAGAACTGGTGGTGCGTCAAATGGTGTTGAACACGGCGGAAAGAGTAATGGACACAATAAAAGACGTAACGAGCGTGTACAGCCTGGTGGTGTTATCATTGGATCCAATATTGTTGTCAAAGCTTGTGCTATTTGCCACTTTTCGACGTGACCAAACGAGTTCGGCAAGGAATAACGAGCTTGTGGAACAGCACCGCAAATATCCGAAAAGAGTGCATATTGTGGATCAACTAAAGAATGGCACGTTGGACCACTTTGAAAAGGCATTTCAGATAAAAATGTTCCAGGAAAGGTCGATAAGAATTTACTATAATAATTAGAAAAAGAAAAACAATCAATGGTTCGAATAAAACTTGTCGTTCATTTACCTAAATCCATAACTATGATCTGACCAATCATCAGCATCATACGGATTTTCATATTGTGCTGGCCAGCGTGTTCGTGATGTATAATCATTCGACACCGCTGACGAGCTATAGGAAGGATAGCGATTACGACGATTACTTGATGATGGTACATAGTCATCTTCTACGTGATCATGACTATCATATTTGCTATAATCGTTATTCTTTCGATCTCGGCGATCTAATACCGATGCACCTAAAGAAACAAAATACTTAAAATTGTCGAAATTTTTGATAAACCATTGACCTACTATAGCTATTGCTTTTTCGACTAGAAACTCCATCCGACAGAGTTTCTACAACAATGGTTAAAAATACAACAAGCAGAAGAACCGTTCGAAATTGCATCAGAATTCTTTCTATCGTGGAAAAGATAGTTTCGAAAATGAAAGTGACTAGATATATACATGCGCTCGTGATTTCTAGGGAGAACAACAATGACTAACCGTCTTTCTTTTGCGTGCGTTATCTTGAGATGAATAAGTACAGTACCTCGATTTAACTATTCTTATACACAAGAAAGAGAAAAACGTGCAAAGACTTTATATGAGAAATAAGCAGCTCAAATACTTTGGATGCTTAACATATACGGTTGAAAACAATGTCGCCATTGACTGCACCACGTTTTTCGATATCACCCTATTTTGCTGCATATGATCCAGCTAAACCGGCACCGGTTATCACGAAAACTGTGGAACGAATTCTCTCTGACGCAGGCAGGTTTTTCTCTTTAATCAGATAAAATTTCTTTCATGTATCATTGATTATCATCTAGGTTCGTTCGGTATCTATCAAATTTCCGTTTTTCTCGTCCTTGGCCTTCTTGCTGTCGTCCCATCGATGGTCGCTTTTTCCTATGATCTCAATGTTGGTGCACCTGATCATCGCTGTCGTCTATCAGTGAACGACACATACAATACTATACATGAACAACATTTTACGAATTTCTTGTCGAAATCGATTGATTATGCTGAAAAGTGTACTATGCCTACGAGTCATTCTTCATCAGATCGACAACCTTGTGTCAATGGTTGGGTGTTCGATATGAGGAAATATGGTACCACACTTACCACTGAATTAGATCTTGTATGTGATCGATTTCATTTGCGAGCATTGACACAAAATATCTATTCGGCTGGCACGGCCGGATCGATTCTTACTGGTATTCTATCGGATCGTTGGGGTCGACGGAAAACGATTTATCTACTTGTTCTTATCTTACTTCTTGCATTGAATATAATGCAGTTTTCATTGCATTCTCGTACCCATAGACTTCTTCTGTTTACAATATGTCGATTTTTTCAAGGCTTCGGAACAACATTTCACTCTGTGTCACTTGTTCTTCTTTCGGAATTAACCGGACCGCGACGACGTGTTCTCGCTGCTAATACACTTGCTTATTCATTTGCATTAGGTCAAATCATCTTAGCTATTATAGCGAAACAGTTCAAAAATTACAAATTAACATACTGGGCATTAACTTTATATGTTTTACCATTTGTATGTATCTACATACTTATACCTGAATCACCCCGATGGCTTATTCGACGCGGTCGTGTACGAGAAGCACGAAAAGTTTTAGAACGAATTTTCCTTATTAATCGTCGACGTATACACGATCGATTAGAATTATTTTATTCCGATTTGCCGACTGATGTCGTTGCAGCAAGAGAAGCCGAACGCAAAAGTCCGACTTATTTGAACGTATTAAAACGACTGTGTCGATCGAAATTAATGAGAAAACGATGTTTACTTCTGATCGGTGTTTGGGCTGCCGCACTTTCAGTCTATCTCGGTACGTATCATTTTAATGTCTATAAAAATTGGATTGTATGGAAAGACAATTCAGCAAAATATACTTAGTTAATTTCGAGAAAAGAATCTCTCCTTAATAACGCAAATCATCATCAATACGAATATCCTTCACGGTTACTAATGAGCAAGAAACCTTCATCACACTCTCAATCTTAATTGATAGTACAACATTCTTTACAAACTTTCATCTTCGCTTTTTTTTTCTTATTTTAAAAATCATTTTCATTTATCCGCTAACGATCAACCTTTCTACTTCGCACATATAGAGGCGCACGACGTTTTTCTTCAAGGTATTTTTGTTTACCTGTCACGTCTGAAAAGATATACATTTTCGTTTCATAAGATGGAGGTAATCGAGCTTTCCTCGATGCAATCTTAACCATATTAATAATGCGCCTTTTCTTGCTCTTATCGAAAACATCCATCAATCATGCAAAGTGTATGCAAAATATGTGCATATTTTCATAAAACCACAGCTTGACATAAATAGAATTTCATTGAGCAGAGACTTTTCAAATCTCAATGTTGTCTATCAGTCGAAGGGAGATAAATATAATGAAAATGATCTCTTAAGGTATCAGCAGTGCATTGACAGTACTTACAAATCGGCCCCATGAATTACTCATAGCTGGTGCTTTTAGCGAAATGATCGGTCTCGGTGTTTGTCATGCACTTGCATCCCGTGTTGAACGACGCCGTCTTCTAATTGTATGCTTTATTGCTACGGCATTAGCTTCAGCTCTTGTGCCAGTCACTCGAGATACTCAACCGCATAGTAAATATTCACTTTCTTTTCCAATTAATTCAAACTAGCTATTCTTTAGTCAGTATTTTGTTTGCTCTTCTTGCAAAACTGACCACATCTTCATGTCAAATGTTGATTGTTGTTTACACGACTGAAACCTATCCCACAGCTCTTCGTTCTACGGGCGTCGGTCTATCAGCATGTATAGCTCGTCTTGTTTCCATGATTGGCCCGCAACTGTCTGCTACTCAATATTCACTCTGGTTTCCATTGCCGTACGTTGTCTATTCGATAGCATCATGTCTAGCAGCTTTGGCTGCTTCTCAATTACCACCAATACATTCACCGTGTAAATTACCTGAAACGGTTCATGAAGTAGAAAAACAACATGTACAAGTGACATTTGCCGTTGCTTCACCAACGCGAACCATCACTGAACGAAGACCTTCGTCAGCATTGATTCGAGATTTAACTTTAACGAAACCAAATTCATCATCAATTATTCCTGACGCGCCACCATCGTCGAATCTACGACGGCACTCAACAGTTGTCAGTTTAGCTCGACAAAAATCTCGAACTACTCGTCTTCCAACAATAACTGATATGAATGAAGATGAAGTTTGTCTCCTGATTTCTATTGATCTCATATATAAAATTAAATGTGTACTTTTTTTGCGCATTAGGATGATATCAAGTCAAATGAACAACAATTGATCTCGGCGATATCACGAATTAGTTCATTACCAACCAATCTATTTGCACTTCGACGAAATAGTAGCACTTCTATTGTTCCCGTTCATAATATGTAAATTTCCGTTGAATGAATTAAATAATTTATTTTTTCTTGTGTCTAAACAAAATTACTTGAATAAAATTCCAAAATATTTCGTGTGTTACACTTTCATTTTCGAGTCGAAAATTCGAGAATCAATAGCTTATCGATTTAATTTTTTTTCCATGATATCGATTTATCCAATTAAAGAAAGGAAAAGAAAACATAGCTATGATATTCACTCTATAAAGACGTCTATAGACGAACGTGCATATTTTTCGTATGTCATCTATTATAATCAAGGACAAGAGAAAAAGTCCATCAAGGAAAATTGAATCGATTAGCTGTGTTTTTACCTATTAATGCTCACCATTACTACCATCTAATGCTAATTAATCGAAACAAAGAAAATCATCTTTAACAAGTTCATTTTTGACTCGTAATCAATTCTTAGTTTCATGTTTCATAGCACGAACAATATATATGCCATAAAAACAAAAAAAAATATATTATCATCATGTTGAGTTCAAACCAAGTTAGTACATGCTAGGCAATGGTCTTCTTTCTTTTTCTTGACACTGTCTGCTTAACTAAAAAAAGTGTACACTGACAGTTTCGCTTCTACAAAGCAAATTCTCGATGATATAGATAACAAGATGATGCAAGCATCTTTTAAGGGCAGACAGTAACCATTCACTTTTCTCTGGTTTGTAAGCAAAGGTATATGAATTAATAATGATGAAAATCATTTTTTAATTTATATATATATGTCGCTTATCTGCATATCATATCAGCGGTTTTTTACATATATATGTATCAAAGTTAAAAAACAAAATAGTCGTTGAAGAACGACCTTGAGTCAATAAATGTTTGTTTGTATCATCAAAGTACGAATATAGGAATGAAAAAAAAAAGTGCAGAGAGAAAGGCACTGATGCATGACATGAATACAAATGCATGTAACGGCAGCTCTGTTTTTTTCCTTCACCGGTGGATATATATGTTTATGTGAAACATGAAGGTGAGGTTTTTTGAGTGATATATCACCGTTCTAATATTTGATTCGACATATATTATCAAAATCTATTCACTCACCACATACCTGTGTATGTGTTTACGCCGGTTATTCACATAGAAAAAAGCAAAGCAATAGAAAGGGTAAATTGCATATTCGATATCGAGACTAAAAAATGGCCACAAGTGGCGATAATAAAAAAGTAGATGAGAGTACTATTAATGATTTAGTAAATGTGGGAAAAGTAGGAACGTCATCGGAACAATCAGTTACCATCAACGATCCGGTCAAAGTTACGATTACAGTTGTGCAAGCTGATAAAGATGATAAGACACAAGCACAATCTTCGTCATCATCATCAGCAGCGACAACAAGTACCAATAATGATTTAAACACTTTGGGAAAAACTGAAGGCTCTTCAGGAACTCAATCTATTATTATTAATGATCCTGTAAAAGTAACTATAACAGTAACACAGGCCGCTTCAGAAGATAAACTAGCAGCAACAGCGCCAGCTCCAGCAGCACAAATCATAACTACACAAACAACATCGACAACTGTAGAAGAGGAAGTGTCCGATCCTGTGACTATAACACCTAAAACAAATAAAACTACCGATGAAGAGAAGTTGTCGACGGCAGCACCAATTGTGGAGGAGCCCGACGCAGCAGCAGAGAAAGTGAATGAAGAAACGACGACGACGACAACAACAACAACAACTGGTCCATCAATTGAAGAAGTTAAAGAATCGACACCTGTTGATGAAAATAAGAAAATAGAAGAGAAAACAACAACGTCACCTGACACTTCTACCGAGGACAAGAAAGAAGAAGCAACACTGGACGAGAAGAAGGAAACTGAACCAGCGTTAGCTGCTGCTGCTGCAGCACCGGCTGAAGAAGTCAAACAAGAGACTGTAACTGAAACTACCACTGAAGAAAAGAAAGAAGAAGCACCTGCTGCAAGCATTCCACCAGCTGAAGAAGTTAAGAAAGACGAAACCAAGACCGAAACTACCACCGAAGAGAAAAAGGAAGCTGAACCAGCGTTAGCTGCTGCTGCTGCACCACCTGCTGAAGAAGTCAAACAAGAGACTGTAACTGAAACTACCACTGAAGAAAAGAAAGAAGAAGCACCTGCTGCAAGCATTCCACCAGCTGAAGAAGTTAAGAAAGACGAAACCAAGACCGAAACTACCACAGAAGAGAAAAAGGAAGCTGAACCAGCATTAGCCGCTGCTGCTGCACCGTCTGCTGAAGAAGTCAAACAAAAGACTGTAACTGAAACTACCACTGAAGAAAAGAAAGAAGGTGCACCTGCTGCAAGTATTCCACCAGCTGAAGAAGTTAAGAAAGATGAAACGAAGACTGAAACTACCACAGAAGAGAAGAAGGAAGAAGCACCATCTGCTTCAAATGCCCCACCCGCCGTAGAAGTTGTAAAAGAAGAAACCAAAACTGAAACTACAATTGAAGGTAAAGACAAATCAGTATCTGAAGATACAAGTAAATCCGGAGACGCCAAGACAGAAGAAGTATCCCAAGCAACTTCTTCTGCATCAGCAACTCAGGAAACACCAAAAACAGGAGAAACAACAAGTGTTACTTCTACAGAAACCAAAACCGAATCTGAACCCGCTTTAGCTTCTTCTGCGCCCGATGCAAAAGATGCTAAATCAGCAGCAGAAAACACAACTATCACTGACGATAGTAAAAAAGAAGACGAATCTAAATTACAAGCTGCTCCAGCTTCGGAAAAAGACGATAACAAACCAAAAGACGTTGACTTTCCCATAGTGAAAGACAGCGCGAAAAATCTCACAGATTTTCAACGCAAGAAAGCTGAATACTTTTTCAATGTTAATTTAGGTATGTTATTTCACAATTGCAAACATAGTGATTCCTAATTACTGGAAACATTTTTCTCAATTTATTTCAGATATTGAAAATAAAAAATATGTAACATGGGATGATGTTGAATTTTATTTATTGGTAGGAGAATAATTAAAAACATAGTGACAAATATTTTTGATTGATTCATATTTTCCCATTAGTTTCATGTTACTGCTGCTGGAAAGGAAGGTGCCGACGGTGGTGAATTAGAAAAACGATTAAGTCGAGCTGCACGTGCTTTTTGGGAACATATTCATGATCAAGTACCATCATCCGATGGAAAACGCGATAAAGTCACATTAGAACAATTTCTTGATACATGGGCTAGTCTTATTGATTATTTTTTTAAAAATGGTAAACTACCATCGTTAGTTCAAGATTTAGTCGATCTTGGTTTCGAATTATACTCAAAAAAGGATGGTGACGGTACATCATCATCGATTCCTGCATCATCGTTTGACCAATTGTTTCAAAAGATGAATCTTGAACCTCGGCATGCATTGGTAGCATACACATTTCTCACAGAAGTAATAATTGCTTTCTCTTGATGTTCAACGTTGTGTGTATTTTGTATGCAATTTAGAACGGTACAAAACCATTAGATGCTGATAAAGTTAATTCGATCGTTAGAGCAGTGATTACATCGTCTGATGATGTACATAATTCACGCTTTCTCCTACCAGGCTTCGCCAACACGATTACCACTAAACCTACTGAAAAGGATGCAAAACAAGAAACACCAGCTGCCGATAAAGGTATCTTCTATTTGAAAGATATATTGTTTTCCTCGACAATACTAACTGTTGATCTAGTTTTAAAACATAGATTATAACTGAATTAAGCAGAGACAAGTTACTATGCATAAACAAAAATTCATCTATTATTTTGCATACTATTTGTTTTTACTAATTACCGTTTTCGTATAGATACGGCTGATAAAGAAGCACCAAAACCTTCTCAACCGGAGCAACCTAGTGAACCGAAAGAAGCACCGAAACCGTCATCAGAACCAAATGCTGCTTCAACCAATCAACAAAAACAACAACAGCAAGCAGGCACACCTCAAACACCAAGTGGATCGGCTAAAACACAACAGACTCCAACCAGTCCACAACAGCCAGGTAAGCCACCATCTCCAGGTGCTCCAGGTGGCACAGTTCGACCGCCTCAATCACCAACTCGTCCACAACAGCCACAGCAACCAGGTAGACCATCGCAACCAAATGGTGTACAAAGCTACCAACAGCAGCAGCAACAGCTACAACCAGGCGCACGACTAACACCTCAACAACAAAAAGATTTCATCAAACTACAGGATGATAATATCCGTCGCTTGTTAAGTTATTATCATTTGGATGATCGTGAAGTCGTCGAAGTAGATGATGGCCCAGCACATCGTTTCCTTCTTGTCCATCCCGAACGACCTTTACCACCTTACGTTCAGCAAAATAAACAATTACTTCAACAGCTACAAGGTTTGTATGCTCTTTTTATTTGTTAGAATACGCAAAGTGGTCTACTATCTATGTTGCAGGCGGTCCAACTATTCTTTCACCACCTGCTCTTCCATCTGGACAACAAACCAGACCAGCTCCAACGCCAAGCCAACCAGCTCCTGGGCGAGAAACGCCTTCGGACGATGGCAAACCAAAAGTTACTTTAGAAGAACGTTTAGCCAGTGGTGAAGCTCAAAAAGGTCCAACGATACCATTACGTAACTTACAACAACAAGGTACGGAAGCACCAACAGCTATACGTCAAGTTTATCCACCAGTAAGTGGATCACAACAACAACAACAGAAAACTCAAGCTGGAGGCTACGGACAACAAACTCAAGTAGAGCAGCCAAAACAAGAAGAACAATTGAAAGAAGAAGAGCCACTAAAACAAGAAGGACCAAGTAAATCGGAAGAACAAAAGAAGCCTGAAGAACAAACTAAGTCGGACGAATCCTCTGAAACTAAGGTGTCGTCTTCCTCATCCGGCCAAACAGACGAGAAGAAGGAAATAACTAAAGAAGATGAGGAAAAAATCGTCGAAAGTGTTTTAAAACAAATGACACCCATTGTTGAACAACTCGTTGCAGCTGAAGTTCGACGTACATTGTTAGCTAAAGAAGGTGGTCAGGATGATGACAATGATTTTGTTCCATTTCCATTCATGTTCGGCGGCGGACCTATGCCACCACCAGTAAGTGAACATAGGTGAGCGAGAAACAAACTTCATCTTTCTTTCTTTCTTTTAGGGAGCTAACTTTGGTGGAGTTTCAGGCGGTGCTGCATTCATTCCTCCCGAATTACTCATGTCAATGATGAGTGATCTAGCACGAGGAGGAGTCGCGGGAGATATGCCTGATTTCTCAGCAAATGCACCCCCACGTGGTCCAGGTGGTGCACCAGTAGGTGTAGGAGGTTCGTGATTTGAACATCGTTTGTACAGAAAAATTCATTTGACATTTTTTTAGGCTTTATGATGTTCGCCGATGATTCTCAAATGATGGGCGGTCAACCCCCACGTCCTTAATTCCATTACAAACTCATTTTTTAACTCTCACTTCATGTCATCTCTTTCAATTTTTAATTCGTAATTATAAATAAATACGTCTAGCGTTTTTTAACCACACTGACTGAAATTCTGAAGTAAATTGTAGAAGATCAATAAACGATTGCTTATTTACAATTTCAACCCCATTCTAAGTGATAACAAGGATTCATAAAATAGAAAATATTAGTTGTTTATCGACATTGAAGAACAATGAAGATAATTTGAATGTGTTACCTTGCTGAAACGAATCTCTTTATTGTCAAAAAGAACGAACTTATTATGTCGATTATTCAAGGTATCAACACTAAATATGTTATTAAACAGGTTTTGTTATTATGACAATGAGAAGACTCAGATTTTAAACCAATGTGTGAAATATCATTTACTGCCGATCAAGAGTTGTTTTAAATGACTAAAACTTCTTATAGTAAAGTAGCTTAGCTTGAAGATGTCCCTTACATTGAAATAACTACTATTAGTTCGACTTTTCTGCATGTATTTTGTACTTTGACAATAACATCATCGATGTAGAGATTCATTTGTTATCATATCTCATCAATCAGTGCTTGTTTTGATTACATTGAGAACTGTTATTATCAACATTAGGCGCCTATTTCAAGCTTTGATGAATGACTATGATAGAAAATCGTCTCGTCAAAGTTTGACTACTGAAACGAGGGTGTCAAACAAGCATACTAATATATTAGAAAAACAAGTCTCTCATTCATTCTTCTCAACACGTTGATCAGTTCACTTTCAATCGAATGTATATTTGTTTCCTCTGAACATTGCACAAGTGATGCTCTGTTGTAGGAATGAAAAATGGCAGAACAATGCGGATAAAGTCTAGTGCAGTATAGTTGAACAAATGTATTCTATTTCGAGTTGCGTTCTTTATTATGCTTATTCAGTGGACTCGCGCGTTTTAATTCGTGCATTTGGATTAATCGAAGCGATATGATCGTTGTGCACATCGAACTTCCACTCCGTAACCGGATATGTTACACCATCAAATGGTTGTTCAACTGAGAACGTTTGTTCTTCGGTTTGTACATCCAATCGACTAATAATTTTACGGCAAATAAATGGAGTCTCAGGCGTCGGTTGATACTCTCGTTCGGGTATACAAACTTGACCACCACAGTCGAGTTTTACTGAAATTGATTCTTCATGTTGACGGTTTGGACCCGATGAGTAATGTATTGTGCATAATACTGGTTTGTCTGTTTTATTTGAAATGACCCCAGCGTAAACATGACTAGGTGCTGCGCATGTAACTGACGAAGTAGACGACATTCGTTTGTAATTGTTTTTCTGATTGAAATTGTATCGGACACGTTTACCAACAACTAAATGGTTATATACCACAACTTTCCACCCACGAAAGAAAACAACAATGATGAATAAGAGACAAGTGAAGTATTATTAATATATTTATCGATGAAGCTTCGGATTTCTTTTCGTTTTTTCTCTTTCCCTCACGTTGTTTTTTCTGCTTACATTGCACAGAATCTTGTTTTTTGTACGTGTTAACATCGAAACGACGCCATCATCGAACATAATCGAAGAGAAAAAACAAGAAAATGTATATTATTATATTAATTGTAACTTTTATCTTATTCTTATGTGATATAAATAATAATCATTGTTCTTTTCTTCTTTTCATCTCGCGAATATTTGATTCAATACGAGATTAAGAATACTGATTTTAAAAAAAGTCTTGAAATATATTAGGAATGCGAGTTAGGTGAGTGATTTTGATGGTGATGGTGATAATATCGATGAATATACAAAAAAAGCAAATGTAGAATGAGTAATCATTGTGTACGAATTTGATAATCGCCATTTTGTGTTATATATCGAACCCATGGTAATGCTTGATAACCACTTTTTTCTATGATTTTTAAGTAACGAACCTGTATAAGAAATACAAGAAGAAAAAACAAGTGATGAATCACCGCATATATGGGAGATAGTCACATACCTGAATGCCTGACGTCGTAAAGTAAGGTATTTCAAATTTGACTTGAATTGGAGGTTTGGCTTCTTGATCTTCGCTTTGAACGCTTGGTAGTTGAAAATGAGCGCGCATTAGAAATTCTTTTCCACCCTAGAAAGATTTCCAACAATATTTTTCATAGTCGTGTGTGAAAACAGAAACAAACTGGGAAGGATTTCATTGACCAAATCATTGAATTCTTTTCGGGAACATATTTCACCGTCCCACACGTTGTTTTAAATCGACCTGTGTCAGCATCCGATGGAACAGGAATGATTATTTCTACGTTATTTGCCGTCGAACGACGTTTAAATTGTGATTTTGCCTTAACCATGTATTCAACACGTGAATGAGAATGTTTCTCGATCGAGGATTCAATCCAGATCAATGGTTTGACCTAAAACGAAGTTCAATCAACGTCTTTGCTTCCCTCAACTAACAAATGTCTGTCTACTTGGGTGTTCAATCGATAAGACATCAATTCGAATTCACCGTCCGGTGGAACAAAAGAAATCGTTCGATCATTTTCAAAACGAGATAGACGAACACATTGGTGAAATTTGACATCTTCTAATTCAACACCCTTGTTTTTCGTACCTAATAAACGAAGAAATATGAGATGTACGACGAAGTTTCTTAAACATACGTCCTGTTGTTTCGAAAAGAACTTTATCATTGAGGCCTAAACGTAATTCAGGCATGCCGCTGAGATAAACACGCATTTTGATTGCTCCATTGATTTCCGAACGTAGAACATTGCCATTTGAACTCACCTACAAAACAAGAAAATCAAATCTTGAAATGACAATGAAGATAAGTCAATTACTAAAAGGTTGACAGATTCAATAACATCGAGGAAAACTTCGTTTTTCCGATATTTTAATCCTTCGGATCGCCAACTGACTGTTTGAGTTAAAGCTGGAGGGGGACGAACATCTTCGAGTTTATGTCCTTCTTGCGTAATATATTCTTGAAGAATTTTAGAGTCAGTCGATTGAGGAAAACCGAAATCCATTAATTCATCGAGTAATTCGTAAACGATAACAAAATTATCTCGAATCGATTCTTCTTCCAATTCTTTAAAATATTCACAAAATACACGCACACATTTGTAGAGAAACGATAAAACCATAATAACATTTGCGTTAATCTTCGTTGTACACACAACTACAAGAATTCAAAAAGAACAAATCGAATGTTTTTTCAAAAGAGAAAATACGAACGATAAACATTGTTATATTTTATATAGACGAAAGCAACGTCGCCATTTTCGAAGATCGGGGATAGTTGAGATTCATCTTCTTTTTCTAATAGCAATTGCATAAACTTCTCGATCACATTCATCTCAATATCTCCACGGTAATTCCGAGATATGAGCACCTAAAGATAATCATTCGCATCAAGCTACTCAATCAAACAAGTGAACCTACTTTGCCTTTCATATCCAAAATATAAATAGCTGATGCCGACATTGCCTAAAAAGTGCTTATTGAATGAAAACTAACGACTAGTAAGTATCAGAGAAAAGATAAGAGAGTCAAAAAGATTAGGATTTCGTTTTGTTTTGTTTTCTGTACTAGTAGGTATATCTTAGATAGAAGTGTTGATTCGCAATGAAACCAAACTAATCTTACTCATCGACCGACAACTTCGGCCAATCAACACATTTAAATTGATAGATGGCAGACATGAGCGCTTTCTTTTGTTCATTCAAATGAACTTCTTATTTTCAATACCAACACGCTAGTCATTGTGTAGCACGAATAATCTGTGAACCCGAATGATTGTATGTTTGATGCATTCGATAAAAATCTTAACTACGAGTCTAATTTGTTATGGTTATGCTTCGATTTCTTTCGTTTATACTACATTTAATTGCTGTTTTTTATGCGGTGCTTTGATTGAGTGCGATAACAAAAATATTTGCAGTTATATGTTTAACAGATGGGTACGGATGATGTTATGAATTATTTTTCTACTTCTATGTAGTTTAACGCACGGAATGACAATGTGAACTTTTCTTTACAGCGAAACTGAGAAATAACTATTGCACAGTTTTCATAGACAAAAAATAAACTGTTCACGTTACAAAAGAATTTAGTGAATTGAAGTCAATTGTAAAATTGCCTTTCGATATTTACACTGTCGTATTGCTCTTTACACTCATTTCTTCTGTCGAATGTGCCGGACAACCAGTATTATATTGAAAACGATGATGAGTAAAATCGATAATCCATGATTAATAACAACATCACATGTAGAAAGAACAAATTGGTCATAATAGCACATGTAATCACACAAAGATTGCCGGTAATCATTGTAATTTTCACAAGGAGAAAAGAACGTAACAATGATACGAAATAGATTATTATAAATCGTCGTTAGAACAAGTGGAAAGTAATGAACGAGAACTTTTCAAGTTTGTGCATTTATCCATCTACTATGGAAAACTTCGATATGTCTTTCAATGACAGCTCAATCCGTTAATATCACCATCATATTGGACAGTCCGATATCAGCATATGACCAAATTTGGTAGAAAACAAGTGTTTGTAGCCAGACATGACCAATTCGAACGAAGATCATGTAAGGAAGGTTATCGGTCAATTGAATGAGCAATGTCATAAAGGGCAAAAGAATGATCACATGATTACGCAATGGTTTTCGGAGTGTTCGTTATAGAATACATCGATAGAGTAGGTACATTGTGCATAGCACTTGAACTTCAAGATAGATGTTTTTGAAGAACTGATTACTCAAACATGAAATATCTTTCGTCAGAATGCCAGAAACCTTTTTCTTGTGTTTACAATAAAACTCAGACTCGATGGTAAGCCGTGGCGAAGATAATTGTATAGAACAGATAGCTGATAATCTGTTACGATCAGAAGAAAAAAAATGAATTGCTGCATTCGCATAATTTCTTTCAAAGAATTTCTATTGTGATGGTTTGCCCTTAGAAAAAAAAGTAGATCGACAAAAGTTATATTTTCGTGCACCGTACTTCGCATTAAGGAGGAGCGTAGATGCAATCTACTTTTCTTTATGTCGAATAAATCTCGTGGACTTACACGGGCGAAGTGCTAGTTTAACATATCAAGCTTTACATCGCCTGATCCTAATGTTTCTTTTATCTTATTTTTTACTGAATAGTTCGCTAGATTAACCAGATCTTGAGATATTGACGACACGTGGTCGAAAAATTCAGTAGGATCTGTTATTTACCGCACAGAAAACTGTATTGTAAATCCGTCTCTTGCCATTTGAGTTTTTATAAATGGTAACATTCACGAATATAATTCCGTAACCCTTGCTCATGGGACGTAATTCATTTCTTCTACTTATTAACCTTCATTACTGGTTCAAATATCAAACTCTGAAGCTCAGTCTATCGTACAAACGCTGTCGTTACAACATACGAAATTATCGACCATATAAAGCGTATCAATCAAGCATAAGCAATGGTTTTCACGCACAGAGCGTATATGTAAGATGGCAATTTATTAATGTCTTTAATACATTTGATAGATTTCTTCAGATAATGCTGAACATTGCACTATTCATGATCTTCAACATTTGAAATGTTTCACAAATCATACAACAAAATTTTAGTTGACTCATCCTATTCATAAAATACTGCATTTTTACCATCAGGAACCGATTCACTGTAGAGACATCAGAAAAATATGCTATTCAGTTGCAAGTGACGAAAGAAAATTCAAGGTTGTCATATAAATCTCGCTTTTCATACCCACTTCTCTTTGTGGTTAGTTGAAAAAAAGAGAGAAAAGAAGAAAAATGCATCTACTCTCATCAGCTTACAACGCGACATCGACGAGAAGCCGTCGTTTGCCGTAGAAAACAAGAAAGAAAAACAAATAGAATCTCACCATTTTCATTAAAATATAACACGATGAACTCGTGGGATGCTGAACGTCAACGCAAATTAGACAGCGAATTCGATAATGTATATCGCGAACATGAACGACTCGAACAAGATTTGGCTTCTAATCAATACCCAAACTATCAACCACTCATCGATTCAATTGATAAATGGGAACAAGACGCAATAAAACGTATACAAAAAACAGCAAAGAAAGCACGAGATGACGTGCAAAGAGTGCTAAAAAAGACCAAACAACAGTTACAACACGCTTTGTACGATACAGTTACAGAAGAATTGCGCGACACGTTAGACAAGAAGAATAAACTTACGGAGTTTTGTATTGATCAATGGTTAGTCAAATTATCCGAACTTCGTAAACAATACGAAAATCTTTCTTCCTCGGTTCAATTTTCATATAAAAATGCTATTCAATTAATTAGAATAGATGAAGCGAGCTTTGCTGGAAATAAATTTCCTGCTCGACCATATCGTTTCAAGAAAATTCGTGGACGGGTAACGTTTTTCCATGCTGAATGTCTCATCAGTTTCGACTCTCCAAGTGTTATTTTAAGTCAAGACAAATACTCAACTGGTACTCATTATTTTCATTTTCGCGTGGAAAAAAGTGCTAAAGAACTATTTTTCGGATTTGTCAGCACTATCGACTATGAAAATCTACAAAAGAATCTTCAACCGATCGAATCTATGTACGGTTGGTGGAATATCGACCGTCGCGTTCTAGGTGGTCGAAAGGAACCCTATGTTTCTGCTTTAAACATATACGGTGGTGATGAAATTATTCTCATGATCAATTGTCGTGCAGGTGAAATTTTCCTCGAATATCCATCCATGACGAAACTGAACTCCATCAAAGTTCCAGACACATTCCGTTCACATTCATGGCAAGTTATGATCGAAACAGGTCAACCTGGGAAATGTTTACTTCGAATACTCGACTGGGGTTTAGTAGCACACGGGAAAAAGTATCCCGGAAAGCATTTGCACTGTTTTTGCGAACCAACTTAATCATATTCTTTTATAGTGTAGAGGCACTAAACTTCCTTTTCATTGAAAGAAAAAAAAAGGAATGCCATTTTGACTATGTACTTTACTCATTCGAATATACCGAGAAAGATTGAAGTATTACCGTTATTACAAATATTTGTTAATCGTATTTATTGTCTTTTTGATAACACTTCAAATTTCGAACAGATCAATCAATAACATGTGACATAAAAAGCAAATTGTTCCTCTCTTTTTCTTACACATCGACTAAGCTTTCGTCGGGATATTTATACGTATAATCTAAGGTGTATTGAAAAAGAATAAGAAACAAAAACAACGAATGACTAGAATTATATCAATTCAAGTCTACACATATACATGGTATATAAGTTCACATTGAACATTCCATTAGATCAGCGAGTGCATTGTCAAGTACTTGTCGAGCATAATCACCTACAAAAGAAATAGATTAGCTGGAATTTGAAACAAAAGTCAGGTTTTCGTACTAGGCATTATATGATGTGAATGTAATAATGGCGAACCAATAGACATGTTTGCAATTGGTGATGAAAGACCTGATAAATGACGTGTTGGACGAAATACAGAAGTCATCACCACAGCGTCTAGATGGAAATCAAATGAAAGTCAGTTGAAATGTATTTAGTTTTTATTCGGACCTAGCTGTGGGGAAGATCTGGTGGAATTTGTTGAAGTTTTCAGTGGAATCGGTGAACAATCAGGTGTGACAGGCTTCTCATGTCTTAGCAATTGATTTCCACGATTTTGATATTGACTTGGGCTAGATGAACGTTGTTCACACTGAAATAATCTCGATAAACTTCAATGAAGAAAAACAATTGAACAATTTTACATCGAATATCGAAGAGCGTCGCGGTGGTACTACAAGTGGTATTTCATCCAATAGATCGTCTTCATCATAGAATAGTTTTCGTCGTATTTGAGAATTGTTTAATGAAGAATTCGATATCGTCACGGGCGGATCTTCTTGATCACTGTTCGAAGCGAAACTTTGAATTAACGATTCCAGGTCAGTTGTTGGTGGTAACGAAAGACGTGTTTGACAAGCCACTATAAGAAAAGACTTCCAAGATGAGAATCTTTTGAAATTTACAGAAATTACTATGACGAGTATTTCGCGTTTGATTCAATAGAGAGCTCGAATTCAGCGATGAACTACTTGAATTTGACTGGTTTCTAGCTTTTGGAATGTGATTTGTTGTCACTGGTGTCGGTAGATCGAGTTGTGTTTGACAGAAATCATCACATGCTCGTTGGTATCGATCTCGTTTGTCTTCGTCACTGAAACAGATTTTCAACGAATGAGAACTGGAAAGCAAAGAAATCGAGTGAAATACATACAAGAGAGATGTGTCAATTTGAACAATATGTTCACTCAATTGATGAGGGTTGATTTGTGCTTGACGTTCGATCGAAAGGATATTCTGTACAGATTTATTATCCCGTTCCTAAAAAACCGAAAACATTTGATGGATGAGGAAAACGATTGAATACTTACTTCGTCAAAAATACTGAAACTAGCCAATCTTTGTCTTAAGTGTACTGATGTCGGTGGATCGAATGGATTGGAGATTAGCCGGTAGTCAGGTGTTTTGTGTTCACGAGGATAATGTACGCCATTTTGAAACATAGATTCCGAATTCGGTAACGAATCTTTCATTGTTTTTGCTTGAACAATTGCTTTTTGTCTATTCTCTTCCACCATCAATATCTTTCTTGTCATCCACTGGACTCGCTTGCATTCATCTAACGTAACACAACAGTTGAATGGCGGGAAGGTATGTACACCAACTCCATCTGTACAATGAAGAAAGAAAAGACAAATTCAATTGTGAAGCAAAAAAAAAACAATGTAAAAACCAAATCGTCTAGTTTATTAATTTCCTGCTGCTATAAATTTATTAAAGCACGATACAAAAAAACAAACAATTGTCTGAAATTATCTGGCATACTATGTTCACTATGCAAAGTCGTTACGAAGGTTGTACTTTTCTTGTTGCATTACGAACACTTGTCGGAACTGTTGAAAGCAATTTTTGCTGTTGTGCTAATAACCCTTCGAGATGTTGCGTTCGTTTAAGAGCAGTTTCGTATTTCACGTGCAATTCATGAACTTTTTCATCCTTTTTCGCCACTGCTTGTTTGATTCTGCGAAAAGAAAAGGCGAACGTAATGAGTGAAAGCGAAGTATAGAAGGATTACTTGTCTTGAATCGATTGAATTTCTTTGTCATGTGTTTGTTTCAATGTTTGAATTTCTTCATTCTTCTTTTCTAATTCCAATTGCTGTCGAGCGCGTAATTCGGCTATTTCACCTTTGATTCGACGATTTTCATCGTCAGTTAAAACAAGTCGGTCAGCAAATTCTTGTCGAATGATGTCCGATAAACGTTCACGTTCTTGTTGTAAACTATCAGTGATCTAATACAGATTGATACATCTAATGCAAACACGAACTACATCGAGCATATTTTCTACCTTTTTTATATCAATGATCTCTGTTTCTTTTTGTTTCAGTAGGATTTGTAATCGGTCTCTATCGCCTATTGAAAAGTTTCGAAATGTGAGTTAGAAGGCAATGAATTATCAATTACCTTCGACTTCGGTTAGTTGCGCTTTGATTTGATTATAACGTTCTTTCATCTGTCGTTCCGAATTTTCTAATTCATGAATATCGGTTTCGTATTTATCGCGGAGACGACTACATTGTAAAGATAATTTTCGAGACAGAACACAGAAATCAACTTACTTGACACGATTATCTGCAATACGTTCTGCTTCTTCTTTCGTCGATGATGTTTCAGCTTCGAATCGAGTGATAATTTTCTCAATTTCTAAGTCTCGTTCTTGTTTCATCTGTTCTCGTAATTGTCGTTCTCTACTTGCAAACAATGTCTCTTGTTGTTTCATGTAATTTTCTTCCCAGTTTTGTTTTTCTATTTCTAATTTCTCTTTCAATGATTGAATTTCATTCGCATATCGTTGTTCTTGCTCGAGACGAATCGACTCATATTCACGTTTGCTGACTTCAACAACTCTTCGATGATTTTCTTCGATATCACGACGAAGCCTAGATAGAAACGAATAGTTAAGAAGTAGAACATTTCAACATCTTTGAGATCGTCTACTTATCAATATCTGCTCGCTGTTTAGCTGCTATATCTGCTTGTCGATTCTTTTCTTCTTCGATTTCAGCATAAAGTCGACGTTTCTGTTCGTTGTAAGATTTCTCCTCGTCGCGTAAGGATTTTTCATATTTTTCTCGTGCTAACTCGCGTTCTCGTGCAATAGCAACCTCTTTCTCACGTTCCAATTGATCACGTAGCTCTTCTGTCATTCGAATGTAACGTTGAGCAGCCCGTTCATCAGCTGCTAATAATTCTGCATCATTAATCGCTTTCATTTTTGATAGCTCAGTCTTGTGGTTACTAATCAGCTTTTGAATTTCAGGTTCTAATCCACGAACAGTCAGCTCTTTGATTTTTTTTGTTTTCTCTTCGATCCAACGTTCACGACGTAACTTTTCGGCAGCTTCATGGACATCTTTCAACTTCTGCATTTCTACTTTCTGAGATTCTTCAAGAAGTCGTATTTGATCACGATATTTTGCATCGATAGATTTCAATTCATTCACTAAGAATTCACATCGTTCAGAGATTTTCCTCTTATCTTCCATTAACTAAACGAAAAAATATCAGTTTTATTTTTAGTACAAAAGTACGTAATCGATTATACCTGATCAATGAAATTTAAATGACGTTGAATAGTCGCTTCATATTCACTCTTTTGTACTTCTAAATCACAGTCAAAGTTTCGTTGTGTTGCTTTCCCGTATCGATAACTCTGCACTAACGGTTGACGTTGGTTGGATTCGTGCTCTAATCTTGCTTGTAGATTATTGTCTCCACTGTCTTGAAAAAAATTACTAGTTCGAAGTCCATCTTCATGATGAGACCTAGAACTTGTATCAGCTATCAATGATTTGTATGGTTTAGTTTCCTGAAAATTCGTTTGAATGCAATTAGTTTGACTTTGTCACTGAATCGTACTTTTATTCGTTGTTCAATGGTTGATGACATTCGATTGTGAGGCAGAGAGACACTTTGCAGTACTTTCACTGGCTGTTGCCGACGGTTCGATTGTGAGGAAGCAATGGAACGAGCCGTCCGTGGCGATGGTGAAGGAGTACGATGAGTACTAAATTTTTTAGAACGAACACTTGCAACAATAATATCATATTGATTAGTCTCATCACGGCTAGATAAGGCAGAGTTGGTATGGTGTGAAGTGTGCAGTGGAAGATCATCAATAAACGGCGGTGGTGCTGATGCTGATGGATCAATGAGATAAACTAAAGACAGAAGAGTATTGAAAGTTACCAATGGAGACATGGAATTACTCGAATCATCTTGTAGTTGAGGTTGGACAGGAAATTGCTCAACTTCTTCTAATTTTTTCAATGATTCATAGACATCATCTAATGTAACTTTGGATGTTAATGTTGATGTAGATGACGATGTTGACGTAGATGCTGAGCTGACCGATCTAATTTTCTGCAAAACAAGAGTGTCAAGTGTTTCTTGAATGTAAACGTATCGATTTACTTCGTCGATATGAACGGAAGGTGGTAACGGAGATTGTCGAGGCGTTCGACGACTTCTTGCTACGCTACTAGTTGATGATCGCCGACTATTATTGGTACTCGCATTTCTTTTTTCCTCACGCGGAGTTGCCTATATATAAGATGAAAATGGACGAGAATAAAAATGGAAAGGAAAATTTACTGTCGGTGATGGTACTCGTGGTAATTTTGGTTGATTTTCTGGAAGTTTGTCTTGTTCGAATACGGTCGACTGTTCTTCAAGTCTACTCTCTTCAATTTCTATACGCGATTCATCTTGATGAGATTGTCGAGCGGGTGACGAGGACCTTTCGACAGGCGTTGTTCGATTATCAATGTTGACAGATTCGAAAGGTGACACATGTTGCTCACGTTGATGATCAACTGGTTGAAATAAATCTGCTCCCATGATGGTTCCATTTAGGCTGTCGCGTGACATACCCAGTGGTCCTACATCTTGAGGGTGATGTTGTTCTGAAGGCACAGATAAATTTGTTTGATCCAGTTCATTTACCCATCGACGAGTTTCGTCCCAATCATCTCCGTCATCAGATTTTCCTTCTACAGATTTCTGCTGACTCTGTTCGGTAAAGAATGATTCCGCCTGATGACGACGTGGAGTTAACACATGGAACACACTCGATGCTGTTGATGATCGTGATGACTAAAATATGCATTCTAACATGAAACAACAGTAAACTATTGTTCGAAGCCAAACAACATCCTCAAATGTAATACGATTTGAATGAAAAACAAATATTTTTTAGCCGTGAAGTTCTTTTCCTCGAATGTTCCTATTCAATTTGTAACTCGTTGCATGCTTTACATCGCCACTGTCACAAAAATGCGCATGTAACGCAAATGTTTTATCTACTATGAGACTTTTTTTTAAGATCATATGCAGGCAAGGAAATAATATGTCATACTTTTCTATCATGAATTTGAGGTGATGCTGTCAGAGATCGTTGGCTACTATTGCTAAGGCGTCTAAAAGCATACGGTAGTAGATCTGTTTCTATTTCAATCAGTAAAGATAATGTGAATGTTACCTTTGTCTCGCTTTACTTAAATTAACACTTGAACTGACACTTGGTTTTCGTTCTTTTGCACTACCTAAAATAATTTAGAATTTCATATAACTATAAGATACCTGGCACTTTCCTATTACCTTCTCTTGAAGGCGTCGTCTGTTGTTGTTGGTGTTGCTGAGAATTACTTCGTGCGCTTGATGGACGTGAAGAAATCGGTCCCGGCTGAATCGTAGTACCTTTTATTGATAAATTGAAAGCTACTGATGCTGATTGATCACTCATACTACACTGTTTGTCTTTTGTCAAACTCGACTTCTGTCCAAACCATGATTACCATACATAGATTTCTTGATTTCACTAAAACTAAGCAATAGACTTCTTTTTTTAATCCATAGATGGCAGACAAATTCTCTCGGAGGTTCATAAATTTCATTCGATTGGTTAAATAATGGGATGAATAGAAAAAAGTGGAATTTAAAACATAGAACCGTTCATTCATTACCAACCGATCGATTCTAGTCTGTTTTCCGGTGATGTCAGTAATATTCATCTAAGTCAATTGATTGTTTTGTTTTGTTTTATTTTATTTTAAAATGTCAGACAACGGTATGTACAAATCGGCTTTCGTTCTCTAAAACTTTAAAAGAATTCTTTGAATAGTTGAAACAACTTTATCTACTGTCGATAAATCTGAAAAAGATATCAAACCAGATGATCCATCATCTACTGTCAATGGGTAAGTTCACAAAACTTAGTTCAAATTCATTCCAACTGGATTCACATTCTATAGAGACGTACTTCCATCCGTCACACCTGTTCGATTATTTGGTGAATTTAAACAAAATGGTTTTGGTTTCAATAATTTATCATCATCGTCGGTATTTGGTCAAACAGCATCGAAAGATAAAGCCGATGACAATAGTACACCAACAACATATTTTACAAGCACACTCGCGAAAATCTCATCAACAATAACCAGTGGCTTTGGTTCGTCATCGACACCTTTAGCTGCATCACTTGCAACACTCGGTGCTAAGTACGAATTTCACTCTCAAAATAACTCTTTAATTGTGATTTTCCCTTTCCAGTAAACCATTATTTGGTGTCTCAAGCGCTACAACTCCGAGCTCGTTTACAGATCTGAAAGCTACATCATCAATCTCCCTACAAACTAAAACAAATTCCGATGAGAAAGATGAAAACAAAGATGATGAAGACGACAATAAAACTACGTTACTAGAAACAGTCGCTGAATACGAAGCGAAACGAGCGTCAACACATCCAGCTACGACTATTCAAGGTGATACATCGACTGGAGAGGAAAATGAAATAACCAAATTTCAGGTTCGGATACGTTTGACCTTTTTTGTTTTAATCGCATTTACGTACGATCGATTCGAATATTTAGATGGCTGGTAAATTGTTCATGTACAGTGCTGAACAGCAACAATTTGTCGAACGTGGTTATGGAATATTGAAAATTAACGAAAGTCATGATTCTGCTGATTGGGATCGATCGCAAAGTCGATTAAGTAAACTGAAACGACTTGTTCATATAGAAACATAATGAAATTTGTTCTGTTCTAGTTATGCGGCTCGATAAATCATTTCGTGTTATTCTCAATTCACCAATTTTCCCGAAAATGACAGTCGAAAGAGCAACTGATCGTTCCGTACGATTCGGTGCTCAAGACGAATCGCAGTTACGAGTTTTCATTATCAAAGTAACAGCATTCGATTTCTCGGTGATCTTCTCTAAACCATCACTTCTTCTTAAAAGGCTTCATCAAATGACTGCAATAATTTCTGTCGAGAATTACAATCACGTATTGAGATCTTGGATCAGCAACAGCAACAAACACCAACATCAAACACAGATACACCTGTGCGTATACTTTAATTCTTTTCACTGCAGTCATAACTATGTTTTTCTTTAGACAAAAAGTAGTAATACAAGTACATCGTCCGATGTCGTTGCTCTTGATGATACATCACCAAAACAAAATTCGTCCATTAGTAATCGCAAACGATCACACTCAAAAAGTGACTCCGATGCATCTGAAAGTACCAACGATATTTCGAAAAAATCAAAGTATGTTTACCGAAGAAGTGTTTTGACGTACTTTCAGATCCGCATACCTTGATGAAAGCAGTACTCAAGGAGATGTTTTTCCGAGTCTCTGATTCTGTTTGTAGTTTTTATCTAGTCAAAATCCTTGAAGTATAAACGTATCTACACTGTCTGTCTGGCGTAAAGATAAAATCTCACGTACAAAATAACATCATTTACTCGTTTACGAATAGGACTCGAATCTCGAAAGTAGTTAGACATTAAATATTCACTTTTATAAACTTCTCTTTTAGATTGGTTGAGGGCTATCGAGAAATCAATAAAGATGTCAATCAATCAACTAGCGGTGATGATTCTTTCGAGAGTGGCAAAGCCAATGAATAAGAAAACTTATGAATAGTGAACAAGAAAACCAAGCCAAGCCAAGCCAGAAATTCTTAATTGTTGTTCTTTTGTTTCGTTTTTTATTATTACTATACTTAAGAGAAAAAAATAGATTATCTACAAATAGATTTCGACGTTTTCTTTCACGTCAGACATAACACGGTCCATGTCGTCGCCGTCGTAGCCTTCGTTTGAGATTAAAAGGTAGACAGAAGAAAGTAAGCTGTTGATTATTATGAATTGTTGTGTCATTATCAAAGTGATGTTGTCGATTGATAGCTATACTAGCATTGGATTGTTTCGAATGATAACGATGACATTTTTTTAATGGACGACAAGACGATGGATTCGTTGGTTGCCGCTGACTTTCAAATTTCAATCTCACAGGTGCTGCTAGAACGAAATGTGATGGTTGGTTGATAACAGGAACGAATTTTGGTGTACTGCATAAACACGGTGCGAATGCCATTTAGATCAAATGATTCTTAGTGAGATGAATTTTTCTGTTTATATATATATATATACATATTGGATATGGGGAAGACGAGGAAAGTATATATCCGCAGCATGTGATCGATATGCCGGCAGAATGTTTTATCTTTTTCTGCGTCTTATTTTGCGAAATTATGTTATTCACATCCACCTACTGAGCTAATTGAGTTTCGGTGGAGAAATCATTCGATCAACCATGGTAATGTCAAAGAGAAGGCAAGAAAAAAGAAATATATGTTATTAAATCAATAGTGAGTGCGAAATTCACATCGAGTTAATTATAGATGTTATCTACGAGAAATCAAAGTCAATGGAAAGAGAAATAGAAGACAAGAAAAGAGAAGAGAAGAGAGAAAAGACAAAGGTATTAGACAAATGATAAGATATGTTGTATACGACAAAAAACAACTTCAAATATATGTTTATCACATGTTGTTCGATTGACTGCAAACAGAAGAGTAATCCTTTCGAATAACAAAAAGGTAGATAGGAAGAGATTTTATTATCACTTCGAGAAATGACATTTTGGTGAAGTACAAAACAAGTTTTTTTTTTCTTTTGATGATATATGTTTTGTGTATGTCGTGTTAATCACCGCCATCAATATCTCTGTTCTTTTCCCCCTCTTCCTATCATTTGATTATGGTGGAATGCTTCATGATGTTAGCAGCGTCTTCTAAATATCACATTGCTGTCTTATTGATGTTTATACAAAAAAGTGTCAGTGCGTATATCTAACGCACACATAGAATTCATCATTCTCTACGTACATATGTACGTATCCGCAACTATTCCTTACACATGCATGCTGGAGAAAAGTGCGGCAGGAAAGCTTCGCAGAAATTTGTAAGTGTCTTTGAAGGGATAATTAGAATGTATGTAGGACAGAAAAAGAAAAGAGAGATATTGCATATATAACTAGTTGCATCTACTCTTTCAGTTGGATAAATGATGAATCTCTCTTTCTCTATGTTTTTTCTTCTTCTCTCGACCTCTACTATTGTTCTGTTTTTCTCTCGTTCTATCCTTTTCGTTGGTTGAGTTTCGTTCGTTTGTTTAATGAAGGAAGGACAGAGAAAACGAATGGTGTTCTCTTCTTTTTTTTCTTCTTTCGTTTCGTTTCATTCTTAATATTATTCGAGTCGACGAAGAGTAAATTTCATTTTAGACACAACAGCATGCTGGTCACCTCTTCGCAACCATCAACACAACGCCCATTGGGTTTATCAATCGAGGAACTCTACGCACTAGATCGCCAGTACCGACGAATCGAGCAACAGCAGCAGCACTTATCTCAATTACCCAATTCAACATATCTAAAATCATCGAATTTGAATCGCGTAGCTAGTCGTTCACTTGATTATATCACACCAAAACAAACTCCACTCACTAATCTGCCAACACTCGAAGTGCATGGTCATGCATATAGTTATCGTCCGACAGTTCAACCTTCACCGTCGGCTTTCTTAAATTATCCACGATCACATTCGATAGATCAACTCAGATATATTCCTCCTGTGACTTCGGCGCAGTCTTCAACAGTTCTCAAACCCACATATCAACGATCTACAACTACGAACGATACTCTCCATCAACGTTATCATGCCAGACATCGCAACTATTTACAGGTAAAGCATTTCAATCGTCGACTCACATACCGCTACCTCTCTTATACAAATAAAGTGTTCGAGAAAAGAATTGATTACCTTTTCCTTTTTTTCCCCTCGAACATCGATGATTACTCGACGGAAATTGACGTTTCAAAGCGCGCACACTCTTTCACACCCACGCATCAACTGACAGAAAAGAAGAAGGAAAAAAAAAGAATAAAAACATTTGCACGTTGTTCGCTCTTTTTTTGACAGACTCCCAGCATGGCTACTAGTAACTCACCAGCTTTTGGAAATAAAACTTCGTATAATATTCCTACACCAACAACTGATTGTTTCGATTCACGAAACACTTGCAAACTTCGTCGACAACCGCCGATCAAACGGGAATCATCACGTCGAATTCTAGTTCGACCTGTTGTACAACGACGACGCGAACCATCGATTAGCTCATCATGCGAATCATTGGATGGATCATGTCCAACTACTCGTCCTCTTCCACCTGAACAGGTCAGTTTTAGCTTTGAAAACAACTCAATGACATTTATTCGTATTTTAGTCAAATACTTTTGATCAATCTGTACCATATACGCCTTCATCATCGCTAACAGCTGAAGTTCTCGAAGAACTAAATAAAGATACAGAAAACTTAGTATGCACAACGCCGAACAATGATTCCTTATCTGATGATAGTGATATAAACTTATACGAAATGCGTATCTCGATTGGTAAAACGTACGATACATCAGATATCAGTGTCCAACTAGAAGGACCTAAAATTCTAATCCATTGTCATACAATTGAACCAACGGATAAACGTGGCAATTATCGTAAACATGAATTCAAAACTGAGTTATTAGTACCCGATGTTGTTGATGATGAAACAATCGTTGCTTATTTAACTGAAGATGGTCTATTGATTGTCGAAGGCAAATATCATCCATGGGCATGGAAAGAAATTCGAAAGAAGAGAAAATTCGAACAACAAGACACAAATGCACCTTCATCATCAACTCCTCCACCTAGACCGACAGAATCTTATTCTCGACCGACCAGAACTGACGGAGGTATGTCTTAGATCTCTACAGATGATAAATGAGAATCGATTTCAAGAATTTTTCAATTGATTAACCAACATTATTGTCAGTTAATTAAGAAAGACGTAGTTCGATTATTTATAATAATATAAATGTCCTCGAAGGATAGCGTAACCCTGATCGAATATATTTTCTGCTCATATAAACTGTTAGCATTGAATTTTCTCTAAGACGTTATCTATCGGAATTACGGACGTAATGATCTACAAAGCAGGTAGTTATTAATCTTAACCAAAGACTTCTGTTTTTTTTTCAATTTACACGTATGTCTAATATCTCGAGTGATTTGGTTTGTTTTTCAGCACTGCTAAATCAGCTCAAAGCAGCTGTGAATTGGTTTAGTAGAGCAATTTCATCTTAATTAAAATCAAATTCTTTTCTTGTCTAACATGGTTCGTTTACGTGTGTATCTGTGTGCATATTCATGCATGATATTTGATTCTTCATAAGCATGATCAAACCTTTGGACTCTTCATTAATTTCATTTGAACTACATTTGTACAAACATGCCTTTTCTAATATAGGTCCGGAACCAGAGCCAACGACAACGTCACCCATATCTAATTCACAACGAACAACGTCTAATCCTAACACAAATTTCAACAACAACAACAATAATAATAACAACAATAACAATAACAATAATAATAATAATTACTACAATTACAATAGTAATTACATCGCACCTATAAATAAAATTGAAAAATTGGACAACAATCGAACTGTTATACATGTCGGTGCACCGCCATTATCATCTTCACCGACACAAGAATATCCGGATACAAGAAGTGTAAGTGATATAATCAATCGTTTTAATACTTTAAATACAACATCTACATCGGCGATTTGGGATGGACAGTATAGATTTACCAATGATTACCCATCTCATCTGATATATCACGTTCGTTTGCCATTTGAAACATCTACTGATGCTATTCGTATTCAATCTGATCCACAGTTGAATACTTTGAAAATCTTCATTGAACAACAAGAGAGAAGTTTATTACCACATCAGCAACAAAGCAAAATTATCATTCGCTCAACTTCACGCGTTTGTCGTTTACCGCGAGATCATATTTATGATTACACGCGTTTACATGTTGTATTTCTCAAAGATAATTATCTTCGTATTGAATTACCAACATTGAATTAAATCTATCGACCCATCGTTTCTTCTTTTTTTTTCATCCTCACACCGGTGATAAAATTTCTCTCTTGCCATATGGGTGTGTTTGCCTTTATACTGAAATCTTCTTTGATTTGACGAAATATTGTATCATTTTTTTACTATTTGTATCTGTGTATTTTTGTTGTTAAAACTGTGTGATAAAACTAATGAATTCTTTTAATATGATTAACAATATCGAATTGAAAGGAATGGCTTTCCATCCGAAACACCGTTTTTTTTTCATGAAATACGCGGGAGAGAACTTCTCGCACTGTGCAAGAAATATTTCTCATTAAAAAATTGACTGAAAGATCATTAAGAAGCATTCTGTCTTCCGTACGTCATTCGAACATGTGTTTCTACAGATGATTTATGATCATGTCGGATCTTATGTGAAACATATCTTTAAACGTTTGTTTTGATTCAATGTGATGTTGTAACCGACTGATTTGATTTGTTTTCTCTCATCTAGGAAAATAATGTGGGATAGAATTCGATTTATTCTCTCGAAACAAATAGTATTAAATGTCTTGTAGTAATCGAATGAGATTGGATTTCGAGTAGAACGAAATTGTCGATCGAAAGGAATCATTAACAAATGTTGAAGATAAACATGCAAGCAATAATAAAACAACATGGAAAGGTTTCAAAAGATTCGTTATAATTCAGCACTTTTTGTCCGAAATAGCCTTTATTTTAGATTTCATTGTAATGACACAAAAAAAATGTCAAGTATTACTTTGCAATTTAATCGGATATTGAATGGAACACGTTTCTTTTCTTTTGATTAAAAGGATTATTGTTTAAAGGCAATACTTGCTCTGTCACCAAGGACACTTTCTTTCATAACTGATTATAATAGTAACTCTAGGAGTTACTTTTATTCTCGGAATGTTTCAAAGTCATTTATTTATTAGGGTAATGTTTTGTGTCTGGGAAATGTTATTGTTCTCATGATAGAACAGATATTGCTCGACGTTTTTTCGAGCATCTTTCGACAAAGTCTTGTAATTTAATTTTAAGAAAGTAAATTGGCTCGTTAATAATAAATAGACAAATGAATGGCTGTGCTGGACAACAAATGTAGTTCATATAATCGAGAAATTTCATGATCGATTGATTTAAACAGATTGTAGGCGAAAGGAAAGCTTCAAGGACATAGAGTATTGTTGAAGGTGACCATGTAATCACGTAGAATAGGGAAAAAGTGAGAATTCGTAAAATCAATCGCTTTTGTCGTTTCCAGAGAGGTATTTTCTGACAATTCAAACGAAACATTGAGCGAATGATCCAACAAACCAAAATCATATGAGCGGAAACGATAGTAACTAATGGTAATACAGAATGTAATATACAATCGATGGAAATGAATATCGAATTTTGAAAATAACACGGAGTTGAACAGTACACATCATCATCATCGTTAGATGATTGTTGACACGGATAGAAAATAATTAGAAACAAATAGAATATTGCTGGATAGATCATGCAAATCATCAATGGAATATAATGTATTATCCATCGCGTTCGATGGACACGTAGTAAATGTACATTGAAGAGAAAGACATACCGTTGAACACTTGCTGTTGCGACTAGAAGTAGACTTGTACATACTAAAGTACGATCAATCCAAGACCAAAATGAACAAAGTGACGACGAACTAGGCTGAGTATATCCGAAATAACAAGAATTCAAAGTGAGTAAAAGATCCAGAGTCATGTAAAAGAAAGAAGTTGCAATTAACAAGAGAACAGCATGATTCGATAAAGTTTTCACAACCAGTATTCGCCAATTCGAACCAATAAAAATCAATAGAAGTAATGTACATATCAAAGAGATAATTTTGAGAGATTGTAAAGGACATAGTTCTTTATTGGAGAATGGTAATGGACTGTAAATGTTGTCAAGAGTAGCATTAGCGATATGTGGAATTCGTTTCATTTTAATTGAACTTTTATTGTTAGAAAAGATGTGCTTTATGTTGCAGATTGTATTCTTATATAAATGATTGACGTTATTCTCATTTCGAGATACGGAAAAAGTCATGATTTGATGATCATATGACAATTATCTGTCGTTTGAGTATCGCAGAAATGAAACGTAAAATTCGAATCTTCATTAGTCTAATGATCATCGAGAAGATAGATGATCGTTTTAAAATGACTCTATTTCGTCAGTTATTCAAATGTCAAATAATATTCTTCAAACGACATATCACTGATCCTACGCACAAGAGTTTCAGATTTGAATGTATGTTATACGATCTAATATCCGACAGACATCTTGACCTTTGTTTATTTCCGACAAGTCTATAATACATCTGGACAATCATTTGCACACAACTATTTACAGTTTTTTTTTATTGAATTATGCTGAATGAAAACAGACATAGCCAAAAATACATTTCGAAATAATTGCAGTATAATAATCATGAAGGTCGTTTACGTCTTTTCGCTTCATAGTTGTTAGATGTATGGAAGGACATATAGATGTAATCAATCACGACTATAAATAATAAGTTCTTTCAAAAGCTCGAACGATAAGTCGAATTATTTTCTCGGCATTTGACTTCAAGCTGATATTTGTATGAGCTTAAGTCTTGGACTTGCAAAAGTAAATCATCCTGTTTGGATTCTAATGCTTGAACTTGTTCTTCCAATTGTTGTCGAAGAAGACGTTGTTTATTCTTTGATTTGCGTGCGAGTTCGTTAGATTTGGGTAATTTCGAACAATGTCCAATTCGTACTGTTGAACTGATTACAAACGGTTTGTTCATATATGAAAGGCCATGCTTAATTATCTTCGCAGATTTTTGTGAAGCACGATGATAAATACGATTGGTTTTCCAAGATTTTTCATTTTTACATCGACAATCTAACTTAGCTTCATCTACCATATCAGAGTTCGTGGATATTGAGTCATCAACATATTTATCAATACAAGATTGCATGGAAATTTCGTTTAGCACATAAGCATCTGCCGGCATTGGAAGGATTAATGATAATTGTTTGAATGCACAAATTAAACTCATTATGAATCGATGTTGAGGACCAGAAATTGGTTCGAAAAACGACGCAGTATACAACGACAAGTGAATATATGTTTTAACAAGCAAGGAGAATGGTAATGTTTTTATATACTGCCGATCTTTTGCGTCCAATCATCTGGAAAATGTTAAATGTAAACGTATGCATTCATTAACAATATATGGGCAAATTATAAATCATATCCAATCATCGATGAGTCATACATGATGATTGTGAAAATTTATATTCAGATCTGAAGTCAATTTTCACTATTGAGAATATGAAGGAAGCAAATAAACAGAAAACCATTGAACAACTCTACAATTATCGATATGTTTGACGATCGCACTTAATGAAATGGGAGTATTTTGCACAAATCAACCATGCATTTGTTGAAGAACGCACGATTAGGATAAGATCGTTTGAACTTCAAGTAAAAATAAAGTGTTCAATGAAAATATCATCTCACACAAACATATTAATGTACAGATGGACATAGATGCCTTGACGATTCATTGTCTATTAAAGACCAAATAGAAGTATATCGTTTTATCGAAATGAGAGACTCTGTGTAAACCATTTATTAGTTTGGAAAACTTTTCAAATGTATCTCTTCTGATCAAATCTATCAATTCGTCAAAAATTGGTCTGTTCGTGTCTTTGACCAAACGCAAAATAATGTCTACAACTCGAATGATGCCGATGATTTCCATCCCTTCGAATATCTTGAAAGTCGACAAGACATATCCAACAGAACTCAAAATTGCATCTTATACAAGTCATATGGTCACAACCTTGGTTTTTCTCAATGTTAACAGAACATTTCGGACACTTTTTAGTACGTTGCGCGATCCATTGATTTGTTTCTTGTTCTTCAGTTCGAATTTTCTCATCATATTGCTTACATGTCAGATTTTCGTGCCATACGGTTCGGTGAATGAAGCATGTTTTCTTGAAACATCTTCTACAAGTGATAATATTATATTCATTGCCATCGATAACAATTTGACCACACCCACATCCATGTGCACACCAAAGAAAATCCGCCTGTTTTTCAAGTTCGCGATCCCTAAGAAATGCATTATATCGATCTAGTATCGGTCTATCTCTAGCGTATTTGAGAATCTTTTGGATAGCTTGCAAATCAAATACAGTTCTACAATCTGGTTCCATGCAATAATAATCGGTAATAAGAAGATTTTGAAATGAAATTTTCACATGTTGATAGAGACATTCATCGCATATTGTACGTTGCTTATGTATACATTGTTTATTATGGCGGATTTCAAATTGAGTTTTTGATTTCTTTTCAAGACAAATAGTGCATGTTTGGACATTTTTTGGTTGTATCAATGGCCTATGAACGAGAGAAATCTATGCTTAAGAATAATAGTGAATAGAGTTTCGATACTAACAAAATTCGAGGTTTGATAGAAGATGTGGTTGAAACATCGTATATATCTGAACTTTTTGGACTCAATAACGGGTCTGAGTACATGGATTGCTGTTGTCCAGCTGGAATAAAGTCTAGATTAAAAAATTGCAAAAGAAATAGACAGTATAATTTAGATAAAACAGTTGCAAACATCATTAACATGCTTAATAGTGATTCAAAATGTCTCACTTTTTCTAGCTTCAAAAGCACGACGACGTTCGACATATCGTGCAATGCCAGGTTCGATTGAAGTCTTCCTTGTAGATGCAGGTTTCGGTCTTGGTATAGGTGGTAAAACTGTTCGTTCTTCTAATACAAACGACCTTTCGGAAAAATTCCATGGACTAAATCGAACAGTTTCTACATCCTCGACACTTGTTGGACGGTATCTTTGAAATAAAACAACTTATCCAAAGGACTGTTAACTCAAGAGTACCTCGGAGTGTTCACAGTTGATGCATATTCGTTTCTGTTCGTAGGTAACTTAGATGAATAAAAAGATGATTCCGATTAGAATGAATATTTATTTTCCAAAACAGATATACTTCTAGTAACTCGTCTGTATAAAAGTTTTCAAAGCATCGTCGATGGTAGTGATGTCCATTAGACCGGAAATACGAAGATCTAATCGACTTACCGCAATTGAAACAGATAAAATACTTAATAGGACTTTCTTCTTCGTCAAACAATCCTCTTGTATAAACATCTTCGGGATAAGACATGCTCGTGTGTGCTCACCTCATGAAGTAAATATAAAGAATTCTCTGCTTTAATAAAATATAGGTAGGCAAACAAAATTGAGTCATCTTTATTTTGTTAAGATAAGGGAAAAGGATGACCATATCTTTTGTTATTTCAAAGATTTGCCGGAGATTTTGAATATACAATTGAAGCTATGTCTCGGACTTAAAAGGATGGAAAAGATCGTCGTTTTTGAATTTCAACTTCATTTGGTAATGTCTTGTGATTAGCTCAATATAATTGATGATTTAATATTTGTTATGATTATTCGACGAATATCAAACATTAATTAGATATTATCTAATATCTTACAAACTATCGATATCGTATGATTGTACATCAGATGCGGTCTCCAATTATGATAACAAAAAAATCAAAAGGTAAACATAAAATCGAAATAATACAATGCATGATAACTAAGTTATTGTTGTGAACTCAGTGTCATACCATATGCATCTATTTATATCTAATGAAAAGCAAAAAGGTTTTTTAGTACACTATTTACGTACTGGATATCTTTCTCTCTCCGTCTTCTCTCTCGTTCCTCTTCATTTGTCACGTGTCGTTAAAACAGAATATGTTTCACTTGTTTACTAACCTTCGCACAAGGAATAATAACACTTCTGCATCATGATTACCGTCGTAATCAGTTTAGCAGCTATTGCAGTTGTTTCTGTTGTTTTATTCTTCACTGGTGGACTCTATGTTATCATCGATCCATTGCTCAAACTAGCATACACTCGCCATCAAGAAATCCGTCGTAAACAACGCCCAAAACGTATTTTTCTCATCCGACATGGAGAATCACAAGCTAATGTCGATACCAGTAAGCGATTTCTATTCAATTTAATAGTATCCACTCTAGTACCTTTGCTTTTATCATAGCGTTATGCTCTCGTTTGGCAGATAGTAAAGTTGAATTGACTGAACGTGGACATCAACAAGCTGTTGAAGCTGGTCAAAAACTTCACTCGATTATCGGAAAAGAATCGATGTATGTCTATATGAGTCCATATCGTCGGTCGAAACAAACATGGGAGAATATTCGCAAAGCTTTCTCGCCATTACAGATCATTACTGAACGTGAAGATACACGTCTTCGCGAACAAGAGTTCGGTAACATAGCCGATCTTGAAAAACGACCTCACGAATTAGACGAGCAAAAGCAAATCGGTGAATTTTTCTATCGTTTTTCGTGTGGTGAAAGTGGTGCAGATGTATGCGATCGAGTGTCATTATTTCTCGATACATTATTTCGTGAAATGGATAATGGACATCACGATCCAACGCAGAACATTGTAATTGTTTCACACGGCCTATTTATGCGATTATTTCTAATGCGATACTTTCGATGGAATGTAGCCGAGTTCAAGAATGTTAAACAATTTGGTAATTGCGAAATCTGTCAATTGACAAAAATCGATGGTGTATATACGTTGGATGGCAAAACGAAGCCGCCAACAAAGTCATCATAAAAGCAAAGCTGTTTTTCCATTACGTTTTCTAGTGAATTTCGGTTTCAGTAAATAAACTGTAGAAGAAAAAGTCGATGATTTTTAATAGAACCCTTGAACGAATATATGACACTACTTGAAACAAAACTGTTCGACTCAGATGAATGCTTGTCAGAGTAGAATTCTAGAATAATATTACGTACATATTTCTATGGCAGAAATTATTTCCAATGACAGTTTAGTTGTATGTATTAAATTACCAGTTTGAACTTGCGTCGTATGTTTTGTTTCGTTCGCCACGGAGCGTGACGAAGGCGTTAACTCCTATTGTTTTATTTGCAGACTTTATCTTTTACCTCTTTCGTTCTGCGTAGTTAAAGCACATGTGTCCGCCCATATATATTTTACACATTCTAAACGCAAAGGTCATTTGATTTACGCATTGAATCTGTCTACATGGACAATATTAGTAACGTACTGATCAGTTTCATAGTTGTCACCATTATTTCTGTTGTTTTATTCTTCACTGGTGGACTCTATGTTATCATCGATCCATTGCTCAAACTAGCATACACTCGCCATCAAGAAATCCGCCGTAAACAACGTCCAAAACGTATTTTCCTCATCCGACATGGAGAATCACAAGCTAATGTCGATACCAGTATGTGATTCCTTTTGCAATAACTCTGTTCAACAGAATTTAGTTGATTTTCTGAATAGCTTTGTATGCACGTATGGCTGACAGTCAGATCGAATTAACCGAACGTGGACATCAACAAGCTGTTGAAGCTGGTCAAAAACTTCACTCAATTATCGGGAAAGAATCGATGTATGTCTATATGAGTCCATATCGTCGGTCGAAACAAACATGGGAGAATATTCGCAAAGCTTTCTCGCCATTACAGATCATTACTGAACGTGAGGATGCTCGTATTCGGGAACAAGAGTTTGGCAACATTGCTATTCTACCGGAACGTTTACATGAATTCAAAGAACAAAAACGACTCGGTGAATTCTTCTATCGTTTTTCGTGTGGTGAAAGTGGTGCAGATGTATGCGATCGAGTGTCATTATTTCTCGATACATTATTTCGTGAAATGGATAATGGACATCACGATCCAACGCAGAACATTGTAATTGTTTCACACGGCCTATTTATGCGATTGTTTCTGATGCGATACTTTCGATGGACGGTCAAAGATTTAGAAAACTTGAAACAATTTGACAACTGCGAAATCTGTCAATTGACAAAAATCGATGGTGTATATACGTTGGATGGCAAAACGAAGCCACCAACGGAATCGTCGTAAAATATAAAAATATTTTTTTCTCTCACTATTCTTTTTACTTTGCAATTTATTCAACACAATAAAAAAAAACGAAAAAAGGCATCAAATACTGGTCGCGAAATCGTTTCTGATTCAATATTTGCAAATCTCTCCGAAGCAAATGGAAGACTGATGAAAATTGAGAAGCTCTGATGTTACGGTGACAACGAATGTGAGTGTCACAAAGTGAGGAGGTAGAATCATGACGCAGAAAGAAAAAGAGAAAAATAAGAGAATTTTCTTTCGAAAACAATTAATTCGTGACATTTTTTTGTTATTTTTTCGCCTGAATTTGAATGAATATAAGCAGTTGCACTGTTTCGACTAAGTAGTTAATGTTGCATTCGACTGCGCACCTGATCGCTGAATATCACGCAAACGAAAACTTCCTTCGCCGAATCTATAGATATAAGATATTGAAACTAAGACCGATTCACACGTTGGTTCGCGCGGTGTTCATTTTCGACCTGTTTCTGGAAGCAGTATTTACTTTCTTTTCAAATATCGGTTTTCTTCTTCTCCTTCTTTCTTATATTGAGTGTATGTGTTGATTGTAGATCGGTAAATTTTTGATCATTATTACAGCCAATCGTAACTGTACGTTATCATCATGGGTTTTTCGGAAAGATTCCCTCGATGGATTACAGGAGTATTAGCCATCGCTCAAATTGTGATCACTGCAGCTATTGTCGGTCTCGAATTAGGATCATCGTACATTGATCTCGGTCACGGTACTATATGGGCTGGATACTGGTGCAGTATTGTTTTCTTCTACACATTTCTCATTATGTTATTTATCAGTAATTATCAATTCTGTTTTTAACAACATTTTCTCACATGATCTTTTGCTTTTCTAGCTTTTTGTTGTCGAGGACGATGTTATGCGTTCTATGTGCTCATCTTGAACAGTGAGTCTCAGAATGATTTGTTCATTTCACTACTGTCTATTTCTAGTCTTGAGTGGTCTATTGGCTTGTGTTCTCATTTATTTCGATCAATTGTTTATGAATGATCTATGTAAATGTTACTTAGGCGACAAATTGTGTTGTGCAGTACGCGGTATTCCATCATTAACATCGAATTATTCAGGTATTTTGGATGATTGTACCAATGCTGTAAATCAAGGTACAATATCTACACGCGTCTGTCCAAGTGTACCATATGATAAGTTACCATTAGTCAAAGCACAGCTAGCGTTTGCTGTTGGTATGCTAGTTACTTGTGGACTTTATGTTGTGCTATTTATCTTTGCTTGCTTCGGTGTTTGTTTCGGACACGGCTAAGATTGTGAATGTCAACACATCCCTATATGAATGCCGATGACTGTCGGTTGATAGAATGGATGAAATAATTGTATTTTTTTTCTAAATTTTGTGAAATAAAGAATACCGGTGACAATATTGAATTTATTTGTTTGTTTTGCTTGATGAAAATAGATTTTTCCCCGAAGGAATACATGATCTTTTGAATTGAAAGAGAAAGGAATAATGTTATGTCAAGCATTTTTTTTCTTTTTCGCATGAAATCTCGAATAAAAATTTCGATCGTGCAAAAACATAACGACAAATAATATTATTTTATTATTCTCACAGTCGGAGACAGAAAAGTGAAGTATCAATATGTTTACAAAAAATCGTTTTGGTTTCGAAGATTTTCTTTTGAACAAAAGAGAGAATTGCTATATAATGAAACTAACAAGAAATTTAAAAATAGGAACGATCACTTGTATTTGATTTCGTCGAATATCTAAAGAAAAGTTAATGAAGAGTAAGATTGCTATTTCATGTGCTTGAATATCCTAGTCACTTTGTAACGGGTGACATCTACTTGAGAATCATAACTCATGTTGTTGATACGTGTTCTATTCGTTCGTTCATTCTTGTGTCGATGTTATCTCTATTCATTCCTTCCTACATCTTTTACTCTTCTTCTAACTGAAAATTTCAATTAAAAACTCACAATGATATCGATGCCATTAACCGTATCAATTGACAACACTCGAACAATTATGCCAACTAATGGCGATGAAAAGTTCACTGTAAAATCCTTCTCTCCATTAGGATTTTTTCGAATAAGAATGTATTTTGTACATCTAGGTCTATCAAGTGACTGTACGTGGTGGTTTGAATCCAACATTCCATACAATTGACCGTCGCTATCGTGAATTTGAAGCTTTACACTCACGTTTATCAACAAGCATATCCGTTCCACAATTGCCACGAAAAGTTCTATTACATCGACGTAGTGCAAAACTAATTGAACAACGAAGACAATTACTTGAAATATATCTGAACGATCTACTGCGACGTTGCCAACAACAATCGATTATGCCCGAAGAATTAGCACGTTTCTTACAAATACCACCTTATGATGACGAAAATCAACAAAATCGAAAAGATCAGCAACAACAAAACCTCCTAATTGGTAATAATGAAGACGATGAAATGAAATACACACTTGAACACGCACCGTGCATATCAATCAGTGATCATTGTTCGTGGAATAACGATAATCGAGGTTCGCTCTGCTTTACCTGCATGAAAATGTCACATATTTAAGATTTTCTTTTAGAAATTTTGGTCGATTCTGTTCTTTCGGGTTTAATACATTCTATGTATGATATGTAATATCGATATACATGTATATTTTGTTAATTTCAAATTTTATTAAAAAAATAAAGATTAGATAATATCTAAGAAATTGAATCATGCAATTTGTTGTGTAATGCGTTCGAATAAAAGAACGTTCAAATAAAAAATTCCTTTCTTTCTTTTGAACTTCTGTTCGTAAATTGAGAACATCTTTATTCATGCATTGCATAATAAGATAATTAATATCTCAATTGAGACAAGACAAAAAAAAGAGAAGATATCTGATGCCTACTACAGGGATTGAACCTGTGACCTTCGCTTTACGAGAGCGACGCTCTGCCACTGAGCCAAGCAGGCACATGGATAAAAAGCGAAAAACTCTTCCTTTTCATCTCTACATTTAGTAATCATTCGATGTCTTTTTTTTTCGGCATACAGTAAGTGCTTTTATACGGCTTAACATATGAAGAAAAAAAATTTTCGAAGAGAGAGAAAAAAGGGAAGAGAGAACTACCCGCTGTATGACCTTCCTTTTTTCGTAGACATATATATACAACTACTCAAACAGAACGAGTAAAAGTTTGTCTATCTACACAAAACTATTGTCGATATTGTACAGTTGCGACAAATCTTCAACGAGATGAATAACATCCTGACTCTTCTTCTTCTTTTGTGTCTTTTGATGTTAGGTATACTTTGAAGAATATTCACTAGATTAACAATGAATTTTCCTTGTAGTTTCAGTTACTGAAGCATCGCGTCACCGTCGACAATATGGTAATTATGGATATGGTCAACAATATGGTTCACAATACGGACTGTATGGTCCAGGCGGTCAAGGTTGGTCGAACAATAATAATTACATGAACAATCGTTATCCAAATCAGCAAGGCTATGGTTGGAACAGTAATTACAATTGGAATCAAGGTAATCGCCGACCTGAGTGGTACTATAATACAGCAAATTCGGTTCAATATTCAATTGTGTGCTTTCTCTCTCTTGTATTTTATCTTTTCGTTATCTAAATAAATAAAATAGGCGCGTCAAACATCTTCGACAAAGGATGAAAGTTGTAGTTAAATTAACACAGTCGATATTATCAATATGCTTACTAATTGGTAGTCTCGTACATGTTGATTTATTCTCAATTATCTATACTTTACTTTTTTTGGCAATCCCATGGGCGATTGTTTGTTCAACGGTGATTCGCTTACGATTCTTTTACATTTTATCATTAATTGCTTTGATGACTAGCAGTGTTTTTCTTCTATTCATTAGTAGTCTACACATCTTTACAATAACAGCAAAAGGCAAAGATGCATTCAGTATTCAATGTTCGTTAAACGTGAGAATTTTACAACATTTCGGATTTATTCGATGGACACAGACAACAAACAAAATTTTATTCGTCGTCTCACTGATTATGAACGTGATGATAGCTTGTAAGAGAACGTATTTTTCTTCGCTCTTTCGCTGATAGTTTAGTAAACAGAAAAATATGCATCGATAGGAATTGAAGAGCTTATGAAAGCAGAGAGAGAATGAGTAAGGTGCAGTGACTAATTCAGAGAATGAAGCATAAATATGCTATTTGGTAAAAATATGAATAATTCTCGTCAAGGTCAACTTCAAAATGTAAATGCGTACATTTTTATTATTCAGTCAAATATAACACCTAGATACCATGAAACGGTACAGAAAAACAACTTTTAAAGTGCTCGGAATTGTTCATAGATAACGAATGGTACTATCATGATCTGTTTTTCTAGGTGGTAGTCTTATCACATTGTTCCTTCAAAAATCGTTATCTTCTTTCAAAAGTACTGATAATCATTCATCTCATCGGATTGAATTTTCCAATCATTTTCAATCTATTCCTATTCGTGTTCGACCGATATTTATTTATGTTCGTTCAATGATACTATTAGCTATGATTCATTGTTGTGCTTGTCTTATGCCATCAGTTCTATCGGCTATATATTTTCTCATCTCACTGGGCCTTGTCTTTTGGTGGGCACTAGGAAAACATTTCGGTCAAGCATATCTATACATCATCCGATTCTTGCAAATCTATTCTCTTTCCCATCTACTTCTTATTTATCTCTATCAACTTTCATTTATCGAACAATATTTATCCAAACAAACTCCTCAACTAGTGCGATTATTAGGTTTACAAACATTGTATCCATCTTTTTGTTTTGAGCGTTCATCTAAACTCAATCGTCATTGGATTATTTATCTACATCCATTGACACTTTTGATCTTCTATTGGATTACCATATATGAACATCATTTTAGTCAAAAGTACGAAGAAAAAATGAAAACTTTTCTTTCAACACAGAATAACTCTGAAATCTCTTCAACGACCAATCAACATGCTACTTTACATCTTCACTCTTTCACTGATCTCTTCTGGATGAGTTCACCGAATGACATTACTCGCGAAAAGAATTTCTATAAAACCAATTCTCTTCTTGTTATTTTCATTTCATATATCTTAAGTAAAGCTTACATGCTTTCAGTTATATCGATGCTCATTTGGTCGATAACTTACCATTCGTATGCAACTTTTCCTTTTCTAATCCTATCATGTCTTATTTGGCTCCTACCCTCAACCAAGTATTGGTGTCAATTATTTTCACCAGCGTTTTGTCTATATGCTTATGCCTTGTTAATTGTTAATTATATTCAATCGTTAAATTTAATTCAGGAAGAATTTTCCTGGTTTCTACATGAAATTGAACTTCTGCATACGAATGATAGACCGTTTGGTGAACTGTCTATCGTTGTTTGGATAGAATGTAGTATTAAATTTATGTATACATTGTTACTGTTGTTATCACTTCGACAACGAACGAAAGAGATAGCTCGTAAAGAGAGTAGGGTTTCGTTGAAAAGTTAACGAAATGTTATGAGAAAATTTTAGATGATTCTTCGTCATCATTGAACTTGTATGATCATATGGAATTGAGTTTACCAGTTCGTCCGGGAAATGAATCGCCGAAGAATTCATCAATTTCATGTTTTAATGGAATCTACAGTTATATTCGATCACAATACTTATTGATATCCTATGAAATTCATTATCTTCTCTATATGGGATATATCCGTGTTTGGTTCTTCAATTTATTCTTGAATTGGTCTCGTTTATTGATTATTATACTCATTTTTGCACTAAGTTACGATTCAAACCCATCATTTGTCGCTTATCGTATCATATACATGGGATTTTTTCTTCAATATCATCTATGTTACTCATTTAATAAACGCTTATGGAACATTTATCTGCTTCCGTTCTACATCACCATTGTCATTTATTCGATGATTCTTGTTCTTATCATTTATATTTATCAATTCGAAGAATTGAAAACATTGAAAACGAGAATCTGTTTTGCACATGTATCCTGTGGATCACTCTTCTCTTCGTTAGGTGTACGTCATGCTCATAAGAATATTCTTGGTAAAGAGTTGTGCACACCAACAGTGTTTATTATTTGCATCGTTATGCATATTCACTTCTTTCATCGACATCAAAGAAAAGTTCAAACGTTCAACTTATCGAAAACAAATCCATCGATTCGAGTTTTATCCATCATTCATTGGATGAAAATTCGATTTGACCAAACAAAAAATCTTGTATGGTGTTTATGTGAATTGCATATTTACAAGATCGTATTAATTATCGTATGTATATGTTTCACAAGGCCAGTAAACATCTGTATAACTAACTTAATTCTACTCATCATTTTCGTCATGTCATTATTCGTTTCTGTTTTACAAAGGATAGCGTTAGGCGCTTATGCAGTTGTGTCTGCGTTACAGATTCTGATGATTATGATTGTTAGATTAGAGTTATTCACACAATTGGGATACGTGGAATACGTTTGTCCACTTTTGTCTTCAAACAAGAAGTATGAAATGAATTTATCGAGTGTGAATTCATCGCAATCGGTGGCACCATTGCAATGGTTTGGTTTATGGACACAGAATGCATCCGATGTGACAGTTAGACAATTAATTCTACCTTGTAAATAACGAGATGATTTCGCAGATTGTTGACTGTGTGTTCAATTTATCTTCATTCAGATTTATCGGTGGTAGTGAGTATAGCTGTTTTACAATTAGTACGACGTCATCGTCTTTCATCATTGTCATTAAATGAAGTATTAAATTGTGCTCAAATTCAACTTTTTCCAAGTATCGATGTTCAATCAATGAACGATTCATTATGGAATACTCTGAAATATCTTTGTAACTATGGAACTTACCGATTCGGTCTGGAATTATCGTTATTTAGTTCATTATGTTTAATCTTATCACGAATGGATGCTCTTGCACTTTTTCATGCATCTATCCTACTGATTTTTACACTTGTACCACGACATTACGTGAGACGATTTTGGAAACTATATCAAATTGCTTCATCAATATCTGCGGTGTGGTTGTATATTAATACACTTGGTGAATAACAAGTGAAGAATGTTTTTTATTGTATGAATCTAATCTCCTTCTAGGTTTACCACCGATATTATGTGTCAAGCCGATCTTCGATCATTTTGGTTCATCTTGGTTTCCCAGTCGAATTTGGTCGAAATTGAAAATGTATTTTTATCTGGCTGATTACACCGGAAAACATGCGGCAGATGAAGACTTGTATTTCGATTTCATTCTACTGATTATTCTTACTATACAAGAGAAGAATTTCGTACTAGAACAACAACAGAACAGCGTCTCAAAAATGGGAAGTAATAGTCATGACGATATTTGTGTTTCGTACCATCCGAACCTTCTACATGATTTCATTACCAATGAACATGTATCATGGAGCAATCGTTTTCTCTTCCTATTTTATTCGCATTCTTATTGGCTGATCATTGCTTATCTATATATTCTAGCTACATACCGTCAATCCTTATTATATTTATTAATCTTATTGATCTGCTTTTTTCTCCTTTGGCATGGACAATCTTTTTTACAACATCGTTCGTTTCATCAACAAAGATCTTTTTTGTATTTTCTTGCTTTAACATTTCTTACACTCATCATTGCACACTTATTCATGCAACCATTAACGTGCTTTCTTATTGAATACACATCGACACGACACCGTTGTTTCTTAATCAATCTGTTCAACGTGCCTTGTTCAATTAAACGGTTCCAACAATTATATGGAACGAATTGTCCGAAGAAAAGTTTCTGGACTCGAATTCAAGGTAGATTGTTAATAGTGATTATTTCAAGTGTTTATAGTTTTATTGTCTTCAGAAAAGCATACTGAATATCAACATTGGGAAATTTATTGTAAGAAGACTTTTGTAAATGAATCAATGGCGGCGATTTACACGCAGCAAACGTTCTATTGTCATTTTGGTTATAACAGATTGATTTTCGATGCTATAGGCTTTCTGTTTGTTCTATTGTTCATTCGGATTCTTGGTTCATATTCATTTTTCTACGTTCGATTAGAACTTCAGACACAAGCAGAGTTGTCTCAACTGGGTGCGTCTTTGTTATCGCGATTGAATTGGCTAGAATTACTCGAATATCGACAGAGAACAGAGACAGAATTAGAAAGTATCAAAGCGAAAGTAAAAAAGCTTCGCCAACGACGTGTAAGTATTAGGTTCATATTCGAATACGTATATAAGTACTGAAAAACATTAGGTCATTGAAAAACGTGATGCTGATATTGATGAACCAATCGATCACCGTGGGGCAATACTTTCTGGGGATTATTATATGTTCGATTCATCATTTGATGCAATAGAAAGCTCACATACAATTCTGTCTTCAACGAACCGAGTGAGAGAATCTCAGGACTCAATGACGTTGTTGAATGGGTTCGATGGGAAACTTCATCGATATCTCGATGACGTCGAAGTGGAATTGAAATCATTGTCTATTAGTGGTAATACGCATGACGGGAATGACGATTTTGTCGACAATCAAATAAATCCTCAATTGTTAAGTCGAAAATCGGAGATGAATGTTTTATCTAAGGAACAATCGCTAACCGGTCCTTCAAAAGCGAATTTTGACATACGAGAAATTTTCAATAGAGTTCGACAAAGCTTGGTAATGATTCTCTCCTTCATTTCTCTCTCTCTCATATATAAATCTTTTGGAAGAATACTATAAATTCTGGTCTACTCATCTATTTGCATCACCAAGTTCGAACTCTGCTGACCACCAGACAAGTGATTTCAGATGCTAAACTATATCTTAAATATCCATATAAATCAACTCAATTCATCCCGGATGAAGTCTTCGAAAATATTAATGATTACATCGGTCAAACTACTAGTACAGAAGAGACTGTATATCAGACGCCAATTTCTTCACTGAAAAGTTTTACTGAACCGAAGAAACAAACATCATTGATGGCTGACAAACACCTAGAAAAACTCAAATTGAATCATTTTCGTTCGAAATCAAGTACTCTCTTCATGACTTTTGTAATTTCAAAATTTCACTATCTTACTTATTCCATGTTGATACTCAACTTTTTGGCATCCGGTGCTGCTCTTATCTGGCTACCAGTTTTGGCAACAATTTACTTTTGGGCAATCCTTACCTTTCCTTACCCATCAAGACGATTCTGGTATGTGAGCACGTTCTCATCTATGACCATACTATTTATTCAGTACGACGAATTTCATTTGACTTCTCTCTCTGATCTCATTCCGGACTTCTTTTAGATACAATGTAACGTTTATTTCATCGTTATCAACTCATCTTTACATCCGTGATTCATTATTTGGACATTTGAATATACTGGCTAATGTATTCTTATTAGGTGCATTAGCATTTCATCGAATCGTTCTTCATCGATTAGGTTTATGGCATGACTTTCACCTTTCACCAGAAGATTCATTGATCTATCAAACGAGTTTCATACCGGCTGACATTAAACTTATTCGCAAACGAATTATTGAAGGAATTTATACAGTACTAAGAACAAAAGTCAAGCAGGAGAAAACCGTTGAGCTAACTAATACAAATGCATTGCGTGAAGGAGACAAAGATATGTTGACGGAACAAATTCTTCGAACACCATTGTTAACATCTGTATTGCCGGATGAAATTGTCGCTCGAATCAAATCCGAAATCAATTTATCTGTAATTCCAATAGAAATTGATTTCAACGAGCAATTTTCATTTTCATTTCGAACTTTTGTTGAAAATGTCAATCATTTCTACAATTCTACTATTGGTAAATAATCCTCTGTTGATTTATCGATTCTCTGCTCTTCTTCGCTTCTAGCTTGTCCAATTTTACCGAAAGTCGATTATTATTCCTCAATGTTCCTTTGTGACTTCATTGTGATTTTCTTAATCATTGCCGGTCATCAACGATTCTCACATTCCGAATCAGTCGAAGATAACATTATCTATCGTTACATTCAAGGTTCATCGTCGTTAGATATTACACCTATTCTAATGTTATTGGCACAATTTCTGTTAATAATCGCCGATCGCATAATTTATTTGAAGAAACATGTTCATGCTAAATTTCTCTTCTTGTGTTTTCAATTTCTTGTGCTACATAGCTGGCTAGTTATCGTATATCCTTTATGGTTTGAACGTGAAATGTCAAAAAACTGGGCAGCTGTTTCTATATACATTTTCAAATCAATCTATTTCGTTCTATCAGCTCTGCAAATACGCAATGGGTAAGATGCCATGTTGAACCTGTTCTTTCGCATCATGTGTGAAACTATTCATATCTTCAAGATATCCGACAAGAATCTTAGGCAACTTTTTAACAACGCGTTACTCCATGTTACGATTGTTATGTTACAAACTTTATTGTATTATTCCGTTTCTATACGAAATACGCGTTTTAATGGATTGGATGTTTATTCCCACATCCTTGTCAATCACATATTATTTCATGATGGAAGAAATTGCTCGAAACGCATGGACACGCAAGTGTTTGCAAACATTAGACATGGTATCGCCGAGAAAACGAGCAGTCAATCGAAGTCGTTATGAGCGATGTACGTATCTATTGGTATTATACCTGTTCATATGATGCGCTCACTTAGATTGTGTTGGTGGATGGATTTTATTTGCAATCTTTTTTGTTATTTGGTTTCCATTGATATTCTTCAGGTAAAACATAAACATACAGATTGGAATAGGAAATGATTTGATTTGTCTTCTGTTTAAGCATTAGCACTAGTTTAGCTGATCCTATTTTAATTGATCGATGTGAAATCAAAGTTCGTTTATCCACGTACAAAGAGCTGTGAGTGTTCGTGCTTTTCCTAAGAAATCGACTATTCAGTTTTAAATGATTAGATATCAATTGGTAACAACAAATGTTCGAGAACCAACAGAAGATGAATTTTTCACTGATATCCGTCCATTTATTCTAAATTCATCATTTGCATCTGGATCTCGAGAACTAACAGAAGATGATGTTGCTTGCATACATGCATTGGGTTATGTTGGTGCACAATGGACTATCTCTCTATCAGCTTTGAATCAATTGAAACGAGAATTGAACGATTTTATCAATGAAACAGCAGTGAACACGCCTCAGATCTATTTTGATTATTCTTTCATACGTAAAGGACAAACAAGTGAACAAGATGATCTGCCTTCGGGTTATATCGTTACTCTATCAGGCACACATAATATTTCATTAACAAAAGCGAATGCCATGACATTATTAGATATGTTATCATTCAATAATCGAACACAAGTAATTGAACGATCAAAACGATAGTTTTTCAGTGTTAGATTTCATTTAGGGAACCATAGTTATCTCACAATTGATGCCGAAATTTATTCATTTATTGCCAGACATGATTGACATAAAATCTCCTATGTATCTACAAGACATTCAGTTAACATTAAGAAGAGAAAATCAACTGTTATGGTGGGATATATCAGAAGTATCCACAAATGATTGGAACAATAAATGTTCATTTGAATTGCAAGCACTCAATCTCATCGTTGTATCAGAACGATCCGGTGCTCAATCGAAAAGTTTCAATCTCATTGCCAAAATATTGATAGGTTTGTCTTGTAACATGACTCGATGTAGATATTTCAATGATTATTTAGGTAGCAATGCAAAATTAACGTTGATTGGCGTTTACGCAGGTCTAGTTTATGTTTTATGGCTAACATGTTTCCGTCAGACATTGTTTTCTGATATTCAATTGATTATGTACCATGAATGGTCTTTCGCTGATCGAATTCAACGTTTATGCGAAGAAGTTTACCTTGTACGAGAGCTGGGAGAGTTACAACTAGAGGAAGAATTATTTGCGCGTTTACTTTTTCTTCATCGCTCGCCTGAAACACTTGTTCGATTCACCAGACCGAAATCCACAACAAAAAAACATAAACAATATCGAAGTCAACACCTACATCAGATGTGACGTTTAAGAATCAAGTCGTTACTAACGATGGTGTAGCAAGCAAACATACTCATTGTTTTCTTTGCTTATCATCAGCTATCAGTGATGTCTCATTTTGATGTCATGTCAGAGCATCAAGTAGTATGACGAAAGAGACCATAAACCAAATTCATAGCGATTGAATGTTGATAATTTATTTAACAGATAAAATACAATCCAACGATGGTGTATCTCACGAAAAAATAATCACATCTCATAGCATGCCATTCAATGTAAATCAAGGAGAAAAGAAACTCTGCATTATACAGTAAAGTAGAAAACGATACTACAAAGAAATAGATTCTATCCATTACTGGCGAGAAGTCGACTGAAATCATTATAACATATTTCAAGATCCATTTGAAATTCACGTGCTTGTTCGTCAGTTATTTCTTCGACGGCATTCATATTAACTAATAGATTCAACCTACAAAAAAACAAAACAACAGATGAGATTCAAAACGAAATATAAATGCCAATATTTTTTACCATTTAGGAATCTTTTCTCGACCGATGTAAGACGATGGAATAATATTCATGCGATTGATAACATCCAATAGTTCCCGAACATCGGTTTGCAGCTAAAGATAGCAAACATGAATCGATATGTTGAATCTCAAGCTTATGCGAATCTTACCATGTCGTTCGATCGCATATTCAATTTAAGTTTATCCATAAGATTAATAAAAAGCTAAAGAATAAAAACGAATAAAATAAATCTGATTGTTATATGTTAACTCATACCGAGACAGTTTCTGCAATGGATTTTCCCATATTACCACGATCATCACGAACAGTGATAGGACGACCTTCACGAATACGTAATAGAGCCGCTGGACAATCAAGCTACAAATGAAGATTTGAACATATCAGTCGATATGAATTCTCACATTACTTTGTATTTATGAACGAAATCTTCGATGTGTGGGAATTCGCCTCGAATTTGCCCAAAAGCAGCTGTATATTTTGCCAATAAGCTTTCACATTGCCTTGTGTATCTAAACGAACCTGATATAAATTGATTTGTTATCAAGAAAAGAACATACTGAGCTGGTTCTACAACATCTTTAATATAAGCCTTCTCTAACGCTTGTAACGTTGTGATGATGGAAAATACATCAGCCATGTTGTCATATCTACAGAGATGACAGAAATTGAAATAGACAAATAATTTTGTAGTTTTCATAGATACCTCTCACGTTCACGAGGATTCTTCCAAAGTCGTACTTCCTATTCAAAAAACGGATTCAATGGAAGAAACGTATTAGTTTTATGCTCATTTACCTCGTACATTTCAGGTCTGCCAAGATCTAAAATGCAAAAGAAAACATAATTAACTGTTTTAAAACGAAAAAACAATCTATCACTTTCATGCTGAAACTACGATAATAGTATCCATTAATTTATTTCACTTACTCTGCGAGGGCTGACCGAAGCTCATTTGTTGATTTTCGAATTATTGAAAGATAAAAATCTACAATAAGAATGATTATCATTTATAATGAACAATAAAAGAAAAGAAAAAAAACACGCATTTCGTATCATTTTTTATTATATGTGACAAGTACATAGATGGAGAGAAAAAAAAATCTGACTACAAATACGATGAATCATTAGTTGAGCGTTTCACCTTTGCTCACCTACAAAATAAAATGTGAATAGGAAAAAGAACGTTGAGAAAGTGTTATTCTTCATACTCTAGCTTCAAGATAATCAACATGTCGTTCAAGTGCGGTTAGTTTTTCATTCAATATTGACAGACGATAGCGACATGACGATTCTAGTAGAAATCAAAGGAAGAGAATTAATGAAAAAAGTGAAGATTATGTTTTGCTAAAAAAGAATATTTACCAAATTGATTGAGAAAATCAACGAGACGCTTAATTGCTGTCGTTAATAATTGAATATCATCACGTCGTTGCCAATCATCTTGAATATTTCTTCGAACCTCACTTGTTTCACCATTACTACCATTCTCACTTGGCGGTGATCGCAAACTACCCATACCATAATGAGACATTATTTTAATTGTATTGATGAACTGATTTGATCGATGTTTTTAACAAACACATGTATGTGTGAGTGACTATATGAATGTGAATGCTTCTCGAGAAAACAAACAACAATAGACGAACAAACGTTTTGATAGGTGATAGAGGTCGCTATATGGTTCTTGTATAGGGGACAAATTAGGAACCAATCAAAAATTTGCATTGATATTCATATATGAATCACTTCGAACGGAACAGATCTGAGTTATTACTTTTTTCAAGGATAATGTTTCAGTAAATATATAAAGCATCATCCTGGATCGACTCATATTACTTTCCATAATTTTATTTGCTACAGCTGGTTTGCTTGTGCTCATCAGCATATCAAGACCGCGATGGATCCTGTCAGTAAATCAAGGTACACGTATAATACATATTATTTCGATACTTCAGTCGATGATTTTAACAAAATTTTCAGTGACATTTATTTCATGATATAATAGTGAAAATAATATTGACGTATGTTGTTCAATCTAGGTGAAACATCACTTGGTCTTATTGAAATGTGTATAACATCATCATCGAATATCAGCGAACAAAATTGTTTTATTCCACATCATGTTCGTTCGGTATGGATTATTTCATTTGGTTTGGCGATTTGTGCTCTTGGTCTACTCACACTGGCAATTCTTCTTCTTCTTGCATCACAATATACACAAGCAACAACTGTTGAATATGGTCGATTAACTGGATTTGTTGCTAGTATGTATCTGTTTTGGCTTACTCTGTCGTTGACGACTACTGTTTTTCTATTACTTTTCTAGTGATATTTTTATGTCTTTCGACCGTTCTTTTTCCAATGGGTTTTGATTCGGAAATTATTGGTGGTTCACCATTTCAGTTGCCAGCTGATTATCGGATCGGATCAAGTTATATCGCGTTCGTTGGTGGGACGTGGTTAACTGTATTATCGGCATTAGTGGCTGGTAAAATGTGCCTACCACGATTTGTTACTTAACTTAGAATAGTCTATTTCTTTATGTATATACAATGAACTGCTTCATCTGTTTTATTTTTTCTTGTCTGCTTATATTATTTTTATAGATGAAGTGTATATGCGAAAAAAAAACTTCCGAAAAACAACTATATTATATTTTTTTCAAATTCCAAAACATAAATTAAATAGAATGATTCTTTTTCAGCCGATTCGATATGCATTGCTGAGAGAAACGATTATAGGCTCGTTCAAGATCGTTATTCTTTTAACCAACGAAAATCTATCCATATGAATAGGAGAACAGTTCATCGAGGGGCAATCGAAGTTAAAGAATATGGATCAGAGATTAATTTTTACTAAATCGTGTATGTTTGTGATCTAGTAATAGCTGCAAATACGATACATACAAGAAAAATTTTGAAACCGCGCCGAGAAGTCGGTACTTCTGTCATTGCTTTCGGTTAAAACAAATGCAATAATATTACTATTAGGAAAGAATTGGATAATATCAGATTCTCGAAAAAAATCGAAGACTGTGAGGTATACGAGACTATATGTCATAGCATACCAAAAATCTTCTGTTGCAAATCAAACAACATTCGAAAGGCGTATTTCTTTCTCGACACAAATCTCTTATTTCTAAGATAGTAATCTTTAGAATGAACATCGAATCGGCTAGTCGTGAGTGGGCTGCCGAGTCGGTGTTGATGTGTTAGTTTCATTAAAAGTTCATTAGATGTGAATCAAGCTGTTTTCAAAACAGAGCTACATGAGTGTGGACATCAGCGAAAATAATCTATTCTCTACAGTTGAACTTCTACTAAAATATATTTAGTCAGAAATAGTCATCTAGAGGTGATCTCTCACCGCGTAATTAAGATTGCGAGTCCCAAACCTGCCGCTAGTTCCATTTTGCGCACCTTTTTCCAAGTCCTATGCAACATGACGTTTAGGATAAAACTAGTTATGATTTTAGAATTCGATCAATAACTATGAGTCTTTATTTGAAATTAGATATCTTTTGCAATTCATTATAATTATGTATAATCCCTTTGCTCTTTTATGCTGAGAAAAATAGTTCTACGGAAGTTTTTATTAAAATTTCTTTCTTTAAACGGCGTTTATATTCAGCATCACATCCGTATCTTTCATTTGTACTCTAATCCTCATTCACACCATTAATCTACATTCTCGTTCATACCCATACCAACCACAAAACTTATCAGTACTCTTATTGACTCTATTGCAACTGTATTCTCACCCATCCCTACATATTCCGCTGCAAATCGAGCTTCTTTTCTATTTTAGGAAATAACTGCCTATTTCTAGTTGTCCTTCTCAGATATATGCGCAAAGCACCGATGGGATACCGCTATATCTATTGGTTTCTAAATCTAATGCATCGTTGAGGAAAATTTAACGGTGTGAAACACCTCGAACACCCCGTAGATGAAATTTCATCTCGGTGCATCCTTCTGACTCTCCACAAGGATTCCTAATACATATCAACCTTCACATCCGTCGAGGGAAGCACGATGTAAAATTTGTTGATCGTAACTATTATGGGAGCAGATTTGTAGAGAGATCAGACAAATTTTGTTTTTTTTATATATAGAACATAGATTTCATAAAGATAGAAATGAATTCAAACAAAGTTACTAAATATGGTGTCTCATCGACTACGCTTGTTCGCATTTCACAAAAACACAGTGGTGTTTTTCTCGTTTTCACTTTTAGACAAAATACTTCGAAGATAGTATGGTTTATTTGTCAATAGATTCTTCACACCATTTTTTGGATCATTTTATTTTCAAAAATAGCCATTGTATGAACATTGGCCAGTGTTGTGGAAGTGGTGGATTCGATTGGCATCTCGAACAACGATTTCGCATTGACGAATTGCAGCTATGAATTTCGTTGCTGGATCTAGAATACGAATTCACGAAATAGATGAATCAAAGCAAATATGAAGTCAGTACTTAGGACAATCACCCACGCCCTTCGTAGTTTACATATTAGTAGGTAAATTACGATTAATATCGCTTTTCAACGATCTGTAGTATCTTTGAATCTATTTTTCACTAAAAACTAAATTGCGCAGAAAAAAATGAAGTCATACTCCGATGAAGAGTAAGAATATGACTTTGTAAGTACTGAACTTATTCACAAATCGCCTTTTCACTTCTACAGTTCTACTTGTAGATAACGTCGTGTAAAGTTGAAAACTATTCTGTAAAATGTGTTCTCTTTTATAAATCGTATTTAGACCATATGGTAAAGGGTGAAGCAAAGTAGACCATATATTGACGTTCTCATTCAATACGCCTTCCAACACAAAAGATCGCTAACACCACATACGTGGAAAGATAGGCTTTGAGAATCCAGCTGCGAGATCGATTTCTATAAGGAACTTCATGTTTTATCGTCCGTACCGCTCCAATTTCTACGCAAAATTCTATAAACACAATAGTAGAAACAATATGTAGGTGTGTAGTATAGTAGTGATGAAACACGAATAAAAGCTGTATTTCATGATCATTCAATAAAAATATGTGAAAAACAGTAAAGCTCCTTAATTTATGCAGTCGAAAATGAGTGTTATTGAGCGGAAATAGGTGCTGCATTTGTTTGATTCTTTTGAGCAATGGCATAGGCTCGAGCAGCACATAATGTTAAACCATGTGGATGATAGTCCACACGGTAGCTTGTATTATGATCTTGCGTTCCCATTTGGCTCAACATTCTCACATCAGGTATGTACGGATGTGCCCGTTGACCTAGTTTTCAATATACCAGATAAATCTAAGTTTTTTCGAAAGAACGAGAAATCGTTACCTCGTTGTCCTCTATACGTATCACCTGTTGTTGTTGAACCTTCGAATTTGCTCAGTGGCGGTACATAAATATTGGGGACGGGTTCACCATATTGTCGATTTATTTTTAATGGTTCATATGGTTGATAGAAGTGTCGAGATGTGGTCATACTCTCCATAGGTATATGTTCCCCATTCAATGGAAGCGCATCTTTGATAGGTAGTGCTCGAATACGTGGTAAAGTACTAACATCTAGCGGTTGAAAATCTCTCTAAACATACGAAGAAAGAAAGTTAGAATGTGTTTTCGCTTCTATTGATTTAAGCTTACTTGTGTAACTGTCATTGTATCCATCTTTTGAATAGTTGGTACATACAATCTTTGTCGATCTTTTGGTGCTACTGGTGGGGGACGATGATGTCGACTCGTATCAATACCTTCATAATCTGATTGGTATTGACTTTTACTATAATGATTAAGAAAAAAGTTCGGTATTGTAGTGGTTTGCGTAGAGTAATTGCAGATGAAACTAACGTGACTTCGGATTTAGAAGAATTGCCTATTGTAATTTGAGACGAAAATGGATCAACGTCGGCCGGCAATGGTGGTCGATGATTAGGATAAGCACGAAAATCCGAACTTGTTTGTGATATTGCATCCATGGGACGAAGTAAAAGAGCACTTTCTTCGGATAGCTGACCTTTTCGATCGAATGGAGCACTTCGTGGTGTTAACTCATGCGGTATGTAAGTATCTCGATAACTTGTATGTAAATTCATTGAACCTATGTGGTTTCATTATCCAATGACCTGATACGTTCTGAGATAGAATAGAAGATTACGCACCTGTCGGTCTAAGATTACCACGATTTTCCAATCGAAGGACCGATTTTGCTTTTGATCCATTTGGAAATGGTACAAATGTGCTTCCCGATGATGTACTGAAATTTCGACTTGAATCAGGAAAGATTACATGGCCTAAAGATAACAACAGCTGTTATTTTTAATCGAATTCATTCTTCAATGCCTCGATTATGAAGCCCATAAATTTCTGTTGATAGTTAGATGTCTTTTTCCAATTAGAACTTAAAGGATTTCTCACAATCGTCTTTCTTTCGCTAAGCAAAACAAATGATGCTTATGATGCATTCATTATTTAGATCGTAGTAGTTTTTGCGTAATAGAGAAAATGGTTTTATTCTTTTTCTTGCCAATATGAAACAAAATAAGCTGCATACTATTGTTGCCAAAAAACAAAGAAATTTTATTGCGAATGTTTTTCACTTTCTATCAATTTGTATGTATTAGAAAAGCAAACATTCGAAAAACGACATAGAGAATAACTAAACATTTGCTCTTTTTTTTTCATCTTTTCAAGTGCATTTTCAATAACAGAAAAATAGATTATTAGCTTTTCTTACCTGCAATGGAAGGCGTTTCTGCATAAGGTTCCGATGGTGTAGACTGCCATGGTTTAAAATGTGTTCCAGTTGTTGTTTGAGAAGATATTTTTGGTGCTGGTTCGTTTGAATTAGCACTAGGAAAAGATTTCGATAAAGATATTGATAAATAAAATGAGATTCTACTAAGGCGCCAGATTAGTGGTATTTGCTGGATGAAGTACGGGTGGTTTAACAGGCTTTTCGACGTATTCAGCTTGATAGACAGATTTTGTTTCCATTGGAATCGCTCGTAGGAATGCGAAGTTACCTTTCTAAAAAGAAAAGATGAAGACAAACTTGTCTTTGGTATATACAATGCAAGAATATGTCAAATCGTACTTGTTTGAAAGAATTAGTTGACGCTCTTTTAATGCTATTTTTCGGCGGTGGCTGATAGTGATCACGTTGTGAAGTAAGACTAGACAACGGTGCATTTTTGAACGCTATCGGTATTTCATTTTCAGGTGGCGGAGAAAACGGCTTTCGACGATGATCTGCTGGTTTACCATATTTATTCGTTGGCACCTGATATGTTGCCTTGTAATGCGAAATTGGACACGGAAATTCTAATTGTAGTTTTTCTTTTTTCGAGAATTGCCTTTTACAATCTGGATGATGTTCATAGCCAGCTCGATCGAAACAGCCATCATCGCATAGTTCACATGGACATTTCTCGAATTTTGGTACATCACAAGGTTGCAATTTAGTAACGTTCACATTCTCCAATTTCATCTTCTCGTCAACCAACAATCAGCAGAACTAGTCAATGAATGATGTCGGCAACCAATTTGAAGTATATTTATTTTGTAACAACAAACAGTAACAGTGGAAGAAAGAAAAGAGATGAAAGAATGAAGAAAGAAAAATCTATTGCCATTAAACTTTGCCGTTTTACACTTTAATGATGACGAAATACGTTAATGTTCAATAGGTATCGCTTTCGGTTATACAACACACTCAGTAACCTTCAAATCATCTTAGGTAAATAAGATATTAGTTATCCATAGTATGAGAATGAGGTAACAGTTTATTGTTGGTGATGGATGCATAAAATTGGAGTAGATGAAATTAATTTTTTCTCGACTCAACTATTAATTTGATATTCATGTGTCGATCAGACGATGATATCCTAAGGAATTGTGTTATTAGATTTAAAGTAACAATAGTTGATTAAAAGTGCACACTACCAGCGGCAACAATAGCTTTCATGCATTTACACCATTCAATTTCAATCACTACTATTTACATACGTTATTAGATACTATGCTCCTTCGCATATCTGCATACGTATAGATATACTAATTGGTTGATTGCTCGATGTGTTTACGCGTGGAAAAGATTCTAGGACGAAGATTTTGCAAGTGAGTAGAGGTCTAAACTCTTTGCACGGAATGATGGCTATGGTTCAACCAATTGGTTTTTACTCATAAAAAACAACAGAATGAAATAGAAATGGAAAAAAAGGCATTCTATAACTGCTGGAAATTTGACGAAGAAGAACAAGAAAAAAACGTCGCCATTTAGTTTTCTTCTTTCGCCTAGTCTCATTCACAGAATGGCATCGTCAACAGTAAACTCCCTATTAGCAATATTTTATCTCGTGATTTTTCTGTTTGCCACGTCTGATTTGAAAAGATTTGTTTTCCACGTCCATATTTCACGAGTCGATCGTGCACCTGTGGAGATTTACATCGACACATCATCTTCATCATTGTCACTATGGTACCCAATCTCGATTGGAATCATTTTCAATGTATTCATTATAATATTTTCGTTACGTAACTTTTTCATCATTGTACAACGACGAAATTCGTTCGGTCAGCTTTGCGTATCAACAGCAATACTCTTCTTCTTATTTACCGTACGACTGATTGTCAATATAACAGTTACTAAAACTCGAAATGGTCTCTCAACACCGACATTGGTTGAACGATCATTCCTCGTACCATCTTTATCCTTGGAAGAAGAACTTACCACACTGACGTTGGATTGGCTCATCAAATGTGCTGGTTTCATTGGTACTTTTATCATACATTATAAGCAAAAACAAGCGTACGAAATGGACGATGAAAAACGTCAAGAACTAAAATTAATGACTAACTTTGAGTAGAATATGACCTTGAAAAAGAATAAAACAGCTTTTGCTTTGTTCGGTTATCAGTGCTTTTATCATCTTGAATCATCCCATTATATATATAGTGATGTATGTTATGTGTTTAGTGTTAAATAGTTCGAACATGTTTACTTGCACTATTGTTGTATTTTGTTGTCTGTTTTCCAATATAGTTTCTCAAAATCTTCCATTTCGATTTGATCATGCAATTCATCGATTGAGTCAGTATCAGAAATTTCCCCTTGAAGAGCTCATTCAAGATGTTGAATACACTTCTCCCACGGAACTCATACTGGAATATGCATCTATGATAAATTCAAACAACAACACAAGCGTATGCGAACAACGTTTCGATGCCATAATTCTAGCAGCTACACAAGGTGAACTATGGGCTCTGAAGATTATTGATGCTTGGGGAAAACCTTTACCATCAGGTATCTTGCAAGGCAATTCATTCTGGCTTGGTAGTTATGATGAATGTATAAAACCAATGTATATGCCCAATAATAAAACATTCTTAGCACAACCATTCGATACACAGTATTGTAGGTTGGATGATAGGTCCTTACTGCGTACTAATCTGAGTATAATTCTAGGTACCATTACACCGAAGGCGAGCCAAACGAATCCAAGTGCATTGCCTTCTATCACTCTTGGAATTTGTGTACCCGCATCATGTGACCATCAAAATGTTGTGACTATAATTCATAAATATCTGAAGAAGACGAATATTACTTCAGACGAACTTGTTTGTTCAAATGATCCTCCGAATGGAAAAGATGGACTTACCAATGGCGCAATAGCAACAATCACTATTATATCCTTGCTAGGTTTTCTTGTTCTGATTGGAACTATAGTTGACCTTCTCACTGTATTAAACACTGAGTCTCTTGTGAATGATTCAACAACACATGCCAATAGTGTAAACCATCTAACATATCGTGAGTCACAAAAGTCAAATCGATTCGGTCTAATCAATAGCACACATCCAGTAGCTTCTCTTGGCGATTTTTCTGCTATCCGGTGTCTTCGACGAATATTTACCCTACAACAGAAAAATGACCATGATTCATTTGCATTTATCAATGGTATTCGTGTTTTAGCTCTATGCTGGGTGATCATCGGCCATTCATTAGCTTTTGGTTTGAATTATAGCAGTAATATTGTAGACGTTCTTTCTTGGACTCAGAATATCTCATTTCAATTGATCGTCAATGCTGTTTTTACTGTCGATACATTTTTTGTTCTAAGTGGATTTCTCACTGCTGTACTGTTTGTTCGACAAGTGAAAAAAGAAGGTCGACTCTTCACGCGTACGATGATCCTCTATTATATCCATCGGTACATTCGACTTACACCAACATTTCTTCTGATGGTCCTCGTCAGTATTCATTTAACGCCATATTTTGGTCAAGGACCAGTGTATCCAACTCAACAAGGATTTGAAGGACCCGACTGTCGTACAACAGATTGGTGGACATCAATCCTCTATGTAGGTAATATTGTCAAACCCGATGGTATGTGTTTAGCGATTGCATGGTACCTTCATAACGACATGCAATTTCATTGGATTGCACCTTTATCGTTAATTCCATTTGTTCTTGGGAAGAAGATCCTATCCATATTTATTGCAATTGTTTTTGTTTTCGTGGGCATTGTATCTATATTGACTATACTAATTTATTATCCTGACATGTCACTCAATCCTTTGGTTGCATTTAATCCAGCTGTAAGTCATTTCTACCTTTCTTGATTTTTACTCGAATGAAAATTTTCCTTCTCTTTACCAAGCTTGGACCTACGTTCTTCAAAAACATTTATATTACACCATGGTGTCGTATATCAGCCTATGCTATCGGTCTGTTAACAGGATACTTCGTTATTCACACAGGTCGAAACTATCGAATTAATAAATATGTTAAAACGTTTGGTACAATATTAATGACTCTGTTCGGTTTGGCTTGTCTATTTGCTGTATATCCTGATTCTGTCCTTCCATCTGGTCTCAGTCGAACAATACTCGTTATCTACCAATCTATTTCTCGAACATTTTGGTCAATGGCGATCGGATGGCTTCTCATTTTATGTAGTACAAATCAAGGTGGTGTTGTCAATCGAATTCTTTCATGGCCAATTTGGGCTCCAATGGCTCGTTTAAATTATTCATGTTATCTCGTACATGCTACAATAGTTTTGATTAGTATATACAGTCAAAAGCTGCCTTCATATTATCAAGGACATCTCGTGGTAAATCATTTTGTAGCGCATATAGTTTTTAGTTATGCCGCTGCTATTCTCGTAACGATATTTTTCGAAACACCATTTTTTATTATTGAAAAGAAACTTTTGAAACGATAGATTTTATCCTTGTAATAAAAATATCTGGACTCAGATGTAAAATTACACGAAGATCTTTTGACATAGATAAAAATAGATGACATCATTATTTACCCAAACAATGACGCCGCTCAGATTACTCGTTCTATTATCATAGTCATCGAGGTTAACATGAATTGCAATGTCATCACTGTTGGTGTTTGTATATTTATCGTGTAACATTCCTATGATGTAAGAGCTACGTGATTTTGATGTGCGGATCTTGCTATTGGTATATTCTTTGTTTAAAAGATGAGCAAAGGAAGACTTTGTTGTCTACAGTCAACAAAAGATTCAATTTGCAATCAGATTTCCAACATTATCAAAGATTTTCTAGTTGTTAGCATAGAAAAACACATGGCAGCTTAACACCGTTCGTTTTGTGATCAACTTTAACGTTCATTGAAATTACTTGTATTGTTGAATTTCAGCACTGTTGATGATCATTCACATAAGACCCGTTAGTGACGAGCTTCTGAATTGATGCTTTCAACAAAAGTTCGTTGCTAAGCGGGTCAGTTGTGAGTGAATATTTGAGAAAATTATCATTTAGGAATCATTTTGCCTATTGATATCATCATTTACTCACTTGAATTAAACTACTACTTCTTTGTCGTTGTCGTCGTCGTCGTCTTCATCATCATCTATTTTCTCTTTTGTCATTTCTCATTCGATCGATTGGTAATGAATCGTGCTTATGCATTGTCGATGTATGTTCGCAAGACTTATACTCGGCACACGTTCACATCAAATATTCACTTTGAATAATGGGTATAAAAGAAAAGAGAAAACGAGAGAGAAAGATCGTTTTTAAAGACGAGAGGAGAGAGAGAGTGAGATCCGATCTGTCTCGGGAATGGTCGACAGCTGATCATTCTTATATAGATGTATGTATGTGGCGATAAAAATTAACTTTTATGTTAGTCCGTCTTCTCTTTCTTCTTCCATCTTGAATCACTCAATCAAGCAACCGAATGATAAGGTGTGGTGACGGCAACGACAATCACCATACACACAAATCGTTTCTAACAGACATGTGAATGCATCGACAATTAGACGCAATGAATGAATGAGTGAATGAATGAATAACTAAGAAAAGATGAAGAAGAAGAAAGAAACAACGAACGAACGAATGATGTGCAATCGACTATGGAAGAATGAACATATACTGATGGAATGAGGAAGGAGAATATGAGTAGGCGCAGCTGGTGTCGAACACTACAGTCAATCTTTTATATTCTTAAATCGAACATTCATTGTTATTTAATTCTCTATCAAATAAAATTAACTATAGACGATAAATTTGTAAATGTTGCTCAACTTTTTTTCTTCGGAACTGATTGATTCCTTACATACTCTAAAAAAACTCAACAATAAAGCCAATCGAACAAAGTTTGGAAATTAAAAATCACGTCTGCCATTATCTATCCATTTTATTGTGGTCTTCTGATGATATCTTACTTTTCCATGTTAATTAAAAAGCTCTCCGAAGTCACAGCATCTGAGATTTGATGACAAGATTTACTCGGCAGACTTTTTTAAAGACAGACACTCGACAAAAGATCTTTGTATCATCTTCTGATTTATCATAAAAGAGAAACTTAACAATTCTATATATCACAATGAACAAACATTCTAGATAAGGCCGTGCACTCAAAGTGTGTGACCTCGATTATTCGTACCGTATATATAGCCAACGCTTCGTTCGTCTTCTCCTCATACGTATTAGAGAAAAATGTTCGTATATCGTTTTCTTCTCTGCGTCTTTCTACTAAACACGTTGTCAGCTCACCATTCGTGGAGATCACCACGAAGTTCCAGTTTTCATCACTCACTAGAATTATTTCATGCTCGTACAAAACATCCATCACCTTCGTTTTCATTGTCATTGCCATCTTTTCTACCATTTGTCTTCAACAGAACACCTTGTCATGATGATCTTCTAGTGTTAATGAAGAGCTTTATAAAGGAGGAAAAATGGGCATTGAAGACTCTCGATTCATGGGGTACAAAACTTCCGGCTGGTATTCTTGAAGGATCACATCTATGGTTTGGTTCGTATGATGAATGCATTTATCCACTTTATTTACCAGCGAATGAGAGTTATGTTTCACAACCTTATCCAACGAAATTTTGTACAATTTCAAGTGTACATATTAATGAAAGTGACAATGTATTATTTCGGAAACCATCGTTACTCGTCGGAATCTGCTTACCGGAATCCTGCCATTCAAATGATTTCCGATCGCAGTATGTTGTTTCTGATGAAATGAAAACTGGTAATATTTAGTAATCATTTGTTTAGGTCTCTGGATCTTCATTGCCAGTCGGAAGGAAGACAACTCTCCATCGGTACATTGTTAACGCTGAGCTTAATCATTTTGCTTACTTTCTTCGTATGTCTTGCTGAATTTATTCCTCCTTTGAAGGAATATTCTGTTCTGTCATCATTGAAACGAATCTTTTCATTGAACCATCAGCATTCAACTTATTCATGTCTGAATGGAATTCGCGCACTTTCATTATTCTGGATTATATTCGGTCATGTGTACATTTTCCAGTTGACCATTATAGACAATCCTGTTCGAGTCTTTGACAATCTTCGTAATTCATGGGTAAACCAACTCGTCATTGGTGCTGTGTATGGTGTGGATACGTTCTTTTTCATCAGTGGATTTCTCTCAGTATCAGTTTTTATTCACACATTCAACGATCAAAGTAAAGCATCTCGTCAAAAACGAAATAGAGTTTGAAAATAATGAAAAATACTTTGTTTATATGTTTAGATACTTTCCATGTTCGATATTTATTTCTCTATTATTTCCATCGTTACTGTCGGTTAATTCCAACTTTAGTGTTTGTATTATTAATTAGCATGTATTTATCGCCATGGATGGGTTCAGGACCGATATTTCCAACGGACAATGGTTTTGAAGTACCAGCATGCTATCATTCATGGTGGGCAACATTACTGTTCGTTAACAATATCGTCTCGCCAGAAAAAGCATGTCTACCAGTAACTTGGTAAACAATTCAAAGTATCACAACTTGTTCTCTACGTTTTATTCTCTAATAGGTACATTGCCAATGATTTTCAATTTCATCTATTAGCACCTCTATTTCTCATCCCATTCGTGTTAAATCGTCGTCGATGGACTTATGCTATATTGGTTCTTATTTTACTGATAAATATAATTACTAATATAAGTTTGGTTAGTACACATCCAGGTTTCGAATCAGGATATATTGCAACAACCGAAGTACCAGTTGATTTCTTTGAAAAAGTCTATGTCACACCTTGGTGTCGTATTGGCGCTTTTGTCATCGGTATGATGACAAAATTAATTCTCGAACGATGTCACTCAACTTTATCGTCAATTCAAGTGATTCTATACACAATAATTTCAATTATTCTAGCAATAGTTTGTATATATATTCCATTTTATTCAGATTATGTACCGAAATTTGTTCTTATTCTACACCAATCTTTATCACGGCAATGTTGGTCGATTGCCATCGGCTGGCTAATCTTCGCTTGCTGTAACAATAATGCTCGATTGATTAATAAAATCCTTTCATGGCCATTCTGGACAATCATCGCTCGTTTGAGCTATTCGGCTTATTTAATTCATGTGACGATTATTCTCGTGCACATTTATAATCGGGTGACAACTATTCATTGCCAAACAAGTGTTATTCTCAACAATTTTATTTCACTGACATTGTTGTCCTTGTTCGTGTCCATCTTTATAGTTGTTCTCGTTGAAACACCATGCAGTTTATTCGAAAGGCGAATACGGAAATATTATCGAGAAAGAAAACCATTAGCAACCAATCATCAATCATATGGAACAATCAGCTAGATTTCTCAAAACGTAATTTTTTTGTAATAATTCATATATCTTTATATATATATATTGATCAAAGTGATTATTAGAATAGAGTGAAAATCAAAGATACCTAATGAATATGCATTTTTTGTCAATTTTTTGCAGTAGTGTTTCATATAAATAAATGTTCTTTTTATATAGTTATCTTGTTTTTCTTCTAGCCACAGAGAAGTGAGTCATGCAATTCTGCGCATTTTATTTTGTGCGATACTTGCGCAAGTTTGTAATTGTACTTGTAACGCGATATGAGGACATTTTGGACTTCAAACTCTCACTGCATCTCATGATGAATCCTCATCCGATCTTTATTTTTCAAAAATCAAACATCATATTCTTCGAATCCTACGTAAAATAATCAAAAGGTACCTTATCCACCGGTTGAAAAAGGATGGTTGGTATTTCGAATTGGTCGTGTCGAAGCTTGATAGATATGGCCCATGATGGAAGATTGATAAAAGTGTGCCTGGCGCCCAGACTGAACACTCGGCATATATACTGGATTAGTATTCGGATCAACGACATGGTCAAATGTCTCAAAGGTATTTCCCATGAGAAATTCATCAAACGGCCGAGCTCGTGGATAAAAACCGTTGGAGAACTGTGGTCTTCGTGCTAACGACATGTCACTGCTGGTTGAAACGCTTCTGTCAAAATGAAACGATGATCAAACGCAGCTCTCACTATATAAATTACCTTTTTTCAGGTAGTTTTTCTCCACAGTGACGAAAAAACAAAAATCTATGACGTACTTTCACTTTCCTCTCTTTTTTGATTACACATGCATGACTTTTGTTTGTTTATTAAATGACAAGAAAAAAAAATCTGTTAATAGACACGATAGGGAGCGCGAAATTCCATAGTTGGTGACGCATAAACGCCCATATGTACATGGTGATGCTTAGGTTCGTGTATGAGATGGAGATGCTTATGACCATTCTTCGTCGGCTCTTGTAACTCATAGTTGTACCAGTAATCATTGCGGCCATTAACATCCTCATGTTCATGTGGATGTCGGATGTACCATATCATTTGATTTGCGACTTGATTATATCGACGGGTGGTTTTTGGACCCATACCACTAGTGTTGAATGTTGCCATGTTCAGTGTCTCTCGTTTATGGATAGCAAATGCAATATGAGCGAGTTGTATATATATGACATAGGAAGCAATCGTGCATGAATTTTGCGTTGTTGTATGTAAATTCAAATGAGTATATCACCAATGTACTTTTTCATTTAAATGAATGTAACAGTGAAGACATGAGCAACATAAGTAGGAGGTCACATAAACAGCATACAGATTGTCATAGCTGAAACATTAATAACAATCGACGATATATTGTTGATTGAAGGGAAGAAAACATCTTTTCATTTCGGAAAATTTCACTGTGATTCAATGTGTGAAGTATGCTTGACACAATTTGAGAACGACGTCAATGTTACAGAGTGGACGAAGATGGTATCATCAATCATTTCTATTGAATTCATAACTACAAAACAAAAAATGAAAATAACTATCGATTGAAATGTTGACGCAATTTTTATAATTATGAAAAACTACCCGCACTGTTTAGGTCGAGCATTGATATAGAATCGTGAGTTGAATTTTATTCAATCTGTTACAAAGAAACTGATTTGGTCATATAGAAATACTGCTTTATTTATCTATCCATTTGGGATATATATACACACATTGATGCCGTGTGATAATGCTCTCTATTATCGATCTATCGAACGTGCTTGTCAGTTAGACAAAACATATTCTTGATGTACAATTCTCGATATGATCTGCAGAAAAATCTATTTCGAATGATTCAATCAATATCTCGCTTATTCTAAGTAAAAGAACATCCAAAATACACTCGTTCTTTGTGTGATGTTTTACCTATAAATAAAATGTTATTATTCTCTTCTATATTGTTCTTTCAATCAAGTGTTCAAATAAAAATTCTGATTATGTTGTGGGCGATAAATAACTTAACATTTTCATTCACTTCATCATTAGATTACGTTTGTAGGCGGACATTCTTTGAATATCCCGGACGAATATTCAGCTGATACGAGTGTGATGATAATCGAACTTTCATAGGTAGATATAGAAATAGTTATTCACTTTTACAAGTCATTTGTTAGACGTGTATTACAAAGAGAAAGAGGAAGTAAGAGATTCTTTCCTTCATTCAATAATGCCAAAAGAAGAAAACAGTAGTACACACTGTACATTCAAGAAAAAATCAGCAGTAGGAAACGTAGAATTTTATGTAAAACTTCCGCAACAAGAATTCGCTGAAGTTGAGGAATTTGTTGGTATCGTCGAATCTCCAGGTTTGATTACTTGAGAACCTGGCGATGGCATAGATCTTTCATCTTTCATCGAATCCATTCGTGCTGCCCAATGACGGTAAATATCAGCAATCAATGTTCGAAATGCTTGTTCAACATTCGTAGCATCCAAAGCGGATGTTTCCACATATCTTGAGAAAAAAAAGTAAGTGCTTTTAGTATTCTTTCATCAAAACATTTCTCACTGAATATTTCGCTCTTCGGCGTATCGCTTAGCATCATCACTAAGTACCGCACGTATATGTCGCTGATCTAATTTATTCCCTACTAAGATAATACAGCAGTCGATACCAGCATTCGCTCGAACCTCATTGTACCTATTTGGAAATGAAAAGATAAGATTATTAATGATTTCTTCGCCTTACCATTGATCAAGATTTTGGAATGTTGATGCTTTGAGAATATCAAAAACAACGAGTGCACCTAGCGCGTTACGATAATAGGCTTTTGTGATTGCCATGAAACGTTCTTGACCGGCTAAATATACGCAAAGAAAGGTAAAATGTTATGTTTTTCTCTCCGTTTGAAATCGATTTTACCGGTGTCCCATATTTGCACTTTGATAGTTTTGCCGTCAACTTGAACTTCTTTTGTGGAGAATTCGACTCCGATCGTCGAGCGACTTTCCAGTGAAAATTCATTTCGAGTAAAACGTGACAATAAATTCGATTTGCCAACACCGGAGTCGCCCGTCAGAACAATTTTAAATATGTAATCAGCTGTTGATGGTTCTGCCATTGCTTTGTTTTGTTATTTTTTTTAAACTTATACTAGAATGAAAGACAAAGGCATATATATATATACACTCGGAAGGATCAAATCTATAATGTGAGTCATCGCGTATGTCAATAGAGAATTATGAGAAAAACAAATTCTGTAGCATGATAGAACACTCCGGAGAAAAAAGGCTGAGCTGGAGATGATTAAAGTACATGAGAAATGAAGAATTTTGTTCAGATTGAATGCAAGATCTCGATGACTCAGACGAGCACATAGCTGAATTTTTTGTGCAAGTTTTCGTCGCCAAGGCATTCAAGTGTAAAGAATAAGGTTGATGTCTCATCAGAACTGACTACGTGTATACTCGTTCGTCATCGACGCGTCAATGTTGGCAAGAGAAAATAAAAGCAAATAGTGGTCGTTTTTTTCTTCTTCTCTCTTTTCTCAACTCAGTGAGTAGAGAGCGAGAGGGAGAAAGAGGTGAGTCACATCATCCTCGTCAGCGTTCACTTTGCGCTATAATAATACTATAATTCGACGACACAGACCGAACTGACAGCACAGAAACGGAGACACGAAGGAAAAAAAACTGACGAGAGGAAGAAAAAAAGAGAAAAAAAAGAGGAATGTGTGGTATACATATCTTATTTTGTACAATGTATTATTCGTTGGCCAAATAGAAGAGAACAAAACAGAAGTCTATTGTATTTTAGTTCAGATGATGCATTGTAAATACAGACCGGGAATAGTAGCAGTAAAAGGCTTCTAACGGAAGAAAAAACAAGGACTTTTAAATAAAAGATGGATCAGTTTTCAATTATCAAAAGGAATTTTTTTTTCGTAGGCGAAATGTTAATCGCTGTTGTCATATGATGTAATGATAGTTTGATTGAGACGATTTTCGACAAGGTTTCAGTTACATGTAACCACAGGTAGACCTTAAACAGACTGATTGAATTACTTGTAGTAATTAATGTTCTACTGACTTCAACAGAATTGTTCTCTCATTGTTTCGAACGTCTTGATACTACATAGAATTAGCTGTTTGCCTTTTGCTGCTGGTAAAGATTAACTCAATCCTCCGATAATCAAAATATTACGTCAGTAGAAGGATGGAGTAGCGCAGCGTTGTCTAAATTTCAGCTCTTAGCATGTTGCAGCATATATTAAGGCAATTATATTTCTTGTTATACGAGTGCGTATTATGATGACCTTGTTTATATCATATTCTTTAGTTAGGATATATATATATATATATGCCATAGATGTAGATCTCATATTCTGAGAAATACTTAATGATGTCGTTCTTGTGAGCTAGATGAATATTTGAGTGTATCTTGAGGAAATGAGTGTATCGACTTGATGATATTGAAACTTTGAACAATTCAACTTAGGTTTGATCTGTATCAAGCAGATTGATATAAAATGAATGAATTTACGCACTCGAATAGTATGATGCATGATTCACATGTGAAGTAGGAATTTATGTAACTGGTACCAAAAGTACGTACCATCTACAGTTTTAATCACGTTTTTCATCCGATGTATAAATAATGACTAGTCAACAATGTGTTATTTACAGACGTGATATCTTCCTCTCGTAGGTACGAACTGCGTTATTGATATTACGTTAGAAATATTTTGTTCATGTTTATGATTGGTTTTGTTTCATGAAATTCTTATTGTTGAAAAAGTATAAGTTTATCATTTAAAAACTATTTCAATAGCTCCTATACGTTCCGTGTACTTTGGATATGTATGTTAACATCCGTGACATTTTTCATAAGAGATGGTGGGAGTGACATATATCAAAATGAAAACAAATGTAAATACGAGATTTTTCTGTAAGTTAAAGATTGAACTGATATTCGTTTAATTGAAAATAGATATATAAGTGTTGATTATACGGCTGTGTTTATCTAAAATACTACTGAACGATATTTTGTCGTGTCAATGATTAAAATCGTAGAGACGATGTGTCAATTCATGGATAATTGCTTGCTTTGACAATTGCTTTGCCCGTGTTTTCTCCTTTAAATAGTCCAACAAAAGCGTTTGGCATCTTGTCAAAACCATCAAATACAGTTTCTTTGAATTTCAATTCACCCTAGAAAAGTGGTTCAAATTGAACAAAATACAACAACTTAATTGTACTTACCGTCTTAACTAATGGCACCATTTCATTCCAAGCCGTTTGAAATTCTTTAGCATAGGTAAGAATGTTAAAACCGCGAATAGTCAATTCATTCATAAGAACATCCATATTAATTTGAGGAACTGAAAACATACAGGCATAAACTATTGCATTTGACAATTACTAATAAGAAAGATACATTTTTGTTTTTCAGTATCGTTATAGTTCGATATCGAACCACATATACTGATACGTCCACCATGTGCCATGTGTTTTGTGATCATCTGATGAAAGAATTCGCCGCCAACCTAGAGAAAAACAAGCTGACTATATCTTCAAAGTTAAACACGATAGTTTACATTATCGAAAAATACATCCACGCCTTTCGGTGCTGCTGTTTTGAGAGCATTTTCGAGTGAAATTTTTTTATAATTGAAAGCATAATCAAATTTCAATTCCTTTGTTAACCATTGACATTTCTCGTCCGAACCAGCAAAACCAATAACAGTCAAACCCTACAAACGAAGTTGATTCACTCACTCACTCAAATTCAAATTCACGATACTTTATGTTTAGCTAGTTGACCAACTATCGAACCAACCGCTCCAGCAGCTCCATTAACAACACAGACTTCACCGGCTTTAGGTTCCAATAAACGAAAACCAAAATAGGCAGTTAACCTATGGAAACAAAACTAAACCTAACAAGTTTTAATGTTGATTTATTCATACCCAGGCATTCCCAGTACACCTAGTGTAACTGAAGGCGAAAGCGAACCTAAATCGAACGGAATTGGTCGAAGATCTTTTCCATCCTTGGACAAATAATGAGTTCGCCAACCGCTGAACGCTAGAGCAAGCGTTCCAAGTGGAAATTCTCCATTTCGTGTTCGGATAACTCTAAACAACAAAGCGTACGATATTTTCGTTGTTAAATATCAAACTAAACTAGTTGACTACTTCAAACATGCTTCACCAAACATAGTTTTGTGCTCACCCATAGGCTCGCCATGAACACTAAAACAAAGAATGAGATGCAATATAATCAAAACAACCTATTTACCGCATGTATGGATCAACAGTAAGGTAAACAGATTCCAAAAGAACTTCTAAAGATATCGAAAGGTCATGTTAATCGACTATTAGAATAAATCGGTGAACAGCTCACCTCCTGGTTGGAGATCTTCTGAGATATCCTCTTCGACCAATTTCAGATCTTTTTCAGTAACTTCAGCTTGAAAAGGCTGTGGCCGACTCCAATGACGTACTTTCACCATTGTTACTTTTCTCAATACAGAGAAAATCTAAGTCAGCGGGATGCTTAGTTTGAAATAACATTCCTACTAGACGATGAATAATCAATTTCAACAGACTGATCTCTCGTATCCAATAAAATTAAAGTTCAGTTCCTCTATTCTCGAAAGATGGCATAAAACACTTAGTTAGCCAATTCAAGATTCTATTTTTCATTCTTACTCTCGCTTTTGAAATTCAGTCAAGTATCCGAATGCGTCGAAAACACTCCTGTTTGCCTCATTAATTCGTAATAGAAATAATATTCATTATTTTTTCTCGACATTTTTAATTGCATTTATTTTGAGCAAGCACAACACATACTTCTGATGAATATTTCTTCCCAGAATATTTTTTTTGAGATTTTGCTGTATCAATACTCATGACTCATTAAGTGCTACATAAACGATAAAACATACTCTACCAGAGAGGGAAGAAGAAAAAAGCTTACGACACTGAGTATTTTTGTGGGCAAAAGCGTAAAAATACCTGCGACGTAAGATATATAAGTCGTCGGCCAGAACGGAATGCATGTTATTCTACTTTCTATCGAGAATTGCTTTGCATACACTATTCAAAACAGAAACACACTCCAATTTACTGGGAAAAAGTAAGTTACAAGCTATATTTACGAATTTGACAAGATATTTTGAAATAATTCTTATTTTAGATCTTCAAACTAAAAAATGGCTACAGCAAACAATCAAAGTACAAACGTACGTACGAAGAACATACTCTTTTTTGACATTAATCTGACATATCACTTTCTTCTTTTAGAAACAATTAAATCAACAAATGAACGCACTATCATTGAATACTGCGCAAGAATCTAGTACAACTCCTAAACCAAGTCAATCAACAACAACACATGAAGATAACACCGACAATACTGGTGAAATTATCTATACCAATCATTTTCCGTGTCGTTTTGCCAACGACATTACGTTCTATCAATACGACGTTAAAGTCGAAGAATTTCATCACAGAAACAATCGATTTGGTGACATGACTGGCCGCGAAAAGCGTCGTCAGATAGTGACCAATATTTTCTTCGACAGAATCATCCATCCAACAGCTGTCTGCTGGTACGATGAAGGAAGTTGCATCTACAGTACTAGCATTCTGAGCGAAACATATCCAGTCGTTCATGAACACGAAGATCAAGGAAACCGATATCGACTAACTATCAATAGTCAGTCAGCAACAAGTAGTACAAATGATTTGGACCAATCGTCGATTCGAATTATTGAAACGCTGATTAAACAAGCGTTAAAGGAACAATTCAAATGTATTGGTTCAGTTTTCTATCAATGGGATGAACAAGCCGAGCCCGATGGACTCTATGACATTCTTGTCGGATTTCGACAGGCGTTGTGTCTTACTGAGTCAGATGTGACTTTGAATGTGGACACGACAAAAACTCGATTCTATCCACATTCAGATCTTTTGGATTTCATTTGGAACAGATGGATGAAACAGACGCGCCAATTTTCGGGACATCTGCCCGACGACGTGTACTATCAAATAAGCAATTTTTTAAAGGGCGTCGAAATCACAACTTATCAATCAGATAACCAACGCACGTATGTTTTAACTGGTGAATATTCGGATGTACTTCCAGAACAAATTGTCGTTCGTGAACAAAATCTTTTGGCTTATTACAGAGGTCTTGGCTTTGAACTTCGCTATCCCAATTTGTACTGTTTGAAGGCACACAAACCAAATAATCCGAACTATATAGTTGATCTTCCGATTGAACTTTGTCAGTTTCGAGAATGGCAACCAGCTAAAGAAGATGAAAACGTTAAACCTGTTCCTGCGCCACCAGCCGACGAGCGTTTTCGTTCGATTTTGCGACTCGTTCAGAGCTGCAATTTTCGTGATGGCAGATTGTTTCAAGAAATTCAATTTAATGTTGGATGTGCCGATATGATGGATGTTCCATATGACATCTTGCAAACACGCCAAATTCTTTCTGGGCGTAGATATGGATTTACAAATCCTGTTTCCATACGCCGGATGGGTTTTCTCTACTTGACGGATCAACGAAACCACTATGCCTCTCAAAATAATACAAATTTCTTTGACCGTTTCTATCAAGTAAGTATCTTAGCTTTTCACTAAGAAAATGCATTAATACTTTTCTTCTCATTGTTGCATCATAGGCTGCTAGAGGAAAGCAAGTGCAGTTGCCACAAAGACGTGATGAATTTGAAATTCATGCCGACAGAAACTTGGACAATACTCTTCGAGATTATTTGGGCGAATGTAAGCGACGTCAATATGAATTCATTCTCTGTGTGGAAAATTGTCGGAATCCGCAAGTGCACGAAACTTTCAAAAGAATTGCGTATCACGAATATGGTATGTGTACCTATCCTCAATGAAATTCATAGCGTCATCATGAACTTTTATCTAGGTATTCCCACCCAATGTGCAAATTTCTCGAAAATTAGTCGTCCAAACAATCTAAGAAGTTACTGCGACAATCTTCTTCTGTCAGTCAATGCTAAACTGTACGGTGAGAATAAACAAGTTGCTGAGCTACAAACTGACGTTAGGACAATGTACATTGGTGCCGATGTTCTTCATTCGAAAAACAACTATAGAGGTGAATTACCATCGATAGCAGCCGTCGTTGCTAGTATGAATTCGGATTGTACGCAAACAGCTCAGCGTGTATCTCAACAGTGGCCCGTTGAGGGAAGACAATCTGAAGAAGCAATTTTATTATTGAAAGATATGGTCATCGAACTTTTAAGAGCTTATCAGGATATGAATCAGGGTATGCTTCCAAAACGTGTTGTTGTCTATCGAGATGGAGTCGACGATGGACAATTGGAACGCGTTCGAAACGAAGAAGTAACTGCTCTAAGAAATGCATTCGAAGGTAACGGAAAATGATTTAGTATTAATATAATTACTTCGATTTCTCTTTGTAGCTGTTTATCCACCAAAGGCAACCCGTCCCGATCTCACGTTGATTGTGGTGAAAAAACGTCACCATACTCGCTTCTTTCGACAAATAAAACCATCGCGCGAAATCATGAATGTTGAATCCGGCGTCGTAGTAGACAGTTGCATTGTCAATCCATATTATCCTAACTTCTTCCTGAACTCGCATAAACCAGCATTAGGAACGAATAAGATCGGTAACTATGTCGTGCTGGTCAACGATACAGAGAGTCCTTTGGTAGATCTTGAAGAATTAACTTATTCTCTCTGCCATGCGGATCAACGTATTGGTAGTCAGCTAAGTGAATCAATTCCAAGTGTTGTACATCTAGCTGATGCAGCCGCAAATAATTCAAGGCAATTATTTGTTAGTAATATAAGGTAAGCTATCAAAACCCTCTCGTTGTCTTTTCGTGATCTTAATCATGTCTGTTTTGTTCATTTTAGACCAGCAAATGGACCACGCGCAAGAATTTTAGAAGTTCACGATGATGTTCAGAATGCACCAAACATGTTTTAGATTTTCTCATTTCTTTAATTTTGAGTTTTTAAGTCAAGATATTTCATGTTGTAAAATAAACAATTAAAAAATTACATAAATCTCAGCTGTGAACTACTCGCACATCATTCAATGTTCAAATTTCTGTCAGAAGCAGATATGTCTAAGAACAAGTGTGTATACGGTAGAAATTACTGTTTTTATTCATCCGGAAAGATGATCTCCTCTAGTTGACGCATCACTTTTGAAGAAGCTGCCGTAGTTGGTAAATCAACATATATTTCACGTTGTGCATTGCCTTTCTCTTGACCAATAACGATTCCTTCTACTTGCTGGCGAATCTGTTGTCCTGTTATCGGTAATTGATATAGTTCGTTAACGAGGTCCAATATCTGAGATGCTTTGAGTGTTTCAATCGTGTTCGTCGTTCCTTTTTGCTCTTCCACTGTTCTTTTGAATAAGTCCATCTCCTGTTTATACTCGTCTTTTAGCCTTTGAAGGTTAACGATTATTTGTGCGTTATTACCGCCACTGTTACGAATAGTTTGTTCTTCACGAATAAAATATTCAAGATAGTCAAGAAAGTCATCATTTGCTGGAAGTAGCGCATTCGTATAAAGGAAGCGTACTAATTTCTTATAAACATCTTGAATTTTCCTTTGCTCTTCTCGTAAATCGTTAATACGTTGTTCAATATTAGATAGATTTCCTGTTGAAGATCTCATACGGACAGGATTTGTGATACATTCATACGTGATATGTTTATGTTGTAACCAGTGGCAATCACAAACCATGCAAAAACCTAAACAAACATGAGACAGTTTACGTGATAAAAAGTGGTAGATAGGTTTATCATCATTTGCCTTCAAAGGCATCCATAGCCGTACAATCCTGTAATTTTGGGTCATATAAGGTCTCCTGTTGCACACCATTCAAATAACATTGTTCATGACATATACTCAAATATTGTATTCTCTTCTTTCCATTCTCATCGATCACTCGACAGCATTTCTCGCTTACACAAACGGTCCGTGGATGTTCGAGACGTATAATTCGTACTTCGTTCTGAAGTATACCTTCGGATGAACTCTGAACATCACTACGAATCTTTCCCTGTTGATCTTTAGCTAAACGAACATTATCTTCTATCAGCTTCGCTGTTTCTGCTATTGGCCGTGGAAGCTTTCGAATTAATTGTTCGGCTTCATTCAACGAAATTGTATTACGAACTCGATGAGGTTTACATGCGTTGACAGTCTTCATAAGACGTGAATATTCTGCGACGGAATGATCCCAACTTTTTGTATAACTTTCTCGTTGTTCATTGTCAACTTGAATATTATTTTTGCATAATGCTAAATAACGGAAAGCCTCGTTGTCGAATAGAAAGGAATTGGCTGTTGAAAATGGAATATTAACTTTATATTCGAGGCCATGTTTGTTCAAAAGAGCGCGCAATGCCGGCGTCGAAGAACCTGGCTTGAAGAATGTCGAGTGGGCATTTGTAAAAACGAACATGAGATTTGCCGCAAGTTCAATATGCAAATGGCGAAGAAGTTCATTGACGACAAATCGAAAAGATACTGTTAGACGCTCTTCATTTGGTTTGAGCATAATGAAAACCGCATTCAAATGTTTATATTCAGAGATGTGATTCAGGATTTCTTGAAAATTTTTCGCATCTTGTTCAATACCTCGTGTGTCGCCAATACCAGGTGTATCGATAAATCGTAAATTTCGCGTACCGATTGGAAAGACAAAACTTCGACATTGCTGTGTACCGGATTCGCCATGAGTGCTGAACTTTTCGTACTTATCTTCGCTACCGACCTTAATAGTCTGTTCGGTGAATGTTTGAAATTCGGTGTGAAAAAATTGCGATGGAATGACGTATTGCATTTCACCGTTTATGGCTTCTTCTAATGTATTATAGGTGATGTAATTGATAAACGCATTGATAAATGTGGACTTTCCAACTCCTGTAGGTCCAAGTAGCAAAATATTAATTTCGTGGTGTCTTGGACAACGCCGATTAGCTTTAAGAGTAGAACCAGTAGATCTTGGAAAGGACGAAGTCATTTCAACACCAATATAAATCGTGCGAGAGAGGATATAATTCGATGTAAATCTACTTTTACTGCGAAATGAGTTTATCAATGTTGTTTCGTTCTCTCTCAAAACAACACGTGCTCTATCTTGGAAATTTCTTTGTATGATATCTTCTTTCGTCATTTTTTATCTACAAAACTATATAAAATATTATTCTAATTCGTTTTCACATTACTGTATTAATCATGGACTCACTTTTCGTTAATAAACAACCTCGCCTAACATTTGATCGAGTGATCAACTGCAACTATGTTCAACTTGTCAAATGTTGTTTATGCCATGGTCTTGTTGTAGATCCTGTCGGTTGTGCAAACTGTGATAGAATAACATGTTCAGTTTGTATTCATAATTTTCATTCTACTCAATCAGAACCGAAGTGCCCATATGGATGTACAACATATATTAAGAGCTCGTGTCCGAAACCAAACTCTATCGTTCTCGATACTCTGAAAATAACCTGTCAGTATAAGGCGAATGGATGTGATGCAGTTCTATCTTACAACGATTATACAAGTCACGAAATCGATTGCCATTATCAATTACGAAACTGCCCGGGGTGCGAGCAGGACATAATAAAGAAAGATTTTGAGCAACATTGTGATCAATGTCCGTATGTATCAATCGTATGTGATCAATGTTCAAGTACATTTCAGAGAAAAGATACTGATTCGCACATAGTAGCTGTTTGTTTACGTGTCCAGTTACATCAACAAAATTCTCAAATAGAAGAATTGAAAGTGAAAGAATCTGAGCAGCAAACAAAAATGGATTTAATGGAAGAAAAATTGCAGAAAAATGAAGTGTTCTGGTTAGAATTCTACAATACCACGACACGAATCAGGTAATTTAAGCTTCGATCGAAGAATACTTTTTATGAACGTTCACTTCTAGAAATATGCTTGATGGGTAAGAAAGAATACTCCAAGTTTCAAGTAAGACAGTCTTGTATAAAAGTAACTTTAATTAACTACAAACGTTTATTTAGATCAGAATAATTGACCGTGTGATCAACATCCTAAGTAAATTAACTATGTACAGAGAATTTTATTTGTTCGTATAATTAAGAAATACAAATTTCATTCTTTTGGAAGTATCGATTTGCATAAAGCAAAGTTCCATGTCTTGATATGATGACGAAAGGTGTTTTTCATCAGCTTTTGAATGCGTTTACTAGATTTCAGATGTTTGAAATCCGCGTCATTGCTATTTGATCGAGTTTTCTTGATGGACTGGATTCGATTGAACCTCAAACGTTTGTCAACAAACGTTTGTTTAGAACATTGTATCGATGAATGCTTTTGCGCCGTGTTTCCAGTCAGTGTTGACCAAACACTGAGAAAATACGTTCGAATCGTATGCACAATAGTCTTTGTCAACGATTTCACCATGTGCCGAGTAGTTCTCAACGGTGCCATATCAAATACTTTTGCAGACAAGAGATTCGTTTTGACCAGTTACTTAATATTATCTTAGTTTTTATAGGCTAAATTGTATATGCAGAAAACATGACGAAGAAAACGTCATAGATATTTTATACTCGGTACACATAAATAATCTGCGCTTATGTCATCTGTTGATGATGTGTATTTGTCGAATTATCGACAATAAATAGTTTTTCTTCTACAAGGAAGTCTTTCTGGATAATTCATAAGCACATGTGAATAGACCCGAGTTAAAAATAAGATTTTGTATGATAAACTTAACTTCATGAGAGATCTAAATGATCGCTGTCATTATCTCAAGGATATTTTCGTCAATTTCCAGTAGACATGTGTTCGGTGATCTGATTGATTACATCAAACATCGACGTTTGATATAACAATATGCTTGAGGGTCATTAGGATATTTCTATAATCATCAATTACCACTGTCAGTCAATGACAACAGTAATCTAAATATCATTTTGTATGAAATTCGATTTCAATTTTAGTTTTATGTTGAATCTAGTCGAAAAAAGATTTCTTTTTCACTAAATCTATATTGAAGTAGTATCGAATTTTTTTTGTATGTACACTTTGCATGACGCAGCAAAGAACGACTCCGAAGTATGGACATGCCATTAATCGCATATGGAGAAAAAGTCACATTAATATGACGCATGACGTGTTACTGGTTACTATGTGTCAATGTCATCGAAGTAATTAAGGATATCAACATCCTTTTGTATATATGAGAAAGATATTCTTCGATACGTTCATGCGTATGTTGCCTTGATGGTTCTAAATGATATTCGTGATGTTTATTATGCTAAAAAATGACTTTACGATCAAATGATTTTCATATTCTCGACTACGATAATGATAGATCTTGACTTTTATATATAGTCTATTCTATGCTAGCGACATTTGATTTCCGCTTTTGCTCAACAACTGATTAATTGATTCTTGTTGACGAGACGAAAATCCGGTGTAAAGAACAAAAACGCGTTGGATGTCATTAAAAACTTAATTTCTCGTTTTGGATCTCGAACGAGCAATTGAGAGAATTGATCGACAGCAGACTCAATCGTTTTTCGATTACATTTAATAAATCTTTCTTGTCGAAGTCAAGTTTCATTCGAACTTAAGTACATATAAATAGATTTCTTTCGTGACAAGAACCGATCGATCAATCATTTGATTGTAAATAAGTATTAAATTGGAGAAAAACTAGTAGTCAAGTTCTTCGAAATGAGGTTTTCAGTCAATATGACCTCGGGATTGAGGAGCTAGAAATCTGATTTACAAAATATCACAACAATTCATTGATCATTTCCATAATTGAATGAAAATTTCCTTTCGACAACGTCTCTCTCCTAATTTTATTTGTCTATTAAGTTATTTTCAAGACACAAAACTAATGCAAATCTATTCCATTCTTATTCGTCGAAATAAAAGACAATATTAATCAATCATTTCAACATTAGCCAGATTTTTTTTCTTTACATATAGTCAAATTCGATACAATTCATCGAGCATACTGTTCTGTCAATTGTGAATCCATCAATGTATTGTCTTCGGCGAACAAAAAGTTGTTGTATCTACTATTTTATTCTATTAGTTTCACAGAGCATTGAAAGCACACACATAAAGGAAGAGAGTGAGAGCAAATGAAATGAAGTTTTTTTGTGTATCACATTGAAAAGAATTTGAAAAAACGCAAAATATATTAAAAACATACGAGCAGGGAAAAAAAAGGAAATCAAATAGAATCACTCGAGCTCAGGTTCAGGATTGTCCAATGTATTCCGTCGCGATGATCTTTGCATCATAGTTAATATTGGAACATTCGGTAATGGTGGTTGATAAAAAGCATCGACGACCGCAATCTAGATAAAGATTGTATTTGATTTATATATATATATAATTAAACATCAAGATAGAGAAAAGAACTGTTTGTATGTCTGCAAAGTTACGCAGAAAGCATTAGTTGTTGATTAGTTAATTAGAACAAAAATCTTTGTGAACCTGTTCGAGTGAAGGCAAGATGAGAGTTAGTTTTTCTTTTAAATTATTTTCATATTCTTGTTATTCAACTACAGACATGATCATCATCATCATCTTCATCACAAAAGAAAAAAAAAGAACACATAGACAAAAAAAAACAGGAAAAAAGAATAAAATTGAAATCTATCTAGTCTAAGGAAAGAGGAAATGAAAAAAAAGAGAAGAGAAAGGATGGTAGGCAGTCATCATCACTCGGTGTATGTGGCTTTGATTCCATTTCCTCGACTAATTCAGACATCGAAAGAAGATTATCGTTGATGTCAATTGTCTGTTTGTTTTATGTCCTTTTTTGGCTGTTCGACACTTGCCATCCACCTATTGTATAGCACCGCTCGACTGTGACTGACTGGTTTTAGTAGAGAGCGAAGATAGAGAAAAATATAAAGAAAGAAAGAAACAAATAAGAAGAGATTTCTCAACATACAAGTTTTAAAAAAGACAAAGAGATACTTTATCACACGCTTGCAAAAAAACGAGAATAAAAGAAAGAGAGAGAGAGAGACGTATACACTCTAAATGCGCGCATATATATGAGAGAGAGAGAGAGAGTAGAAAGTAACAGAGAAGGAGTGAATGATTTAAATATGAGAGAGAAATACGGGGAGAAAATAAAGGCTAGAAGCATAAAAGATTACGAGCCCACCGATCTGTTCAATGTTTTGTCTTTTTAATGTTCTTCTTCTATATAAATGTTAGGTATCATGAGTGATTGTTAATGGTAATCGTTCATTATCAGTGTTAGTTACAATATGAAGAGGTTTTGAAGATCGTTTATCGTAATAGTAAGATGATAATTTGGGTATAGTACTGGCTCGTAGCCGATCTAATGTGACATATTTTGGTGGGTATCGATTGAATGATTCTTGAAATGCTTTTATCACACGAAGCTAGAATTGCATGAATAAAAAATAATGAATACAAATGGTCCATTTGTATTATTTTTGTTCAAAACAAGGAGAAAACATCAATGTGTGAGTAAATAAGTAAATAACATGACGAAAGACAGGAAATCAAGAAAGAGATATGTAAATATACACAGGCATGCACAGATGACGAAACACAAACAAAGCCAAGTCAATTAGCAGGCGAGACAATAACCAAAGCAGACATTTCGTACGAGACTTTTTTGTCAAAAAAAACCTCAAAGAATATTAGTTTTCTGCTATTATTCTTTCGGCCTTTTCCCTTATCCAGGACATAACAAAGCTAATCATAGCAAGAGATTCACACACATCATCAGTGACAATATTCAAATAGTTAGAAATCATAAGGGTCACATTTATCGAACAGGCAGGACAAACCTCAAACGAAATGGGTAAATAATAATGTATGAATTACGATTATTAGAGGATCAGAAGAACAGCGCACATGCGCAGTGTTTTCGTAGAGGTGATAGTGTTTACCATTGGGAAGACGGCGATTTGGCAACATGTTCTTGGAAAGTTTTAACGACTTGCACCTGTCAGAGGGAGCAATTCAAAGATTAGTATATGTTGATTCGTAAAGATGAGGAATTCTACAAGGATTTGTCGAATAAATTCAATTTAGGATCCATCAGATTCTATTAACTAATCAACATGTCCCATGTAGAATTTTCTTGTTAATAACTGCTGTGGAACAATGCCACTGTGTATTTGATTTCATGTTTTTTTCCTCTTGTAGTCAAAGATAAAAAGCATGAAAAACTATTTTCTGTTAATTAGCTGAACAATTCGTTGATTCATGCATTAGATTCAGTCATCCAATGGCCTCGTCTACAATTCAACTAATGTATAGACATGCGTTCAAGCTAGCAAGATTAAGAGAATAGTCGATTTTTTCATATAATAGAAGTCAAATAGAATAAGCGGCTTTAATGAATATGACATAGATCTCAACATTTTTCGAATATGAGAAAGAAGTTCAGATTATCTAAGTGTAGCTCTGCTTTTGTCATTGTTTAGTTTGCTTACCTGTGTTTGAAGACGTGTTATTCCTCGTAACCAAAGTATTTGTCCTTTTGTTAGACTTGATGCTTGTCTAGGTTGTCCTTCAGGACCCAAATCCACAGGTAGTGTCTGCTCATAAACTTCGCCTGCACCCCATTTCGGCATATGACGGGTCACCGGGATCAGATTAACGAGCTACAAAATTTAAACGGCAGTTTCTACCAACGACAAATACGAGAAAATCTTGTTTACTTGATTCCACAGAAGAACTGTGACGCCGAAAAAGAAACACCACATCCATTGTTCAAGTGATAATGGAACACAGGAGAAAGCGAATGAACCATATTGAACAAGAAGAATTTGTACGACGAATGTTACAATCCAAATCCCATAGAAGATTGGATTTGTGAATATACCTCGAAAAACATTTTTTTCACCATGAATTTTTCGACAATTGATTTCATTGAATAATGTCATTAGAACGAATACATTGAAGATCATTGTGAAGTGTTGAGATGGTCGAAAAACGCTATCTACTGGACGACCATCATCCATATCGAACACTGTCGGGCCAAGAAATAGAATAAATAACATGACACCTAATTGATACACAGCATGACCAATAATATTTTTCATCATTGTTCGAGAAATTAACGGTCGCGTTCGTCCGTACGGTTTACGAGTCAACAATTCTTCTGTAGGTACTTCGGTTGCTAATGCTAATGATGCTAAAGTGTCCATAATAAGATTGACCCATAACATTTGCACGGCACGTAATGGAGATTCTTTGACAATACACGCGCCAATAAATGCACAGAACACAGCGACAACATTGACGGTCAATTGAAATTGTAGAAATTTAGCTATAGAATCATAAACATTTCGACCCCACATGACAGCTTTGACAATCGAATTAAAATTATCATCGACAAGAATGATATCAGATGCTTCTTTTGCGACGTCAGTTCCTTGTATACCCTAAACATCGGTGACAAAATGGTACAAATCGTTTCGATTGAAAATGAGTAGTTACCATAGCGAAGCCAACATCGGCTTTTTTCAATGCAGGTCCATCATTGGTACCGTCACCCGTTACGGCAACGACTTCACGTGTTGGATTTAATTTCGATGCAATAATACCTCTTACAAGAACATATTTATCTTGCGGCGATGAACGAGCTAACACACGTAAATGTGGCCATACTTTATCAAATAGATTTTGTTCAACCTAGACACAAGAAATATCCTTAACACAGATCGACTCATTGATTTTCTTTACCTCTCCGTCTGGTCGCGATCGAATTCGTCGATTGAATTCTTTTCCTTCAAGTACTAAGAAACTGTCATTAGGTGAAATAATACCACATTTGAGTGCAATTGATCGAGCGGTGTTCACATTATCGCCTGTGACCATTCGTACTGTTATACCAGCACTGCGACATTTATTGATAGCTTCTGGTACTTCCGGTCGAACAGGATCTTCAATACCACATATGCAAATACATGTTAAGTTGTCGACAACATTAGCTTCGTCATCCCAATCAGGTAGTCTGTCCGGCTCGAAATCTCGATAGGCAACACATATCGTACGTAAACCATCGCATGCCATCGGTTCAATGACTGTTTGCACAAGACGATCGTAATCAACCGTTGAGAATGGAACGACTTCTCCATTACGATTCAAAATTGATTTGCATTTTTTCAAGACGATTTCCGATGCACCTTTTGTATACATTCGTATAACTCCATCTGGTCGCCGAACAACCGTGGACATATTCTTTCGTACTGAATTGAATGTGTAAACATGCACGAAGCCTTCTTCAGGGTAATGCGTACGAATTTCATCGTAACTTCCGCCCAGACCACTGACGAAGCCTAATAAGCCGCATTCAGTTTTATTTCCAACTTGTTTCGGTAATGTTTCTCTTTCTGGTGGTGGCTGAACACACACAAAGAAAAGTAGATATGTTCAGTTTTGAAATCATATTATCTTACCAAGAGTTTTGATGAATAACCGCTGTTGACAGAAATGCCTTCGAGTATAACTTCTTTTGTTTTCGCTGGTATAACAATCTCTTTTACTTTAACAGGATTTTCTACTTGTTTCCAGTGTTTTTCTGCTACATAAACCTGTACGACAGTCATACGATTTGTTGTTAACGTTCCTGTCTTATCCGAACAGATAGCTGTAGCATTGCCCATGGTTTCGCAAGCATCCAAATGACGAACTAAGTTATTATCTATCATCATTTTCTAAAATTATATCAAAAGAAACGTTTCCATTTCATCGCATTAAACTAAAAGAATTTCATGACTAACTTTAACAGCATAGGCTAATGAGATCGTGACAGCTAATGGTAAACCTTCAGGTACAGCAACGACCAAGACGGTAATACCTGTAATTAGATAGCGAACAAATCGACTCCAATATTTGTTACTCCATTTTTCACGTCTATAAATAAATTCTTATATTTATCGAAAATGTTTTCAGCTTTAAAATACCGTTGAATAAATTCTTCGATGGAGAATCGAACCAATAATACCATTACAGTTAGAATAGCAATTGTCATGCCTAAAAAAGATTTTCAAAATCTAGCCACGTTTATCTCGAATTGAATGAGAGTAGATTCTATTCTTTCCCTTAAGGATTCTTTCAATTAATTCGCTGAAAAGTCTCTCGAGATTCAATGGTTGTAGATATTTTAACTTTAGTTACAAGTAGTCAGAGCAGAAGGATACATTGTCTAAGGTACTCGCGTTGAAGGGCACCGAACATGTACCTGCATATCCAATTTGAATGGCTAATTTGGTTAGTTTGGCTTGTAGAATGGATCGTTCTTTCACTTTGAAACCACCCGTGTCGTCATCACCTCCTTCTCCAGGATCAGCAGGGGCAACCTCCTGTAATTCTGTTCCATCATGATTATTGCCAGTTGCATCTAATTGAAAACAAGAAAAGTGCGTTAGAAACAAATCTGCGACGGAGGATCATCGAGTAAAAAATCGAGAAGCATATTGAATTAGTAGCAATCACACTGTCAAGATCGAAGAAGAATTAGCGATATGAAATACCTGTAGCCATTCCTGACTTAACAAGACGTTCGTTAGCGTCCGAGTCGGCATTATCTTCTGAATAACATGTACGAGGTGAGTGCAAAGGGTATACATCACGCGATAAATAGTATACATACTTTCTTTCTTATGATTTCCACCCTTCTTATCACCATCTTCGTCTTCTTTCGTTGCACCTAATAGTTTGAATATCATACCAGTCTGACTGTGTTCACCGACAGCCAAAACTAACATTTTGCCACTACCTTCCATGATATGCGTGCCTAGATGAAGCATTTTACTAGAGATTGTTCTGGAAAACGAATAGAAAATTTACCAGAAAGAAGAAATGGATCTTTTGATTCATGTTTCTTGATTAAATCGGATTCTCCTGTTAATGATGACTCGTCAACTTTGAGATCATTCGATTGTACTACGACACCATCGGCCGGCAATAAATCTCCGTATTTAACTTGACAGATATCACCAACGACAATGTCTTTGATTGGAATTTGTCGTACATTATTATCTCGGACAACATTGAACTTTTGATCAAGTTCGATTTTCGATTGTAGACCACGAAACTGTCGTTCTTTTGTCCAATCATTAAATGCAGTGACAAGAACAACAACAATGACAGCAATAATGATAGCTGCACCTTCAATCCATTCAACGTTGGCTTCTTCTACAAAATTAGGCGAAAGATCGAGAATTCGTATCCATCTATTTTATTTAAAAAAAGAAGAAGAAGAAAACCACAAACTTACTTGGTTTGACTTCAGCTTCAAAGGTGTCTCCACCTGGATGATAAAAAGATAAGCCAAACGAGATGACAGCACAAATAATAAGTATAACAAGTGTAACGTCTTGAAGTGCTTCGAACATCAACGCAAAAAATGTTTTAGGCGGTTTTGGTGGAATTTCATTACGACCAAATGCAGCGACACGCACAGCTAAATCATTTTCGTCACTAGATAGACCTAGAAGAAGATAATCGATGAACAGATTCCATTATCGACATGAATCGGCGATTGTTTCCTTACCTGTTATTAAATTTGTTTTTAGTTTTTGTCCGAGACCACTCAGACCCCCATAGTTATCGTTTAAATCTCTAACTCCTTCGTGACCACGTGTCTGCATTAAACCTTGCAGTTCTTTTAATGAAATGCCGAATTCCTGACTGGCTGCTAACGGGGAGATCTCATCTTGTCCAGCATTCGATTTCCTCTTTTTCGCCATTGTTAGGAATCAGTTGTAATAGTTGTAATGGGACAGCTAGAGAATGATGACGTTGTTGTCTGTTGAAGAAAAGTTGAAAATTGACTAATTTAGTTTTAATAAGAATCGTTCGAAGAAGTTAGTCTGTCGTTGGTAAAACGATAGATATAAGCTCATGATTCATTCATTTATTCGACAGACAACGACAGATAGACCTTGAAACAAAAAAAGACAAAAAATATATAGAAAAGAAACGAAATGATAACGAGCGTCTCGTGAGGATACAAGAGAACACAGTCCTGCTCTCTGTTATATCTTTTTCTATCGTTTTTTTTTTCTTCTAGCTACAACGACAACACAAACATTTTCTTTCTAGTGTTCTTGTTTATCAGAAAACGACTGTCGTTCTTCCATTCTTTGTCGGTCTTTTTTCTTCTTGTTCTATTTGCTCGAATAGAAACGTTCTTATTCAGGCTGCGAACAAGAATAATAAGGAAAGGTAGTATACTACGCAACTGATAATTCCCACGTGGAATGATGCAAGCAAACAAATCTAGCAAATGTAATGAAATATTCTGACCTTTGTAGATTAGATTTCTGTCTCTGTTGGTCTTCGATTTTGACAGTAAATAGGATTGTCATTACATAGATATGTGATTTGTCACATAAGTTAACATATACAATTACTCAGAAAACAAAAGTTAATGAAATCGAAAACGAGGCATCTCAGAATTTCATTGAGAAATCTAATGAAGAACAAATAGTTTATTGATTAGTCGTTTTCCTTCTTCTTCTTTTTCATTTTCTTTTCGTTCTCTAGTCTTAGTTGTATTGTTACTGTTATTGTTGTTGTTCTACTATCGTATTCATCTATCACGCAACAAGATCTTTATCATTAAAGGAAATCAGATCATGAACATCACCTGTCGTGTGCAGATTACCGTTTGAGACTGCAACTCCTACACTACTGAAGTCAAAGAGGACTTACTGATCTTGTTCTGTTAACATCTCTCTTCATATATATTTTTTCTATCGTCAATTCTCATTTCTCTTCCCCTTCCCCTTCTTCTTCTTCTTCTTATTCCTTACTCGATTATTCAATAACAGGGTCTCTTTTCTCTCTGTTGCATTGTGCGGTTAGTGATGCGAAGGAAGAAAAAGACCATGAAGGGTATGTGCTCTGACAACAAGAGCAATAGTAGTAGGAAAATCGGGTCGCTCGGCAATGAGGATGATGATGATGATGATGTATGGATGCAAACTATAGACATAGTAATAGAGAGAACGGCACACACACACGCAGAGAGAAAAAAGAAAAAGGAAAAAAAGCCGAGAGATCGAGATAATCACCTAATCAGATAATCTTGCTCAGCGATCGGCCACACTGATTTTTCTTGCTTAGTTCTATTTAGAACATAGGAAACCGATGAAAAGAGAGAAGAAAAAACATCAGAAAAAATCAGTGTCTGAACATGAATATTAAACGAAGAGAAAACGATCAACACACGCACAGGTGTTGAAGCACAATATACGATTAGCTTCTTTTATTACGGTCATAAAAAAT